ACGCCTTGCGCCTCCGACGCTTAGTGCGCCTTGATGTAGATGAATCCCAGACAGATATGAATAGAAAACCCGGATACGAGAGATAATGAAACAAAGAACGGAAAGGGCTTATGAAGGGCCAGGCCATGATATTGATACAACAGAAGCTATCGAAATCGCCGGCCGTCTTCATCATTTCTTTTTCCCGCCAACTCCAAAGCTGCCTTCAAAGCCAGGTCGTCCTCCCTTCTTCTTCCCAGCACCGCTCTTCTTCTTCTTCTTGCCTGAGCGTTTCAGCAGCTTGTCCTCCCGGCGTTGCTTAATGTTGTCTTCACGCTTCTTTTGTCTCTCCCGCTGGGCTTGAGCAACGCCAGTAGCCCGCTCCTTCCATGCCTTTTCGCTCTTCTTCTTCTGGACCTCCTTGCGCTTGACGGCCTTCTTGAGCATGGCCTCGTCATCGTGGATCTTTTCGCCCTCGGCGCGGCGGCGAGCATTCAACCAGGCCTCCTTCTCCTCGATATCCTTGCGCTTCTCGATGTCAAGTTCCTCTATCCGCTTCTTCTCGTTCTGGACCTTGAGAAGAGCAGTCTTGGGATCTGAAGGACCCTTCTTCTTGCCTCTATTGAGGAAGTAGCTCAGGTCGTGGGACATTTGTGTTCCATCAGCAAATGCTACGCGTCCGAAGGAGAAGCTACCCTGAGCATCGTCAAAACTAACGTTGGGGCTCATAACGCCAGGGGAGTTGGATGCCAGGGCTTCTTCGCGCTTCTTCTGCTCCTCATCCTTTGCCAGTTTTCTGAGCTCCTTCTTATGTGCTTTGCGCTGTGCCTCCTTTGCTCTTCTCGCTTCGATGAGTTCCTGTCTTGTGCGGATAGGCTTGCCATTTGTTCCATCGGCCTTTCTGGCCGCGCGGAGAGCCTCAATCTTGGCAGCTAGACGAGCCCTCAGAGCCTCGGTGTCTGCAGGGATCTTGATGTGCTTTGGCTTTTCTGATGGGGCAGCGGAGGAGATGGACGTGGTTGTGCTGGCGAGCTCTGCCGGTGTGGGTTGACCATTGGCAGTCTCGTTGGAATCGAATGTGGGAGAGTGTGGTTCGGAGTCGGGAGCGCTGCCGTCATCTTCTCTCTGCAGCCCGGAGAAGTCCAGCGTGGTGTCGAGACCTTCCATCCGATCATCGGCTTTATCAGAGTCATCGACTTTTGTTTCTTCTGATTTTGATGGAGTCGGCTGAGGTTTTGAAGGTGTAGGAGCTTCTTTGGCAGCTTTCTTGTTCTTCTGTTTCTTTGACGCAGGCGTGGCAGCAACCTCAGCAGCATCGTTTATGGGTGTTTTGACTGTTGTTGTGGCTGGAGGCTTAGCTGGAGTTTGTGGTTCGCCTGTCTCTTGTTTGGTCTTTTTCTCGGTCTTTTTCTCAGCCTTCTTCTCTCGCTTTGCGGCTCGCTTCTGCTCTCTTCTTGATAGATTTGACGTGTCTGCGGCTGCCTCTTCCTCTTCTTCATCGTCACTCTCAGCCTCCACGTTGCCATTGGTCTTGGCCTTCTTATGAGGAGTCTCAGGGTGCTGTTTCCTCAAGCCTTCAAGAGGCTTCTCAGCCTCGACGCCGGCTACAACCTCGTACTCTTCCTCTTCAGGCCCATTCTCCTCTTGTTCCACTTGCCTCAGCTTTCGCTTGTTCTTGGCTCGCTCCTCCAGCTCTTCTTTGGCGCTGCGGTTCAGAGCGCTGTCGGGATCTAGCTTGGCTCGGCGGGCAGCTGCGGCTTCCTGCTTCGTCTGCTTCTCTCTTTGCCATTGGTCCTATATACTTCCAACGTCAGTCGCGGTTCTTGAGGGCTCCACTGAATCGGATTCATATGTCCACTCCATCGAGAGGATCATGTTCACAGGAATGATCGGGTCAACGTACGCTCGTATCTTCGCCATAGTACATCTTCGCAGGAATCAGACTCAGCAAGCCATCAAATGCCTTTGCATGATCGCGCAAGCGATCCTAACAGTCATGTCAGCTCATGATTGCAACGGATTGTCGCTGCCATCCTCCTTCTGGCCGTTCATCCAGGCTGGAGTGCGCAAAAGAGCGTTCAGACGAACCTGCAATGATTCTGCCATCTCAGTGGTAAAATATTACGACAACAAGCTAATAAAGAAACAGAAATGAATGCCAATAAAATGTGCCTAGAAGTTGAGTTCTGGCGACGGCGCGAGATTATCCGCGGCCGATTAGGTAGAAAATGCAAAGATGGATAGCTGGTGGTTGGTGTGAAGTGATGCTTTTTTTTTCTGCCAATGCCTTTTGCTAGGAAATTTCCTGAATTTTTTTTGGGTGCCCATTTTTTTTCCGCCTTTCCACTATGGCACCGCGAATTTCCTGTGGGGTAGCGGCTTAGTGCCTGGATTGGCGGACCCCCAAAAATGCCAGTGTACTAGTGGTGTGATAATAGAAAAAAGTAGTGAACAGCACAAAATTTGATGTATGATGAAGGATGCTTGTGAGCTCTACCTAGGTATCTTTGGGCAGTTCAGAAGGAAAAAGGAAAAAAAAAACCTATGATCGGGTTGAAAGCACTGAAGAAGAATGACCAGCTGCGAACGACAAGGAAAGGAAATGCAGCTGACAATGTGCTAATGGTCTTCTCTAAGTCTGGCGTGGACAACTTGGAAAATCTCCCTGACGGGTTAGCTACAATATTGAAACTCAGATAGAGCGTCAAATAAGTCGAGTGATCCATTGAATGGCTGGAAGACTTGAAGCGATTTCCAGGATAAGAACGTGGCACAGACACAGCGATGTCTGACGCTGACATCAAACCCGACAACCAAGACTCTGAAGATGCAGACCTGTTTTCTCACGATGACTATAAAGACAGTGATTTTGAGACCTGCCTCGTCGTCACTTCATTAAATCTCTTTACCGTCACGATCACAGCGGTGAAAGGTGCCATCTTCGATCCCCCGCGCCTAGTATTGGGCCAAACCGTTGGCTTGCTATCCGTATTTTGTAATTCTGGCTCACTTTGTAATATCTTCAACGGCTCGACGTCGAGAATATCTTAATGAGTCGACCAAGAGGTTAAATAGAACGGAGCGGTAAAGCAGACCTGTTTTCGGGTCAGCATACTACCTGAGCGCGTGATGTTGGATACTCAGCGTGCAGTGGCTGGGTTTGTGTCCGATGTGTTCTTGGTCTTCGCTTTCTCTGCCTTGGCGACGGTGAGACGCTTCTGGTAATCCTTGACTTCCTGTTCCCTGATACTTGCTTGCGTGCGGTCTGCGCTTCACATCGTTGGACGTTCTGTCCGTCGTACTCGGTGTTTTCCATGACCGGCGTAGGTGGTGTCCACTCTCTCTCCGTCTTGTCGTTGATGAGTCCTAAGTAGTCCTTGGGCACGATCTCCGCTGGTGCCATCTTGTCTGCGGCCGGGTGATTTTTGACAAACTCGGGGAACCCCAAGGGGGAAATAACAATAAGATATCTAGCTCTTCCTTTTCACAATAAGGCCAAAAACACTGATAGATCTTGGGAAAAGAGTATCTACAAAAAGCGACGATGGGAAATACTATTAGGTTTCATGACCATGGCAGACAAGACAAGAGAGCTTACCAAGGGAACGACGCGGCAAGTACTTGTTAATGCTCATTTTCAGTGTGTTCGTAATATCTATCAGGCGGGTACGCTTATTATAGCAAGAGCACTAGCCACGAATTCCAAGAGTGTGATAGAGATAGTAGAGAAAGAAGAGGTAGCAGAGGCAATAAGAATGATAGTTGGTACAACCTCTCTTTGTTCTGCCATGCCGACATAAACAAGACAAAATATCTTCAAGTTACCTTTGTAGAATAGCATATGACTGTACAAAGTACCCGGTCTATATAGTTGTGCAAGTAACTCGGTCTTGATTTGCAAGTATAGGTATTCAGCAATCCAATTGTTTTGGATAGCATCATGCCGCATTATATCAATGTTATAAAGAGTATGTATCGGATATAGCAGCTCATATCTGCCAAGCCAAGCTATCCACGAAGAAACTAAAACTAGAACAACATTCTCTTTTGTTTATTTCTTTTTGCTGCTCTTCTTCGTCGCAGGAGTTCCAGCAGCCAGTGCTCGCAATTTGGCCTCTCTGGCTTCAATCTCAGCTTTCCTTTCCCTGTCTCGCTCGTCTTTCTCTTCTTTCTCAGCCTAATAAAATAAAGTTCAACGGTTAGCTTTCTGCATAACGAGCTTTCATGCTTAAGGGGATCTAGAAGTGGCGTATGAGGAAAGGATTACCTGTCTTCTAGCAGCATCAGCCTCGCGCTGTGCACGGATAGCCTTGAGACGGGCAATATCTGCCTTGGCCTCGTCCGTCTTGCCCTCAGCATGTAGCTTCATATATCTCTCCTTTGCGGCGGCCGCCTCAGCCGCTTCTCTCTCGCGCCGGCTTGCCGGCAGCTTCTTCACGCCCGCGGTGATCTCTTCGACACCGGAAGGTTTGCTAGCCTGTTTGCGGGCTGATGAAGAGTGGTTCGGGTTGGCAGGCAGATCGGCGCCATCGTCGCTCTCCTCGTCGCTCGAAGGGGGCATGTCGCCGACCTCGACCGCAGCAGCCTTTGCCTTCGCGATGGCGGCCTCTTTCCGGGCCTTCTTCTGGGCTCTTCGGTCCTCGCGGTTGGCTTCGGCGACTTGGGCTGGAACTTTGCTGTCCTCTTCCTCTTCGGATTCCTCTTCAGACTCCTCTTCGGATGATTCTTCGGATCCGTCGTCCTTCTCCTCGCCTTCTCCGCTCCACATGCTCACGGCATTTCCTTCGGAGTCGAGAGGTTGGAGATTACGGGAGAAGTGCTTGCCGCCTAATGTTTGAGCGCACACGTATTAGCAAACACAAATCCTTCGAGTATCTTTGCAAGTAGGTTCGGTTTTTACCTCCTCTGGTGAATTTTCTGAACTTGCCACCACGGCCGCGTGAGCCCGCTCCAGGTGCACCGCCAACCATTTTGGATGATGATGAGGATGAAAGGGAAAAGTGGTTTGCAACTAAGAGGTGAAGGTGCTTCGAATTTGGCGTAAATTCCGATTTTGTTTCGAAATTGGAGAGTTTGGAGTTTAAATAGGAAGATTCTCTTAAAATCAGCCACCCTCGATAAGATTGAAAGTCAGTTCCGAGTTGCCAGTGCCGGCGAGGCGGGGTAGCGGGGTACTTTGAAGGTACATCTCAGCCTCGTCTAATACGGCAGAAATTACCGATAGGAATCACGATCTCTGCTATATTGAAAATATTTTTTTGCATGAAGCGCAATGTAATACTAGTCTGTATGACTCACAGTGCTTCGTACTTTAGTGAAAGTTGACACGAGCGTAAAGATTGAAGCGACGTGCCCAGTTCTACGTAGCAGCATGCGTTGATCCATCCACGTCACTGCGTGGTATCGCCAAGGTACCCGGGCTATCCAAAGTACTAAAACATGCAGAAGACGTAAAACAGGCGAGAGATGATTGGCTGGCTAGCTGGCCAAGTATCACAAGCTGGATTTCGTTTGGTACCATAACCTCTTAGAGCGGGTGTCAAATTACTCTTTTGTCGATATAGTCTCCGTAACTTACTCGGCAAATTATAATAAACAACTATTTATGAGTTGTCGCAAAAGATGAGCAACATCTACCACAAATATGTACCACTATCTTACGAAGCCCTGTAATTCGTAATTCGAGCTCTACAGTTGGTGAGTCACACAAGGCTGACTCTTAGCAAAACAGGTAAAAGAAAAAAGATTATATGGGGCGTCTGCTCACACACACGCCGCAGCCAAGTTTTTCCGAAGCTACCCACATGCAGCCGCGCTCCACCAGCGCCCAGGCACATAAAACCAAGCAGCCGAAATTTTTCTTTCCTCTTCTTTTTCTTTTTTCTTTTCTTCAGTGAAACCTACTAGAAATATTCCTTCAAATTCACTCTGCGCGTCGACAACCCTATGGATGCGCTTGGAGGGGAAACTGGAGGATAGATGATTGTTTCCGCTGGCTTACCCTCTTTCCCTGTACTTCCTTTCGAGGTTGCGTTTGGGCGAGAAAAATTTTTCGGCGGCACATACACATGGCCTATATCACCCTTGATTTCTTAATAGGCGTCACGATGCCTTGCTTGTCTTGATGAACTTACTGGCATTTTTGCTTATGGCGTTTCTTCAGAACAAGATTTTATATGGTGGATTCGTAAAATTCGTAATTTAGTAACTCCTCGCTATTATTGTTGGGTGCTGTACAGCTGCTTCTTCATCAGCCATGCATAACCCTTCACCCAGAAAGCGAATGCAGCATGTCATGCAGCTGCTTTCTCTTGCGCATCTTGAGCGAGGATTTCGATTGGATTGATGATATCGACTCTTCCTGGAGCTGTTCCTGAGATGCGTCTGTCGTGTAGCGGCTCGCGTCCATGGGTCGGGTAAACGTAAATCGTTTCGTTGAAAACAGCCCGCGGCTCACATAGGCTGGCTTAGAGGTGATGCCTCCGCGTCCACTATGACCTAGAAACAAGCACGCCATGGGCCGTGAGGGCAAAACAAATGGCCCAGCTACAGCTTGTTGGTCCACTGAATGGCCCTGGTTCACAATATCCACATCGCTGCTCAGCTGTCCTAGGAATGAGTACAACCAGAAAGCCCAAGCCTCAAAAGCAACGCCGTGGCAGGCTCCTGCTTGTCTTGACGCCGCGTCTGGATCCCACGAGGGCATGTATTTCTTGCCCGTGTCTGTAAGATAGTTCAATAGAGGGGGTGCTTCTCGGTCCGGGACAAACTTGATGGCGCATTGGGAGTCGCTGCAGAGCGTCACCAAATCAGCTTCGACGCTCTTAATCGAGTTTTGTGTCTTGATAATGTGTGTATCTGGAACGAGCAGCATGAGATTTCGTAGTAACGTGCCCTCCTGTCTGCCGGAGACGTCGGTAACCTCCCAGCCGGCCTCGGCGGCATCGTCAAAGGGAGAAGCCCAGTCGTCTCTGGCGCCCGTGACATCGTAAAGTGCCAATGAGGGAAATTTGGCGACCCAGCGTAAGGATTTCTGTGTAACCGTCTGATCGCCCCAGATTCTCAAGATCCTGAGCAAAGGGAAGGGATTTTCGCTCAAAGCCCAGCCGCTGATGACGCGATCATTGACGGAGGGAAAAACATCGCCTAACTCGTCCGCTGGTTGAATAAGCTCTAGAATGCCCAAGTTCTTGATGTCTGTTAAACAGAATAGCTCATGGGAAGAGAAGTGACACCCTCCGCTGAGCACAAGATGGGTGATGAACTCTGTTGAAAAGGATGTTAGGGGCTGGGTGTAGCATTTAAGCTCCTCGGTGGGTCGACATATGTGCTGCCGGAATCGATAAAGGCCAAGGCTCTTTTCGTCATCCTCACGAAGCAGTATCGTTGAGAAGAGTCTCCATGCATGGAAGCACACGCCTCTGATATTAACGATGTTAGCAAATGATGAACTAACTCATTCACTCCTCTGAGCATCCAACCACTGCACAACTCAAGTCTTCAAATGATTAAATGCATATGAACAAATGAGAGCCACTTACCTTGCCTCTAAAAAGCGCCAGATGCGCCAAACCAGCTGAATAGGAAGAGACCCAAGCAGCTCCTCCGATACATCGCCAATATTGTCAGCGATGACATTAATCGACATGTCCAGCAAAGATCGGGGACCTCGGGCGCCGCGGGGCTTAAAAATGGGATACGGACGCTTTCGGGACCAGCCACGGTCCGAACTGACGTTGAGGCGCCGCTGGATGGTCCATTCTCGGAAGACTTGGCCTGTTGACGAGTCGTAGTTGTTCATGGCTATGTACGCAGCGCCGCTGACAGGCAAAGGGCAGAAAAGAAGAGAGAGAGTTTATGGCGCTGCTACATGAAGTCCAGGTTTATTCATGTAACCTTGAAAAGAGAAAATGAAACATTACGTTTAGAAGGTTTTGAATGAGATCAAAGGGTGTGAGGCTGATATTATATTGAGGCGAATATAAAATAGAAAAGTTCAAGTTTATGAGCGGATATGTCAGCAGTGCGTAAGTTGGCTGCTGGAGGTGGCTGTGCTTAGATACAAGTGCCGGCTGGTGCCGCCAAAAGTCGCAAATCGCAGATCCGGAATCATCTGGGTGCTGCTGTATCTTGATTACATTTCTAAGAACAAGAAAGGAGATACCTATTGTTTACTGTATTTAAATGTTTCAAATTTTAGATAAACAACGCTATTCTATCTCCCCCCAAAACGCCTCGTAAAGGTGCTCTCCAGATCGCCTGTTCTACATAGCATCCTGAAGAATACATGTATCCAGCCCGCCATTTTTGTTGGTATTCAAAGCCAGACTGCCACAGCAAATGCCCCGTTATTAGAAGATAATACACATTTACATCATTTCAAAGCCGCGCCTGCGAGCCATTTTAAAAGCTCTTCAGGTCGTCTGCAACGGTGAATGGAGCCTCTGTTTTGCTCTTGACCTCGTCTACTGTAACTCCGTCTGCAAGCTCAATAAGAGTCAGGCCGTGGGCGAAATCGACGTCGAAAACAGCCTAGAAGAATTTAAAATGTTAGTTGTCTACACACATAAAATATGAGGCAGCTGAGTGTAGCGACTTACCAGCTCTGTGATGATTCTTGAAACGCAGGCTCGGCCAGTCAGTGGGAACGCGCACTGCTTGACAATCTTGGGGTTGCCCTTCTTGTCGGTGTGCTCCATGGTGACGACAACCTTGGTTGCGCTGGGGTTGCTCACGAGGTCCATGGCACCGCCAAAGCCCTTGACCTTGCCTGGCAGCATCCAGTTGGCGAGATCGCCAGTTGCGCTGACTTGCATGGCACCAAGGATCGTCAGGTTGATTCTGCCGCTGCGGATCATGCCGAAACTCTCCTCGCTACCGAAGACGGCGGCACCAGGTTTGAGAGTGACCGTCTCCTTGCCAGCGTTGATCAGGTCGGCGTCTTCTTCGCCCTTCTTGGGGTATGGGCCAAGGCCAAGGATGCCGTTCTCGGACTGCAGCTGGACTTCGACTTCAGGCCCGACGAAGCCAGGGGCAAGCATGGGCATGCCGATACCCAGGTTGGCATACATGCCGTTCTTGAACTCCTTGGCAGCTCGCTTCACGATTCGCTCCCTCTTGGCCGCGGTCTCGCCTGTTCCCAGAGCAGCCTTGGCCGCGGGGTCGGCCTCGTCCTTGGCCCAGGTGAACTTTTCAATGTTCTTGGGGCTGGTGCTTTGGATGACGCGCTTGACGTAGATGCCGGGGAGGTGGACCGCCTCGGGAGGAATCTCGCCTGGCTCGACAATGTGCTCGGCCTCAACAATGGTGATCTTGGCGTTGCGGCCCATGGCGCCGTTGAAGTTGTTGGCAGCCAGGCGGAACTGGCAGTTTCCGAGCTTGTCGGCCTTGTAAGCCTTGACAAAGGCATAGTCTCCAGCAATGCTCTCTTCCAGCAGATAGGGCTTTCCGTTGAAGACCTTGACATCCTTTGGGTAAGAGTAGACGTCCGGTGATCCGTCAGGCTTGTTCTTGAGCGGCAGATCGCCCGTCTGGACAACGGTGCCAAAGGCCGCAGGCGTGTAGAATGCAGGAATACCCTTTCCACCAGCTGCGCATCGCTCGGCGAGAGTTCCCTGAGGGGTCAATTCCAGCTCGACTTCGCCAGTCAGGTACATTGTCTCGAATGTCTTGTTTTCGCCAATGTAACTCGCAATCATCTTCTTCACCTGCTTCGTCTTAAGAAGCTTGCCCAGGCCAGAGGCATCAGTGCCGGCGTTGTTTGACACGGCTGTCAGGCCGGTGATTTCTGGCTTTTTGAGGACCTCGTCGATGAGGGTGTCGGGAACGCCGCAAAGACCGAAGCCACCGCATAGCAGCGTGGAATTGGCCTTCATGTCCTTGATCGCCTCAGCAGCGGAGGGAAGTACTTTGTTGATCTCGGCTCGACGGGCAGTTGCAGAAAAGGATCTGGCTAGAACGGCGGAGGGCTAAACGTGGTCACTTGGGTTTAGTTTCTGATTCAATTCTAATTGTGAAAGTTCTGCGATCCAAAATCAGGGCTCCTGAGCTTACGTTTGTCGCATGGCGCGCAAAGGCCCCGAGGGTGCGCAGGCGCAAAGCTGTGGACGGCATCGTGGAGGGGCAATAGATGGACGGTATCGCGGAGCTGTCTAGATCGTGGAATGTACCGTTTGTTGCTACGTATGAAGGGATGCAATGAGATAGAAGAAGGGAAAGAGGAAAATAAGAGAGAAAAAGAGCAAGAGTCTCGCAAAGACTGGACTTTCGGAAAGATTCGCGGATATGAACTAGCGATGCCTTCACTGGCCGCACTTGTTATGTATGCTCGCGCGAGTCTCAATCTGCCGGTGCATTAGCCGTCAATGACCGAAGCCACTGCCCGCAGACCCAGTTCTCCGCACTGGCGGCCACAGAACTCGGGTATTTGGCCCTCCGCAGTGAGGAGAAGCTGGACCCAAGGCGCAAATAGCGGGACGGTTCCGTGGGCAAGGGTCGGATATGGACGGCCGGCGGCTGTGGGGGAAGCAACAGAGATTCGTGGTGCAGTGGTAATGGCAGCAACACTAATGATGAGTTTGATTAGGGAGCATTTACTATCCATCCAAAGATTATTAAATAGTAATTACATGTACCTAGTATATGCCATGGGGCAGATAGGATTGAGTGCGTGTACATGCATACACTGCGTGCAAACCTCGAATACAAGCAGCTTACCCATACATTGGTCATTTCTGAGTGTGTGCCTCAACTCGCCTCAAAGAGCTGACAGATCCTTGACACAGATTGCCCCGGCACTGACTTGGACATCCGCATGTTTTTCGTTGAGCTGGTGGATGAATCTTCGCGCTAACACGGCTGGCTCCAGCTCCCGGCTTAGAAGGTTTTAGGCCCGGGTTCCGAAGCCGAAGTCAAGCCCAGTTGTTTCTGAGGCCCGTCGGCACAAGCGGGTGGCAATGACTTTTCCCGGAATGCCATTCCGAAGCATCGCGATCCAAAACGTTCATCCGGCGGTGCTTACGGGGAGTTTATGATGACAATTTGGGTTTATCAAATCAAATTTGAAGTCATGACAGTAGCAGTGCTAGGATGTAACAACTGGGTTAAGAATTCAAGGCAAGGCATGCAGGCAGTTGTGAGTCAGAGGCATCGTGCGAGGTTAAAAATGCTGTGAAGACTAACGCGGTCGAGTGACACGGAAGAAGCTAGACTATGTGTCACGTATCAGGTTTACTTTTTCGCGGGTTTAGAGGAGATTCAACCAGAATATATGTCTGCAGCTTACATGCATTGAGTTATTCTATCTGACTTTCCTTCTCCACAACTCTAACACTATCAAAACATGACGAGTGACCGGCTGCAAGTACATGTATAAAACGGCGGGCAGCATGACAATCTCCTCGATGCGTTCATTCGCTCGAGATGATGCCACTGTCTTGAGAGCAGCATACATATAGTCGTTATCTGCGCCTCATGCTCTCTCACGGTTTATGACACACAACTTCAATATTGTTACCTGCCGCATCATGCAAATAGGCGCCGTAGTAGTTGGCATGGTAGTGCGCTCGCACACCCGGAGCCCCATTATCCTGCCCTCCGCCGAGCAGTCCCGCCGCGTGGAATGCGTCTACCTGAGAACGATCTATTGCAGCAGTTAATAACGCGATGCATGGCTAAGAATAGATATAGCAGGATCACTTACTTTCGGCACGGAATGCAACATGTACTTTGGCAGCCTCTTTGGCCCCAAAAAGCCAAAAGTCTGCAACTTTGTAGTTTGGCACCGCGTCCGACTCCGAGCCGAGGCCAACAATGTTTTCGCCAAACTCATAGACGACTCGATATCCCAGCGGCTCAAGAGCTTTAACATAGAATGCCAAGCACTCCCGGAATTTGTCCTCGGGGACTACGACGGTGGTGTGGTCAATGGCCATGATGACTGTACTGATAAAAAGTGGTTCTATAAGTAGGTACCAAGATATAGTAGCTGAGGCGCGATCTTGATGCTCTCTTCGATACTTTTCAATGGAGCACTGTATCTCTCTTTATAAGCTGGATTGTTACGCGGACTTCGGTTACCCAAGAATGCCGAGAATCAGAGCTGATGTCATATCGCCGAATACACAAAGTAGGTATCGTGAGCGGTGCCTATTAGCTAACGCGCTGGAGATCACGGCGACTTGGAAGCATCGTGAACGGCGGAACTCCGCATCGACGACACGCAATATTAAGGCTGTGTACAGCGTGAATTTAAGGTTGCTACTAGGGATGGGTTCATGTAGCGGCAGCTACCGAGGTACGCATACATAGGATTTCCTGAAAAAGGGTCCATTTACGAGTTTTGCGCTCAATTCGCTCAATGTAATTGGTCATTCAATTCAACTCTATGCATACCTATTTCCTTAGTAGGGCACCCTCATAGCTTTATAACAACCTGATTGGTGGCATTCTTTTCACTCTCGTCTCCGAAAATATTAATGTTCCCTGCTCAAAAGATTAGTGCACTGTTCCTCATAAGAAAACAGGCATTTGAATCCTTCATGCTCTGTGTACAAAGGATAAATCACAGTTGCCACTTACATATAGGTCCAGGAAGACAGCGGCGCTGTGGCGTTTCGCCCATCTTAGCAAGCTCTTCGATGGCCTGCTCATCAAGCTCAATTTCCTGGAAGTTTTCGAGGATTCGCGCTGGCGTACAGGATTTAGGAATCACAGCGTGACCACCAAGCTGGGACCATGAAATAATGACTTGCGCTGGAGAGATAGGCTTGCCCTGGCCTTCTGAGAGACGCTTCGCAATCCCCTTGACCACTGGGTCTTCGATGATCAGTGGCAAAGCGCCGTAATTTCTGCCAAAGGGGGAAAAGGCTGTGATGACGATGCCTTTCTTCTTGCAGTAGTCAACAAGAGGAGCGTCAGGGATAAAAGGATGCCGTTCAACCTGGTTGACGGCGGGGACTACGCCAGAGTCGTCGCTGATTGCCTCCAACTATTTACATATTCGCTGCATTAATATCATGAAGACACGCAAAGGAATACTGCAGATGATCTGTCACACTTACGTGCTCGATTGTAAAATTGGAAACTCCAATAGATCTAATTTTGCTCTTGGGCAAATCAGTCATGGCTACATCGCAGATGGACCAATGGTCAGCCAACTTGCCAACATTCTTTCATATCATATTTGCCGCATATACCTTTCCAAGTCTGGCAAATCGAGACCTCGTGGTCGAGAATCCACGAGCGGGGATCTTGTGGAGGGAGATTCTTGCTGGCGGCAAAAGCAACTGGCCAGTGAATGAGATATAGCTACGAGAACCATGAAAGATTAGACAAGGTTTAGTAAGGTACCAAAAACAAGAATGGTCACATCTTTTGAATACTCACATCAAGGTAATCAAGTCCTAGTTCTTGGAGAGTGTCATCAAGCGTAGGCTCAACGTCTTCGGGCCGGTGGCTGTTATTCCACAGCTTGCTAGTGACGAATATATCCTCGCGCTTCAGGCCGGGAATCTCTGCAAGGGCTCTCTTAATACCCTCTCCAACTCCAACTTGGTTTCCGTAAGCCTTGGCGAGGTCGAGGTGCCGGTAGCCAACCCTGAGTGCTTCAAAAACGGTATCGCCAACGACATCTGAGGTACATTGCCAGGTGCCGTAGCCCAGAGTTGGCAATTTGTGGCCAGTGTTAAGAAGAACGGTGCGTCCGGATGACATTTAGGTAGTATCAGCGATATCACAGAGAGGTTATGTTGTTAGTGGTCAAGTGTACCAACTGCACACGTTTCTTTCCTTTGGAGTAGAGGGTTATAGCGACGAAGGAATTAGTTTTTTCCTCTGTTGGTGGCGGCAGGTCTTCAAAGACCCGTGCTTCTAGAGTTCCACTATCTCTTGATTCTCCTCATTGACACTACCTAGTATTGCGGAACCTGGATACTCAAAACATGACACCCGAGCTACATGACAACTGGTGTCAAGTCTAAACCACCAGCTCACTTTTATGGTTCTCCAAGCCGTAGCTCCTGCGCAAAAAGCTTCACAGACGGCATTGCGCAGAAGGGCAACAAATAGAGACGAGCTTCGATAGCCTATGTAATACGTTAAGCAACCCTTCTGCCTCCGCTATGATTCAAAGAGACACATGGTTATGTAAAATATGGAAGTGACAGGGGACCCTCTGAACGAGGGATACAGTGTTAAGGGACCATGAGCCGGCTAATTGTTTGTACCGCAGCTTCATCAGATTCACTGCAGGCATTATTGACGCACTAATGGATTGGGGATCTCAATGTCCGTGACAATAGGATCCCATTCCACTAGTGCTTTAGCCACACAGACTAGGTAGTAGTTCAATAAACTTGCTGGTAGGAGAAGCACGTAGTGAACTGACTTTAACACAGAAAAAAACTGAAATAAGTGTCTGGCTTTTAGTTGTTTAGAAACTTCTTTCCGCATGGACTATAGTGTGGCGCAGTGTGGCTAGTATAGTGCACGGTGTTGTATAGTCTTAGGCAAAATACCCTTCCGCTTTTGAACATTCCCTCTTGAGGAAAAGTGGAGAATGACAAGGATTAATGTACTTTAATAAACTTGATTGTTATTCTTTTTGGCCACATCTGGCTGTTTCTAACGTGTGGTTGACGGTAGCTAGCCTTCCAGAGTTGGGCCTAAAACCACTAAAATACCCCAAAAGTCGGAACACTGATTTTACTAGCAATTACACCTATTTTACACAAATAAATAAAACAGCAACAATAACTCTAAAAGAAAGAAAAAAATTGCTATAATAACTATAAAATAATAAAGAATAATGCTATATATCTCTTGCCTTGTTACAGGGGCTTTGGTGGCTGTAGAGATAGGTTAATTTTGGTTGTGTTTTGTGATTGTTGTGATTTTTCGTGACTGTGGTAAAAGTCTGGAATAACGCTGTAGCGCGAGCCTAAAATTCGAAAAGAAATACGTCAAGCATTAAAATCGATTGTTTAACCTCGATTCCATTCTTTTGGCTCGTTTTCTATGCGTTGCGAGTAGTATTTGTGGCTCCTTAGTCGTGGATCGGTTGATGCGGACGTGTTGTTTTTTCTAAGTTTGAATTGGTGGGACCCCAAATTTTCCACTACCTATGGTCGTATGTGCCAACTGATGGTGCGAATCAACATAACAAGTATTCAGAGAGACATAAACAAATCATGAGCACACTGCTGATTGCCTTTCTGACCCTCAGATGCCGTCTTTCTCAGACCACCGCTTCTCACGGAAAAGCAGGCCTTCTTATACCTCTTCGCCCGGCTTTCGCACCAACTACATTCTGCCTCTCTTATCTAGGAGTATTCATTTACACATCTATTCATCTTTTACAGAACTTTTTATACCCTTTCTTCCTCTGTCGCTCCCCCATCAGCTTCTGCAGCTTGCCCACCGCACATCTGAACCAATCCTCACTAACACAAATATAATTTCAGAAACTCAGATCGCTTTCTGGCTAATAGGACAATATCACGAAAACAAGTCAAGGCAGCGTTTGATATAGCTGCTGTGGTCTCGCTCCGGTAGGAGCGTGATAGAACAAGACCACTTGCATAGCTAGAGGTCACTTTGAAGCGAATAACTTGTCCGATTCTTCTATCTAGACAGCAGAAATCCAGCTCTCATTTATACCTAACCCGGCCCCTTCTTCCAGCTTAGTCACTAATCCAAGTCAACGTGCGTTCATAGGGCCGGCTCAAAAGCTTCATTAACGCTTTATTAACGGAGCTCAACGCGGTACGACCCGATCCTAGTAGGGTTGAGTTTTTCTTTGCCCCCAGTCGGCCCATCAATCGACTCAGTTGGGTCACCACTTGTAGTGGAGGCACTAAAACAATTATTATTGCCAATTCTTAGTTTAGCTCTCCAATTACCACTTACGACCAGCAATGCACCGTAACGTCGACATCACTTGTAATGGTAATACCCTGGATATTGCTATACAACGTTTAATTACAGTCATTAATTAAGGGAAAGATGATTGACTTACGGAGTACCCGCGAGTACACGGTTTTCGCCGATTTCTGGGTGCTCAGTCCGATCCGCTCCTCCTTTAACATCCCATTTGACCTGTTTTAAATTTTTTTAGCTTGGACCTATATCCCTGAATATTTCATGCCCATACAGTAATGGTATCAGCTGTAATGTTGCCGTTAACAGCTTCACTTGCCATCTTGAGATGTATATCAAAAGAAAAATTAAAATGCAGAATGTAAAAGTAGCTTGTTTATTTTGGATGGTCAAACCGTGTTGATGAGGTGAGATCGAGCAGGTAGAAGTCTGGTCCTTTATATATTTCTTCCAAACTACTTTATCCGAGACATGTTTCATCTCCTCGACGCTATCAAAGTCATTTTCGTTCAGTATTTATACACAACGCTCTACATATCATACCACTCTGGATCATTTCATCTCCTTATTACGTTCAGTTCTATGCAGAGTTGCGACATTTTCTGAGTTGGCAGCGGGGATCTCTAGACTCGTTGCTTTTGAGACGCCTTGGAACCTATCATTACAGGTAGACTTTGAATCCTGGCTGCAGTTAAGTGGAGTTTTGTCTCAGAGTTTCAAGCCACTTTCGTAAAACTCAAGGCATTCTCAAATTACATATCCCGCAGAAACCAATAGAGTTCTTTTGATTCTAATGTTCCAAGACTAGGAGATATGAAATATCCTCCTCCCTTGCACACTTCCGTGGTCGCTTTACATGCTTCGGATACAGCTCAGGTAGGGGCCAGATTGACGACCCACGTAGAGTATTCTCTCGGAAGAAACGGCCTAGACCACGTTGCCGCTTTTCTCTTGGCCTAGACCTCCGGCCTCCAATGCTTACATTGAAAGTAACCCTACTCTGTTTCGCAAACGTGCTTTGCGATAAGGAATATAGGGCATAAAAATAGCATCATGCCGTCTAGAATAGGCTTTATCACAAACCTAGCCAATCCTTTAGTCCTCGGAAGCGCCAGAACCTACTCACACATGTACATAATGGCACTTGGGACATCTATTGGACGCGGGTTTTGGGAACAGCGCATATTCATAACCCTCTCACCCCCAAATATATGTATATATGTATATATATCAATAAACTTATCTTCTGTCCTCTGTCCGTCGGTCAATAAGTGGATTATAGGAATCATCGTCACACACGCAAGGGATACCAAGAAATATTTGATATTTCTTGGTGGCGTATAGCGACCGGTCAATATGTCGGTTTGTCTGTGACTTGAGTGCATGGCAGTATAGTACTAGAGTTTCTCGTGTCTTATGCTGGACTAATAATTATGCTGTCTGAGGGCAATAGCCGACACTGCCTGGCATGCTATTTCGGCTAAGAGACCGACCGGAAAAGGCCACTTACATGTGTCTTATGCGTATGTAGATTAATCCTCTGCACTGAGATCCGCTAGCAACCATTGTTCAGTCTCTTTGATCAAAAGCTCAGCGTGCAGCATTAGTATTAGTATTACCATTAGTATTACAAAAGCTGAAGGGGGCTAACTAAGGCCTAGCAAAACCTTGATCCCGAATCGGAATAACCAAATCTTCTTCTTCTTCCATTCCTGTCAATAGTACTCATATATGTATGTCTAGCAGATTAAAATGCAGGACTAGCTTCACTAGTACTTTCTTTACATGTACTTTAAATAGCGGGCTATTCCTGGCCATGTGCCATTGCTAAACATGTCCAGACTAATAAGACATTGAGGATAAGCCGTGGACGGGATGTTGAGATAGCAAAAATAAAAACATATAATAGCCGGTGTTTGCTAGTGGTCACCCACCCACCTACTAATCTGCCGGCTAGTGGCTTGTCTATGGGGGAGCACGTCGTGAGTTCAGCAAGCTCTTTAGGCTGCCGTAGGTGCATGGAACGGAACAACTCAATTCCATGATCCGGTGTACCCAGTAATATTATAGAGAACCAACACTGTGAGGGCCATGTTTCAGATTTCGATTGGGTTTGAAAAAGCGGAAGGGTAATTTGCCCGAGACTGTAGTCAAGAAAGGAACTTATAAGATACCGAATAAGTTGGAGGATCTTGATGCTGTAAAATAATAGAGAAGAAGCTATTAAAAAAGAGGAGAAATTTCCCTTCCAAGATACTGACTACTGCAGTGCTAAGAATAAGAGAATCTAAAGCCAGAAGTGGAATTCAGCTAAAATAGCTAAATGTTAGATGACTTATTCCAATTATACTTAAAACGACACGTAATTCGCACTGTACTAGCCACAAGCCCCATATCCTGGTCCGTGCGGAAAGAGATTCCAAACTGGTAAAGTCGGACGCTTATTTCGGTCTTTACTGTACTACTTGTAGGCCAATGTTTGGTAAAAGCCGACATCACTAGTCAAGGTACATATCACGTAATAATACTCCAACCGGAATAAGGGTGTTAGATGCTCTCACATGCGAATAGAAGGCATATGGTAGTGGAATGTTTATAGACCGCGCAGCAGTTCTAACTACTAGCTCCACAGCAGGTATCTGATTACATAACCCAGCTCGAATGCACCCGCGCTACGCTAGATCCTTTACAGAAATCAATTCTTATCGTTGGCTTATCGCCCCGCGACTATCAATATTATCGGCAAAAAAAAATTCCCATGCGACAGACAGGCTGCTAAACACCAAGCTCAACATCAAGACTCTGGGCACATCATTTGCCTATCGACACCATGGAATCAAGCTCGAAGCGTCGAAAAATTGACCACGGGAGCATTGGTTTGCGCCATTCTGGGCTCATTGACTTTGAGTCCCGGAACACAGCCCGAGTCACAGCTGCAAGCACCTTTGTTCTGCAGACAGATGAGCTTCTAAAGGAGGCCAAGCCCAACTATGAGAAGGCGTTCTATGGCGTTGATGGCCAATTGCGCCGATTAAAAGGCATAATCGATGGAATTGAGCCCCATGATCCCAAGCCAGTGAGTTTTATGAAATCAACAAAATGGAGCTACCAAGCAGTCCTAATGTGACATATCCAGATCTCAGAGGCTACCATCAAATTCGAAAAAGAGCATCGCATCGTCATTCCATACTCCGACCCAAAGCCCGCAAAAGACGCCCCGTACAAGGTCTCTTACTCGCCGCCATCACAGTGTAATGTCGTGGGAAGCTACGTTTCTCGGACAATGATCAAGACGCAGTCCGAGTTTGGCATTGATATGGTTGTCCAGATGCCGGCGTCACTCTTCCAAGAAAAGGACTACACGAACATGCGATACTTTTATCGTCGAGCCTACTACATTGCGTACATTGCTGCGCGTGTGCGAAAGGAATTTGCGCAAGAACTGGACCTGAGCTTCGAGAGCTTGAACGAAAACCCTTTATTGCCGATTGTTGTCCTCCGACCAAAGGCTTCGAGTGATGGAGGCGAAGAGCGAGAAGCGAAGAAGAAGTCGAAGAAAGCATCTTATAGCATCAAACTTATTCCTTGTGCCCCCGATGACCTGTTCCCCTGGTCCAAGGTGACGCCCAAGTCGAACAATAATAGACTGGGCGAGGCGGATGAAAAGAAGGAAGCACAGGCGGCAACGCCCTTTTACAACTCCACCTTGAACGCTGAGAGAACTTTCATTCCCTACTTACGGCTCCTTACTCACATGAGTAAGGAATGTCCTGCTTTTGCCGATGCTTGTGTTCTTGGCAGAACGTGGCTTCAACAGCGCGGCTTTGGAAGCGCCATCTCTCAAGGAGGATTCGGACATTTTGAGTGGGCGGCAATGATTGCTTTGCTCTTACAAATGGGCGGTAGAAATGGGCAAGCAGCTTTATCAACCTCCCTCAGCAGCACAGAGCTTTTCAAGGCAGCCCTTCACTTTTTATCAACTACCGACTTAAGCAAGAAACCCTATACTTTTGCCTCTTCTACTGTTTCCGCAGATGCTGTTCGAGAGGCTGGCCCTGTCATGTTTGATCCGACCAGACAGCTTAATATCTTGTTCAAGATGACGCCTTGGTCAGCAAGCATGCTGCAAAGCTACGCAAAGTCTACTACAGAACTTCTAGCTGATGCAATGGCCGATAAATTCGACCCGACATTCATTACCAAAGCCGATATTCCCTTCCAGACATTCGATGTTGTTTTTGAGATCCAGAGCTCTAGTCTTGTCAGATTCTCCGAATCTGCAGACCGCAGGAGTGCCGTAACGAATTTTTGTCTGGAAGCACACAAGCACCTCAAACGGGCGTATGGCAACCGAGCACAGCTCGTGCAGTTCCAGCTGCCTCCCAGAGGACATTGGTCGCTGGCCAAGCCCCCAGTCAAGGAGGCCACGCGGGCTCTCATAGGCGTTGTCTTTGACCCTGTTCACATGTCAAGACAGATGGAATTCGGCCCACCTGCCGAAGAGCAGAAAGAAGCCGCGAGATTCCGACAGTTTTGGGGCGACAAGGCTGAATTACGTCGATTCAAGGATGGCAGTATTCTTGAGTGTATCGAGTGGTCCAGCAAGCTCCCGCTGCAAATTTGCGAGGAGATTACACATTACACCCTGCAGCGTCACCTGAAGATTACCAAAGACCAAGTGACAACCGTGGGAGGGGCTTTTTCTTCCATTATCAGCCTGTCTCATCTTGACAAATCTGCCTTTGATTCAGCTCGGCAAGCATTCCAAAACTTTGAACGAGACATTCGCAACCTGGAGGAACTGCCTTTGCAGATCAAACAGCTGTCACCTACTTCCTCTTCAGCGCGCTATGCATCCATTGAGCCACCATTGATGGGATACCATAAAGGATCAATCGAGCTGATGGACGTCAATTTGTACTTCGAAGCGTCAAGCAAATGGCCTGAGAATCTTACCGCCATACAAGAAGCAAAGGTCGAATTCCTCATCGATATTGATAGACGACTGACAAAGGCGAACGAGAAAATCACCACATATTTGGGACGCGAGAACAAAGAGCTTGGCATTGAAAGCTTGGCCTATCTCGATATCATATATGAGAACGGAGCGGCATTCCGCCTAAGGATACACTGCGATCTAGAAGAGAAGCTCCTTGAGCGACAAGTCAAGAACAAGACTCTCGAGCCTCGCATTCGCGAGGAAGCTGAAGAAGCCTCTGAAAAGCTCAACTGGCTGTACAATGCTCTTCCGCTCCACACTCAGACCATTGCAACTTTCTGCACCCGCTTCCCTCCTCTCTCGCCAACTATCCGACTAGTCAAGCATTGGTTCAACAGCCACAAGCTGACTGGCCATATTCGCGAAGAGCTCGTTGAGCTTTTCGTCCTTCACGCATTCCTCCAGCCATATCCCTGGAGGCAGCCCACCTCCGTTATCACGGGTCTGCTGCGAACACTGTTCTTCCTTTCCAAATGGGATTGGCGTGATGAGGCTTTGATTGTCGACACGGCGGAAGATCTTTCCGAAAACGATCGATCATCTGTTCGCCATGATCTTCAAACCTGGAGGAAACGAGACCCCAGCATGAACGACAAGGTCTTATTCGTGGCCACATCCAACGATCGATCTGGCCTTGCGTACACTCGTAACGGACCATCTAAACTGGTCGCCTCCCGCATGACACATCTTGCCAAAGCAGCCTGCAAGCTCGTCCGAGAAAAGGGTATCCACCTCGACCCATCTCTCCTGTTCGAGGCCTCCCTCCAAGACTACGATGTCCTCTTCCACCTCTCCTCCAAGACCATCAAGAACATCATCCGCGAAACAGCCGTTGAGTCCAGTGGACGTAAGCACTCTCAATTCAAAAATCTCGACACTCTCACCGCATCGATCCCGCTCCCCATTAGGGCACACCCGACAGACGTCTTTATGGAGGAGCTGGAGCGCGTGTACGAAGACTCGCTACTGTTCTTCCGGGGTAGCGCGGATGACGCCGTGGTGGCAGCTCTTTGGAACCCTCGACTGCAGAAGCAAAAGTTTAGAGCGGGCTTGCCGTATAACTTCCACTCTATCGGGGGTGATGGTGATCAAGTTGAGGTGAACCGCAAGGCAGTTCTGCTAGAGATTGCCCGAGCCGGAGGTGATATGATCAAGAAAATTGAGGTGGCCGAGGAGGACGAGTAATTTTTGAATCATATTTTGGATATAGCACTTTGTACATTTTAAGAAGAGGTCCAACTTAGATAGCGAACCACATAATTTAAACCTATCACAAGTCTTCTCCAGCATAAGAGAAAACTTATTGCAGAGAATATCACACAAAACACTTGGTTCGAGAAACAAAAAAATCAAAACTTTCCAGTGCATAATCTGGTTTCTTCCTTACTCAAAAACGCCATGCCATGGTATAAGTGCATATGTACATAAGTTTATGCCAATCCCTACAATCCAGTCTCTTCCCCCCTTTAACCGTTCAATGTCTTACAAGATTATTTCTCTTTTCTCTCTCCCCTATTGCTTCATTCCATATCTTTGATTTGTCGTAGCTCGTATATCTTTTCACCCCCCTTCTTCTCTCTCAGCAGTCTATGATAACTTCACCTGCCCCTTACCGCGGTTTCTTGTGATCCACCTGTTGTGTTGAGAAGGAGCAGAACTTGTCCTTGATTGCAACAACTTCATACGTACCCTCCTGGCTAGCTTTGACAACCTTGCTGTGGTCATACGAGATGTCATGTCTAGTTTCGAGAATGACGCTTCGCTGTCCCTTCTTGGCGTTGCTGCTTCGTGTGTAGGTGAATTCGAACGGAGGAGTGCCCCAGAATTCGAAGAGAATATCCACCTCGTTTCCTTCATGGATATCCACCCGAGACATCTTGCCACGGCTAATCTGCACGCTAGGTAGAGGATGGATTGTTACAGGAATATTCACAGAAGCGCGACATTCGCTAGCCTTGTCAGAGATGCTGGTAATAGTAAACTCGCCGGGCTTCTCGGCAATACGCCTGAAGCTAGTTGTATGCGATTTTGCATTCCACTGGCCGTTGAAGTCATAAGCAATGTCAAATGGCGGGGTGCCAGACAGGGTGTACGCGATACGCTCGCCGATGCAGTAATCTTTGCGTGACTCCAACGGATATATCGAAGGGGCATCATACAGTTGGATTTGTATAGATGGCCCACCAACATCATATTTCCTCTGGCAGCCTCGCGCATCTCGGACAGTGCGAAGGAGCAGCTGCTGGTTGCCCAGGCGCAGATGCTGGCGTGGAATAGACATGCCATAGTTGTTGGTCTGAATTGCGGGGATTCGATAGGTTTCCGGGGTAGATCCAACTTGATGCTTGATTTCCACTTCGACGTAGAAGGGTGGAACACCAGTAAGTGTGATGGGGATCACATCTTCTTGCTCTTGCTCTTCTAGGCAGTACTTGAATGTTTGACCTGGCTTGCCGAAAGCGGCAGTAGGCTTGGCATTTACGCGCTGCTGAACGAGCAAAGGAGTGAAGTGCTTATCGCTGTTGTAGAGGTTATCTGCCAATTCAGAAAACTTGTAAGTGTAGTCGCCAGCTTTGGATGTGTCCATAGCAACAGCCGCCTTAGACAAAGCAGCATCAAAGCGTCTTTGGCTAAGGGAAGCAGCACCCTGCGCTGGCTTGTGTCTAACTTCATATTCAACGTGGAATGGAGCCGATCCTATGTTAATAAAGTTAGCATACTGCGCAACTATTCGACATATTATTCCTTGGGAATATAAACTCACCTTTGAGGCTGATTTCGAAGCCATCGATATCGCCTTCGCAAATTTCTTGTTTAACAAACACGCCAGCTTTAGACGACGTGATGCTGTTGGATGTGACAACGGATATCTCTGGCCTGGGGAACCAGTCTACCTCGAATTTAGAGGCTGTAGGCTCAATAACACCGGGGCATTGCTTGTCAACGATATCAACGAGCTCATAAGTGCCTCGCGACCGAACCAGAAGATAGTCATTCGGTCCGTTTATCGTCTTAGTGATAATGTCCGAAGGTCCATCCAAGTTTCGATAAGAAACGGTCCACGGTCCTTCACCTTGGAGACGAAGTGGCAGGCGAAGAGCGGTGTCCTCAACAGCCATTATGCTGTTCTTCTGCTCAATCAATCCAAAGGCGCCCCGTGGCCGCTGGCGACGCACCGAAATCTTCATCTGGTCTTGCAAGAAAGTTCGGCATCCGCGTTGATCCTGAACACTGCTAAGAGCAAGAATATATTCTCCACCCTTAGTAAGTGATGATGTCTTGATCTTAAAGTGTGAGTCCTTGATATCCGTTGCACGTGCGGGCTTGCGTTTGCCATCGTGGATGATTTCCCACTCTAGGCTGAACGGCGGCTCTCCGGCAAGCACGACATCCACATCCACCTCAGACTCGAGACATGCGCTGATTGTCTTCTCACGATTCGAGATATATGCGGATGCAGCCGGCTTGACCACCTGCTCCAGGACTTTGTCTTCGCCTGTCAAGGGCAATCCGGTGTATACATCATCGTCAATAGACCTAAAGATGTACTTGTAACGCCCAGCTTTGCGAGGAACGAGTTCAATCTGAGACCTCAAGGCATCTACGCGATGGGCCTGTTTCTCAACATGGCCGTCGGAGATGACATCGTATCGTACGGTGAATGGGGGTGTGCCGACGAGATCGAGATCGACGCGAAGACCAACAGAGTTGCCAGCACATTTGTCCGCTATTTCTTCCGTTCGGATAGACAAATGAGGCTCCAGCGGGTTCAACAGCAAGCAAGAAGAAGGTTCATCTACTTCACCCTCGCAAGATCCGCTCGAAACAGACTTCAGCGTGTAGAGACCAGGCTCTGAAACTAGCGGCTTGTCCATCGAATTCTTCGCAGAATGCCTTCCAATTGATACCTGGTCGCCGTGATCGCCGCTGTTCGTTATTGAATCGATGGGTGAGAACTGCCAAGTGATTTTGTGAGAAGTATCCTCCACGCGGCCAGTGAGACCAAAACTGATGGGCAGCTTGGCGGCGCGACCCTTGGCTACTCTGAGGGGGTTTCTCAGATCGCAGCCTTGCATGCGAATCTTGGGCCGTTCCTTGACGGAAAATCGTTGAGAGAGCCATTTTGTCTTTGGCGAATCCAGTTCCTCATTTGCGTCCGCATATTTGACGGCATTGCCGAATGCGTCGTGAACTTCTTCTACCAGATATTCCCATTGTCCAGCGGTGGCCATGGATTCGTTTAGCTTCACTGTTACCTTCTGAGGTTTGACCCAAGAAACGTCATCGCCATTGTCGAAGCCTAGACCGGAAGTGCTGATAAGTGGCGAGGTGAAACCTTCAGGCTGCAAGCTTTGAAAGTGGAAGGCATGATTCTTGCCATTAATCGACCGCGAATATTGTATCTTTAGTGGCGGTGTTCCAACAACATCGAGCGATAGGTTGGACAAGTCACGAATGCACCGATCCGAGGATTCAGCGGTCTGAATCCTGGCCTGTGGACAAGGCACCACATACGTATCCCTAATCGGCCTCTGAACCTCAAGCTTGTATTCATCCAGCACCTTGTTCAGTCGATAGACACCCGGCTTCTTCACCGGATATATCCATTGGAACGGAGCAGCATCTGGATCCGCGTTGTTTTCTCGAATCAGCTTGGCCACCTTGTTTATTTCTCGGCTCGAAACCTTGATTATCTCTTCCTTGCCGGTCTCAAGATCGAGACGTAAGAATTCGACTTCAACGGGTACAGTGGCGTTGAAATAGATTGGAAGAGCGACTTGGCTTTTGCCTGACAAGCAAAAGGGCGAGTGGTCGGGATTGAGGACGGCAGAACCTTCTGGAAGAATGTTGATGATCTGTTTTCCCATAATCAGGGAGTTGTTGTTGAGGATGTTGGAGACCTTGACGTGGTGCTCTGAAACTGAAATCTCGCGATCGTAGAGGACTTTGGCAATGCCGAGGAGCCAAGGCTGTAGTGGAAGCTAGAGCTCAGTTAGCAATAGAGCGTATGGGATGGGAAAGCCAACGATGTATGTGAAGCAGCGTACCGGAATATTGAACATGAGCATATAGTTAGTAACCACATGTGACGCAAAAACACCAATCACTACCAGCTGGGAGAGCTCCAACCAGGGAATCCGCAGCTCTGGAAGCCCGAAAATGAAAGCAAAGTCGATGAGGATCCATTTCATGAACAGCCACCCAGAGCCATTGCCGTCCTCTATCACCTGTAGCCAGTCGTAAAGCTTCCATGCCCACAGCAAGATGTAAACAGCAAAGGCGTAGAGGCGTTGCTGTGGTGCATCGAGAAGCGTCAAAGGAATCACTGGAGCGTTGCCGGCGCTGCTGCGAGGCGCTGCACTTTCGGGAGCTGAAGGAAGCTTCGCCATCCTGTTCGACGCGGCCGCCGAGATGAACTTTGATATCGCTGGTGGTTCATCGTCGTCGTAGTCGGTGCGTCGTCTGTTGGCGGGATATGGGGTTGACTGGAACCCAGACCGCAGGCGAGAAGGCGCGCTCATCGCATTCCGTGGTGCTGTGAGACTCTGCACAGAAGCATCGGTAGATTGAAAAGGATCGCACTCGAAAGGCCTCTGCGCGGCTGAGCAAAAGCAGGCGGATTGGCGCTGTTCTAGTGCCTTGCGTTGTCGCGTGTCTTGGATTCGGGTTTTTCAACAACCAGGACCTGCTTGGTGTTTGGCCAAGTTTACATAATTTTTCGGTGGATGCCTTTTTTTGGGCTCTGAAATTCCGACACGTCCAGACGCGACTTCTGCTAGCCCGCTGAAACAGGCTCTGAAGCTGCTATTGCGGGGGGGCTTCCAGGCCTGGCACTCAGTGGCTGCGCTATTCCTCGTGCGCTGATTGGGCAGAAATGGAGATCCCTGGATGGGATGACAAGCAGCAGCCTTGGGCTTAGAGCTCAATCCCTCGGCCACGAGGCTCAGTAAAAGCTTCAATATCAAGAATAGCCAAAGACTTTGTTTTTACAGCATGATCGAGGTGGCAATTCTGGATTGATTTTGTTCAAACTATCTCGAAGGTGCAGATCCGCGCGGCACTTTTTCGTCTTCTACGACATTGCCTGATAGCTTCCTCCCACCAAGATAACAGCGCGTACCTATGTACATGTACCTGTGCAGATAATACGACATCTCTCTTAGCGTTTCCCTCCTATTGGAAGACTTGGCTACATCAATCATTCGGTGATGAAGAGGCCGAGTATGATTTGCAAAGCCTAACGAGTGAAGCGGCTTTCTTGAGTCTCCAATTCGTCTCACAATTTCCAAGATCCACTGCTCGCCGCCAGTGAATTGGTCCTTCATGCTGCCATGGCCAAGAGCACATTATCTAGGTGTGTCAGGTAACCACGTCCCTTTGACGATATACTACCTTCCAAAGAAAAATATCCCATACACTTCCTCCTGTTGCGAATATCGCTCAATTCTCAACATGGCGCATACATGACAATGCAAATGCCTTTGCCGAAAGTTGTTTATTACGTCGTGACCGCATGGTGGCAAATGAACCAGCTTTGTATCCTGTCAATCTTTGTTCCAACTTTCTCAAATTCAGTCCGAGCCCTTCTATTTCTGCTCCGAACAATTTATCTTTCTTTATCTTTTCGTGGAATTCTAAGTTACCCCCGCCTCTTTTGTCTGCTTATAAAGCTGCTGGAGCTATCTTTGAAACTTAATCACTGACAACTCATTTGTCTCTCCATCTTCACGTCTGCCATAATACCTTCCATGATGTCTAACTTATCAAAAATTAGTGACCCGAGAAATGGAGACAATGAGGCCCCTGAAACGCCTCTTCGTCGATCATCCCGACAAACGCTGGCCTCAGCAGTTGACAAAACGCGTGAAGCATCGGCTGAAACCGCGTCTACGAGTAGCTTGAGCGAGCCGCGGCGAAATCCCAAGCGCAAGGCTGCTGAGGTTGCAAGAGAGTCTATAAATCTTCCGGATAATCTGCTTGATGAGGCACTACGGCCTCTCACTCCAACAGATATTGAAGAATGGGAGGGTTGGGTTGAGCTCGAATCCGAACCTGTAAGTTTTATCCATAGGCGTGTTGCTGCTTATCATCAAGATTGAACATTTTAAACTTGTTTGGCTTCATTGCACAATTTTTACAAAGTACTGATATATTTAGGCATTCTTCAACGCTATTCTGCAAGACTTGGGCGTCAGAGATGTCAAAGTTCAAGAGCTTTTCAGCATTGATCAAAGCTGGATAGACATGTTACCGTAAGCATTTGATCTCTTATTGCTATCGAAAACTAACAATGTGTCAGAAAACCAGTGTACGGTTTGATATTTCTCTTCCAATACACTCCCGAGTGGGACGACGATGAGGGGGAAGATGAGACTGGCTCATTATGGTTCGCTAATCAGGTAAAATGGCCTCTTTATGAATCCTTAGAGCCGTGTATTTACTGATCTTCGTCATCTTGAAACATGTCAGACTACCAACAATGCCTGTGCTACGTTTGCTCTGCTCAACATTGTTATGAATGCGCCGCACGTCGAGCTAGGCGACCAGCTTCGGGAGTTCAAGCAAGCAACTAAAAATCTCAGCACTGTTCTGCGAGGCCACGAAGTCAGTAACAACAAGTTCATGAGAAGCATTCACAATTCTTTCACCAGGCGCATGGATCACCTCAATGCCGACCTTTGGCTGGAGAATGCGGTATCAGATACCAAAACAAAAAAGGCAAAAACGGCATCCAAGTCGTCAAAGAAAACCAGCAAGAAGAAAAGAGCGGACGACGCTTATGGATTCCACTTTGTTGCATATGTTCCTGTGGATGGGCATGTTTGGGAGCTCGATGGGCTCCAAAGCAAGCCACATCGAGTAGGTGAGTAAAACAACCCACAAAACGCAAACAATCACATGAGAAGGTAAACTAGCAGGCTAACCAATCTTCGTCATCTATCAAAGGCCCAATTGAGTCCGACGATGTCTGCTGGACAAATATCGCAAGGCCTCAGATTGAAGGTCGAATATTGCAATATGAGGAAAGCCAAATTTCCTTCAATCTCCTAGCACTTTGTGGTAGCCCCCTGGCTCTCCACTCTCGCTCCATTGCTCAAACGGTCGCATCTATACGCCAACTTGATGAGCAAATGAAGCACAACGCGGAATACGCAAAGCTGCTAGATGGCGAGAAACCCGTCTTGGATTTGACAGACCAGAGTCAGCTATCTGAGTTTAGTCTTCGTAAATCAGATATCGAGGATGTGACATTACCAAAGTCGACACAAAGCAGGATATTACATGCCACGAAAAATGTCGATGACGCTTACGACCTTCGCCAGCAATTCGTCGTCGATACAAAGGTTGCAATTGGAGAACATAGAGCTGAAATAATATCTTTGGCTGAAGATCAACAGAGAGTCAAGGATCGCAAGAAGGACTACGGACAGGCATTACACAGATGGGTACAGAAGCTCGCCGAAAAGGGAATTCTGCAAGAGGCCATTGAAAGTTCATAGAGTTGCGTGCATGTCTTGGCAGGGATGAGAGCAGGGCTGGACACGGATGTTGAAAAATGATGGGTGTTGAATCGATCATATCGATTCATATGGCATTCAATGCAAGACGAATTAAGTTGGAGTACTTACCATACGATACACGTGTGAAAAATTAGGATCAGTCTCAAAGGTGACCCGTAAAAGAGAGAATATTGCTAACCGACCAAGTAAGTCATTGCTGTATATCTAATCTATCCGCCATTTTTTTTCTCCCTGGTTAAGTTCGTGAGAAACCTGCGAGATGTGTTTTACTTTCCAAGCCAAGCCAAGTCCAATGAGGAAAAAAAAGAAATCCAAACACCAACGAAAAGGAATCCAATTATTGTCAAGCTCACAACCGTAAATCTTTCATAACTGACTCCAGTTTACCATCATGTATCTCGCAATTGAAAGGGTATATATTTGTAATTGTCAAAGCGAAAGAGGGAAAGGGAAGCCTTGTTGGGTCTAATCCTGTGGAAACTCCTCTCGGATGTTAGAAACAAACTTGCAGGCAGCGGCATCAAATCTTTTGAAATATTTCCCGGCCGTAGGGAACATGTCTTCCGTAACTAAAGTAGAATCAGAGATGGTGTCGATGTTACGAGCAGATACAATATGCGGTTCTGCCTCTGCAGCAGCTCTAGGGGAATGTTAGCAGGGTACTAGACATGGCAGAAGTCGTAAATCAGAAAAGGGCAACTCGGAAACTTACATGCAGCTATAAAAGAACCCATAGCGAGAAGTGCCGGGTGGAATAGGCGGACCATCTGCTGGGTCCTCGAGACTGAGGTCAAAGTAGTTCGATCGCGATGATTTCCTCTCATCCCAGCTGGTAATGACGCCAAGCCACCCATATCGACGATGCCGGAACACTTGGCCAATTTGAAGCCCGGGGCCGCTCCGGTTATTGCAGCGATCCCTTCGGTATACAGGCGGCGGTATACCATCGAGATCACGCATACCTTGCCAAAAATGCCAGGGGTTGATAGGGCCACCAGGGCGGGTGTGGTGGCGGCGGAATCCATCTCGCGGGGTACTGATAACTTCACAGAACCGTGGCCACAGATATTTCTCAACCAGCCAGGCGTCTTCTGGGTAGACATCGGGGAATCGTTTTAGAAATTTCTCCAACCGGTCAAGCCAAGTCGTCCGGTCTGGGCGATTTAATATCAGCATTGCCCACGATGCAGCGTACGAGCAGGCCGTAGCATTCGTATGGCTATTTCCGTTCAGGAGCTGGATTGCTCTAGGTGCTAGCCGATCGTGCATATTTGGTATCCCCAAAGAAGCCGAAATGTTGTGTGCCACTCTTATTGCCATTCTTGAAGCAGGAACCGGGGTGGTGAACTGTACGGTATGCTCTGCAAAGCCTAGCTGGCCCAGAATCGATTCAAGGTGAGCAAATCGGACTTCATCGTCGCTACCATATGGATCGAGAAACATTCGCTGAGACGAAGGATCTGATTCGCCAGCAAGGTCCCCGTCCAAGGTATAACCAGTCGGTGCAGATATGATGGCATGTACATGAGATGGAAATGAGCAAGAGCTAGCATCGATCCCGAGTCGTGCTGCCACACAGCAAAATATGGCTGCAGAGACGATAGGAAGAGAATCATGGTCCGGATCGCGCAAGGCTTGACCAATAAGGCAATTTCTCAAGTTGCGGTAATCGTTATGTGGATCATTCAACCCCGTGAGATTGCGAGCGCGAAGCCAGCGGACCAATGTCAGGGCCTTTTTTCGAGTTGAATAATTGAGAAACCCTCCATGGCTGAGCCGAAAAGAAGCGGCAATATCATCAAGCATCCGCGCAATCTAATAGAGTTAGCGATACATACGTATCCTACAAGAAGTTTGGGGCCAGAACATACATCATCAAGATCACCAGGTTGGTCATGTAGGACGAAAAGATCGAATGCACCGAGAGCCCTTTCAAGCTGCCGGGTTTTGAGACGCAACTCCCACGGTTCAGAGGACTGCGCGATTGAATCCCATTCTTCAATGGCCGCGTGCTTATGAACCGCATCTAGGACCCTATTGCTAAAATACCTACGCCTTTGTGTGAGATTGCATGGCTATTTAAAACGGCAACTGGAGTAGAATGTGAGCTTTACCTTCTCGCTATCCAATCGTCAGCAGTGGTGGGTGCTTGGCAGTTTTCCAAGAGAACATCCTTGGCATCATAGCCGAGCCGACTTATAGTTTCAAAGCCTCGGCCACGGTGGACCTTGGTTCGAATAATTTCATCCAAAGTTCTGGATACTTGTTTGTTGACGCCACTCCTGCGGATATAAAGCCATTTCCAGAGAGTCCTTTGAACCTGAGCTGCTAGCCTCTTTTGAAACCTGTGGTGTGGACTCCAATATTTGATAGAAGTGCGGCAGTGATACTTCCAGAGAAGCGGTTCATTGGCAAGACGGTAGAAGCGACGCGACACGAGCTGGACGCCGGATAAGTTGTCTTCGGGTGAGAGATAATAAAGAACGTGGCCGATAATCTCATCAGGCATCTGCTCAATTGACAAGGCAGCAGGCCCATTGTCATTGATTTGAAGGTGCTCCATAGCTGCTGCAGCGCTGGATCTAAAGATGTTATGTGAGATGACGCTTTTTGACTGCTGCTAAAACGAGAAAAAGCAGGTCTCAGCTGTGACGCGCTGCATCCATCAAAACGATGTTCCTATCGTTGCGACAACGCTGACAGCTGCAGACTCTAGAGCGTTATCATCAATACAAAGACAACTTCTGTACTTGTCCACGCCTCAATAGATAGAGAGAGCACAAGTTGATTAAGGTAGACAAGACAAACCTTGTCATTTATTCTCGGACTGCGGGCAGAAATCTGGGGCCGCGATGATGGAATGCCCCACAAGCGGTAGATACACCTATGCATCTATCAGCAAATGTGCAATAAAGCGATTTATTTTGGCCAGATGCGGCGTTTACGGCGGATAAATGGGGTCGACCCGATTGGCTTCAGCCGCAAAGCATCGACCTAGGCCTCGCTTTGGGCGTTAATAACTCTCCTTGCCCGAGATCATAGTGGAGAAGCTTGGGGTTTATATGATGGAAGAGCAAAGAGCTAATGAGAAAGAAAAGTACAGACTCTAGGTATATCCAGAGTTGATTTATATTAACCTCAAGGATCAGCATAGACTCGAAGTCCCCCACTACGAACAAGCTATCAAGTCATCCGCAGCATAATCGATCCTGGCTTCCATACAATCCGTGAAGATTACTCTGTAGATAGTCTATACTGCCCATGGTTTTATAGTGCGTGTTTCCATTGCCCATACAACATGGTGTGGTTACAATCTGTACGCGCGCCTATTCGCATATAGAAACATTTCCCGTCGCTATCTTAAAGCTTCTTCAGATGGCTAAGACGCCAAAACCCGTATTGCGTCACTCAAGAGTAAATAGTGGTAAAGGAAATTCGCCGTAACCATGAGCAACGCACAAGGCTTGTGTTATGATGGATTAAGTTTTAGACCAGCCAAATTATACCAGAACGAAAGAGAGGGATTCCATACAAAAAGAAGTAGTAAATCAGAAAGTTAGAATCGAAGCTATCTGTAGTGCACAAAGCTTCCAGAGAGGGGCCCCTAAAACGCTGAGCCGTTGTGCGGCGCTAGTCCCAGGCTGGCAAGAATGTAAACAAGACCTAGCGCGATGCAATAAATGTCAACCGCTGCTTCTGCCAATGCATCTCAAAACCTTCAACACACCCCGGCTCATTCATTCTACGCAACTGTCTCGAACGTGCAGAATCGGACTATACAGACTGTGCTCTGCTTTTAACCAAATATCACTACTCTATACATTTCTTACACCCTGCACTATCCGAATTCAGACATTGCCCACAGAGCAACTCTACCGTTATCACCACCACTTGCGCCCGAATCAGCTGTCTCGGGATCAGGCATCGCCCTCGGTGCCCGAGCTAGCTCACATCGCGTTCAAATCAATCTCACATAACCCTTCATCGAATTTTACATCCGCCCTCGGGATCATCTCCCAGACTCGCCGCCACAATGGCCCATCAAGGCTTTGGCGGCGTGCTCGACACACCGCAAAGCAATTTTGGCGACGCGACATACCTTAGCCGACAGCCCGATTTCGCAGATATATCTCAAGAAGCATCGTTCTTATCCCCTGAAAAAGACGGTGACCTACTACAACAGCTTCGCAATGGCGGACGTTCCAATGGAATCAACATCAGAACACCCCGCCAAAGACCAGCACTTGCGGACCGCCGAAATCTGCCATCAAACATTGGAGGAGGGGAGTTCACCCCGTTACTCAAGTCTGCTACAAGGAACAGCACACGGAGGAATGGTAAGGAGAACAGTACTACTGTGGCCGCCACACCTGCAGCGCTACGGAATTTACTTGAGGACGAAATGACCCCCCTTCCCCGAATAGATGGTTCCGCCTACTCAACACGCAATGCGTCGTTCCTAGACAACGACTTCCCACCAATCGCCAGCAGTGCCAGCACAACGCCAATGGGCCCTCCGCCGCGCAGGAATATATTAGACAAAGGTCCTCTGCAAGACGGAAACCAATTGTCACTGCGAGAACAGGAAAATGTTATAGACAAGATCGAGAAGGAGAACTTTGGTCTCAAGTTGAAAATTCACTTTCTTGAAGAGGCCCTACGGAAAGCAGGTCCTGGGTTCAGTGAAGCTGCCCTCAAGGAAAACACGGAGCTCAAAGTCGATAAAGTTACTATGCAAAGAGAACTCCACAAATACAAGAAAGACATAACAACTGCAGAGCGTGAGCTGGAAAGTTATCGTCAACAAATGCTTGAGTTGAGGGAAAAAGCAGAGCAGAAATACGCCAATAAGGACCAGCAAGCCGAACTCAATACTCTGCGAGAGGCCATCCAAGCTCGTGAGTCTGATATCGAGGAGCTACGAAGTCAAGCTTCAAATACTCAAGACCACCAGGAGAGGGTAGAGACGCTGGAAAACAACGTTGTGGACTTGGAAGCCGAGCTTCGTGAAAAAGATCGCATGCTAACCGAGCGAGAAGACGAGCTCGATGATTTGAGAGAAAAGCTCAACGATCTGCAAGAGACCATCCAAGCTCGCGAGTCTGATGTCGAAGAGCTACAAAGCCAAGCTTCAAATAATCAGAACCACCAGGAGATGGTCGAACAGCTGGAAAACAACGTCGTGGACTTGGAAGCCGAGCTTCGTGAAAAGGACCGCGTGTTAACCGAGCGGGAAGATGAACTAAATACTCTGCGAGAGACCATCCAAGCTCGCGAGTCCGATATCGAGGAGCTCCAAAGCCAAGCTTTAAGTAGCCAAGACCACCAAAAGAGGATAAAATCACTGAAAAGCAACTTTGTGGACTTGGAAGCCGAGCTTCGTGAAAAAGACCGCGTATTAACCGAGCGGGAGGACAAGCTCAAGGACCTGAAGGTTCTACAGCAAGCAGCTCGCGACTGGGAGGAGAAAGCGGAGTGGATGAAGGAGAGGATGAACTCTGCTTTGTCCCAAAAAGAAAAGGCCGAGGCAGCTTTAGACGAGCTGCAAGAAGAGATGGCCAACAAGTCAATCATGACCAAGGGACTGTCTCGGCAGATAGAAGAAAAGGTGACTCGGCTGCAGGAAGAGCTTCGGAAGTCTAGCGAAGAGTATACTGCTCTAGAGCTGGAGGCGGCTCAACTCAGTCAGGAGAATGACGAGCTCAAAGCGACTGTGCAAGAGCAACTATCGCTGCTAGAAGACGCTACGCACAGTCAAGAAGAGGTCGCAAGTCTCAGGCTTGACCTTCTCGAGCATCAGCGCTATATTGAGGAGCTGATCGCGTCTGAGGCCTCCTTGAGCATGAAACTGGAGCAGCTAAACCGAGAGCGATCTCTGGCGGGAAATGCCGTGCAAAGCCAGGAGGAGATTGAAAATCTCAAGTACGAGATGCTCCAACAACAGGAGCTCATCAATCATCTCGAGGCCGCAGAGGCTACTCGGCATAGAGAGTTGGAGCAGCAGCAGCGGCTACGCGCAGAAAACATGGGGAGCCAAGCAGAGATTGAGAGATTAAAGCGCGAAATAGTCCATCTGCAAGAGGAAATCGAGAACATCACGGCTTCCGAAACTGCTCTACGAGAAGAATTGGAGCAAGAGCAGCAACGACAAGCAGAATACGATGATGCGCTGGCTGAGGTTGACACTCTAAAGGAGAAGATTCTCGAACAGCAGCGCTTCATCGATGATATCGTTGCTTCCGAGGCCTCGTTGCAGCAAAAGCTCGAGCAAGAGCAGCAGCGAATTAAGTTCATGCAGATTCGAGAAGAGGCAAATAGGCCTAATCGAAACCTGTTCCAGAGGCAAGAGCTTGTCGACAAAATGATTGCCTCTGAAACCCTGTTGCGTCAAGAGCTTGACCGAGCCCAGCAGTCGCATATTAAGAGCACTAAAAGCGCTTTGCAGAGTCGGGAAGAGGTCGAAAGCCTCAGAGAGGAGATGAGAATGCTCAAAGAAGAGGCAAAAACCCTTGAGGACGACGTGCTTCAACAGCAGGAGCTGATCGACGACCTCATGGCTTCGGAAGCTGCCCTCCAAGAAGACCTCAAGCGCCAACAGGAGCTTCGTACAGACAGCGATACGAACACCAGGGCCGAGATCGAGGCTCTCGAGCAAGACGTGCTCCAGCAACAGGAGCTCATCGACGAAATGGTCGCTTCAGAGGCCATTCTGCGACAAGAACTTGAGCGGGAGCGCCGGAGCCTTGAACGAAAGCAGCAATCGCAGGCAGGCGGCAGCAGCAAGCAAGGCCAGCGTCTACGAGAGAGCCAGGCCGAGGTCGAAAACCTCGAACGTGACATAATAGAGCAGCAAGAACTCATCAACAATCTCGTCGCTTCAGAGGCCGTCTTACGGAGCAAACTCGAGCGTGCGCGCACCGAGCGAGCAGCGTATCGCATGAGCGTGGAGAAGATGCAAAGCGATATCCAGCATCTGAAGAAGGAGGCGGCGGTCGGGACGCACAAGTTGAGTCACCGCTACGGCTACGCTGACAACGAGGCGCTGGATACCATCGTGCGAGCCTCAGAGGGCGCTCAAGTCCGGCACAAGAAGGAGCTTCGCGGCATGATGCTTCAGATGGAATGGATGCAGGCCCGGTGGGAGCGCGAGGCGTCTCTTCGCTCGGACGCAGCATATGCGAAGAAGTTCCTTCAGCTACAGCTCAACATTGCACATGCTTGGTATGTTTACACTTTTCCACTCCCATATCAATTGACCTCAAAACACAACATTTTGCTAACGAACATTATAGCAACAAAGCTCAGCTCCGCGAACTCGAACACATCCGCACCAAGGTCCTCCAAAGCCGCAAGCCTCTCACTCTCCCCCAACCTCCTTCCTTCTCATCATCCGGTGGCTCCTCCTCGCCCAAGCTCAAGACCTTTCTCATCATGGCCCGCTTCATTGCGCGAACACGCATCGCTGCCCGCAACTGGGCCGGTCAAGAAGCCGTCCGCCAAAAGCTCCGCACGGCAATCGAAGAAAAGCGACAAATCAAGCGCTCAAAGCAGCTCAAAGTTGTCGCCGCTGACGTCTATTAGACGGGCGTTTCCATATGTGCTGCGTTATCATTGCCCGCACATGTGATGAACCAGTCAATATTTTTTTGCTCAGGCTGTATATATTTCTACTTTTCTTTCTCTGTCTTATTGATCTTGATTTCAAATCTTCTGGAATCCTTTATTTTCTCTTTCTGATTCCCTAGCGCTTATGATTTATTCTTTCTGTCATGCTTATATGCATAACGGGTATGGGGTCAAGGAACTATGTACGAGATGGGGGGAAAGGGATTTCCCACAAAGTCTGTTTGTTTGGCTGTCTTGTTATTTCTTTTGGGAAGCATAGAGTGCAAACGCCAGGTTGGATTGGGTTGGCGGCAGTATTGGCGTTACATTGAAGGGAGAGGCAATACTGTATTTAGTTTGGCCTCCTTGTTTGGGATTCAAAGCAAATCTGGACTTCTTATCTTGATGCTCCGCTTCAAAAGTTTCTGCGCGTTTTCGTATCAGAAAAGAGATCAACGTGACAAATGAGTGTAAAATGAAAACGACTTTTGTGATATGAATATAAGAAAAAGGGTGGAAGTTAAAGAATGATATCTGGTGTGCTAGCCCGAGTAATGCTTTCCGAATATAATTCCCAGGTTACCAAGAATGATGACCGTGAGAGAAACGTGGAATAGAAACGAAAAGGACCAAGGACCAAAGGGAAGAAACAAAGCAAAGAAAACAAAAGAACAATAACCCCAAGAAAGAGAGACCAGTTCAATATTCCAAGTCCAAAGTCCGATGAACCGCCCAGCTTAGTTTATTCCGATGTATATATCACGCGTGACCACATTCGAGAAAAGAAAAGGGAAATGAAAAAAAAAAAAAAAAAAAAAATATTATCTCATATACAAAAGCGATCGTAGCCCACGAATAAACCCATTCAAGCCAATTTTCTTGTTCCGTTTATGAAAGAGGTAAAGAAATCCTTCACATGACAAATAGGAGATTTGTATCTGCAAGATATGTTAGGGAGAGTACTACCCTACCTGACATATATGCAAGGGGAACTTACTAAGAGGGTGGCTGCACGAAAGCTGTGGCTTTTGTGTATATTTTGTAGCCAGTTCGTCTCGGATGCTGTTGAGCAGCTGAACGTAGCTTTGTTGAGGGTTCTTTTTGAGAGCCGTAACAAATGCCCAGGACATTGCGCCGGTGGCTTGTGAGGCGATAGTAGCGTCGGCACTGGAAAATATTGTTAGCTGAGAATTTTCCTGTCTCACATTGCGCTGAGACATGACTTACGATGTTTGGTCATCTTTGCTTCCAGACCACATAATGACATCTGCAGGAGATGTCTTCGTAGCAAGGGTCCTGTTGTGGGCGTCGTCGCCAGTGGTCGCCTTCTTGAAGAAACCGATGATGTTGTTGGCAACACCACCCATATCTCCTTGGCTGTATGAGGAGATGACTCCGAGCAAGCCCTGGCCAGCCTCCTTGGCCAAGTTGGGCTCTTTGAGGATACCTTGTGTAGAGTAGATGTAGGGCAAGTCCAGTGCAGTACCAGAATGACACGAATCGAAGATAGCGGTCAGCCTCACACCTGCCTGCAGGGGATGGACCATGATTCGATGCATCTCATCGTCTGTGATATGTCCATGTTGTCTAAAGTCGACTGGGTAGATGACTTCGTCATATCCATCAGCCTCGTCGCCGTCCAGATCTTTCGTCTGTCCACCGTGGCCTAGGTTTTGTCAGATTGCGAATACGAAGAATTTGGGAAAAGGGGGTAGAAGCATACCAGAATAGTGGAAGAAGAGCGAGTCGTTGGGTCTAGCATCCTTGACCAGCCAGTGCATGGCACGAAGAATGTTTTGCTTTGTGGGCTGACTCATGGGATTTTGTTGATCGTCGGTCAAGATGACCATGTCTTCTCTTTTATAACCAAAATGTTCCACCAGATAAGCAGTCATGTTTCTGACATCGTTGATACATCCACGCAGCTGGCCACGCTGGCCGAAGTAGTTGATACCAATTAGCAGAGCTTTTCTGCGGCCGGTACAGTTGGAATATCGAAACGCATAGTTGTTCGGCGCGCCGTGGCCGAAGCTCTGCGGGCCAGCTGGGGGAGCCTGGGGACCGTTGGGGCGACCCTGGTTATAGCTGTTCGGAGGAGGACCTGGGGGAGGCATGCCTTTTTTTCACATCAGCACGTGGTTCTAGGTCAGGAGTTATCGCACACCGTACCAGGGCGGTTGTTATAGTTGGGCTGAGGTGTCGGATGGCCGTAGTTGCTGTACTGCTGCTGTGGAGGAGGTGGTTGCTGTAGTACATCATATATGTAAGCAATTGTAGAGGCCCAAGCACCATTGCAATGCAATTTCGGAGTCACCATGGAAAGGAGCATCAGCCATACCTGATAAGCATATTGCGGTTGCGGAGGACCTTGATGATAGCCGTAGCCAGGCTGGGGAGAGGGTTGAGACGGATAGCCGCCGGTGTAAGAGGGCTGCTGAGGTCTGAGAAGCGGATAGTCGAGTTAGCATCGATACACAGCATATTCACAAAGAGATCAGTGCCCATATGAGAAGACCAAAGGAGAGGAAGGCGTGCGAGTGACGACTTGGATTCGCAGCTACCGTGGCAGCGTTGGACATGGTTTGGGCAGATATGATGTGAGGTTCAGGATATTAGGGGGAGCTCGTACGGATAGTAGCCGCCCTGCTGATATTGCTGCTGCGGTGCGGCATAGCCACCGCCATTGTAACCTGGGTATCCGGACATTTTCAAAATGAAGAACGATAGACAAGGGATTCGGGCGCGAAGTTTTGTTGAAGCTTCAGCCCGGGCGATTCTCGCAAAGGCAGCGCAAGCAGGCGCGCCGTTGGGTACTAAGATGGCGGGTTGAAGATCGAAGATTGGCTGAATCGATTCGGGCTGCGGTCCGTGGCTATAAAAACGACGGGATTGCGATGGCGGGCACTAAAATAGGCGGACGCGGCGATGCAACGGTCTACAGTCGCAGGCAAAAGGAAATTGCTTGATCGGCGAAAAAGCTGCTTCAGTCCACAGCCGTCGACAAGGCAATCGGCGTTGCTCCCAGCTTATCGAGCTTGGGCGAGAGCACGTGTAGCGGGCGGTCAGCTCCACGGTCGTCAAATCAGCAGACCAGCCAGCTGTTAGTGGACGTCGTTTAGGTTTTGGGGAACCTTGAGGTCCAGATCAGATGGTGCGGAGGCACGCGCGGGGGATGCGGCAGCAGATGCCAGCAATTGATGCGTCTGTCCAGCAAAGATGTCGAGCACTAGAAACTGATAGAGAAAAATTGGTTGATAATTGAAAGAGAAAAACTGAAAAGAACCAAAGTGCTGTGGCCTTGGGAATGGGCCCTCTACCGCTGAGCGTGACGAGCAGAAGGAGGCCAGATTGGAGACCAAGCGCGGGGCAAGCCAACAACAAACCGCCAGGTAAAAGAGCGTTGGTTGGTGAAGCTGAGTCTGGTGGCGAGAGAGGCCCATATGGGGTTTTTGTCTCTTTTTCGCTTCGCAACAAGCCGTTGGGCGTAGGTCGGGTGACGATGAGCTGGCGGTGGTGGTGGGTTGAGGTGGTGGCGGGGTCTGGCGTCTTTCTGGGGCCGCTGCGCTCGATAGTGCCCTGAATGTCCACTAGAAGCTGTGCTGGGGGGTGTAGGTATTGCCAGTAACGGCGGCGCCTGCAGCCTGAAGAGACGGCTAGAGCCGCTGCTTAGTACAGGTACATGTGACAATTGAACAGCAGCAGCAGCATCATCTTCATCCTCTCATCATCATCAACGATTAGTGCCGCAGCAGAGCAGCACAGCGCGCATGGAAGCAGCTTCTTTCCAATGGCTGCCGTGCCACTATTGATCCTTTGGATGGGTCCCGTATACAGAACGAACCGCTCTCTGTCCGGGGGTGCTCGGTGGCGCTGGCACTAGGAGCGCTCGTCGTGCCGGGTATAACAAGCGATGGACAGGGGTGCGTCGACTCGGCCTGCGATTGAAGATTCGAGACGTCCAAAAACATGTCTCGCCCGATGGGTCGCCGGGGTTCAGTTCCAGCTTGTCCAGGGTACACGCCAGGCTAACGGATGAGGGTTGCAGCGAGAGGCTCGGGCTGTATCTCGGTCTGCGGCTCCGACCGCTGCGTGGTCGACAGTCATTGGGCGCCTGACGGGGCTTAAGACCCTTCCGGAGAAATGGTAGCAGCATTGAGGCGTATAAGTGCCATTACTGACGCTGTTGTACTCTTGGGATGGCACGGCAAAGCAAGACAAGGCGCAGGAGAGATGATGCAGACAGATTGTTCCTGCGATGAACACAATGCTGACACACACGATACATACTTGGGTACACATCCATCAAGTACAACGGGGGATTCAGAGGCGGTAGCTGTTCTGTCCTGAATAGGCATAAGAGTGTTCCTTTGCCAGCGACGATGGCGGACTGAACGCCGCCACCCAGCTTCGCTTCCTTGCTATTAGATAAGAGCTGAGGAAAATCAAAAGTGAAATCAATTCTTATTACTACAACGTAGCAACGATAGATGCCGATTACGTCCAAGAGAGGTAAGGCAGACGACAGTTTGGAAGCGTGACTCCGGGCTTTCCCTTCTCTTCCCCTCCGCCGATTTCACCTCGCTTACAGATGGATGATGCCTGTGTTGTGACGGGACAGCAGCTGAGGCTGGGTATAGCATAACCAAAAAAAAATAATTTACCAACTAAAAAGCTGCTCATAGGACATGCGAGCCTCGGTTGAAGGCAAGGGATGGTCAAATGACTCAGTTTGGAGAAGAACAGCCTCGCTGCAGAGCATGTCGTCACCCTCTGACCGAAGCAAATCCTCATCAACACCAATATTAACATCGACGGTGCTGTCTTGCCTATGACATAATCCGCGTATGGACCATATCATCACTGGTATGCAGAGCACCATCCGATGCATCTCCTGCGCCTCGCCGCAATGGCTGGGCCCCCGACGATGGCGCCACTACGGGTTGCTCCATAGACTGTTTCTTTTCCCTTCTCCAACCACAACATGTGCAAAAGCCGATTGCGATGAGACAGAGTAAAAAGCGCTCGGGCCACATTCATTACTAGCTTCGCTATTGGTTCGATCGACGCGGAAAAAGAGCTTCGGCCGGCCACATGGCGCATTTCGCTGCACGGCGGCATTGCCTCGCTGAAACGGAGACCCCGATGCGGGTCATCATGGCTGTGCTGCTGTACCCGTTGTCGAGCTCCATTCTTATTAGATCTCTCTCTGGTACTGGGTACCTGCCCACTCCCAAGGTATTGGCGCGCCCAGCACAGCAGAGTGATAAACACGATTAGGTATCTGCTACCACCCATCTCATCTCGCAAGCTTGGCCGTGACGACAGCCACAGCAACAGCATCTTTACCACCTACTTACGCGCCTGTTCTGACCACCGAGCATGCACGTCACCACACACAAAAGTCAAAAGGGGGTAGCTACTAGTAATATTTGGCAGAATGATGTTAATCAATCTATCGATCAGGCCCTGCGACCTCTGCTCCTTTGCCCAGATGGCGCGCGGCAATTGCCCAAATCGTCCTTGACCAACCGACTCTGTCTCTCGGACTTATCCGCTGCTGCAGCAGAGCATCCGAATACCCAGATGCAACCTTCATCTTTGCTCAGTGATACCGTGCCGTTGTCCAGTGAAATGTAGCAGAAAGCCTGATCCGATAGTAACCAGCAAAGCACAACATCCTCACCGGAACCTTGGCAAGCCAGTAAGATACTAGCGAAGGCCCGAGTGAGCCTCTCAAGGAAGCGGCAAGCATACAGCAGCAAAATTTGATGAAAATTTCACTCTCCAGCTCTCACTTAAACCGCCATAGAGAACCCATGCAAGGTTCCTAAAAGAGCTGAGGCCCATGACCTACCGGCCAATCATGTCGCACAGACACCATCCGTCCGGGGGAGATTAAGCCACAAAGAGCCAGGGAGGTTGTGTCTTTCTTCTCTCTAAGCTCAAAGGAATTTAACAGTTTTCTGGCTGCCGATCGCTAATCGCTTTTCAGCACTGGTCAACTGGGGAAATGGGCTGATTATCCGTGTCCTACGGGTTTGGTCAGTTCGCCGCAGTCCGGATTTGAGAACGGACAGGCTTATATCACTTTCTCGGCGTCAAAAACGGGGTCAAATGAGGGAGAGGAGAGCAGCCACAGACCACGGATTGCTCCGGAAGTTGGTTGCCTAGTATGCAACCAGACGGGAAGGCTGACTGGCATATCCCTTCCACAGTTTCCTGGGAATAGGGATAGAGCCTTGCTTGATTACGTTTTCCAAGAGACTTGATCAGCGTACGATATGCCGATAGATGAACCCTGCAGACACAACTGGAGTGGTCATACATGACTGTAAAGGGAAAGAGGCAGCCCAAAAGAAAAAGCAGTTTCCCACTTCAGCTTGGAAATTTATGCCGATGCCTCGATTTTCAAGATCGAGTAGCTCAGCCCAAGCCACTTCTGGTCTGGCTTTGAAGCTGAAGATGCAGGCACAAGTCCGCAAGGAGCCCGAGGCCATACCTACAGCCCTATGACAGCACATTCAAGATTACTTGTGTATCCATGAAGTAAGTGGGTAAGTCATAATGATATAGTCTAACGTTATCTTATTGTCTAAATCGGTATCAGCACCTCGTTCCTTCGTCTAAACCACCCCAAGTGACATTGACTAGCAAGCTAGGTAGGTAGCATCACATGCTAAAGCCGGGTTTATAAAATTTTGATGATATTCCAGCTGTCCAATTGAGACCCATCTCCATCTACCGCAACCTCTTCTCAAACGCCCTGTACACCACAGGCCCGGCTAACAGCGGCGCCAGAGAAGGATGCTCCTTTGCAAAGTCTGCCAGTCTCACCTCCTCAAATCCTAGGCGAAGGTACCATGCCTGCATTCTCGTTTTCAGTGGATGGGCGTAGCTCGTCGGAACCAGAAGATCCAAGGCGAGAGTAGAGCATCCCAATGACAAGCAGTGATCCTCCACAAACTTGAATATCTCGCGGCCCAGCCCTAGGCCTTGGTGCTTCGTATCCAGAGTAAGCATGCTCAATGTGCATGTGAGTTCTGAAAGTCGTTTGACACACACACATCCTACTAGCTGGCCCTTTTGCAATGTCTCCGGGCCATCGGATGGTGAAGACAGGGAGGCAAGATACGCAACTGCTAGTTCGCCTTTGCGGATCAATTCTGCAACCTCGGCGTCATTGGTACGTACGAAGCCGGTGTTCCAGATGCCGACTTCTGCCTCGATAAAGACGTCGTTGGCGAGTTTTGTGACGGCGGAGACCTCTGAGGGATTCTCAGCTGCGGAGGCGGGAGCGAACTCGATAATGAGACGAGAGTTGTCTGTGCCTGAGGTGGCTGTGGAAGAGGAGCTCATGACCGCCATTGCTGAATGATTTTTTTTTTTTTTTTGGTGTTTCCCTTTTCCTGTCCTTTTCTCTTTCCCCTTGTGCTTAATGTCAATATATATACATAGTTCAAACATATCACCTAGCACACAGAATGTGCTTGGAACGGCGCCTATTGTGTTACTAGCGCTACTGTGGGCGGCGTCGCTTTAGGATTTCGACATGTGCTTGTTGGTTTAAGGGCGCAACAGGGGCCTTAATAAACGCCACGGACTAGCCTAGAATCTGAAGGAATATAAACGGCACAATATATTACTCCGTAGAGGGCGGGATGAGCCATTGGAGAGAGGCTGATAATGATAACTATCACTGGACAAGACAACTAGGATCGACATTTTCTATAAGCACAGAGTATCAGTAGAAATTGAGTACAGCAAAGCATTCGCGCGACAGAATGGGAAAAGAGAAGATTGCATGTTAAAATTACCAGCTATTCATTGAATTAAAAAAGAAAGACAAAGTAAAGAAGACAAAGAAACAAACAAGTAATCTGCATAATTGTCAAGCCTCTTCTGCTTCAGTGATCTCTAAGTATGTTGTAGGGGAGGCCTACAGCTTTTTCTAGCCGCGTTTTGCAGCAGCTGCATGTGATGCCTGATGAGGCGACCCAACTGCCACCTGAGCAATAGGCAGCCTTCCTTCAGCGTGTCAGCCTCTCCTCAGTTCTACGCGCTCAGCGTCTTTCACTTTCTCGTCCTTCCACTTTCCCTCAACATCGCTCTTTCATCTTCTCTAGAGATACCCAGTCTTTGATCTTCAGCACAGCCAGCATTGCATTTAGCTTCACTACTGACTCTTCATTCTTATTCTCTCTATTTTTTTTTCTCCTTGTTTTGGTTTGCCTTATTCCGCTCGCCATGTCATTCGCAGCAGCTCGTCCGCGGACCGCTCCCATCACGTCGTTTGCCATTACTCCAGACAGCGACCAGCCACAGGAAATCAAGCAGTCTCCCGCATACACCGAACAATTGCGAAATCTGGTCCATTCTTCCACTGAGCTCCAGAAAATAGGGTACATCATTTACCAGCTTTCGAGGCAGGATCTGGATCGCAAGAGGCGATGCTTTCGATGCGGTCGCCGTAAGTCTTACATGGAAACCCGCGCATCTGCGTCCAACGATAGCTAATCTGACACGCGTTGAGATCTTCCTCATTCCTTCAAAAACCTTAAGTGGCTGCCAAAGACGCCTTTTCAAGGAGGAAGTGGTGGACAAAGCGAAGATCAGCAATCGAAAAGATTGAAACAGACGGCTATGCCCTGCAAGTATCACCCTGGAAGGGTCTATCAAAGGGTTCGCCTATCCCTTCCACTCTTTTTCCTCCGCTAAAAGGAACAGGCTAACTCATGATTCGCCTGTCTAGAAATGGACATGTTGTAATGGTGCACCCGGGGCGCCTCCATGCCAGGGCCAGGAAGATCACAAGCCAAGAATTTACGGTGCCGGAGAGTTAGAGAAGGAGTGGCGATACTATGAAACTCCCTACGGTGAATCGGATGGCCAGAAAGCGGTAGCAGTCGTCATTGACTGCGAAATGGGCACAGCCTCGACGGGAGAGACTGAGTTGATTCGCGTCTCCGCCGTCGACTACTTCTCTGGTGCTGTTCTTCTGGACAGCCTCGTGTATCCGGATGTTAAGATGATCCATTACAACACGAGATACTCTGGAATTACTAGGCCGCAGATGGAGAATGCGCGGCGTGCGCGAACTTGCCTGTTTGGGCGTGCCAAGGCGCGAGAGGCTCTATGGAAATTCATCGGTCCTAATACAGTAGTCATTGGACACGGCGCCAATTCCGACTTCAGTTCTTTGCGCTGGATTCATCCAGTCATCATCGACACGTTCATTGTCGAGAAGAACAACAGGCCGGTTGAGGAAGACAACAAGGATAACAAGAAGGATAACAATAAAAGAGAGAGCGAGGGCAAAGAGGATGGCAAGCAGGTGGAAGAGAGCCCAGAGGTTCCAATCAGTGCCACAACAGCTATAGATGGCAATGAAGACGGCCAAAACAACTCCAAAGAGAAAGTGAACCCCCCTAACCAGCCAAGGCAGAGGGGAGGGCTATCGCTAAAGGCGCTCGCAAAAGAGAGGCTCGGACGAGACATTCAACTGAGTCATAAAGGGCATGATAGCGTGGAGGATTCTATTGCAGCAAGAGATATCTTGCACTGGAATATCCTCAAGCTTTTTGAGGATGCAATGCCAAAGATAGAGATCGCATAGAAGCGATGCAGCATAACAGCGCTTTGATAAAGAGCACGATAGCGTCAGCAAAGAAGAGAAGACAGTTAGAGAAATGATTGGTTTGATGGAGAGTAAGATGCAGCCAAGCACAGGAGATACAGTGCACGGCTATTGATTCTCAAGAATTAGGTAGCAGCAGCATACTATGTGATGCTTTTTCCCTTCATATCACGTTTTATTACCAGTTCTTACATGCTGCAGTCAATTTTTTCTGAGCGCATACTTGAACACTAAAACTCAGTAGGAATATGGCTACGATTATGCCTTGTCCGATAGACACTTGTCCAATCGTAGCTCACAGAAACAAAAGTTTCGAGTGATAGCGGCAGGCTGTGCTGCTGGTTGGGCATGCAGCGGAGCCTAATCGAGAAATAGGCATCAGCGAATATGGAGACTTGACCGAACATATGATCAATCCAACATTGCGACTAATGCGTGCTCACAACCGATCTCATAACTCTTGAATATGTCGTCTTTTGACACCTTAAACCCACAGTGATGAGCACGTCTTCAAAGACATGGAGAATCCCCATTCAACTGCGTCGATTGAGCCGGGAGAATTCAGATTGATTGAGTTGGCGCCGAGTGCCGAGGCAGAGACAATCGAATGTCGTTTACGTTCTTACTCTCTGGATGGCGGCTATCCTGAATACGTCGCGCTCTCTTATGCATGGGGCCAAAATGTGAGAGACAAGATTATTAGCCTCAATGGAAGTCGTTTCTCGGTTGGGAACAATCTTTGGTGGTTTCTGCACCATATGCGGCTGCGAAATCAGTACATCAACTTCTGGATAGATGCCGTATGCATTGACCAGTCGAATGTGACGGAGCGAAATCACCAAGTGCAGATAATGCGGAAGATCTACAGCAACGCCAAATCGGTCTCTGTGTGGCTGGGAAGAGCCGACACTTCCTCCGACAGCGATATTGCGATAGAGCTTTTGGCGACAAGAACACCCTGTGAGGCTGGAAACTTCAACGTTGACAATTTCTGGAGCCTGCGTCAGGCCAAAGCCATATTGGCCTTTTGTGAAATGAACTACTGGCGGCGGATGTGGATTATACAGGAAATCATGTTTGCAAAGCAAGTTACCATCTACTGCGGCTCTAAACATATTGGCTGGAATGCATTTGAGCAGCTGGTCAAGCATCTCCAAGCAATATCCGATATAGGACGAGAGCACCAGACGCCTTGTGCATCTTTAATCCTTGCTAGCCCAGCTATTGTTATTGCCAAGGCGAAGGCAGCATGGGGTGGGAATCTTCAACCTCTGACGACGTTGCTGCAGTTGTATCGCGATCACGAGGCTACAAACATACTGGATAAAGTGTATGCTTTGCATGGCCTAGCGAAAGATAGCTCCGATATAGCTGTTGACTATGGGATAACCGCCGATGAGCTTCTCGTCAAGGTGTTGCATCATGCCTATTGTACTTTGGGATCCAGAACTGATATGAAAGAGGCCACAAGATCGCTTGTCCGCTTTGGCGAGGTGATGGCAGGGATTCTGAATGTGGATTGTTCGGCAAAAGAAATCGGGTTTCATATCTCCATGGCTGAGCAACAATGCCAGGACGACGAGGCTAATTTCGTCGAGACTTTACACACCAAATCTGCCGACGTAATCAAGCATACCAAAGACGATACTACCGCGTCGAATAGGCCAAGGCGGAATGCTGACTACTTGTCGCATGACTGGAAAAAGGAAGATATTTGGTCGTCGTGGAGATATATTACTTCCAACAGAGACCAATTCGGCAATAGTGCTAGATTGGAAAACGCATCTTGGAGAAATTGGATGAAGATGAAGAATAATCTCAATACTATATCACCAGCTGAACTGAACTGGTATGTATATAACCTATTAGCATCCTTCGGTGTCTATCAAGTCATATTTAGGCTAATAGCGATGCGTTACAGGCTCAAAGACTATGATACCACTTGGCTCTATGGGCCTCTACCGTACAGTTCCAAGACTGCAAACCCATCTGGCACTGAAAGCTCAAGTGTGACTCTGTCTAAAACAGACTCTGGCCGAAACAAGAAGCCAATTCTAAAAAAGAGCAATGTGCCTGAATTCATGCCACAAAAGCTACTAATTCGCGCGCCTCCGTTGGAGCAGGCTACGGCGACAATTCCAGCTCAAGACAACTATGAGGCTTTGAAGCCTGGAAAAGACAATGTCGCCAGCCTTTTATCTGTTCAAAGAGACAGTCAAGACACCAGTTCTTTGGCGACTTCATCAGGCTCGTCAAATACCACTTTTCCTTCTGCCTCCCTCGAACACAAGCATATTCACTTCAATGAGCTAGTGGAGCAATACATTGCTATCAATCACGAGCTAGATGCTCACGAGTTAGAGGAAGACTATGGTATCTACAATGAAGACAGCAGCTCCAGTGATGATGGCATCATGATGAAGCTAATCCGGTCCAAGAAGCACGTTCTGTATAAGAAGGAGAGTCGGAAGCCTGCCAATACAGATGGCAAGCTTATTGCTAAACTGCCACCCAGCTATCTCAAGTATCGAGCGAACACAACGGAAATCGCCATCGATACTGCCAATAGAGTCTCCCTAGGGGACTTCTTCCTTGCCCTTAGACCGCCGCCTTTTAAACATCGTAATTCCAAAATGGCATAAGGAAATACAGAAGTTTAAGAGAAAAACAGAGTGCGTATTATTATATGACTTAAGTGTTCAGCTTATTATACGTTGAATTGGACGCGTTCATCCATACTATATTTATTCAAGCAACTCTTACAATACTCAGTTAAAGAGCCCTAGGCTCAACGCAGGCCGAAATTCGCTCCCTTGGAGTTTATGAAACCATTATTGCAGACTATTAAGCCCCGATTCTACGCAAAACATATGTGACCACCTGCGATGCTAAATGCTAAATGGCGGAACTGGCAGCCGAGATTGGTACGCGGTGGCAGCATACAGGTCCGCTGAAATAAAATCAGTACTCAGCTTATTCCGACACAGGAAAATAACCGCCTCTGAATGCTTTGGTCGCGCGACTACGGAGATTGAGGCTCGCAAAGAGCCAACCGAGAAACCTAGGGCCAATAGCGCAATATATTTTGCCACGTCTGCATGCGATGCCGCGTTGTCCACATGTGATGGGCTGGTGGCGTATTTAATTGGTCCTCGATAAACCGACGCGTTACCGAGCCTCGTCTTACAGCAGCGCGGCAGGAATACAATGGTAGTGAAATTCAGGAAGGGCGATCTAGCGAAGAACAGAAGCAAAGGTCAAAGTGCTGATGATGAGCGAAGCCGTAACTTGTCTCCTTACGCGACTGATTCTAAGGCTTGCAATCTTTTGGATCTTCTTTGTCAACAAAAGGCTTGTTTTTGAAAGGCCTGTTTTTGGAAGGGAATTGATATTCGCAAAGCAGAGATACCACAAATTTGTGTTGCTGTATCAAGGTTGATTGGGGTAGCGCGGCATATAACCCCTGCTTATTATGCTGCAAGACGCCAGAGAATGCCCTGAGTGGCTGGATAGGCAGATTTTTGGGCTTGCTAGGAAAACAATTTCTTGGCAATTTTTTACACCCCTAGAAAATATATATAGAGATTGGTAGCGGAAGTCACATTGTTCGCTTTGTACTATCGGCATGGTATTATTGGCGGTTGCTATGTTGGTGTAGATATACCTATACATATACCCACAGAAGGATTGTACAAACTTTAGCTCCATGGCTCAGGCATATTCAGAACAAGGTATTGGCAATTCATCCGCTGCTCATCGATGAAGGAAGCTGACAGGTGCAGATCACGATACCTGCTGGGCAGATAATGAGGACATGAAAGAAAAGACCAAAGCGTACGCGAAGAGGGCAGCGGCCATCGCGCAGGAAATGTGCGGGGAAGTAATCCAGCCATGGAAAAATGATGCGCATCGCAGTCCATGGAGACTTCAATTCATTGACCTAGAAAGAGGCTGTCGTGGCCTGTTGTGTGACAACGATTTTGAAAAAGTGCGAGATCTACTACTGGACTGGGAGAGCACTCGGAAAGAAGGTGTCGTGGGGGAGAGAAGCCGCTACGTAATACTCCTCGAGGATTTGAGTCCGAGGATAGCAGAACTATTGGGGGTACTACTGGAGATTCCTTCAGAGTTTTTTCTTTCTCACTCTTACGGATACAGCGAGCTCAGTGTTGTTGATAAACAGTTATTCAAGCGAGGGAGCTCGAGATACTGGAAGGTTGAGGTGCCTCAAACACGCACTATGACTCAAGCGCCAGAGCGTGGTAGCTACAAGCGTTCATGCGGCTCTTTCATCCGTGGTGGTAAAAGCGTATTAGACGATGCTAGTAGTCGGCAACTAGCATTCAGCAGCTTTGTATCCTACTGGGCGAATTCATATGGGAATGGTTCATGGATAGGTGTGTCAGCCCCTTTTGAACGATGTCAAGATCAATACTTACGGAACCATGTTAGCTGTTGTTGTGATGGACCCGCATCCCTCCCACTTGGTGTTTACTCCAGACTCTAATCCAGACGATCCAAGAATAATTCAACTTGAGAACCTCGACTCGTCATATAATGCCGAATATCGCGAAGCCATGCTCGATTCTGCAGAAAATGGATTTACCCAGCCACACGAGCGTTCGATTTTTGATACGGTAGCAAAAGCCTATGACGGTGCACCCCTAGAATTTCTTGATGATCCATTTTCGGCAACCTTCGCCGTTCGCAACTGCATTCGCGCAGTGTGGGAGCAGCAGGTCTGGTGGGAAGAATCGAATGTCCGTGGGCTAGTTTGGCAGAACGTGTGGAATCACAAGATCAGCCGGAGCTCCCGTGCGTCTGAGGATTTGGAAAACAGAATGGCAATCAATGACCACGCTATGATCGAATACCAGGAACTCATGGGAACACAAGGAATCGTGAGGAGACAAAGACACAGCATCCGAGCAATTATTTATAACTTTCGCCCTAGAGATACTTATTTTTTGGCAGAAAAGACTCCCAGATTTCAAGATTATCTGAAAGAAGAGACTGAATCATGGAAGTTCCTTGACGAAAAGCTTCAGTACGCCGAGGAATATCTCAATAGCCATATGAAGATGTACTCTGCTCGCTCCGCCATGGAGGAAACATACGAAGCCAAGATGCAATCTTGGGAATCGATGAAACAAACAAAAGAAGCAAATCGCCAGACGGCCGCCGCCAACCGCATGGCACGAAGCTCCGGCCAACTTACCAAGATTGCCACCATCATTGTGCCCTGCACGTTTGTGGCATCCATCTTCTCCATGGGCGGGGACTTTGCCGCCGGCGAGAGCCTATTTTACGTTTACTGGATAATATCTGTGCCCATCACCGTGGGGTTGCTGTCCTGGATTCTGCACGAGGATATTGCCGGTGCTGTGGACAAGTCGAGAGGCTGGTTTACCTGGAAAAGGCCAAAGTTGAGTGAGGGCTCGGTGAGTGAAGGCTCGGAAGTGTAGCTGGCTTTTGGCTCAGCAAACAAGGCGCATGTAATGAATGACTCGGTTGTTGGGCTATACTATCGACAAATGGTCTTAATTACCTTGACTGATGTATCCTACAGACAGCTGAAGGAGAAAAAAAAAGAAAAAAAAAATGATACTTTTGCATGAGTTAAGCTGGTTGTGAGTAGAGCTGGTCGTTGTTATATCACGAGAACGCCTCCTCAAGACGGCTTCATAGGAAGATACTAATTCATTTAGCGTAGATGCCCATTATTCAGTGTCTAGAAAGGCATCGCCTTTTCTGTATAAAGCATATGCTTCTATAACATTTTACCAGTCTGCATTTGCCTTCTTGACGTTGAGTGCTGGGAGCGGCGTTCCTGTCAACTCAATTCCATCCTCTCTTGCAAAACTCTGGATCTGATAGGATTATTAGCACCAGTTTATCGTTAAATGAAGTAAGGGCAAGAAAATGTATACGAACCATGGATAGTATTTTGATCACATATCCGGAAGATCTCTCGTGCCACATTGTTCCAGGCGGCAGTTCCTCCGGCTGCTCTAGGTTTATCTCCAGCTTCTTCAGATAGTTTGCTGAGCTCCAGACATCCAAAAGGATCTCTACAGTCTTGCCCCATCCCCTGGCATCGTCGAAAAGGTTCATCACCAATTCTACCCGCCGCATATTCTTCAGCGTGTCTTGGCTGATGAACTCGGTGATGTCCATGGGCCTCCCCAGTGTCATCGTATATGGCGGTGGTCTCTGGAGAGTAAACACTTTGAACTTCATGGCTTCTCGCGCTTCGCTGGCAATTTGTCTATTGCACAGGAAGATACCCGGAGTGATCTTCAGCCGCGCCGGGACATGGGGCGTTGGGAGGATACATTTTGGGAGCCTCGTCCTGTCGTGTGTGGCTTCGCCTCGAGCGAACCGGTACTCCATACGTGCAAATATCGGGCGAAGATCTGGATACTCGAGGACAAACAAGTAGATTTCATGGCGGATGTGATACGGTAGTAAGAGAAACGGGGAGACGTGATAGTCCGGAGAATGGGCTTGAGAATGGGCTTGAGGGGCTTGAGAATAATCCATAATGGAGGATGGAATTAATTGCCTTGCTCATTTTTCGTGAGAAAGTGTATGATCACGGATAAGAGGGAGCTGAGCCTGAGGGATGAAATACTTCCTGTATGTAAGGCTCTGTAATGAATAGCGAATGAGAATTGATTGGGATGACGTACATGTAGTAGCTAGCTGACGCATCTTTCCATATTGAATAGATATGTCGCATACGGAAAAATAGGCGGGCATTCGATATGTTATGTTATAAGCAGGGAATATCCATACTTTATGGGTTGATTTTACTCGTGCAATTGCGTTTACGAAACTTCAACGCCACACTGACTTCAATTCCACATAATGACCGTATATCATATCAGCTGCACTGTGCTGATTGGCATGCCGTATTACAGTAAGCCGCTTTAGCCACAGATTTGATCGCTTGAGATTTCTAATTAATAGATACGTAAAGCAAATCTAACAGTGTGCGTAGAGAGAGGCCCAAAAAACACCCGAGCTATGCGACTCTAGTAAAGCCACGTATCCAACACATATATCTGCTGGTCCACATACAAGCTGGGATGCAGACGCCCGAAATGCTTCTATATATAGACTCTTGTTTCCTAGAGCCGCTCAAGCCATTTACCTCGCCGGGCTATCCAAGAGTGGAGGTAGTTACGAGTGTTTTCATTCCGACGCCGGAAATGCCGGTACACCAACACAATGCCCGACAATCTAGGCGAATGGAGCTATTCGCAAGTAAACAACCAAACGAGCTTCGAACAAGAAAAAAGCATGAAATACTTCAAAACAAAGACTGCAAACTCATTCTTTTTTCTTCTATGAGTTTTCATTAGCTATACTTTCTTTATATGCTTATGATCCAAGCTGCTTTTAATTACTACTCATGCCTTTGAGCGTTGATCGTGGAACCCTGTTTATTTATATCCTTTTCTTTGTTATCGCGATTTCTCTCTCCTAGCTCAAAACTGTTTCTTTTCATTATGAACATCCATTCGATTCAAATAAAAAATCTCGAATTCCGCTATAAGTATTGCGGACCTCGCTACAGATTCTGATACCAATCTATACTCTCTACACCAAGTTTGTAGCGACACTGCAGCGCCATGGATGAGCCGTGGGCCAAAGTCACCCAAGTGCAGCTTGGTGCGTCAAGTCATGGTTGAAGCAAGGATATACCTATCTTCAGTGAGAGTGTATCTGGCGGCTCTGAGTAACACAGGACTTTCCTGGCTTACATGTATCGCATATGGCTCAGTATACGCAGCATTCACCTAGACACGGGTAAGTGCTGGTTCTTGTGCAATACAAAGGCATGTACGGTGTATAAATGCCCGAGATCCCTTTCTGGACTTTTCTAAACTCTTCTAACATTAAACCTACATCTTAGCACAACAAGTCACAGCGAAAATGAAGGTTGAGTGTGTCATCTGCGGAGACTACAAGGGGACGATGTCATTCCCCCAGTCTCCGATTACAAAAGAATGTACACATTTCCCCACGACGTGCCTAAGGTGCTTACAAAAGATGCTGCGATCTGAACTTGAGCGAAAACAATGGGAAGACATCAAGTGTCCCGAGTGCGGCGCTGTTCTTCAGTACCAAGAAATACAAAAATTCGCAGACAACGATACGAAGAAGAAGCTGGACACTCTGATAATACAACGTGCCATTCAAGACGAACCCAACTTTCTATGGGTATGTTCTTCTCCGATTTCTTGACTTCACTATGATCGCCATTCTAACTCTTCTTTGCGTAGTGTTCGTCTGATTGTGGTTTCGGCCAGCTTCACGAGGGCGGCAGCGACGAGCCAATCATGAGGTGCAACTCATGCGGCAACTTGACTTGTTTTAAACACAAAAAGCCTTGGCACAAAGGGTTGACATGCGAGCAGTTCGATGAAAAAGAAGCAGCATCAGCACGCCATAAGGAAGAGAATGCAGCCAGTACAAATACCATCAAGCAAGTTACAAAGCCTTGCCCCAATTGCAAGGTTCATATTCAGAAGAATGGAGGATGGTGAGTACTAAACACCTTCATATAATCTGAATGCTTCTCGCCATCATGGTCAGATATGCTGATGTACTATGCAGTTCACATATGACTTGTAAGAGTTCTTTTTTCCCCCCTGCTTCTCCGTATTACATGCTGGACCTTTTGTTTTCGTTACCTGTCTTCTTTCACAAAACAACCGGTACCGAAATCCCATAGGATGACACTAAACTCTACTCTAACATGAGAGCAGCCTTTTAACGATACCGTCTTCAACAGGTACCCGTTGTTTCTACCGATGGAATTGGTAAATGCAGCGATGATTTTAGATGTTGTTGTAGTCGTTAGATATCAGTCATCCCAGCATCTTTAGTCATACATGTATGGTATTACACACATCATTTGTTGTTGCATAAAGCTAAAGAACCAAAACGCAGGCTCCAAATGCTCACATCAGTTTTGTTGGGAGTGTTTGAGTGACTACATGACAATTCTGAAGACGGATAACAGCGCACATGGAAGACAGTGTCCGTTTCATACCGAAAATTTGTCAGAAGCTACCTAGTTTGGTGCTGATGGTAGCCACTATACATGCAGATTCGGTTTTTCTGTTGTTCTAAAGGGGAGATACGATTGAGGCTGGAGAGATTGGATTACATCTAAGCATAACAGTTCAAAGAGATGGTACATAGCGGAGAAACAGAACTTATTCCCATAGTTCCTATGACATTGAATACTACATAATCTACTACGTTGCGGTTTTTTTACCGACAAAGTCAGATCATCTTGTTCCATTGTTCAATGCATTACTGTAGCTTACCTCTTTACGGACCGATCAACTATATTTCTCCGTGCTAACTCAATCTGCCTGCCCAGGTAGGATAGGCTGTGTCGAAGTTGATACTAATATCAATGTTCACTAATTCTAGTGTAATGGGCGAAATAATATCCGAAAAGGGTTCCATAGTGGCCGAAAATCCGCTCTGTATTAACCTGACATGGTCTATTGCGTAGCTCATATTTTTACTACTTGAAAGATAGCCATTGTGCACATGTAAGCCCTGCGAAGTCCTCTATAGACTAGGCCAACTCCGACCCTTGTTAACTGAAAATATTCTTCCACTTATAGGACGAAACCTCTATCCTTACAAAGGGCGGATACTACAGGCAGCAATGTTCTCACAATCCTAGTAACCGTCCCAGCTTCTCGATCCCAGCAATTGCGCACAGACGCTTAAGACCAATTCCCTTGTTATATATCACTAATATATCACTAATCTTTATGAAAAAGACGGTCTATAGAAACGTGAAGCCACTATCTGGAGTTGACTATGAGTCTGACGCAACTGGACAGAGTGTTGTTGCTCCCAGTATATTGCTCTCGTATTTCATACTACTAGTATTCAAAGTGTCCTTGTCACAATTCAACAATTTTGTACAACCATCTCTTTTGTTTCTAATTACAGAACAACTACTGAGCTTGAGTTGCTACACAGGGCCAATCCTGCAACTCCTATCCAGAGCGTCGTTAAGCTATTAGCGCTTACCTGACAGCGGCCCTTGTTACAACTTGCCTTTCCAGGCAGAGTATAGAGTACGCTAGAAGCTTTCCAGATTGGCTATTCCAATACGATGTCGGCGTAGGCGAGACTTTACAGAGTACCTGCATAGCAGTCGACATAGTCGGAGGCTTTTGTTGCACGTTGTTACTACCATCTAGTTCAACTTCCATATCCCATGCCTCTTACACCCCTTGCTCGTATTCCCTGTTACTATCTCAATATCTGATGATCTTTCAAAAATAAAACTCGAATATGACTTAAGAATGCCTATTTATAAAGAGCTTGATCCTGCTTCGGCAGGCTCAGATTGGGAAGTAAGTCTCTATATTATTGCCTTTTTCTTACATCGCCATCCATCATGCGTGCTGTCACGCTCTCTTTGATAGCAGCTCGCTTGCTTCAAACCGCCGTTGCTGATGGCTCAACATTTTCCTGCCAGCCCGGGCAGTCATGCTGGCCTACCACCGCAGAATGGCAAGCCTTCAACCAGACCATCTCAGGGGCTCTACAAGTAACAGTCCCCATGGGCAGCGTCTGCTTCCCAAGCTCGTCCAACTTCGACAGCGGTCTATGTGCCGCTCTCCAGGAAAACTACATGAATGGCACTTTTCGCGAATCTTCCACCGGAGCACTAGAAGCCACAAACTGGGAATCTTGCGGCTCTGCAAACTGCTATCCCGGCGTCTTCGCTCCTCGAGGCCAGACTTGTTCCCTGGGGAGACTCTCTGCGTTGCAAGTCTACGCTACAACTGCTGAACACATCACGGCCACCATTGCCTTTGTAAGAAAGCATGGCATCCGGATGATTATCAAAAACACCGGCCACGACTATCTTGGTCGCAGCAGCGCGGCCAACACTCTTACCCTCAACACTCACAACATGAAGAACATGACACTCGAAACCTCATTCACGGCTCAAAACTGTCCTTCTGCAGGAACTCGCAAAAACATCGCCATCATCGGAGCCGGCGTCAATGCCCAAGAAGCAATGGACTACTTCGAGCAGCGCAACATCATGGTCACAGTCGGCGGCTGCTCAACCGTAGGCATCGCCGGCGGCTTCGGCCAGGCTGCAGGTCACGGACTTCTCACGCCGGCATATGGACTGATGGTCGACCAGGCCGTTGAGTTTGACGTCGTCACGCCCGATGGCGTTTTCCGCACCATCAACGCGTGTAACGATCCGGACCTCTTCTGGGCCATGCGAGGCGGTGGCGGCGGCTCTTATGCCGTCTTGGTGAACTACAAGTTCCAGGTGTATCCCAAGAACCAGTGGGCTGCGTGGCGCTTCCAGGCCAGTTTCAGCAATAGCGAGACGGACCTCACAAAGAGCACGTTCTTGCGAGATTTCCTTACTGAGTTGTCAAATGAGCAGCCGAACTGGTCAGCTAATAATGCTTCTGGCTATGATACTGCTTCAGCGACAGGCATCAATCTCCTTGAAGTGATGCCCATTGGCCAAGACCCTCAGGGAACTTTGAAGCAGCTGACTTCCAAATTCAACTCCTTCCTGACCAGCTACCCGGGGCTCAACATCACGACCAACGCCTACTTGCTCTATGACACCGAAAAGGAGTTCTACGCCGCCCAGGAGAGCTACCTCAGCCAATTTGGAACCGTCGGCATCTCCGTCCTAACCCCAAGCCGCCTCATCACCGCCGACAACTTTGAAACTCCCGCCAGGGTCGACGCCCTCGTCACCAGCTTCCTGCAAGGCATGGAAAACGCCCGCCAGATCCTCGCAAACGACACCACCGGCGCTCTCGTCGACTTCCTCATCCTCAAGACCGGAGCGACCAATACGCCCGACACGCACAACGCCACCAGCGCCAACCCCGTATGGCGAAACACTCTCTGGCATCTCGTCGCGGCTGCAGGTTGGTTGCCGGGAATGCCAGACGGCGGTCAAGCTGCCGCGGCCGCTCGCTCTGCTATAGAAGCAATCAAGGCGCCGCTCTCGGTACAGGCGTCGTATCTGAACGAGGCGGACCCGGATGAGCCTGATTGGCAGGATGTCTTCTTTGGCGGCAACTACGATAAGTTGCTTGCGATTAAGCAGAAATATGACCCTGACACGTTGCTCAACTGCAAGAAGTGCGTTGGATACCTTGGCGATGCGGATCCCATGTATTCTTGCTATTCGGATAGCCCTATTCCATCAGTGCCATATCCGTTTGCTTAACAAGATGCTGTTATGTAGATTAATTGTATATATATCAGTTCATATTAACCGGCTAGGATTCATACTCAAGCTATGATAGAGATTCAGTTTATTAGGATAATGTTTAAAAGGCTCTTTGGATTGCACGACCTTGCGCCTTCGCATTGGCCATGATTTGAAAGGCCAATCTAATGGACAGAATGTTTTCATCAAGATACATAATTATAATCAGAATACCTTTTCACTTGCATTTGAATTGGTTTTCTATAAACTATTATCAGTAGTCGGTTTGTGGCTACATCAGCTACTCATTCAACTTCATTAGAAGAGCCGGATGCTCATAAATTCTCTAACATATAGTGAAGCCTTCATGTTAATAAGAGGGCGGGCCATTGAGCGATATACCAACTTCAAAATGCTACAGCAGGACACATCCTCGTATATTAGCCCATAATAGGCAGCCCATCATGCATCTCACAAACGTCGTAGAGGCTCTCTCATCTTGCCATTGGCATTGTGCTATGACACTTCTCAAATGCCTTCGTTTAATCATTCGTAAATCACTTCTCAGCCATTGCGACCTCCTTATCCTCTGGCTCCGTTCTCATCTGGTAAGCCATTACAGCCCAAAGCATCCGCATGGCTGAAAGTCGCTGCTCAACATCGAATAAGTCGAACCATTTACTTCTCCATCCCTGTACTCTGCCCCAGCTGCGTTGTGTCACATCTGGGTCGGCAGAACCTCCAAGTACCTCCAAGAGACGGTCGGGAACTCGCACTCGAAGAATAGATACATGGTGGAAAATGGAGCTAATCACAAAGATGTCGTCGTAATCAACGCCCTTCTGCCTACCAATTGCCTCGTAGCGAGCCTTTTTGTCCCATGTGAAAGATGGCGGACGAACCATGCGATAGGCGTCGTATATTGACAACGTCTTCCGGGGCTTCTTGGCAGGCCGAACTGCTTTGTCGGAGTCAGTGGGTAGGGCGTCCTTGTCTCCGAGCGGCATATCTGTATCAATTTCTCTCCCAATGGGACCCCCAGTACCCCCACCCCATCTCGGTTTAGATGTCCACCATTGGCCTTCACCAAACCGCGTTTCAACCTTCCCTTCGCGAGCCCTGTGCTGAGCAGCAACGAGTGCAGCTAGTACTTCCCGAGCAAGATCGGTGGACTGTGCCGTTTCGATGTCTGGGGTTGTGAAATTTGTGCCCGGGCGTGCACTTACTACCCCCAGAGGGCCATATACAAGACCCGCACGGGCGGTCTCTCTTGTGGTTGGGCTCTGGAAAATAAAATGGCAGTTGGAAGGGCTGTATGATTTACGCGGGCTTGGATGGCCTTCTGGGGAGCTCAAATGCAACCTAGGCTCATAACGAGCCATGGAAACATTACAACCATAGTCATATGCCACGAGCTTGATGAATGCTGAAATGAGATTTTGTCGATACTCGGGAGGCATTGAACAACCGTCTGATGTCCGTGTTGCCTCGTATCGTGGAGATTCCGGCGAGGTATTGGTTGTATTAGTTTCACCATTCTCAGCTGGTGCTAATTCGGGAGAAGGGGGGAGAGACGGAGGTTGAGTTGGGTCATCCCAGTAAGTGGTGAAGAATTCAAGGCAGCGAAAGAACTCATAAGCATTTCCAAGCCGAGCTTGCTGCTTTCCCTTGGGAGGTGGCAATCGGCGGACTGTGTGGAATGCATCCTCGTTATTGTTTGAGAGCTCCTTACGACGCTCAACGTAAACTTGGCATCCGGGAGACAGATTGCCGTTCCTTATGGGCCGACGCTCTGCTTGATTCTGTTCGCCAGCCTCCTCAGGCGTGAGTCGGTCCCACTTGTCAAAGTCGGGGATAAAGGACGGAACGGGGATGAGTTCCTCTGCTCCGACGTCCAATCTCAAATCAAATCCGATGGCGGAAAGTCCAATTGACCCTGAAGCGGCAGAGACCCGGCCCGTGTACTTGAGTAAGTTTGATAGGGCTTGTTGTGGATCAACAGGGGCATCATCTTGGACGAAAGGCTGGTAGCGAGGAAGACTAATAGGTGTAGGAGGCGGAACGTCTTCCGGGGCTACCTTGACCTTGGGTGGCAGATTTGCTAGTTACAGTTTAGATACAGTGCATAAGAAGGCACAATAGCAGAGGGGCAGATGTTTGAAGTTGAAGCCAAGGCAGTAGCATAACCAAAATATATTGAAAGCAGGGAGGCTATGAGCCAATCTTGGCATAAACGGGCGAAGAAACCAGAGAGGGGCAAAATGAGAGGTTGATCACATGTCAGGTTGCAGAAAAGACGAAATATGACATGGAGCGAGAGCAAATGAGAGATAGCCGCTAGACTTACCCAGGCCAAAGGATCCGAACATGGCTCGCAACTTTGATGAAGCCACGATAGAGCGAGGCGTGATGGGCAGAGCGTGGATGGGGTCAGATCGACCCGGCACCACAACCGTCAGCCCAGATTCGAGCCCGGAAGAGGGGCGCCGTATCGCACCGCCGCCACCACAGGCTGGGGGCAGAGGGCGGATCTCGAGCAAGGAGGAGGCCGTCCGTTTCGGCAGCAGAGGCGAGCAGCAAACCGGCCGGAGTGATGGGGACTCGGGGATGTCAGGAACGCGGGTGCGGGTGCGAGAGCGGGCCTAGGCAGGCGTCAGGCGCCCCGAGTTTCGCTCTGGCGGTCGTCCACCGAGGGATGCGGCTCAGGAATGCGCTCGGAAAAGGCCTCTTTGCGCGTGCTGGACGGGACGAGGCGATGGCAGGAGACGAGATGCCAGCACAGCCCAGGCCGAGGCGGAGAACGAACGGATGACTGAGCTGTCCAAGGGCTGTCCAAGGGCTGTGTCCACGGGCTGGCGAGAAACGACGCAGTGCGAGCGTCTTCAGTGAATGCAGATGGCGGGTCAACCACGCACGGCTGCTGTGCTCCGTGCTCCGTGCTCCGTGCCTGTTCTGGAGAGGTGCTTGCTGCGGCAAGGATAGAAGCAGAGAATCCCAGGCCCAAAGAGGGACAGCCAGCTTTGGTGATCCAGGGGCATGGCGCAGACGAGCTGGCTAGCACAGGGCCCATTGGTCCTAAGGGCCAGGTGCTAAGCAAGCCAGCTCCCCCGCCTTACCGACACCCGCTGGTACACGTATTGGCCTATCAGATATCAGGTATTGCGTGTATATGCGTGCGTGTGCGCGTGTGCGACCTCGAGTGCGACTTCGAGTGCACACGATCAACACCCAAGCGATGGAGAGGAAGAAGAGATGGCGAACAAGCTTTTTAACAGATATGGCGACGATAATTGTGTACCTACTACTTGCTTGGGCAGGAAATGGCCGCAGGTGGTCCGTCGGAGCATTGCATTTCCGGCTTCCGTCACCTGCCGTGTGTAAATGATGTTGGTCGCAGAGCAATTTCCCTCTCCGCGGCACCTACCTTACCTACTACTAGTAGTACTAGTAGGTAGGCACCTACGTAACGCAGCGACATTCTTGAGACAGACAAAATGGGGGAAACGCACGTAATAACACGTTGAATCTTTCACCAACGGCATCCCGCATCCAGTTATGCATACGGAAGACGGTTATCATAGAAGCGTTTCACTTCACCCACCGCTGTTACAAAACTCAATGCGCACTGCCATTGTGTCGCCCGTTTGTTATACACGCTACTGCTGCTACTCGCCAAGCCAATGCTTCATGCTTCAGCCAGCTGGTGGTCCATCCTCCAGTATCCGGTCTCTCTTCATATTCAAGGCGTCCGTGGATACAAGTATTCAAGAAGCCAGACAGTATCACGTAAGCGATTCACAGAGCGGCATAGCCGACAAAGGGTTCAAATATGAGACACGAATGTATCCATCCGTCGCGCCCATGGACGAGCTGGTTATAGAAGGACAACCGACTCATCACTTGCGCCAGCAAGCTTACAAAACACTGCGTTTCGTGATATCCAATATGCTTTGGCTCAGTGCCTCGCTAACACAGTTGACCCTAGTGCAGATCGTCAAATCCTTGGAATGTTTCGCATGCTCGAAATCCGTAATCCGTGTACTTGGCATTTGACAAAGCATCACTCGAAGCCGACCCAGATGAATCCGCGGCAGCGACTTCATACAACACCTCGTACCAATCGAAAACCTTCTATCCCTGCTACCCTGCTCCCCTAGACCCTTAGCGCTGGCCAGGCCAGCAAACGGCGCCTAATCGGGGATATACGCTCAATGGAACGATGCTGCGCAGACGTAAAGTTTCATGATCGCTCCATTTCTCTAGCAAAGTCCAGGTCTGGAAGGGGAACGCCTTTAATGCTCTGGGAGAGAAGAAAGGTACCAAATAAGAAAAGGCGTCAATTCATCCTCTCTCTCATATCAGCCTAAATAGAGCGCATGGCGACTACACAAGTTATTGGATGCATCACAGACGCTTACTAGGTATGTCTCGCTAACCGTTAAGGCCAACACGGTTCCTATTTAACATCACCGTCTTAGTTGAACCAACTGCAAAAACTCCTTATGGACCACATCAAGCTAACGTCTCCACATGATGCAATAGACAATCCATTTATACTAGTAGCCTTTCTCTTCTCTATTCGTGACCCTTTTCACTTGATTCCTTTCGGTCTTCTTGATATACAGGCATGTGCCAAACGGACCCTCTTCGCCAAGCTAGTGCAAAAGTGGCACTTGGCCCCCCATCCAGGATGCCATGATGCTTCAGATTTGTCGCAGAACTGGGGGTCTCAGCCCCTGATACGGAGTGTCGCCTCCCCCAACGCCAGATCTTGTCGGCATAACGCTCGCCTTCCACAGCGCGATGCAATGTGTTTCGTTGCCTTGCAGGAGCTAGGCAGGGCTCTGTTTCTGTGGCCCCCTCGCCCGGCTGCCAATTTTAGGTGGTACGGCCGAAAAGCTGTTACAAGGCGCCAGTAGTAAAGGCGCACGATGCCATATTCTCGTGCCTCCTGTATTTTGCATCAATAGACCTTCTCTGCGCATTTTCCTGCTACTGGCCCAAGTGTGATTACTGTTCCATCTTTCTCTGGCATCTAAACCTCACATCTTTCTCTTTCTATTGCTCTTTGTAGTCACGGTTGGCGAGCCCATTCTTGACTTGTGAATGCTGGCAATGCGTCCTTTCTCTTCGCCTGGTGGAGGATATTAATCGACTGGCTCGATACTCTTGCGAATGCCGTATTCAACACTTTAATTTTTTTTTTTTAATTTCTACGACTATTCTTCAAGTCAATTCCTCATCGCGATGTCGAGCTCTTTCATTGGAGTTTCTTCGACTTCCCTCGATACCCCGAATCTATCATCAACGACCATTCGCAGCGTCAGCTCTGTTTCCATTGGCCCTTCCGATGTCCTCCTTTCTTCTTCTACCAGTACTTTTGCCGCCGATTTAACACAGAGGCCATTGACATCGAGCGAGGGTGTCATAGAAACCGCCCCCAGTACCGCCACAAGCTCATCTCCTCGGGCCCCTACAACTACGGCTTCAGACATGAGGACGAAGGAGATCACTGGGGAGGCTCCTACAGCAACTCCTACAGATGGAAGCTTGACAGCAGATGACGAGACACCTACTACATCCATCATCCCTGTACCGACCAGCAACACTAGCCAAGCAGCGCTATTAACATCGTCGACATCTCCTATTCCAACGAGTGCTTCTGTATCCACGCAAATCTCATCATCAGCAGTGGAAGAGATTCCACAGCTTTCTTCCTCGACCAAAGTTTCATCTAGCGTCATTCCTACAGCTACCCCTTCTACTCAGGCACCATCTATTGCACCATCGCAAAGCCAGAATCAGACTCCTACTCCCAAGTCTTCTCCATCCGAAGCTTCTGCGGCCCCTGAAACTGAAGCCATCTTTCCAACTTCACCCCCTGCACCGCAGGAACAGCCATCGCCCATCGTTTCATCTCAATCAATATCCCCAGCAGCTCAACCCACGGATAATTCAGTCCAGGAGCCTCAGGTTTTCAGTGCCGCAGACGTTGCTCAACCTTCCGAGACCTCGATTTCTTCCTCTTCTAATCCTATTCCCAAAGCTTCTTCCACAGCATCAATACAGGGAGACAATGGATTCTCAGCCCAGGAGGTCAGCCAGCCGACAAATGTAGCTGTATCTGCAGCTGGAGCAAATGCAGCCTCGAGTTCGCCAGCTTCGACACCAACTCCAGCAGCCAGCTCTGTATCACCTGTCGTCCCGGTGTCTGTGGCTGCGCCCTCCTCTATATCAGCATCTTTACCGGCGTCTCTGATTATTGCTGCCCCATTATCTACGCCGCTTTCCGCATCCACCAGGGTAGTGAGCGGGTCTATACCGACCGGAACACAGTCAAATGTGATTGCACATGCCACATCTCTCGTATCAGATTCGACAGATGGCATCGCGGTTATTCCAACAGCTACCAATACGTCTCCAAGCAGCCTTAGCGGAAGCATGATATCGGGAGACAGCCAGCCTACTGGGCAGACAATAGCGGACCCCGTGAGCCCAAGCACAAATCCATCGACTGCCACTATTGTTGGCGGCACCGTGGGTGGTATAGCCGCTGCCGCGTTTCTAGTTGTCTTATTATGGCTCCTACGAAGAAAGTTGACGAGTCGCAAATCGCAAGAGCCGAACAAAGGGGGCTCCTCCAAGCCAATGGCACAAAAACTTGGCATTGCAACGACCCTGGATGCCGTCAAGCAGAATTTCGGTGGGAAACCAGGCGCTCGCAACGTCAACATGAACAGAGGAAACTCCCAGTTCCTCGACGCTGTCACAGTTGAGCCGATGAAAACACCAACTTACGTTAAATCTCAAACCCCCCCTGCTGCCGTCCGCAAAGCACCATCAAAGGCGCGTAAACTAGGTCTCAGCTTTGACCATGGCAAACTGTTCAACCCATTTTCCGACGCCAATGCTTTGATGTCCGGCAAGATACCGCCGCCTTCGAGCTCCATCTTAGCAAACCCATTCACCGATGATAACATGGTTTTGCCTCCTCCAGTCTCTGCTGCGAACCGCCGCCGCTCGAGAGGCCGATCGCTTGGTGGTATCAAAAGCTTCCAAGCTCCAACTGTTCCTGCCCGGCCACACTCTGTGCACCGGGAGTCGCTGCAAAGCAACGATTCATTCGCGCAGCGCCGTGATAAATTCCGGTCTGATCCATTTGATCTAGAGCTGGAGAGTCGGTTAGCCCCAACCCCATCAGGAATCGCAGCTTCAAGCCGAGGCAGCTCTGTGTATAGCAATAACCAGCTCCTGGAGGATAACCGCGACAGCTATACGTCCAGATACATCAGCGGCTCGAGTCTCGGCGACTGGGCCAATGGCCACCCTGGTGCTGGCGCTGGGAGTGCAGCAGGAAGGCGAGATAGCCCTACACTCTCATGATAGACGGCTTCAGTGAGGATCTAGAAAATGTGAGATGCAGGAAGTTATCGAGGCAAGAATGACAAGATCAGCGACGTTGGAAAAAATTGCAAAAGCCTTTTCGGCGGAAAGGCTTTCCTACTTGGCACGGCGCGTCTGTCGTTCACTGCTGGCAAATATTCAGTGACAGACACCGCGTGGAAGTAAAAAGCCGTGTAAAAGAAACCAAGTATATAAGCATGTATGACATATACCCACAGCAAGGGATACCTACCTATGAATATAGACGACTTAGACGAATGGAAAAGAAGAAGAGACTGGCTAAAAAGAATACACTGGCTCCACAGTCCATGCGGTATTGATGCATGATAGATCAGTCCAAATCGCAAAAGACCCATTCGTGGGAACGTGGTGCTAAAGAGCTGCACTCTGAAAATTCCAGGGTAAGCAGCTCTCTCACGCAGAAAGCACTTATTTCTCAATCAAAACCACTTTCAGATAAATATTAATTCCTCTCATTACACCATGTTTTGTAAAAGGTAGGCAGCTGAAAAAACTAGCAAATCGTCTGCTCAGCAAACACCCTTTATGCAAAAAAAAAAAAAAAAAAAAAAAATCATTCTCTTCACACCCTCACCATTTCACTAGAGCTCCCCAGTGGCTTAGAACAGCTCCCAGCTCGCTAGTGCGCCACGCCCATCGTCCAATCAGATCGTCAATCATGGCTGTAAATTGACTTTTTCCCAAACCCCGATCCCTCAAGAAAACGCGACCAAGACGCGGACCGGAAAGTATAAAGAGCTCCGCGCCACCATCAGCTAGGCGCTTTTCGGCCACTGGACGCGTGAAACTCATCAAGATGAACCGCGTTTTTTGTGTGCATGCCACATGAAGTTATATGCGAGCCAAAAAAAGAAAGGTCGTCCAAACCTTTTACAGCTTACAACGTAAGCACACGCCGGGCCAGCGGGACGCGGCCAATACAGACACAACACAATACAACAAGAAGAAGAAAAGTAAAAGTGAGGTACGCGATAATCACAATCATTGACGCGACTAACTACTGTCACAATTTGTTTCTGGCCATGGCCATCAAGGCCTGTCTGGCATCGTACCAGGGATTATTTCTTTCATCCAACCATCCCATTCGTACCCTACATCCACCAAAAGATCCACCGCTGTACACCGCCAGAGGGAGCAACGACAAACAAACAATCATATCAGAGAGAAAAAAAAAAGAGAAGAAAACAGAATTCAACGCCTTGCTCCCTCATGGCCCGTTCCACTGTAAGAGGATCAATTGTCTTCAACGGCCGGCTTCCGGCCCTGCCCTTCTTTTTCAAACCTGGTGTAGCAGATGTTTTTAACTGCAAACAAAGTCCCATGTTCCCACTGTCATCTAATCAAAAACACATAACGCCCAAAGGGGCCAGACATCCAAACAAGAGATTAGCTCCTGCGTTGGCCAACAGCAGAAAGAATAAACGGGAATAGATAGATAAAACATGAAGTTAAAGAAAAGCTGGATATAGTGGGGCAATAAAAAGCGATAGAGCCGCATATGGTGCGAGCATATAGTGTCGTGGTATCATGTATAAGAAGCAAATAGTAGGTCGGGGGCAGTGAGGCATTCCGAATTGCCAGTCACAATTAGAAGGGGAATTGCTTCGTTCATCAAGGTCGAGGCTCATCAAACGTAAGGCGTTTTCTGGTAACACTTCGGGGGGTGCGAGCGCCAGTAAGAGGATTCGGTGTCTTCCAGACTTTTTGAGCCGGGCTCGGGGTGATGTTGACAAAGTCGGCAAAGTCAAAACCCTGGCCCGGCGTGTTGGGGAATGGATTGCCTCCTCCAGGGGTGGTCATCATGGCGGAGGGCAAGTCCAGTTTGCTGTTCTTGGGGGGGGGTGTCGACGGCCGCTCGATCCGAGCCCTGTGCGGCTTCACTGCTGGCGACGGCGAGGCTGCAAGGTACAGCAAAAGATCTGCCCCCTCTTGACCCGCCGCTGTACCATCCGCCTTCTTCCTCAAAGACCGGGGCTGCATTGGTGGCGTGCGAGGTGGAGAAGATCGAACGTTGGCGGCGAACGAGTGCGCAGGCAGCAGGTCGTCATCCTCCTCTTCCGGAGCGGTGAAATTCGGGTGAGCGCTTAGCTCGTTGGTCATTCTTCGCTGCTGGAAAAAGGAGACGTCCGGCCCGGCCGATGTGGTGAAGTGTTGCTGCCGGCGGGGCTTCATGGGAGAGGAGTGAGTGAGCTGATGACCGTCCTTCCATAGAGTATGACCGGCAAATGATTTGTGCATTGTCGGAGAGCCGCGGAAGCGCTTTGTCGGACTCGAGGCGTCGCCGTCAAACGAGGCAAAGTAGGTGCGTTTACGATGCCCGGAGCTGCCATTGCTGGAACCGACCGCATCGGAGAACAAGGGGGCCTTGAGCGGCGAGCTCATGAGAGCCTTTGTCGGATAAGGCAAGTCGGACGCACTCGACGAAGAGTCGGACAAGACGTCGCCCTCGTACAGACGCTTGCGGCGTATCTCCTCCTCCACCTTGGGCTCGATGATGTCGAGTGTGAGGTCTTCCCAGCCATGCTTGGTCTTGAACTGCGCAAGTGCGAGACGATTCTGGAGTCGGCGGGCAATCTGTGTATGTCAAAGCTCCTTTGTTAGTGAAACTGAGATGACTCGGCAACAGTGATGAGGCAGGATGGCATTGTAGCCGCCATTGCCAATGCCAGAGAGAAGCTAGGATGGTAAGTATGGGAGAGGAGATGCATGCATACCTTGCTAACTTCTGCACGCTTCAAGACACAGTCGGCTACATCCTGCGGCTGCTTCTTCAATGGCGAGGTCATCATTGCAAGCCGAAAATTTGCAGGAACGCTCTTAACATATACAGCCTTTGGGGACCCAGCGAAGCTTTGTTGCGTCTGTGGTCTTTTTTGTTTTCCAATGATTGAATATGCTGGCACTCTTCTTCTCTTCCTGAAGATGATCCCTAGGCCTTGATTTTTTTTCAAATGTGGGAGAAGGAGGGAGTTTGCGGATGTGTAGGGAGACAAAAGGCCAGGCAAAGTGTGTGTGCGTGAAGATGGAAAGGTTGTGGAGCACGAAAAGAGCGGCTGTGTGGCTTGGGGAAGAGGGAGGAAGCAATAAGGCGCTTGGGGGCTTTTGAGCGGCTGCGGAGCCTGGCCAACCAGTGAGTCGGTACAGGCGGCCCCTAGAATGGCCAGCTAGGCTGCCGCGGGCAATGCCCAGCTGGTGCTAAGCTTGCGCTACGGGGTGTTGGGCAAGGTGCTGACAGCCCTGGGCTTTAGTGCACGGCCAGCTCATCGAGCGGCGGTCTGTCTGTTGCTCGTCGAAAGAGGTTACCAACGGAATACAGGTTGGCAATTCTGGTAGTTTAATGTTATAATTTGTAATTTACTTTTACTACCTATCAACGGAGATGGTGTATTGCTGGACTGAGTAGTTCAGGGAAGAGAAGATGAAATGGTTTGCGAGGGACAGAAGAGAGACAAAGACGCTGCAAGTCTGGCCCTTCCGCTGTCGCTAAAGTGATACTTCATCTTGTCCCCTCTGAGACACCCAAATGGAGCGGGTCTGCGATGGAGATGAGAGGCAGCCGTTGTTGCAGCTTCGAGACATGTGGATTTTTTTTTTCTCCCCTTCTTTCTTCTTCACTTGTTCCCTTGAATTAGACTCAGACCTTGGCATGTGGTCCTACTGTAAGGCCATTGAACAAATTGCTCGCATTCCTCCACGACAGCTAGTCTTACGAGCTCTCGATATGCATTGGCCAACGATGGGGCCATGAGCTGAGCGCTGGCCTGTTCCTGGTTGGTCAATGTCCCTGGCAGCCATCCGACGTTCGGTATCATCATGCGACAGCTTAGCTGTTTGCGCTCTCCGCTGTATCAATTGGGAAGAAGGCAAGCAAGGCAACATGATGGCCTTTGCTAGCCTCGGGTTATCTACTATGGACCATTCTTAGAGTGTAGCTGGACTTGACAGATTGATGAGTTTGTGTGATGACCATGCCCATTCCATAAAGAAGAGCAAGAAGAACGAAGGAAAGTAGAAAAATGGGGGTTTTTTTTTCCTGACATAGCGGTCGGTGACGACACACCTCATCTCCATCATATTTCATAATCACTGGCGTCGGAAAAGGAGATATCGTGCATATGTAGTCACGGCGACGCCCCTCTTGGCTCCTCAGGGCGGAGCAGTGTAGCTATAGGCCTATTATTGTTACGTTTTGGGTGCTTGAGCAGGGATCTGCGAATATAGATATTCAGATTAACTTTTCTTCTCGATTCCAGGAAATATCGGAAGACGGTGCTGCGCAGTATGCTATGCTTTCTGTTTCCCAACCATCGACAAAGAGCCGAAGAAACAAGAAGAGCTATTTCAGAGTCGATGCGGAGTAGCTACCTTACCATCTCGCAATGCAATCGATTACCTGCTACCCCTGGTCACCTTCTTGGCTCAAGTCAGCAGTAGTAGTACAAGTACATCAAATAGGGCAAAGCGCGTAATAAGCTTGACCATAGGAATTGAAGGCTTCTGGCGGGCAGAGAGAGATGGTTTCTTGAAGCCCTGTCTTCTGCCCCGCGTATTGAAAAGAAAGAAATAGAACAAGGAAAAGAAAAGCTTTTCAGATCATCTCTGCATGCGGACTGCATGAAAGGTGGCTGGTTGATCCATAAATTCACTAGGGAATCAAGCACAGAAGCTGGCGTGACGTCCAGATTGAGATGCCACAGTTGAAACGTTAGGTAGGCTCCATGCGGGCCAATCTCTCGCCTACAGTCGAGATCTGTCTAAGTTTGAGACCAGCGCTCATTTAGGCGAGCTGATGCCACGAGCACTCTAGCACTCTAGAGCACTGAGCTAGACGGTAACTGGGAGAAACGTGATCAATGGGACGCATTGCATTATGGGGGGGAAATTCAAGGTCTTCTCTAGCACAACCAGATGCCTCATATTTCAATATTTCGATCCTTTGCCTCAGTGCCTGAGGACAGGAATGCAGGAGGCGCTGCGTGCCTTGAAGCTTAGCGCCGACCTGTTAGCAGAGCGACTGGAGTCTAACGATTCCGTATCACGCTACCTTGGGACAATCGTGGATCTGTTTCTGCAGGCACTTAAAGCTAGCGGCTCCAATCGGCGATCAGGAGGTGGTTTTGACTGGCCATGCTGAAACTGGGACCGAGGCCGAAAGAATCTGCGTGCTAACGTGAGTCTCGACGCTGGAAGAGACAAAGGAAGAGATTGAGAAGGGGAGCCTTGGGAACCATAGGGGTGGGGCCAGCGATGGGACAGGCGGGGCGATTGTAGAGAGAAGCATGAATAGAAGGACGAATCGAGGTAGAGGCGTTGCTAATTTGCCTATATCCCGCTCCGCGTATAAAGCACGTATTTGTACGGAGCAGATGGCATTTATCCTAATTCTAGATCACTACTGCGTGGCTGTTTGCCCTGGCCAAGGACGTTTGCCCCGATGCGGCTCTGATGCGCACCCGCTCCAGCTCAGATGCTACCTCGGATTTTGCAGTACGAGAAGACGATTCCTCGCATGACGCCACGCCTACGAAGTCTTGGAGACAGCTTTTGTGGCGACGGCGAGCCTCATTTATATTCCGCTCTTGGCGGTAGCGTTTAAATAGTCCCCTCGTTTCTTGTCGGCCAAGCCGCGCGGATTGGATGGCAGGGGAACGTGGTGTTTGCTCGCTAAAGTAGACAGAGGCATGGATGCACCACATGCAGATAGCGAGGAATAAACTAAGTAGCCAAGCTATGTCCAGCATGCGCCCGGCACTTCTCCGTATTATCGTTTCGCACTCGTATACTCCGTACAGTATACTTGATTCTCCTATATACTTCCAAGCTCAAGGCGCCAAGGCCAAGAGGCCAATGAGTCGTTGGTGACGACTTCAATTTCATCTCTTATCTCTGCTGCCACGCTGTTTATTGCCCCCCACGTCGCTGGTGCAACACACCTGGCAACAGGTCCTTGATAGCCGCCCCCTCCCCTATTACATGTGCCTGCCAACCGCGTATTGTAGGAAACATGATTTGCCCATGGCCAATTTCTCGTGCTGCCACATGCATGCAAGCCTCGATTTGCCTCGAGATCCCAGAACCGGCAAATCCCAAGATTGAAAACGGCGGGGGCTGGCTCCAGAAGCCGTAAGCCGAGCCGATGAGCCCACACAGCCACGCAACGCCTGCTCCTTGAAGGTTTGGATCAGCTCGGGAAGCACTTTTGGTCAATTGTTGTATGGATATTGCCTGTTCTCTCCTCTCAGCCACTTGGTTCATTGGAAGTTACCAAAGAACTTAGTACCTAGGCCAGTTAAACAGCCGGTTGAACTTCTTTTTTTTCTTCGTTTTTCTTTTGCAGGGATTCAAAAATCTTATCAGCCACGGGAGATGAAGCTGCAAAAAAGACAAGGAAGAGTAGATGTTTATGTAAATTCTATAATTAGCATGCAGTTCAACGAGAAATAAGAGGTGCGGCTAGTTCTCCTCGCAATAGGCCCGTAAAGCTGTAAGGTCTGCTCCTCACAAGGCACAGAACCACCTCAACAGCACAGCACACCCTCTCCGTAAAAAACCCGCTGTAGAAATTGGAGCTCGTTTACATGACATGAATAGCCGCTGCAGCTTACCAGCGCTAGCGACCGCTTTTGCATCTGAACCTTCGCTATCAAGTTACCTCGAGCCTCCTACTGGCGTGCCACGGCACTTGACGCCGAATTAGCCAATCCTCTAATAGCACGGCATCCCCACCGCGCATGAATGGCCATGCCAGACCCGTCAAAATCTTCAAGGTTTCAAACGAAACTGGGTCGCGCAAGCCCGCTGCGACGTCATCGATACGGCTGTGACCTCGCGCGCAATTTGGCCGAGATGCTCGCTTTTGGCCCTGCCTGCAGCCCAGCGGATACGGGAGCTGGAGAGCTGCTCCGCACGGCAGCCATGCTACGTAGCAGCCTTGCAATTGGTGAATGAGCTGTAATAACGAACAATGCGGTGCCGGCTATGGGGGCGTGTAGGGGAGCCTGTTCCCTGGGCCTTCGTTCTCCTGACCATCTCGTCTAGGTGACCTTTGGGTTCCTTTTTTTTTTTCTTTCTCTTTCTTTTTCTTTTTCTTTTTCTTTTTCTTTTTCTTTTTCTTTTTCTTTTTCTTTTTCTTTTTCCTTTTTGGTGCCTCCTCCATAATCTGACGACTCTCCAGTCTCGAGATAGTGCTGCTGCTTGCAATCACAAACTGCTTGGTGATGCGTGTCTGGCCCAGCTGCTGATCTTTGTCAATCGCTCCCGCAGACGGCAGAAAAGCGCCTACCGTCCACTCGCTCGCTCTTACAGATTTGCACCTGGTCGAGACTTCTGCCGGGTTCATCTCCCCTCTTGTTTTGTCTTACCATCGAGCTCGAAATCATCGACTTGATCTTGCCTGGAAAACTCCGTCTTGGGGCCGATCCCACGTTCTCGATTTCCTTGCGCTGCATCAGACCTGCTGGGTTCTACCCCGAGCGCCAGCATCCATCCACTGGCGCACACACATCAGCCACCTGCAATTGAGGGGCGGACATCCAACGCCTCTACACTGTAGCATCTGCTTTACCTCTTACACTCTCTATATCACGGATTACCGCAATCATCACCAAAGAATATTTGCGATTCACAACTGTGCTGGAGTCGACGTCTTTGGCCCTCGCAGTTCATCTCAACGAACGCGCTGCTTGGGGCAAACCCTTCATTTTGGCGCGGCTAGGAATTTCATTCGCTCAGATATCAACCGCAGCTATTCGGCCACCATTCATTTGACCAACGATCTCTATTCTAATCACTCTAGGAACAAGCAAACAAAGAATCAAGCAAATAATTCCCTGCCGAACAAAGCGGCCCGCCTGGTTTAATTGGCATATATCAACTAAGACACCTTAATCTTTCACCTCTGCCTCCACTTCCAACTGGGACTTGGCAGCCATGGCCCCTACTTTTCTCAAAAGCCTGCGGCGTCAATCACGGGCAAGCTTCCGGACCGAAACCTCAATTGATACGTCTAGCGATGGTGCTTTGAGCCACGATACCCCGGATACCACGCCTTCAAATGGCTCCCTAACGCCGCCGTCCCTGGATCAGCAGTTAGACCCTGCAACCAGCCTAAGCCGACCCATGCTGGCACCTGGTGGAAACTCCAGTCGATACAGCGTCTCGGGCATGTCTGGCCTTGGAGCTCCTTCACCGAATGGTAGGAGTAGCCTGCCTGTATCTCAGTATGCTCCTCGGGTTCAAAATATTGCAGACAACAATTGGGTATGTTTTGCACAAGCATAATTGGATTTCCTCCTTTCTTGAAGCAATGCTTGTAGCTATACTAGCTCTGCATTAGTAAAATCTGGACGTCAGAGCTGCTTCTCCTCCGTATAGTTGATACAAGCGTTGTGCCCTTGAAAACGCTAATCTCTTTCGATTAGGTGTATCAAAAGGTTCTTTTAATCCATGGCACGATTGGAGAGGCTATGCAAAATCACCTAGACGGCACCGTCATTATCAGTCGACTCGACGATGCATTTCCACCAACCAGCTGGCCCGTCTGGGATTCTCACTTCAAAGCTCTTGTCTATCTACAACCTGGGCCCAACAAAATCCGTCTCGAATTTTCTAGCCCCAAGCTCGCCAATAGCTCATCCTCTAACCCTATCCATGTGTCGTATCTCACTCTTCACATGGTGCCTTCGCTGAATGCTCCTCCGCTGCAGCTTGCCATCCTCTTAGGCAAGGACTCTCCCGGAACATTCGACGCCACGCCTTCGCGCGCCGAAATAGAAGGCAATGGGCTGGAAGCTGCTGTCAAGAAATTTCGAATGGCAGCGTACCTTTGGCAGGCTTTCACTGCGGAGCAGATGTTTCGGCAAAAACTTGGTCGGCGGGCGTTTCGATTCGAAGAGGAATGGATGTCTGGCACCGCCAATCACCGCGACAGGGAGAATGGGACGATGAGATCTGAAGCCCGTGTTCACATTATCCGGTCTGACAAGACGGTTGCCGAGCTGCAAGACCTCAACAAGGCACAGCAGTACGACAAGGCCACAGACAAGAATGCTCTTTTCAATATCGCTAGTGAGGAGGTGAAGAAGCATCTGAATCCCCTCCCTGGACAGAAGCAGTATGTCGCGGTTCTCCTGCTTGATGCCCACTGGGACAAGGACGTCAAGACGATTCGAGGCCATGCTGCACTTGGCGGTGGTCATGGCGAATTGCAATTGGGAATCTTCGGGTCACACTGCATGCACAGCTACCCTAGTTCTTTCGAAGAGGTGGTGCCGGCTTTCACTGATTGCACGCCAACCGATACTGCGCATGTGGCTAACGACTGCAATGAGGCGGGAAGCTCTTGGGAGTCTGCAAACATTGGCATCGGCGCGCATCTACACGAGGTGGGACACTTATTTGGATGCCCTCACCAGGAAGGAGGCATCATGCTCAGGGACTATGTTGTTCTCAACCGAAGCTTTGTCTCTCGCGAGGCATACTCAACTAGGACCAAATCCAAGGGAGGTTTGGCCCTACAGGCTGATGAGTGTGGCTGGCATCGCCTAGACTGCCTTCGTTTCCGAGCTCATCCTGCTTTCCGGCTGCCTAGCGATCCTCCAGTGAACCCGGATGAAAGCGTCCAGGCCTTTGCTATCGACGGAGGCAACGTTTTGGCTGTAGCACAAACTGGAATCTCCTTTATAGAGATCTTTGGAGAGGGAGATGATGTTTGCCGAGCGTGGATCGAGTATATCCCGGACAGCAATAATCCTATTCAGCGGCAAGTGACCTTGATTGATCAAGACCTACGGGCTCGCTTGCCTGATGCCAAGAGAAAGGGGCGGGTAAAGGTGTCCATCAAAACACATGGCGGGGGTTCTTTGGATATCGATGACTTTAAAGCATTTGCATCAAAGGAATCATCAGTTAAATTGCCTGGTGGCAAAGTGGCTTATCGATGCAAGAGCCTCGGGGAGTCAAAGATGCAAGGTAGCGAGCCCCAAGAGGCTATTTTTACCAGTGCCATGAAGCAGGACAGAATAATGTCTCGCGTTATTATATACCACGGTTCAGCGTTGGACGGACTGGAGTTCATATACGACGATAACTCGACGCAGCTCTTTGGCAAGAAGGGGGGCAAGGAGGGAGGCGATACATTTGAATTTGGTGAGTCTACTTTTACGGCAACGCAGCTAGAGCATCACAATCTCTCATACTAACCGCAAAATTTTACGACAGATATTCGACGCGGAGAGTACCTCACTGGTTTTGTTGTTAGAGCTGGCTTTTGGATCGATGGCATCCAGCTCTTGACCAGTCTCGGCAGAAAGTCGGCCATGTTTGGAAAAGCTCATGGTGGTTCTGCGTAAGCATACTCCCACCCATCTGAATTCGATGAGGTTAATTCTAACTTTATCGTCACAGACACACACTGTTGCCTCCTCGAGGCTATTCGATCTGCGGTGTTGCCGGCACATGTGGCCCATGGCTTGATGGCTTCTCGATCCTTATCAAGCATTAACACTGTTTTACTTTCAAACGCAGTGAAAAAACACAATTCAGGCATTTTCAATCTCATTTATGGATTAACCGAGCATTTGGACCTAGCTTACCTTGGACGGCTTCTTGGGTTTTCAGTCGCAGCACTTAGCAAACGCACAACTAATTGATGATGGTGAGGAGAGTAGGGGGATGAATATCCTAGCAAAAATGACGCTTTTGCACTGTCTTAAAAAAGATGTACAAGAGGAGGCACAGGTTTGATGACCAACTCGTGCCTGGCGTTTTTGGGGTACTTTTTTTCTTTTCTTTTTTTCTCTTTCCTTGAACTTGTTATATGTTTCTAGGATTATGCCGAAGATATCCGCTGAGAAAGCTGATCAGCACAAATTGTGGGTGTGATGTTTTGGGAGCTTTAGCAGTAAAGCCGGGAGAGGGGGAGAGGGGAAGAGTATATATTGGTAGTAGTTATATTATCAGGCGGCATTTGATGTCGGACGGTTAATGGAGATGGAATCAAAACTAGAATATACGCAGTTTTGATTTGCATGTTACTTACAACTGTTACAGAAAGAACGTGCAAATTCTTCCTCTACGCAGTCCTCCCGGCGTTGATTGGTGAGCATCCAAGCATGGAGAACTCCTTTACGTTAAGACTGAGAAGATGCAACCCAAAACGGGTCCAAAGTGATGATGACAATTCTCGGTTACTGATTGTTGGTGCAGGTTGGCCTCGCTTATACATTTAATAACATAGGTGTCCGCCAAGATATAAGCTGAAAGATCTATAACACTCTAACAGTATGTACTTGCATCTAGCTACTCCACAATCTCATCCAGCCTGATCTGACTAAATGTGTTTATTTTGTGTGATTTTAATTTCACTATGTGTAAGTTTATATGGACTGTTAAACTGCAATGTCTCGCTGCTGCACTCCATCACAACTCATTTCGCCTCGAACCAAGAGCAATGCTGCAACTACCTATAAGTCACAGAAGTCTAATCTTTGAATCACAAGCGTGTCTCAAAGGCAGCAACTACTCGAGGTCGTGATCATTTCCATGTGATATTACGGGTCAGCTGTATAGTGAAGCATCACGTGAACGCCAACTTGGAGAAAGAGAGATTTGCTGTGAATCGATCGCTGCTGTGCTTTTCAGCCCCCAAAACAGGGCAAAGGTTTCAAAAAATTGATGACGGCATCCCCACTCAACCACTCACATCAAAGCTTGTAGCATGTCATCGTCATCTTACTAAGGCAGCTGGACCTGTGCATCAGTTAGGCGCGTAGTGCGTGCATTGCATCACTGACATCAGACATTTATGACTACAGGTGCCTGCTTTGTGCTGCCATGACTAGATGCTGAAAATGTACAGACAAGAGACTTAAGCGCCTAACAGATGGCTGAATAACTCCAACGGCTTTGAAGAGCATTTACAGCATTTACAACATTGGCCAGTAGTATATGATACAGCTGCTGTTATGTGGCAGCTCGGCACTTACTAGCTGGGGAAGACAAAGAGAGAAAAAAGCCACAAGGCAGGCTGGTAGGCTGTGCATTAACGGCGGCAGCGCCACCCTAAGGAGAAAAGGCAGGTTAAGCTAAAACGTACCTCCCATGTCAACTGCAGCTCGAGCATCTTGTAGCGAGTAACAGCCCCTCGTGTCTTCTTTTTTTTCTTCCTCTTCCTTGCTTTGTTCTCAGACATCAACACCGCTACCAATATTCTCACCGAATACTCGCAATCAAACAGACGGGTGTCTTCTTTTTGAAGAAAAACTGCCCTTTCTTTTCTTATCTTCTTTATTATCTCCACTTCAGCCGAGGTTTTTGCTCGCTTTTTTTTTTTTATATCTTTTTGTCACGACTATTTCCGCATACTGCTAGAACCGAGTCAACGGCCGAAAAGCCTCTCTTGCTGAGACTTCGATCTGCACGCACTCTGCAACTCTCAACCATGTCAAGACGACCCAGCGCTGCCTCGGCGGCCACCAATGGCCCTACCTCGAGAGAGCTGTCGCCCCAGAACCAACCAGGTACGGAGGTTTCCCAGTTGCTGGTGCCGCGGACAAACTCAGATGCTAATGGATCTCTCTTTCTCTCCTCTGATTGCAGCAATTGACAAGCAAAAGATGCTTCTCTCTGCAGACGTGGGCCACTTCTCGCTGGTACGAGCCATGCACCTCGCAGATCTCATTACTCTTCTGAATGGTGGGTTCCCCCTATCCCTTGTTCCTTTGGCGACTTTTGACTGGCGAGACGGACCAAGATGGGCTAACGATGCATGTGATTCTTGCATAGGCTTCTGCGGTGTCATGTCGATATTCTCGTCCCTACACTCCTGCCTGGAGCCTGCCAAGAGGGACGATCACCTGTGGTGGGCGCTGGTGTTCTTGCCCTTTGGCTTTTTCTTCGACGCTCTTGATGGCACGGTGGCTCGATGGAGGAAGAAGAGCAGCCTGATGGGACAAGAGCTGGATTCCCTTGCTGATTTGGTATGTTCCTTTTTTGCTGCGACAGCTGATGTCCAGTGCCCTATTGCCGTCAACGGAAGTCAACAGATACACTAACGCCTCATTTCTTGCAGGTCTCTTTCGGCGTTGCTCCCGCTATGGTGGCCTTCTCCCTTGGCCTTCGAACCTCTGCCGATAAACTTGGTCTCGCCTTCTTTGTTCTGTGTGGATTGACCAGACTTGCCCGCTTCAATGTTACCGTCGCTGTTCTGCCCAAGGATGCCACTGGCAAGAGCAAGTACTTTGAGGGAACGCCCATTCCGACGTCACTGGGTTTGGATGCCCTCATGGCTTACTGGCTGCAGAAAGGCTGGATCTTGGAGAGCATCCCCTTTGGCACCCTGTTCACTGGTACATCGCTCGAGTTCCACCCCATCGTGCTCTTGTTCGTCATTCACGGCTGCTTGATGACCAGCAGGACGATACGCATACCAAAGCCATAAATCGGCAACGGATTTGGGCGTCGTGAGCGGTGGCTCTACTTTTTCATACTTGGTCTCGCTGGATATGCGGCTGTGGCAAATGGGGTTAGAGGGCTAATGGTCTTGTATGGTTCATGATCAATGAGTTGGCGCATCACGAAATTGTTCAGACTTTGTTCAGTTGGGTAACTATTTGGCGAGCACCTCGCATAAAGATACACGTTATACTCTAGGGGATGGGCTTTCCTTCTTTCTTTTTCTGATTCCATTAATCGATTATCCATTCGATTGAAGTTTTGGACCACTTGATAGTCTTGAGGAGGAGAACATGGTCTATATGGCCTAGTAACAGAGGTTATGATACCCCCCAGATAGTCTTATTATTTCTTGACATTACCGTGGATAATTTTGAGTGATCACATGTCATGTTTGCCTACGCTTAGGTTGCGTTTGTAGTATTCTTGTTTTGAAAAGACTTAATTCTTTCTCGTATATAAATTCTTCGCCATCCCTAAGTTGATAGTAGACTCTCTTTGGAGCTACCTCATGAGATTTGCCATTATGCCAAGATCTTTTGAAAGTGACAATTGTGTGACAAACAGGAAAGAAAAAAAGGGGAGGGAAACCGAAGAATGACGAGATAAAACTAAATTCAGGTACGACGGAGGAATAAACCGAACCAGTAAAAAAACGCCGTGAAAAAAGCCCTTTGTACATATAAAACATCTTCTTCCCTCCCCTTTTATTCAAGCCAAAGATCGATCCCCGCCGCCCTGTTATCCCTTTATTTCCATTCGTGGAGAGGGGAAAGTTCCCTGCTGCCGCTGAGTTTTAGAATAGAGGAAATGGCATTGGTATGATCACCATGGATTCTAAAAGTTTTCCCATTTCTCTTGCTTTACCAGCTGCCACCCCTGCTGAAGCCGCCACGTCCTCTGCCGCCGGCACCGCCCCTGGAAAAGCCACCGCTTCCACCACGAGGACCTCCACGACCGCCGCCGCGAGAGAAACCACCGCTTCCACCACGGCCGCCACGGCCGCCGAAACCACCACCAGCACCGCCGCGTCCACCACGAGAGAAGCCGCCGCGACCGCCGCCGCGAGGACCACCACGGGACGCACCGCCAGCGCGCTTGGGCTTGGGCGCGCCGGGAGGGGGCTTGGGCTTGGGCAGGAACTTCTCGAGGGGCAGCAGCTTCTCGGGGGCAATGTAGAACTTGTCGCCCTCCTTGAAGGAGGCGGCCTGGATGCCCTCGGAGGGCTTGATGGTGAAGAAGACCTGGTTGATGGGGCCGAGGACCTCGTCGACTTTACCGACGGCCGTCTTGTTCTCGAGGAAGATTTGGGCGTTGAAGTGGGGGACTTTGGGGTTGATGGATTCGCAGACCATTTCGCCTTCGCAGGCGTGGATGAATTTGCCCATTTCTGTGTGGTTTTACGGTTAGCATTATCTCTTCTAGATTTGAAGTAACTTTATGACTTCATTCTTCTTTTCCCATTTTTTGGGACTGCAATCTTTTTTTGCAGTGCTCCAATTCTAGCCTTTTCGGAAGGAAAGAGCATGGGATCAGAAGAGTCGCAATATCCTCTTTCACCCTCAATTGAGAGACCAAAAAAAGCAAAAGGAGAAAAATAAAAAAAGAAGTTCCATGAGAAAGAAAGAGTCTTCGCCATACCTAGAACCGACGCAGGCGGGCCCATGTCCCTCTGCTGGAAACCTCCACGTCCACCTCGAAAGCCACCAGCTCCTCCACGACCACCACCACGACCACCGCCTCGGAAGGACATGTTTGCGGATTTATGAGATTTGTTGCTTGTTTTTAATTTAGACTTTAACCGGCCGGCGAACGAGGGACGAAAAAGGTATGCGCTGGTCGGAAGGAAGAGGCCAATTGTCGTTTGGAGTGACGCTCGTCCGTTTTTTCCTCTCTTCGTAGGACTTTTTTTTTTTTTCTTTTCGTTGAAATTTTCCGAAGCCCAGGCTTTGGTTGAAGAAGCTTGTTCGATTGGGAGCGTCTGATTGGGTGGTGCGGAATAACATTTGAGCGGGTCTTTTTTCACGACGTGGGGCTGGGATACCTTGGTACATGGACCTGCGGTCTGGTGAACTCGCTCAGCTTTGATGGTGAGTCTTGGCTGTCTTTTGCTGTTTCGAGGTGATTACTTGTGGCATCAAATTGACTCAAGATTCACAGAAACCATCATTTTTTTTAATTGCGCTTAGATACATTTCGTTCCATCAATTCAAAAACAAAAAGTGCTAGCTAGACCACGTGTGGTGAGCTACGGATATACCTAACGAGTGATAAAGAGCGATGCCGTCCAAAGAAAACACAAAGCCAAGTCAAAAACAAATTGAATCAACATGACGAGTCCAAACAAGTCCGGAGACAAGATATAAATAAAGACAGCATACAAAGACGCCCACATCTCACGCAACAGCGTTGCTTTGTCCCCGCCATAACCCTCCCTTCACACATTCAGCATGCGAGATACTGACTGATACAAAACATAAAACATGGCTCAAAAAAAGAAATGGTATCCAAATAAAGTGACGTGTACCCATTTTTTGGTTTTGGACTGATAACAAAAAAAAAATGACTAGAAGGAAAATCATATAGACCTTCGCTTTTTACCCTAAGGGAAACTGCCTGGCATCGGTAGGTTTGAAACAGACATATCCTTGACTGCTCGGTACGCGGGATTGGCAGTGGTTGGCACTGCACCCTCTCCCTGGCCTGGAAGAGCTTGCAAGCCACCCGCGTCTGTCTGAGTCTCAGATCTGGGGATCGTGTTCGGGTTGACACTGTTAACATGTCCTTCCCTGGCGCCTCCAACGTTGGTATAGTGGCCACCGTTGATCTCTTGCATCTCAACACCTCCTGCGGCACCATTGACCCTAGCAGCATCATGGGGTCCCCCTACGGCCTGGTGATCATGGTTCAGAGACTTTTCGCCGGGATAACCATTGGGGATTACTGGCTGGCGGGTGCCGGGAATAAAGGCTGGTGCTCCGTAGACATTACGCTGGTTGCCCTGGTCCAGCGGCTCGCTTGTATAAGGGTTGACACCATCGACTTGAGCCTCATGGTTGGCAATGACTGCCTGTGCATGCATTTCATTCATGGGAGTCTCGCCTCTCTGGCCGTAGTCGGGATGGTTCTCATCGTAGTGTGTATGATATTCCGGCGAATAGGCATTCGTGGCCGTTCCTGGGATGGCGGTCGCGGCAGCAATTACCTGGGCATTTGGCGACGCCACCTGGCTGGATCCGGCACTAGATGGAGAGTGAGGCACCTGTAAGCCTCGTTGGGCATTGACTTGGATGTCAGATGGGAACCGCCCACCTGGTTGGGGTCGTCGCGATTCCGATCGGGGTTCTGCGAGGACGTCCTGCTCAGTTGCTTGGAAGGGCGGCTCGTCTTCCTCGTCGAGCTCGTTGCTGCTGACTGATCGATGTGACGACTGACTCGTGCTTCTCCTTGAATGGGATCGTACAAATGCAATTCGCTCTTCCGATGATGTCTCTGTCAGTGCCTTGATATCGTCGTACCAAGCCATCATCGTATCATGGCTCTCGGCCCGGAATACCCAAGTGTGCCCTCGGTGCATAGATCCAGTTTGTCGGCCTTTGAGGAGGAATTTATTCGATGGGCCTCCTTCGCTTGAGCGGGATCCCAGTTTCTGGTCCGGTAGATAGAGGGACATGATGGGAGCTTGCGCTTTGTCTGCCGACTTGAATTCGTGCAGATGCGTTGTTGAAAGCACATACCTAACGTGTTGTTAGAACCAATGTCGACAGATTAGAGTGCAAAAAAAACTCAAAACTTACCACCCGGCTGTATAACTCTTCAAGTATTTACTTTTGCGCTCCAATAGCCCGGCACGGATCTCTTGTGCAGAGAAATGGTCCTGTCCAGGATAATGAATCTGTTCAACGGAGCGCAAAGGGATGTTGGGGTTAACCACTCTGTTGTCGTTGGAAACGAAATGCTCCCATTCTTGATCTTTAGGCATAGAAATGGGTCCGTCGCGCAGCTCTCCGACAAGATCGAGAGCATTTTCTGCTTCGCGCTTGAGGATGCCGGCGTAGGCATTGTATGCCTTTTGAATCTCGCCTACAATGATGGACTCTAGCTCACGCCCAGAGCCCTCGAGGTTGAGATAGGCCTGATGCAGGTAGTTTTCTTCTTCGATTTGGCGCTCAATCTGGCGATCGACAGCCAGTCTAAGAAGGTAGGGATCTTGCTTGCCGGTCGTGTTGGAAGAGTCCATCTCGGACTTTCCCAGGACTTCAGACAGAGCCTTGACGGCTCTGCCGGTAGCCTCTTTCTCTTTCTCAACGTTGTTTTTGAAGTCGCCAGCTAGGTGCTTGATTTCTTTAATTTTCTGTTGCAAATCACTTCTCAAGCCTGTAAGGGCTAGGATGACATCTTCTTCAATCTCTTTCGCCTTTGTAGCCTCTTGGAGGGCCGTCTTATTATAGGTGCGAATCATTTGTAGGGCATCGTCGATTCCGGCAGTTTGGAGAAATGAAGCGGGGGTCGCAGTATTGTTTGAGACACTGGACAGCTTGGTGATTGATTTTGCCTTTTGCTCGTAGTGAGATTGGATTTCGCGGTAATACGCAATAAGATCCTTCAAAATTTTCCTCCAGGCTGTTGTTGTCGCATGACATTAGCATCGGATGAAAACACGCTGCTTACGTCCTAACAAATGGGATTGCGCCAAGGCCCAATGCAAGGTATGAGAGAAGGGAAGAAGAGGGAAAGTAACTAACTCTGAAATCTGGCGGCAAGGACATCGGTGGGATTGCCGGTCGTTGGTACAGGGCAATAGAATGGGCTTTGGAGCTCGTCGGCGTCGGCAGTCTGGAGCATGAGGCTCTTGACGCTGCCCGCTCGTGCGCTGCGCCGGCTGCTGGATCGTACCAAGCTGCCAGTGCCGCTGCGTCGCATTGAGGCCTTCTTCTTTAGCGTGTTGCCCCTCTGCGGATGACCGCGGTCATCGCCGGCTGAGTAGCTGTTGACCGAGCTGGAGCGCTGCATGGCCGCCGTTCCAATGGCGGCCGGCCCTGCTCCAGACGAGGACATGACGGGCGAATCGCGGCCGCGGCGATTGTCGAGGATCGAGCTGCCGCGCTGGCTGGCGTCCCACTCCTCGGTGAAGCGGCCAGGAACGGGACTCTGGCGTCGGTGAGGCGATGAAGTATTCGAGCGTCCGCCGGCGTCGAGGTATGTGGGTTGCGGCTGGTAGGACAGCGGTCGTCGTGATCTCTGGGAATAGGGTGAGCCGGATAGATGGCGCTGCGATTGCGAGTGCAGCGGCTGTTGGTAGGAATTGAGTGCTGGAGGCGGATTCAGATCGGCGGGATGAGGTGTCAATCCCTGAGTCTGAGGCGGGTAATCCATGACGATATTGGAGGGAGAGGAGGAGGAGAGGAGAGGAGAGAAGGAAAAAGAGCTGAGCCGAGCTGAGCTGAGCTTGCTTAGTAGAGCTGAGCCAAAAACAGAGCAAGAATCCAGGGTAAATGAGCAACAACTAAAAAGAAGCAGAAAGTAAAGCAAGCCAAATAATTATAGTTTGCTCTTAATACTGGGATGCGCAGCCAAGCTCGCGCCTGGCCAAGGTTTCGCCTCGCACGACCTAGCGAGTGACGACAGACGTGGGCGGACGATCAGAGGCACGCAAAAGATGGCGTCTGTGGGTGGTGGGGAGGGGGAAATAGATCAGAGACACTGCAGCGTCGCCTGCTGGGGTTGACGCAATGACGAGCTGCTAAACAAGGCGCTTCTGGGATCCCAACAGCGCAGCGCCACAATGAAAGATACCTGGAGAGGGAAGCGAGGCGACAGGTACAAGAAACTGTTGTTCTTCTTGTTTCTCTTCTTTTTGTGTAATTGCAAATACTTTTCTTTGGTGCTGCTGAGCCACAGGCCACGAAACAACCAGCGCGTGTCTCGTCCTCGGCTGTGCAACGAGTGTAAGTGGAAGGTGTATAAGAGTGTAAGAGTGTAAGAGGTCTGGACAATGCGTACTAGATACGGGCAAAGCGTGAGATGACTCGTGTTTGCACGGGTACACGATCAAACTGGTAGGTACCTAGGTAGGTAGGTACCTTAGGTACTTGCATGTATGTACCAGTAGCTCTTTGAGCTTTTGCAGCGCTCATGGATTTCTTTTTAATGATTACCGGAATCGCCGTATCGAAACACTCTGCTACGCGCACATGCTTCGCCCCGCACATCGTCGCATACACCCCGTCTCTTAACTTGGCGACCCAAAAGCCAAGGACTCTCTCTCCAGAGATGGAATTTGATTTGCGCGCAGCGGCAGAGGACCAAGTAAAAAAGAGGGGAGGCGCTAGCGCAGGAACCTGGCCGATACCTGCACTCTGTGTCGTGCTTGCATTGGTGACGGGGGTCACTGGCAGGTAGAGCGAGCTAGATGCGAGGTGCATGGTGCTGAAACTGCATGGCCGCGACATGACAGGCAGGCCCTGAGCTGCAGCCTCTTCCAGCCGGCATATGCATGAGAATCGCTGAATCCAACCATCCTGAAGCTACAGGCAAGTAACATATCCATCAAGGTGTCATGTAAGCTACCTTGCCTAGCACTCCGTCAGCAGTGTAATTCTTTATAAATCTCTTCGCTGTAAGTAATCAATCCCCCTTACGGAGCGTCCCGAACCCAAGGGGCTCAGCAACCACCCCCGCGTCTCACCTCTCTCTCCTCTCGTTATCGCCGTCATCTGTCTCTGCTGCCTCTATCTAACAAGGCACTATCCCAGTACTTCTCATCACCTGTTCTCATAGCTGAACCCCGTCCAGGCGCTAACTGATCCCCCAACATGGGCCAGATCGGTGCAAGAGAGCTCCAATGCCCGCTCTCGCCAATGCACAAACCCGCGCACATCATCATGGCCACTTACAGGGCAGTCCCTTGATGCGCATCTCCAAGTGGGCTCCTCCAGCACGTTTTTAGCTTCTGTCAAAACCACTGAACGTCAATTCAATCAAACCCAATCCTCTTTTTTTTTTTCAGCTGCTTCCGCCCAAGGCCTGGCTGCCTCTTCAAATCGAGAAATCATGACGTATTAGTTCGTCCCCGAAGCACAAGCCACGCCCCACTGCCCAGACTAGGTCTCCTCTTCCTCTCCACTCAAGATTCCTAAATGTTGCATGTCTCTGCTCTGAGTGGCTCTTTTTTCTTTGGCCATCGGGCTTTGGAATTGGGCAAAAACATGGAATCTAGCAAATCTAGGTGTACATTTCCATTTTCCCCGCACCGCACGAGGCTGTGACAGCATCCATTGAACAAACGTGCATGCTTTTGTTGCATTAGTAAGTACTGCCTGATTGCTCATCCTGGTGCTCATTCTGATGAGTACATGCGGACCTTGTCGGCTGCTCGGCCCAGATCAAATAGCCATTTGGGCACGATCAAACTACATAAAATGTTAATAAGGGGCATTTACCAGACTCGTAACCGATATGCATGACTTAGGATAGCTGGAAAATATCAAGGATTAGTTTCCATTGCTTCTTTTTTTTAAGTACCTTCGGACGATCGGCGCCCGAACAAATCTATCCCAAGCCTAAATTTGCGCCTCATTTTTACGTTTACTCAAGAACAGACTCCAATTTACCTAGATACATAAGCATCGGGCAAACCCTCAAATGTCACATGCAATTTAAATCAAAGCCTAAAAAGCAGCAAAGATTATATTCGCCCAAAGTAACAATATGCAACAGATTCGTTGCCTGTTTGCCTCTTGCCCCAGGCATTACCAATACCTAATAGTAAGACATCGTTACTATGTGCGTGCATATGTACAACAAAGACAAGTAAAAAAAACCTGATCGATAACACCGTCTTGTCTATGCTGCCAGGTATTTCCCATTTACTCATGTTTCTCGTGTCAAACAATTGGCCGGCCTGTCGCTGATCTCAAGTTCGAGAGTTGAAAAATTCCCCGTGTTACTCTGCCTATCAAACTCCAAAAACTCCGGAAAGCCATTGACGGCGTGCGTTTCCAAGGTGTGAGCCCATGCCTTGGTCAGCGTCTGTGAGCTCTAACTCTGCTCTTTGAGGCCAGTTTCCAAACGGCCGTTGCAGAAATAAGCAAGCAAATAATTAAATGAACCAATGAACAAACGCAAGAAAACAGAAGAAAAGAAAAAGTCCGAAAGTAAAAGCACTACGACTAGAAATAGAGATAGGGGAACGGATGTAATATGGCATGTTTTCGGTCAGGTCCCCTTAGTTTACGGTCCCTGCCAGATGCTCATCCGATGACGTTTCTGCCATCCTCACTTTGCCATGTCGTCTAGGGGGTGGTGCCTTTGGCGGTACCTTTTTCGACGTAACGCTGCTGATATGTACGGTAGCAGAATGCTTAATGGCTGAAGCTGTATGATGAAAGGGAATGCCATGTCTGTGCTTGGGCACTGCTGGTACAGGCTTCTTGGTTCTGCTTGCACCATCGTGTTCGACTGGATCGGTGTCTGGCTTAGAGTCATTTCGACTCGGCGTCTGCACGCCTGGCTTCTCCGTGACTTCGGCCACATCAGTGACACTAACACTGCTAGATGAATGCCTTGGCGATAGGCTCATGCCCAAGAGTTTTCGAGCGACCTCTGCCTGGCCTGACGCTTCGGAATCTACGTCCTCTTCCTCCACTAGCCATTTGACTTTGGATACTCGGTCCACCAACCGCAGAGTCGTCGGGTCAGCGGGTGCAAAGTGGGCATTCTGTGAGCCTCTCAAGATTTTGAGTAAGCGCAGAATTTCCTCCTTCTTGTAGTGTGGTGGCTGATTCATCTGGGTATGCGCTAGTAAGGGGTATAGAATTCGCAAGTACGTATGCCGAAGAGACATCCTCTCGTCGGGAAGATCCATCAAATTTCGAATAATGACGTCTAGTAGCACTCGTAAATCGTTGGTATAAAAGTATTCATATGTCGCTTTGGTGGTGAATAGAAGATATAGAAGCTTGAGAATCAACAGCTGCAGGGACGTTTCAGTCTCTCGATTTAGAAGCAGAATGATATTCTCTCCAAATGTTCGAAACAATGGCCCGTGGAGGCTCAGGCATTTGACAATACGGTTTGTCAGCGGTTCGGGGCCCGATCCGGGGATGGTGACGGTGTCTGTGGATGCAAGCATGTATTGTTCATTCAGGACAAGCTGCCATGAATTGTCAGCACGCGTGAGGATGAGATGATGGCTAGTTGGCCCGCTCAATATAAAAATAGAAAACCACTTACCAATACTCTAATGGTTGGGTAATGATATGGGTCATTCACATCGCTAGACACGCCCTCGATGAGGCCAAACAGAAAGTGAATAAAATCATCGTCGACCAGCGCCAAGTCTTCTGGTGCCAGCCGCTCCACACGCGACATCTCATACATCAGCTGCAGCAGAAAGCGATGGAGTCGTGGGTCGCCATCTTTTTCTTGCCTGATCAGCTCGAGAAGGCGGGGGAAGCAGGCCTCCTGGATCATGCGCGGAAACGTCGCCTCGTCCTTGTGGCCGTCTAGCAAGAGCAGAGAGACTATCGCGTGTAGAGGCCCGGCCTCGTCCTCCTGTAGCAGACTGTAGATAAGCTGCTTACGGACGTATTCTTTGTGCTGTCGGAATATGTCGCCGTTGAGCAGGATCTGCGCGCACATGATGACCTCATCCTGCGACTGCGGCTGCTGGTCGCGAAGCTGAGTCGTCAGGCTCAACCAGGAACGGAGGGCATCGTCAATGGATTCGTGGCTTTCGCAGTGTTCCGAGACGCACTTGTCGAGTTCTAGAGAGTAGAATTAGTTGCCACTTCTCTCGATACCTCCCTGACTCGTCATTGCACCAATTTTCAACAGAAACTTCAACGTACCAGTCCACAGCTCATCCTCTTCCTCCACAGAGAGAGGAGAGGGCACCATCTCTTCGAAGTCCGCCATGGCTGCCAGGTCCCGCAGCTCGTGGCTGCGACTGCATCTGGGCCCTTTGCGCAGACCGGGTTGGTTCGTTGGATGGCGGTTGGCGAAAAAGGCTGACGACGCTGCAAGAGTCGAAATCGAATGTTTAGACAAACAGCCAAGAACTCCGGAAAATGGCAGGTCGAGAAAAGAAAATGCGCGCCCGTCGCCCAAAAGCCCACGTCCCAGAAGGGGCTCCTAATTTGTGACCAGGAGTGTCTTTGCTCGGGATGCGAGCGGAATGTAAGGCCCCAGTCCAGTTGGATTGTGTGGGGTAGCGAGAGGAAAAAGAAAGGCGATGCTTCGGGATTGATTTCGAATGACTTAGCTGATGTCACCCAGCAGGCATAGCGCATGCACGGTGGCGCTGAAAGGGAAAAAACTTCAGGGCTATGGGCCACTAACGTTGCGTGCTGCTAAATTAATGGACGGGGGCTCCCGTTGACCATCTGCAGGGAACGCGCCCGGCTTAAATAGGCACATATGCACGAATGATAACGGCAGTTGAACATCATATATGTAGGTATCATAGAGATCGGTGTTCAATATGTACTACAAGAGATTTGAACTATAGACAATAGTTTGACCACGTACAATTTGGCTATCCATATGCTCATCGTTTTAATTGCTTATCTATTTATAGGATGAACAAGGTCCGCCTGTTCGGTAATCATTTCCATCCCTTGTCTCGAGCATAGATAAGACTAACTAAACGGTCGAGCCCCTGTGCAACGCTTTAAGGAGATGACTTCTTTACAACTAAGCGGAATAGTATCTTCATTTCTAAGAATCCACTATTGAGGTCATCTTCTTATATCCATATTTTATCGTATCTACTAGTATTATTTGCCTGTAGTATGTACATTTGTCATATCAGGGAGGGGTATTATCTATCATGAAACCAGCATTCTACCGGCTTCCTCTTCCTTTTCCTTTTCTCTCTCTCTTCCTGTTGCATTTGCACGGCTCCCCACGCCAGACTCCGAATCGCCCATCCCATGCCAACGAGGCTCGCCGGACAAATTATTACCCAAGACATCAAACCAAAGAGGCCATGCTATGAACTCTTCTTTTTATTCTTCTTGTTGCTTTCGTCTTCTTCTTCGTAAATCTTCACCTTGTCTGCATATTCCCCAATCTTACTGACGACATAATCCGTGATGGTCTCCCCTTTGCCTGCTGCGACTCTCAAGATCAGCTCGTTGAGCGTCTGTCTTCCCAGGATGTCAACATGATCAGCAGTATTGGGACCGCCCCGCGGGCTAAATCGGTCAGGCTCATGAGGCATCTCTACCACAGTGATATGAGCTCCAGCGGGGTTATACCGTTTCATGTGCCAACCACGATTGCACATATATCCGGTGCTCAATAGATTGACGGTTCCATCTCCCTCGCCTAAAATAACACCGTGATCAGCCGTCCCTTCGGTGTAGGCAACATCGATGGTGATGTTGAGATTAGTCATGGTCGGCTGATCAGGTGCTTTGTAAAAATAGGATCGCTCTGTAGGTTTTCCAACGCCATAGAAGCAGTATATCTTCAGATTTGGTGCCCGCGGAAGCCTCGTCTCGAGTGGATTGATCCATTTTCTAGGGTCCTTCTCGTTTGCCTCCACCTCTGCAGTGGTGTGGGCAACTCCATGGGAATAGCTGCGCTTGATCTGGTCTGTGTACCATTCATCGGCCGTGTTGAAGAGATAGCTCATGGAATCCTCCACAGTAAAATTTCGATCTGGAGTCGTCCAGTTTGAGCCGACTCGGAAATTAAGAAAAGAGCCGTAAGAAAGTTCTTGATCGGGCTGGTCATCTGGGGCTCCGTTCAGATCTCCCCAAATTGCGTCGCCTCCGATAGGCAGCATCGAAGAGATTCCCGGCATGGCTCTGAAAATTTCCGCTCTTTCTTCTTTGCTCAAAAACTTTTCCAGTCCATAAATTGCCAGCGCATTCAGCTGCGCCGTGTCGCGCATCTCTCCGGACAGCACCGCCGTCAGATCCTTTACTGCGCCCAGCATGCAGCCGCTGATATTGATCCAAGAGTCGACATGACGATCCACCCAGTCCCCTCCGCCACGGCCGCCTTGGTCCGATTCGACCCAATGGAAAAAGTAAAAGATGACTTGGCTTCCCATGCTGTGCGAGGCAAGGACGACTTTGCGCCCTTCGAACTCGACTGCGGTCTCGATGTATGCCTTTAGCCTGGAGAAGTACTGATCTCTGACTTCGAGATTAGGATAAGATAGTCTCCAATCATATGCGGCCGTGAAGGAGTTTGTGGGATCGTATCCTATGGTGGCCAAGTTTTCAAAGATTTTGCTCCATATCCAATAGCCTGTGATGAAGAAGTCGGTTGCATCAAACCCCTGTGCTGCGCGTAGCTTCACCATAGGCGGATCAAGCCCGGTCCGTTTATCGAGCATGATATGCTTCTTCCAAATCTCCTTGTCAAGAACCAAGGCCTTCATCATAGTCCAACTTCCCCATAGCCTCTTTCGGAAGTAAGGTCTCGAGATATTAGCTGTTCCCCAGGATTCGAGGCCCGTCGAGATGACGCCAGGTATCATGATCATGGGGTGATGCGCCTCCAGGCCCTCAGCCCGAGCCTTCAGGCCTACGGCAAACGCATCGTAGGAAGACGCAACTTCACGCTCTCCCTGTGCAAGATCCCGCATGTCTTTGATCAAGCCGGCGGGTATAACATCGAGCAAACTGTCCATTGTGAGTTCCGTAATCTCGGGGAGGTCGATCAAGTCATTCGTCTTTGCAAAGAAGCCCGCCGCAAGGAGACCACATAGGCCGCCCAGCAGAAAAATGAAGGTGTTGCGACGCTTACGCGCCTTGGGCCCCCGTTCAATCACATGGACGTGAGATGTTGGCTGGACTGGCGGAGTGCCTTCTTTCGAGTCGTCGGTGGAATCGGCTGGCGTCGTCTCCGGCGGGATGCGCCGACGAAGAGTGGTGGCCATGATCGAGGCCTGGGAGGCAAGCCGCGAGCACTAGGATCTTCCAAACTATGCGGCAGGTCGAAAAGAAGCTGCGCTGATGCTAGTATGTCTTGTTGGCCAAGGGAGGAAACTCGGCTCCTCAAAGGCGAAGCCGCGCAAAGTCAAAAAGTAGATATGAGACTGTTTTAGATGTAGGTCCCCAAACATGTGGTGGCTGAACTGACGTCAACGCTTTCAGTGTTCCGCAGCAGCTAAGGAGCAATTAATCCAGCAGCACGGGAAGAGATCCGCTATTATTAGTGGCTATCAGCGCTGTGAAAGAGCCGCTAAAGTGAACTCGACAGCACCAAAGTTCTCTCATTTATAGAAGAGAGGAAACAAGAGGCGTGCGGAAGAATACTTAGTAGATGAGCTGAATAAATAGGTACATCCAGCAATAAATGAACTAAATTACTATACGCAACGTCAGCGCTCCGAATCGCCTCCGGGGCATTGTAGCAGCCCGTCCCATTGGCCGCGGCGTGTTGCTGAAGCCCGGTACTAATTCAAGCATTAACTTCGCGGTGGCCCGATCTGAGAATCTGGCTTGGCAGCTTAGGCTTAGCATGTGATTGACACAAAGGCAGTTCGCCCGACGATCCACCCGAGACTTGGGTCTGGCTTTCTTTAGTCAGACTAAAACCGCGACACAGCGCCAAAAAGTGCCTGTCAGCCCAGCAGCGCCTTTTTCCTGATCCGGGCAATCTGTCGAAGGATTTCTCAGTCTTTAATTCTTCCCGCCCGATGCTGACCGGGCTGCCTGGTTGGCTGCCACCTTGGCTATTCGTTCGTATCGTCGACTCATCAGCCGACGGTTGAGTCATTCATCAAAGAGGGGAAGGGTCTGGAGAAGGCACGGTTGAAAACATAATTGGAAGCTGTTTGGCATACAGACCGCTTTTAAGCCAGATTTCAGATTTCAGATTTCAGATTTCATCGCCAAACCAGCAGAATCGGGCAGAAATCATGGCGGTCTCATCGGGCAAGCAGCTGCCCGCCGACTTGGAGTATGTGCAGTATGAGCACCGACTTGAAGGCCAATACCTCCCAGCCATCCGGTCGCTCATCTCAAAAGACCTGAGTGAGCCCTACAGCATCTACGTCTACCGGTACTTTCTCTACCAGTGGTCTCATCTTTGCTTCATGGTAAGTCGCTTTCACGACTCCTCGCCTACCCCATGCAGAAAAGCTAATCAAACTTGCGTCAGGCCCTGGACCCCGAGGACGACTCACTCATCGGCGTCATCATCTGCAAGCTCGAGGTTCATTCATCGCACTCGCCTCCAACCCGTCGAGGGTACATTGCCATGCTGGCTGTGGCCTCACATTTCCGCGGGCGGGGGATTGCCACCGCCCTGGTGAAGAAGGCAATCGAGGCCATGGTAGACCGCAATGCGGATGAGATTGTGCTGGAGACGGAGGAGACAAACACGCCTGCCATGAGGCTGTATGAACAGCTTGGCTTCATACGATCGAAGAAGCTGCATCGATACTATCTGAATGGGAACAGCGCTTATCGATTAGTCCTCCTCTTGAAAGCAGTCGATTCAGATCGAAGCTCCATCTATGATGAGAGTCAAATCACATGATGTGAGCTTGGTATGCTATCATTTTGTCGAGGTCCCTCTCCTAGATCGCTGGTAGCATAGACCGAGGGGATACGTCGGCTGTTGTAGAGATTTGGCACATGGGACGGCGTGTGGTTTATGATGAGGCATCACTCAGAATTGGCGTTTTTTTTAGCATTTATGATATCTACTTATCTTATAGCATACTGTACGGTCTTTCAATGAATTTGATAGTTACTGATGGTCATCTCCTGTTGGTTATATTCGTATGTACATAGCATACTCTGGCAATCTTTTTTTAGCTAGCATACAACTTGCGCTAAAATTGTACCTATCTGACAAATATCATGTTCATGCCCGGCGCGGAAACACATCAGTTGAGCTGTAAATGGAAGCTCTAACGCCCCAGGCATTGCCAGACGAGATGCCAATATATGTGAAGGCATCTATTGTACCAGGTTAATGAAATCAGTCTGACAACTGGTACCGTAGAGCAGAGAACTTGCCTGGTTTATAATAGATTGGTCGACCTCTAGCTTCGACCAGTCTTAGCTCCCGAAGCGTTTGCAACACACGCCCAACGTCGGTCTTGTCCCTGAAGTCTGCCGTGTAAATACACAAGAGACGATCTTTGCGAGGGTCTTCCAATGGTGATCGCGGCAAAACCTTGGCAGCGATACCAAGCTCGTTGTTTGCAGTAGCTTTTGCAACAATCTCCCACATTTCATTTACTTCCGAGGCAGGGCAGAAGAGCAGCCACTAGGAACATTGCATTGTCAGTAATGAGGCCGCCATTTATCCCTGAGCTCATTTATCAAGAAGACTCGTACCTTGCCTGTTCGAACCTTGGCGAGATGGGCCAGGTCCAGAATGTCGTTGACAGCCTGCTTCTGCTCTTTTCTAATTTCTTTCTCGACAACGGACTTTCCCTTGCCCGACCTCTGCATTCCTTCGATAAATTTACTGACTAGATGAAGCCTCTCCAAGCCTCCTTGAGCGACTATTGCTGTCTTACTACCCTCTTCCTCTGGCGCCTCGTCCTCATTTCCTTTGGAGAATTGACCCTGGCTCTCCAGCTTGTGCACTCTCGGGATGTAGGGATTGCATATATATATCCATGGTACCTCGGGCGTCTGATCAGTTGTTGATGGTGGCAGCCGTGAGAGAAACTGGTCTATTGTCTCTGTGAGTTGCCAGGCGTAGGGGATTCCGGAATAAGGGTTGTGTAGGTGGGAAGCCTCCTCGAGGAAATCTGTCTGTTGTAGGGGCCGGCCCGGATGCACTCGCTGCTGCAGGGCCCATTCATCCACGTCGAAGTCAGCCACCCGCTGCAAGAGATTTGATGTGGTTTCCTCATCGCCTAGTTCTGCGGTCAGAATATGCACATGTTGTTTTTTGGGTTTTTCAAATAAGCGAAGCAAGTCCGAGATACCAACCATAGAAATCGGATTCGTCGCTGTCCATGGCGGCGTTGGGCTACCCGCGCCGCACTTTAGTCAACACCGGCACCGCCGCCACAGCAAATCGATGCCCCGTCCGCCACCGGGCGTGGCTAATTCGTATGGAGGTCAAAAATACTGGAGCTGGCGCGAGAAAAACATGAGCCGGATCGCGTTCTCAGCGTGTGCGTGTCGCTCAGAAAAGAGTATCCACGGTATAGGTACCAGAGCTTTCAGGTTCCTGGCGCAGCTGTCAAAGTTTGCGATATGGTGCCAAAAAGATCGCAACGCCTATTCTCAGGCCAAATTAAAGATGGAACCAGGGAAAGAGGACCAAAGGACTGCTCGGGAGAAGAGACGAAAGATGGAAAACCTTGACGCGGGGATCGTTTGCTATATGTGATAGATGTTGTGGCCATGCTGATGGTTCATGTTTACAACGAGCCTCCCCTGCCACTCCAAGTCCCCAGTTAATGCTGCGCGGGCTGGCGGGAAGCCATCCGATAAGCTCCACTGCACGCCACAAGCTGCCAGGAGCCTTTTTATGCCTTGCAGCGTTGCGTGCGAATTGCTTTTTTCTAGGCTCCCAAAGGCAAACATGATACGAGTGACGTACTCAACTTGAGCTGCCGACTATCTTGTTATCCCCTGGTCTCTCTCACTGCCGGTGTTAGCTGCTAAGCATGGAAGAATTAACGCCCATCGCCTCGCTGCGGTCACTGATACTAGATCTGCCGCCGAGCTGTGCTGAGTTTTGCCCGGCGCACCCTGAGTATTTGGTCGTGGGCACGTACAATTTGCAAAAGGACGACCAAGCCGAGGCAACAGCATCGGATGCTCAAGAGGAGGGTGACGCTCCGGCAGCTCCCAAGCCCCAGAGCCGGAATGGCAGCCTTGTCGTTCTCAAGCTTCAAGGCGATGACATGTAAGGCTGCAAATATGGCATTCGATGTCTGCTTAGTAGAGTTATGGAATTGTCGGGCCACTAACTGTTGGTGAGGAAAATAGATCGATAGTGCAGACCGTTATGCAGCCCTCTGCTCTGCTGGATCTTCGCTTCCACCAGACCATGCCGGAATTCCACAACATCTTGGCGGTGGTATCAAGTACCGGAACCCTGGCCATGTTCAAGTTCGACCCGCTTGGATATGCCAGCGCACCATTGCAGCATCTTACCACCAGCAGATGCGATGACTTGGATGAAGACGTCCTCTTTCTGCAATGCAATTGGCACCCAATTGCCAACAGGGTCCTTGGGGTCACCACCTCCACCGGCCTAGCAAGACTGTTGCTGCTTAATGATGAGTGGAAGATTGCAAAATCAGCCGATGTGGCCATTCAGAACTCTCTTGAAGCTTGGTGCATAGCTTTCTCCCCAGCAGATGCTACTTCAGACGCAACAAACCAGCCAATCTCGGTCTACTGCGGGGGAGACGACTCTGCGCTTCGATATACGACCTGTCACTGGGAGGGCGGCGATGAACAAAGCGATTCATCATCAATCTTAACTGTGCCGTTTGGGCCCATAGCTATAAAGGGACAGCATGATGCAGGAGTTACTGCGATTCTGCCCCTGCGGCTATCAGCCCAAGATCATGGTAGAATAGTCATCACTGGTAGCTACGACGATCATCTTCGAGTCTTTTCCATTCAGGACCTTCATGAGTCCTGTGGCATAAAGCGTGTGCAGCTTCTTACAGATGCGAACCTCGGCGGTGGTGTATGGAGGCTGAAGCTGATCGATATCCAGACAGTGGATAGTTCGACGAGGATTCGAATCCTGGCCTCTTGCATGTACGCTGGAGCCAGGCTCGTCGAGATCGTAACGGACAACAGTGGCCAGAGCTGGAAATGCGTAGTCTTGGCCCAGTTTGAAGAACATAAGAGCATGAATTATGCCTCGGACATTTCAAGCCTGTATCCCACGGTGGACGGGAGGATACGCGTTGTGTCGACCAGCTTCTATGATAAACTGCTCTGCCTGTGGGAATATGAGCCATGACGCTAATAAGAGACTAAATGAAATGAATTCTGGGCGATCCGACGTTGTTGTGATAGTAAGTGACAAATCCTTGCTTGACCCAACCAACAGGTATGTGGGCGATATTCCGTATTAGGCCTGTAGTCTGTTTAGTAGCTGGTACCATCTCCGGCCTCCTTCTAGAAGACGGAGGGAAGCCAAGCAAGCTAGACATTTGGTCAGTTCCGGTTAAATCAAAGCGTCCGGCGCGGGGTGCATTCGGCAGAGGTGCTACTTCGCTGATCGGCCAGACAAGGTACGGTACGGAGCAATAAGCCAGCACAGATGGATATCGACCACTGCATCGCGCACCGCACCTCCACTGGGCTGCAGCGGTTCCACTGGAGACTGAATGCTAGCACAGGCTCCACCGCTGTCTGGCGCGTGTCTTCCGTCCCGGCGATGTATCCACGGCTTGCTCTCAGCCTTGCAGCGCTGTGGCACCGCAGCCGCATACGACCTCAATAAGGACGAAGATTGAGGCTGATGAGGCTTTGTTGTTGCAAAAGAATTGGCGCCAGAGATACCTCTAGTGATTGGCAGAGGCTGAAGGCTCCATCAGCCGCTAAGGTCCGGCCTAAAGACGAGATTGAGGTCCCCTAAAAAGCTACCCAGGTACCTGCCCAAATCTAACAAACCCAGCACAAGCTTCAAGGTACAGGTTGCTGGCAACTGGCGCGGCGTGATCCTCACTCAGCACAATCTTTCTGCCTGCTGACCGCCTTCGCCGTTTGCTCATTGACATACCCAGCCTCTCTAATCTGCCAATTCTTTTGCATGCCCTTTGATTCTTCATTCTTCATGCATAGCAGCGGTTGAGTCATATCCGCACGCCTCAGTCCTGACGAATCGAGCCCCGCTAGCCCTGTTGCTGCCGAAAAGCCGTCACCCCCAAATAACCGGACGCAATATTTTTAAACCCCTGCTCTTTTTATTTTTAGTGAACGGCAGCCAAACCTCGATGATCGTGCCCAATCCGACCGACTTCTGAATTCACACTCTCGAGGCTGTTTCGTGGGATAGAGCATCTCCGTCCTGCGCCGCGTGCAGTCGCGACAGAAACCGTCCATCCTGCAGCGTTTCTGCTCGCCACCGCAGCTGATTAGCAATCATGTCTACCAACGGCGGAGACGCGAGAAACGGCGGAGATGCAGATGTGCTCGCCAGGATTCACCTGGCACTCGAGGTGGTTCACAGCCCGCTCTCGACCAATGACGCGCGTCGGGAGGCCCAATCCTTCCTCGAGGAAGTCAAGGACATCGCCGAAGCTCCTTTCCAGGGCTACCAGCTAGCCTCCGACAAGACCCAATCGCCCGTTGTTCGCCATTATGCCCTGTCACTTCTCGAGCACGCTATACGATATCGATGGGCGACCTATACTGAGGAACAAGCCCAAACACTCCGGAACTGGGTGCTGGAGCTGAGCCAGGCCGTTTCGAAGGAAGACCCGTCATATCTGAGGAACAAGACGGCCCAGCTTTGGGTGGAAGTGGCTAAGAGAAGCTGGGGCTCCGAATGGACAGATATGGACGACATGCTTGTTGAGCTATGGAAGGTTCCCAATTCAGCCGTCCACAAGGAGCTTGTCATGTCTATTCTTGAATCTCTCTCAGACGAGGTGTTCTCTGGAGATGACCCTGTCGTTGCCATGAGAGAAGGTGTCTTGAGCAAGGCGTGTGTCGAGATCTTCACTCCCACGGCAGTGCTGGTTGAGGCTTTCCCCAATCGCCAGCCCGGCCCAGACGTTCGGTGTGGTCATGAGGGCTGGCTCGCCCGTCTTTCAGAGTTCCTGGGCATGTGTTTCAGCTCTGGCACTCAGAATGATGAAATCAAGACTTGTATTATCAAGGGATTTTCAGCTCTCCTTTCACTTCTGGCCTGGGCTATTCCAAAAGCTATATCGTCTGCTCGGTGTGTGGACATCTTGACAGCCGGCCTGGCATCCCAAGCAATCGAAATTCAAAAGGTAGCTCTATAATGCCACTGGGTGATTGTTCCTATGCTTCTCGTGCTAACAAGTCCTCCCCATAGGTTGCTGTAGATGCCCTGCACATGCTGTATATGCGAACCAGCTTCACAGATGATGAGTTCAGGGAGATTGTTGCTCCCATGTACACCGGCGCGTCCATTCAACTCTTCAAAGACCTCATTGAACGGTCAGCCGTCGATGCTGACGATATCGACGAAGACAAATACCAAATCTTGAAGAAGCTATCCGAGGTACGCCTACACTACTATCCTTATGCACATACTAGACTACTTACAAGTGTTTGACAATAGATGCTATCAAGCTTGGGTGATTACTTTGAGAAGAAGCACTCCCAGGTCCCTCATGATGCAAACCCCCGGGCTTTCTTGCAGCTCTTGCTCCAAGTAGTACAACATCAAAGCCTCATGGTCTCAATCCCTGTCTTGGTAACGTGGACAAGGCTCCTTGCGAACAAGTACATCGGCCCAAGCGATCTTGTTACACCCATGATTGGACCTCTCCTTGAGGTCTGCAGCTCTAGACTTGTTCGATACGAAAATCTTCCTTCTGACACCACCAACCCAACATTTATCTTCCTGATGGAGGATACCGATACCATTCCCGAGCGCCACGCCTTTTTGGGCAATTATCGCCGCTACAGCTCACAGATTGTTGAGGCTATCGTACAGCTTAAGCTCGTCGATGCGGTATCCTATATTCTAGGACAAACTGAGCAAGTTTTGCAGCATTTGTATGATGGACAGCCTCCATTTAATAGTAAGAACCAGCCGCTACCATTCTTCCGGCTAAAGTGGAAAGCTAACACAGTAAAGAACAAAATTATTTCAAGCACTCAATGCCTGTTTTGCAAGTAGATTCCAACTTTACATTGATTGAAGCGTCATTAAAAGGTTATGCGAAGTGGAAAAGGGCACACTCCCACAACAACGTACGTAATGAACGCGCCTCCGATTTATGTGGCTATTCTTGTCTAACTTGCTTTTAGCAACAACAAATCGCCGAGCTTGAGGCCAGTCTCGAGGGCTGGTGTTCAAGACTTCTTGATATGAGCTTTGAGGTATGCTTTTGGATTATCCAACTATCTTTTGCCGCCTCTATTATGGAAAAGCTTACACCTAGGCGCTCCACAGGATCCTCTTATCCGAAAGCGAACTCTCCAGCTGCTAGTCTATTTCTCAACAAACGCTCTGAACAAGAACGCGAATTTCATGCTCAAGGTGTTGGAACATATCATTCTCACCTGGCCAGTGTTGGAACCAGAATACCGCGCGTACAACGATGCCATCAAAGACTTTCAAGTCGAGAGCATGCTCGAATTACATCGCCTTGCTATCGGAATGCCTGATCACCTTCTGGTAAGTCCCCCTTATACATCCAAAAGAATAAACATTTACCACCTACGGAAGCGCTGACTATGGCTGATCATCAGGGGGTTTACGACCAAATTGAGGCCCGTGTGAATGAGATGATGGCTACTGGAAAGCTAGATGATAGACGAACACTTGCTTACAAAAGCTTTTTGTTCTTGATCATGTAAGTCACAGCATGGTAGTTTCTGAGGACTTCGTGCAGGCTCTAATCCGGGTACAGACATCGAGCGAAAAGCGTCGACATTCCAGCCAAAGTCCAGAAACTGCGAGAATTTGTAGAGCCTGTAAAGGCGCAATGGCAAGAAGAGAACATCAAATCTTCCGTTAGGTCGTATTCTGGCTTCTGCGAACTTCTTGCACTAGACAAGGCCCAAGCCTACCTAGCCAACCGCCAGGCGCATAAGATTCAAGACTGGGGCTCGTCCGAGCTTGATGCAGAGGGATTGGCGCTTCAGAACGAGTTGGAAGAGCGTCTCAAGGTATGGAAGGAAACACGCAAACCGCTTGAAATATTACTTGATCAAAAACAATATGCGCTGACACAACATAAAAGCAACTGCCTCTCCGTTCGATGAAAACCCTCTTAGCTCTATCTGTGGACAGGGTTGAAAAATCATCCACCTCATATCAAGCTTCCTGCGAAATCTGGAAAGACGGGTTCCCTAACATCCTAGCAGACCTGCTGCGCCTCCTAAGGTTTGTTGTAGTACTCAGATAGTTACTGTTTTCGATTTTCTGACCTGACTATAGCTACGCCCACGCATCACATAACCCGCATAACTGGACAGGCTTCCCAGACGATATGCGCAGCATTGTGGACAAGGTTCTAAGCGATCGATTTTGGCAGGCTGGTATTTCGGAAGGGAGCAAAGATGACTTCTATGCCAGAGTGTTTGACAAGAAGAACACGATAGAAGGACTTGCTTCAACTATTCGCGGGTCGGTACGGTTTGTTCGTGAGACGTCCTATGGAGTTCTGTACTGCATGAGCAAGCTTCATTCGCAATTTTACGGGTTCAGTGGACTCGCTGCTCCGTTATCCGAGGCTTTCTTTTCAGACTCCATCTGGCTGTCTACTCACCAACAGAGCAACTTATTGGGCTTGGTTAGACATCTTGTCGACGATTGTCCGGTTGACTGCCGTGAAAACTTCTTGCCTGAGCTTTTGTCCTCATGTTTCCGGCAAATGGACTCGAAGATCAACTCAGAGTGGGCAAAGCTTGAACAGCAGCAGACTGTGACAGTAGATGGCGACGCTGAGCTCAAAGAGGAGATGAAGTCCGAGAGTATACTCCGTCAAGTAACATACACCGCTGTGGTGATGGTGGCAGATTTTTTGGATCCGACCAAGCCAAGTAAGACAACCCGTTTTCTACTCTACAGCGCTGCTCGTTTACTAACCTGTTTCTTCTCTTTTTCTGTTTAGACTCTCCAACTTTAGAATCACAAGCGCAGAACCCTGATGCTCAAAACGACTCTGGGGCAGCATATCCCTCTCTAAGAAAGTTTTGCTTAACCCATCAACAAATCATCGAGCCGCTCTTGCTTTTCTGCATGCATGGAATTCGGATGCGGGATATCAGATGCTGTGGAATGCTGCTGCGGCTTTTTATATCACTGGTACCAGAATTTGGCGCGGCATCATCTAAGAGAAGCCAAACACAGCAGGCTACCGACGGACACGGAGCAAGTATACCTGTCGATTCATCTCCTATCCCTCCCGAGATCGCTTCAGCTGTTCGGGAGTACATATCATCGGACGTAATGAGAGCATGTATCACCTCATTCCATGAGCCATACTTTGTGGACGTTCAAAAGGAATTGGCGGCACTCATCGCAGCGGTTGTGGTTTACTACAGCCCAATCACATCAACACCTACGGATGTCCTTTTGGCGCTGCCAAATGTGAATCGTGGAGAGCTGGAGCGTCTAAACGCATACGTGGCTAAACCGGGATCGCACACGCGGCAACAGAGGGCAATCGTCCTGGAGTTCTTGAAAGATCTCAAAGGAGTAAGCGTCTCAGAGATGGGAAAGCTAAACAAGAGCGCCGGCTTCGATGGTTCAAGCCACTCCAAGCGTCCAAGCCGCAGCAAGATGGCTCAGGGGTTCATGACGAGCGCCCCAGCAACATCCGATGCTACAAACCACAAAAGGGGAGACGCAGCGGGAGACAGGGCCACACCCGATGGCTTAGAAGGCATTTCTAATTTGTTTGAGAGTTAAAAGGGAGGAAGGAGATATATTACAAAATTCTTCGAATTGCGTTTTGAGTTGATGATGAGCTGATACACTCAGCCTTCAGAATTACATGGCGGCAATGGGACGCAACGAGAGTTTACCTTTCCCCTGTTGTCGTATACTAACTATTATTATTTTCTTCTAAATATAGCTTCTTTTCTTAGAGAGAGTGGTGCAAAAGCCACGGGAGAGGTACGAGAGATATACAAAAAAGGGAAGGGAAAAAAATTGTGGAAAAGAAGAGAGCGTCAGTCGGATAATGGAGATTTGCTGTGGAAGCTCAACGCAGTTACACCAACATAGGTACGTCATGTAAGAGGTTGTTTGCTATATGGAGTGTCATTTGGCATTCGGATGACGATAGTAATTCCCTCTTATGGGGGTCACAAGCATATGAGATGCGAAGGCAGACTATTAGGTAGAATGTTGAGAGGGAGAAGTCGTCGTAGCTACTAGATCTAATAGTGGCAGAGGTGGCCGCTTGATTATGTCACAGCGGACCTTGAACATCCTTCTCTCCCCATCTTTATTCCCTCTTTCGCTGGTGTTGTTATCATTACTGCTGTTGATTGTGCAGCAGGCTGTGACACGATCAAGGGAATGATAGCCCAGGACCAAAGGACCATGGACTATATGGCTTGGCACCTCCCCTGGCTGGCACATGTCACAATATGTTCCGAAGACGACGCAGAGTATCGTTTTTCCTTTGTTGTGGCCGAGAGGGATCAGCTACTACGCCCGTTCGCTCAGAAAGAGAGTGTTTGTAAGGAACAATGCTTGGGGGCAGGAAGAAGTATAATACTCAATATTTTGGCGTAATCCTTCTAGATGCAGGGGTAAATTGGGTGAAAGAGCTGCATTTAATATCGGAGGAGGGCCGGCCTATCAGATGCCACTATCTAGTATGCTTGTGATGAGCGGTAGCACCTAGCCTTTGCATACCACACGATGATACTAACATGTAGCAAATGATAAGAGGGGGTTGAGGAGGGTTACACGTGCGCACGCTGTGATCCGTCTCGCTTCGCGTGTTTTGGCCTACCGGCGTGGAGAGCCGTTCGGCAACGGACAGGCAAAGATTTTTTTGTTTGGGCGATTGCGGTTTTCGGTCTTGAGGAGGGATCGGGCGATTGGGCGTGAGGGTTGTGAACAGCTGCTTTCTTATAGCAAGCTCCCATGTTACGAAACTGACATCGTATCATCCATCCATGAGTATCGTATAAGGTACGAGATCAGATTATGACAAGTATTCTGCCTAGGTATCTACCTAGACAGGCACTTATATTGGTATGGCACCAAGCATTTGTCGTTGGATCCTCCGAGTCTATTCAAGATTCTCTGTTTCCGGAGAAATTCGGAAGCTCTAATGCGACCGGTGAGGAATGGATGCACTAACAAATTGAATACTGCGAGCCAGCACCGTCATCGTCCTGGCTGTTGTTGGTCTGCTGCTGGTAGCCTCCCGCCCGGAGCTGCACATCGCCTCTTTTTGCGGACCTGCAGAGAGTCGATTGGCTTCGTCCATTCTTCTTCCTTTGCCCATTTACTACATCTACTAACAACTTGTAACAATACATAGAGCGCCGTGCTACTAAAGTTACTCGTACAGGCGGCTGCACACACTGCCTAGCCTCGAGCGCGGCAACGTACCCATAACGATGGTCAAACAAGAGTGTTTGGCTTGTCGCAGCTATTAATAGCCCGAATTGCCGACGGAGATGCTCTGCGGTTGTTTATATACAATACATGTATCCACTTGCACTAATGCCTACAGCAGGCAAGGTAGTTTTTCTATTAGACGACGGGCTTGATTGCCTCATATATTGACAACTTCCATAGTTGATTATGGACTTTCAAAGCTTTGTGGAGGTCAGGCGCCTTTAGCTTGCACGGGCTTAAGCTACTACAGCTGCTGTCCTTCCTTTTCCAGAGCTCTTGATATCGCAAGGCGGAGCTGAGTGGCGGCGAGCAATCTCGGATAGCTGCAGCAATGGTTGCACCGAGGCTTTTGCCCCGGTTGGACTGAAAAATTGAGAAATGAAAGAAAAGACGATGAAAATGCAGATGAAATCTTTTTACTATGACAGTCTTTAGCAAGACCAATGGGGATCATGATGGTACCTAGCAATACCAGCAGCAGTACTATTTGACCTGCTAAAGCTCATGTACGCGTACCGCATGCCGTAATTGGCAGAGGCCAAATTGGAACTCCCTGCCACGCTACTACTAGTAGACCGTTTAGGGCCTCCCTAGTGCCAGAACCTCGCGCAGTGGGCACTGGCCGTTGATGCTACCGGCGCCACCTGAAGCTGCCCCCCTGGCACCTGTCAGTTGCCAGTGTCTGAGGCGTCGACGCCATATCCGACACGTCAGGCTACATTGCCGAGTTGCTACAGCGGGCGACGAACTGCGGTGCAGGGGAGGTCCGAGAACCAGAACGATTGAAGCAGAAACCAGTGAGACTCGGTGCAGTTGCTAAGATACATCGAACGACAATTACATGCCTCGTATCATACAGGTTATTGGTTTTATCTACTTTGCGTCAATGATTTAATTCTTTTTCTTTTCCCGCTTCTTGGCACCGCTCCGTGCTGGTTTCGCTGAAACGAAAGTCCTCTCAACGCAACCCTCTCCCCTCTCCGTCCTCCGCATACAAGTCTGCCCCATCATATCCCCATGTCCATCTTGTTTCTTGGTTTCTTTTTCTTCATTTTTCTCTATTCCCTTTTTCCCTTTTTCCTTTTTTTCTTTACCATCCTGCTCGCCTCCTCTGGCTGGGTCCCCGGTTCTCACCCGCAGCTGTCATCGGCACCCGGTGAAACTCCCCGTCTTAGGGTGCCATTTACCATTTACCCTCTCCTAGTCCTTATGCTTTGCCCCCTCTCTTTCTAACTTGTTCTCTGCCGAACAAGGTATAATCCAAGGCCCTCCCCTATTGGCATTGTTTTCTTTTGCTTTCCTTCTCCTTGCTTCCACCCAAGCGGCTTCTCATTTCCGTTTTCCTCACCTTGTTTGGGCGACGGAAAAGGTGACATCAAGGCGATCGGAAGCTCCCCCTGTTTGACGTGCTGCCGAAATCGCCAACGGCATCCCCCCCCCCCCCCCCCCCCCCCAGGCTAGCTAGGAAATCCTCCCAGGGGTCCGGATGGGCTCGTTAAGCAGGCGAACAGGCTATGCATCTGCTAGTGACTGCTTCTGCATTTCTGCTAGCGAATTGATGCCCTGTATACACAATTAGCAACGACATCGTGCGCATCCCTAGCTCAATAAGCACGGCATAGCTATATCGATGCTCTGCTATATAGGCCTATTTCCTACCTACCTACTATTTGCCAATTTATCCGGGAGACAACATCCAGTCACCACCAACCACTCACTCTCCCTAGAGACGACATCACCTACCTCACCTCAAGCTCAGCCTCGGCAACTCACACGTCCATCTCACGAAGCCTTCGCTGCTCTGCTCGTCGCGGACGAAAATACATCGCCTCTCGCCTACCTTCCAACGCTTCGGCATTTCTCGTCACTCACTGTTGCACCGCCATCCACCTGCCTGGCTTGTGACAGGTTGAGCAAACATTTCCTTTCGTGGCCTCTTGTTCATGGGCCCCTCCCCTTGCCCCCCAACATCTTAGGAGTTGGTTGGTGCCCTCAAATTCTTGGCTGGCGGCCTTCCTTTCTTTTTGCTTTTGCGTCGAGAAAGCACAGGCTACATCGGAGCTCATCCCTCTAATCCCCCCGCTACAATTTCGTTTCTTCCAGCTCCAAACTCCTTCACCTCCTGGATTTGCTCCGAAATTCTCTTCCGCTTTTCTCTTTTCTCTTTCTCTTATACATCTTTTTCTGGTTTTGGATACGGACTACAGCAGCGTTACTTTTGCTTGCATACGCCGTTCGCTATACTCGAGCTCGTCCCAATTCGGCAATCTAAGTGGTGCCAGCAATTCCGCCGCGTCTCTCCTCCACTTGATAAGGAGGCGCATTACTTGTTTTAAACAGAGAGAGACTCGTCATCTGTTAGAGATTCGGCCTGGCGAGAATATCGGATTCGCACGCCTACATGATCAAGTATCATGGTTCCGGCAGCACAACCCCTCCACTCAAGATACAACGTTTAATATAAACCGATACCCTGAAACCTTCATCGCCATCCACCACCATGGTCTATCAAGGCAAGCCCTCTAGGGGCTGTCAGATGTGCCGTACGCGCCGCATCAAGGTATGTCCTCAGCTCTTTGGTCCGGTTGGGATGCTCAGCGCCGAAAGAAACTCATCATCTACCAGTGTGACGAGACAAAGCCTACATGTAAGCAGTGTGCCAAGTCTCGCCGGCAGTGCCCCGGATACAGAGATGAGTTCGACTTAGTGTTTCGTAACGAGACTCAGGCAACAGAGAAGAGAGCTCAGCGCGCCTCGAAAAAAGCCTTGGCCCAGAGGATGAGCAAGTTCTCCGCTGCTTCCTCGTCAGAATCACCCTCTCCAAACGAGACGTTCTCAGCACCCTCCTCCTTTAGCACCGCCGAGCATCTGGCTTCACTAGCCTCGCATGGCCGAAAGAATCAGCAGACGCCCTGGACCGGTCTGTATGCCCTTCTGCAGAAACCCCAGATGGACCTGGAGGGCCAAGCGAGCTGTCATTTCCTGTCCAACTACGTCCTCATTCCTCGAGGGGGAAACGGCCGCGGGTTTCTCGAGTACATTGTGCCACTGCTGAGAGCAGAAGACGTTGCTCCTCAGTTTAAAGCTGCATTCGATGCCTGTGCGATGGCTAGCTTTGCCAATTCTCAGGGCAACCAGCATCTTGTTGAACGTGCTCTGCGCACTCATTCCAAGGCTTTGGGGGCTATCAACGTGGCATTGAATAATCCAGACACTATCAAGCAGGACTCTACCTTGGCGGCAATTCTCCTGCTGGGACTTTTTGAAAACATTACAACACGAAATCTTGGCATGTTGGCTTGGGGCCCTCACATCCGGGCGGCGATCCAGCTTGTTAGGAAACGAGGCCGCAAACAACTGCGGACCAAAATCGGCGTGGCATTATTCATAGCTGTGCGAACTCAAATGGTAAGTCTAGTATCTTGTGGATTCTCTTTTGCTTCCTTCTAATCGCGTTTCTGTAGATTGTCCACACGCTCAGCACCGCCAAGCCCCCTCTGATGCAATCAGAGTGGTGGGTTAATTCAGATGCGATACGAGACCCCCTTGCCTCCCAGTGCCAGAAACTCAGTCTCCGTGCGGGTGAAATCAGAGCGGAAGTCAATCGACTCATGAGCCAACTGCCTCGGAACATGGAGAGCGTCGAGGCTATCCGAGATATGATCAGGCAATCCCAGGAGGTGGATTTTGAGTGCGTTCGCTGGGCAGAGTCGCTGCCGGAGAATTTCAGGTATCGGACGATCCTCTGGCAGGACGATATCCCCGATGCAGACTATTCTCAGCTAGAGGTGTTCCCAGGCCGCGTCGACGCTTACCCAGATTTATGGGTAGCCAGCCTATGGAGCACGATGCGAGTGTCTCGAATCATCTTGGCATCTCTCGTCATCCGATGCGCAGCCTGGGTTTGCTCGCCGGTTGACTACCGTACGGCGCCAGAGTATGCCACAGCGAGGAGGATATGCGCAGATAGCATTACGGATATAATAGCATCAGTACCCTATCAGCTCGGGTGGTTTTCGACGCGCAAGCATCTATTCAACCAGCAAGAAAGCCTTGTTGCATTCGCCTGCGGAGACGAGGATAGCTCAAAAAGCCTCGCCGGATACTTTTTGACATGGCCATTGGCCTGCATCCAAGGTCAAGACTACACAACTGATGCTCAGAGGACCTGGGCCCGGGGACGGCTCACTTACATTGGGAGAGAGCTAGGTGTAGCCTATGCTCTGATGCTGACTCAGGTATACATTATCTCCTTTTTTCACAACTCCTAGATACCATTCCATTCCCGACTCATTCCCTTAAGATGCCTGGCGGCTAACCGCTGAAATCAATGTAGCTCAACTATCGAACTCCTTCCATGCTTATCAGGATGGACGGCTTGATGGCCACCAACACTTCCCCCAACGTCGAGAAGCTCCTCTCCATGAAAGTCGCGAAGCCGTCTACAATCATGTCCGCAAACCCTATGCCACAGCAGTTCTTCAGACAGAACTTCCAGGGCCAGCCAACCGTACTGGTAAGTGAGGTAGCAAACATTATTTGAGGGCTAGCTCGCTAAAGATACTGTGACAGCTGCCGCAGCATACAGTTATATCCACATACGATGATACGAGTCCAGAGGGTGACTGAGCTTTTGTGTGTCACGCAGCAAAAGCATAGGGGCTGAAGGCGCATGTACGAGACAAGCTACAAACAAAGGGGTATGGTAATCAGGCGCAAAAGGGCAGACACATTCGCAGGCATGCGAAACGGTATTATTGGTTTTCTGGTTCTTCTTTTGGATAACGTCACCGTATCATATTGTTTGTTAATGGGGAGGGAGGGGAAATATCAGCGCAGGTGTTTAGATAGTGTTACATATTACAAGATATGCATGATGACCGCTTGGATACCTTGTTCGGCCCAGCGACAACGCAACAATCACCATCGTCTTGGTGAAATTCGAGTTATTCCTCCGCATTGCTCTTGGCAAGTACATCGTATCCATGAAGTGATGGCGAAACGATCATTTCCCATCTCCTCTTTCCGAAGCCATTACCAGGACTTGGTTCCCCTTGGTATTTCGTGCGCGTCCTTTCACATGTCATTTAAAACTTAGAGTCGGCTTGATAGCTCTTTTGAGTATCACTATCTCGAGCCTTTTCTCTTCCTATAAGCAGACACAAAAACATTCAAGTCAGAATCTTGTCCCTAAAAGATGTAGTTGGCCTTCAACTCACATTTCCTCGTCCTTCTGAGCGGCGGCCAGATTCCAGGCCTTGACGACGTAGCTCTGCGTCTTGTCGACGTACTTTTCGTTTTGCATCTGCCGGACGCCGACGCGCACGCCGTCCTTTGTGAAGACGACGTTCTTCTTGCCCATGCGCTCGGACGCGCTCTCGCGGATCTTGGTGAATGAGAGGTAGACCTGGTAGAGGACCCAGGCGATGCCGCTGATGAAGGCGATGGCAATGACGAGGGGCACGACTTGGCTGTGGACGCGCGCAAACTGCTTGTTAGACTTTTCTCTCGTGGGAGAGGGATTACGAAAACAGGGCGTACCGAATTATTGAAGGCATGGTGTTTTCGATGGTGGGAGATTAGATGAGCTGAGATGAGCTGAGAAGATTTGGTATAGAATAAAAAAATGGGTATCTGGTTAAAAGAGAAGAGAGAATATGGAGAATATGGCCTTGGCACGAAAAGCGGTATCTTTGATGTAGTGAAGCGGTGTTATTGAAGTCTTGAGGCGCGCGACAGGATGATGTCAATTGTGGTGTTTGAAAATCGAAGGGATAGAGAAAGCTGAAGGAATGGCAGTCACGCGACAGAAGAAGAGAAGTAAAAGTAGAGTAAAAGAAATAAGAAAAGTAAAAAGCGCGACGTGATAAGAAGAAGTAGAGATTTTCGTGGCGTGCCTGAATTAGAAATGAGAGGAAACGGTTTTGGGAGATTCGGGACTTTAAAGAGGCGAAGCTGAAAGCTGAAAGGAATAAATTGTTTTTTGAGGGGGGGTGGGAGGCTTGACAGGGAATGCTGGGAGAATCTGGCCTAGGGATGGACGGATTGCCAAATGGAGGAGGCCTCTGCCTCTTTTTCTATCGGGCTACGAATAAGAATAAAGGTACAGGCCAATTCATTATAGGTAGAGCCCACCTACCAGAAATAGCACTATGAAGCGAACAGGGTCTGCGCTGCATGGTCTGCATGTGCCGTGGGAGCTGCTGCGGTTGGTTTGCAAGAACTAATAAGAGGAGGCACCGGGCTGTGGAATTCGGGCTCGGAACAAGCATAATTCCATGAGACGGCGCGCTCCACGAAAGAAGGGGGAGAAACAACAACTTCAGTGTTCTTTTTTGGAGCCCCTTTTGTTCGTCGATTTGCGGAGGTCGAGGTATGTAAGACCTAAGATCAAATATCGAGGGTTGCTTACTGTAGCAGAGTCCCTTGTTTTGTCAAAGCTGGGCTGCTGTTGGTGATTACTGAGGGTTTCCGGTGCCTGAATGTTTTAGTGGGCTCTGGAGAAGCGCTAATGCGCTGTGGGCACGGCGGTGGGTTCTGTAGGCGAATGCCTGTCAGTATTGCTGCATGCTTGTGTATTTGAATGTATTCAATGTTGTAAATGTCTGGTGTGATGAATTAGCTATTCGTCCTCTTTCTTTTCGATGACATACTGTGTATGATAGGCAGATGAGATTTGAAGAATTCTAGGCTAATGGCCATGCAAGGTCTACTACTTATACCAGGAGGCGAAAACTCACAACTCTACGACACAGGCAAGTGAATAGGTGCATCGAAACCACTCTACAAGACACTTCGGGTTAAAGAAGGAAGACGTCAACACTTGCATTGAACTCGGCGTAAATCTATACCGGAATACAGCAGCCAGCCGTTTCATCAATATCCCGTTTCGATGGAGTGAAATCCCCCGCAGCCAAGCAGCGTCCTAATCGGGACACTGCAGTGGCGATGATTCAACAGGGGCTCTAGTTTCATTTCGCTTGCCGGATTCCGCGCATCGTTCATCTGTTCCTTGGCCGTATCTGGTGCTATGATTTCGACCTACCCTGGGGGCTGGACAGGCTGCTCAATGAGATAAATAAAATTTACTTCGTATATAAAATAGGTTTCTTGTAAGTGAACCATTTTCACATCTCGTCTATGCTAGTGCTAGATTTTCACGAAAAAGATTTTATTCTTCGAAATACCTCGAGAAAATCCAGACCACTGCTATGGAGGTATTGCAGAGCATGTGGCCTTCAGCTTACATTGAGGAGCCTGATTTTACTTAGGTAGTGTGGCTGAGCCGAGCATGCCAGCTAAACAATGCTTCTGACTGGCATCGTGGCCTTAACATTTCCAGGCTACACTCACGCTCTCCTGATGAAAAATGTGATTGCGTGTCTCAATAACACGAGATTCTTGGCCATTCAATAGACACCTGTTCAAATTCTCGTGCTTTTTGCCAGGCTATAAAATTGCCGCCTGCAACATTGTCATATTTCAGAGCTGCGTCAAGCCTCCCTGCTCCAGCCACAGCGCCCCTCTCCATGTGGCGCAGAGGCGGTCTACTCCGTAATTACTTGTTGATCCAAAGAGGACACACTGCTGAATCGATCGAGGTACTGCACCAGCAGTGACAGCTGGCTCTGCCCACGACCAACCAAACTTCTTCCATCTCCAGCCTATCAATCCGCCCGGCCGGCTGGCTTCAACGTCCAAATCACCCATATTTCGATTGTCGGACTCCAACTAGGTCGTTCTCATTCCCTCGCTCGAGCGCCAAGCTAGAGCTCTCTTTGTTGGGAACCCCCACCGACCCGATCTGACCTACCTATATCAACATCCCCTCCCTTCAGCCGCGCACATAGCGACGCCTTCTGTCGATACTCTATCACCATGTCGGCGCCGCCCAACGATGGCTACGGCCAACCGCTTGATCAAGCACAGGAGCAGCCTTACGATGGCCAAGCCGCGCACCCAGCGCACCAAGAGGGAGCTGCTGCGGGCAAGAAGAAGAAGCGAGGATATGCGGCGCAAGCTTTCGAGGTCGGCACAGGAGCCAATGCTCTAGCAGGTGGCCAGGTACCAGGCGGACAGCCATTCGCTGGCGCGCCAATCCAAGGCGGTGCCGCTCCCTACGGATCATATCCTCAAGCCGAGCCTCAGCCCGTCGCCGGCGGCCCTGCAGCTCCTGGATATCAGTATCCCCAGCCCGGTTATGGCGGCCAGCAACCCGCCGCGGCATCGCAGCCCGCTTACGGCGGCTATCAGGCTCCGGATCAGGGATACCAACCACCAGGAGGTCAAGGACCTGCCGCCGGCGTCGCTGGTATCACCCAGGGCATGGCTGGTATGCAGATGGGCAGCCAGCCTCAACAGCCTCAGATGGCCCAAGCAGCCAGACCCGCTGTCCTCAACCAGCTGTATCCTACGGATCTTTTGACGCAGCCATTCAATGCCACGGAGCTGGATCTACCTCCTCCTCCGATTATCCTCCCGCAAAATGTGAGTAAATACATGTCTTTTAGTGATACGCGCGGCTTTAGCTGACCAGCGCTTCTTCGCCTTTCGCACACAGACTAGCGTGACCGACTCGCCAGATGCCAACTGCCCTTCGCGATACATCCGCTCTACAATTAATGCCGTCCCTACATCGAACTCGCTGCTCAAGAAATCCAAGCTGCCATTTGCACTAATAATCCAGCCGTACGGAGCCCTCCACGATGACGAGGATCCCATACCAGTTGTCCAAGATCAGGTCATTTCTCGCTGCCGAAGATGCAGGACATACATCAACCCTTTCGTTACCTTTTTGGACCATGGCCACCGCTGGAGGTGCAACATGTGCAACCTGAGCAACGACGTGCCCCAGGCCTTTGATTGGGATGTCGCGGCTCAGCAGGCGGCCGACCGATGGCGACGCCACGAGCTCAACCACGCCGTTGTCGAGTTTGTTGCTCCTCAGGAGTACATGGTCCGACCACCGCAGCCTCTGGTGTACCTATTCTGCTTCGACGTGAGCTACGCAGCTGTTTCCAACGGTCTCCTGGCCACGAGCGCTCGAACCATTCTCGACAGCCTGAACAGGATACCCAATGCCGACCGCCGAACTCGTCTCGGTTTCCTTGCGGTTGACTCTAGCCTTCACTACTTCTCCATCCCCAAGGACTCGGACGAGAATGGCGAGACCAGCATGCTGGTGGTTAGCGACCTTGATGAGCCTTTCCTGCCGGTGCCTCACGACCTCCTGGTTCCCCTGGCCGAGAGCCGCCAGAGCATCGAGAAATTCCTCTCGAAGCTGCCGGATATGTTCCAGAACAACCAGAGCAACGGTTCGTGCATGGGATCCGCTCTGCGTGCCGGACACAAGCTCATTTCTGCTCTTGGCGGTAAAATTGTTGTCCTTACTGCCTCGCTGCCCAATATCGGCGTCGGAAAGCTGGATATGAGGGAGGACAAGAAGCTTTTGGGAACTTCAAAGGAGAGCAGTCTCCTGCAAACTTCAAACAGTTTCTACAAGAGCTTTGCCGTCGAGTGCTCCAAGAACCAGGTTTCCATTGACATGTTTTTGTTCTCGTCCCAGTACCAAGACGTGGCGTCGCTGAGCAACCTGCCGAGATACACTGGTGGTCAGACCTGGTTCTATCCTGGCTGGCACGCCTCACGGCCGGAAGACGCGCTGAAGTTTGCCTCCGAGTTTAGCGATTACTTGTCGTCTGAAATCGGACTGGAAGCCGTCCTCCGAGTTCGTGCGACTACGGGTCTGCGCATGAACGCCTTCTACGGAAACTTCTTCAACCGTAGCTCGGATCTTTGCGCCTTCCCCGCTTTCCCTCGCGACCAGGCCTACGTTGTCGAAGTTGCGATTGATGAGAATCTCACTAAGAACGTGGTGTGCCTTCAAGCAGCTGTACTACACACTACATGCAACGGAGAACGTCGTATCAGAGTGCTGACCCTCGCCTTGCCCACGACGACGAACTTGTCTGATCTGTATGCATCAGCGGACCAGCACGCCATCACCACCTATTTCAGCCACAAGGCCGTGGAGAGAGCGCTCAGCAGCGGCCTCGACGCGGCTCGGGATGCTCTGTCAGCCAAGGTCACCGAGCTCCTCCAAACCTTCAAGAAGGAGCTAGCCGGTGGTAGCATGGGCGGAGGTCTGCAGTTCCCTGCCAACCTTCGCGCTCTTCCTCTCCTGTTCCTTGGTCTCACAAAGAATGTCGGACTGCGAAAGTCAACGCAGATTCCGTCTGATATCAGATCGGCTGCCCTGTGTCTCCTCTCTACGCTCCCGATTCCTTTGTTAATCCGATACATCTACCCCAAGTTCTACTCTCTACATGACATGCCTGACAACGCTGGTGTACCCGATGAGACCACAGGCCAGATTACGCTCCCCCCGGCGCATAACCTTGCTTCGGAGAGATTAGTATCATACGGTCTCTACCTGATTGATGATGGCCAGGTTCAGTTCCTGTGGGTGGGCCGAGACACCGTCCCCCAGCTGATTGCCGATGTCTTTGGAGTAGAGGATCGTACACAGGTTCACGTCGGCAAGGGACGGGTCCCCGAGCTCGAGAACGACTTCAACGAGCGCGTCCGAGCTGTGATTCAGAAGAGCCGGGATCACCGAGCACTTGGAGTGGGAAGCATCACCGTGCCCCACCTGTATATTGTCCGAGAAGATGGCGAGCCGTCTCTCAAGCTGTGGGCGCAGACACTGCTCGTGGAGGACCGAGCGGACCAGGGAGTGAGTGCCGCACAGTGGCTGGGCACACTGCGAGAGAAGGTATGTGGACTGGCATCATAACGATATATCGCTCTATGAAACGGAATACTGACATGAATATCAATCTAGGTTGTGCAGTAATGTTGAAGCGTGCCTGCACTTACGAAAACGTGTTATGGTGTTGCAATTTATAATTGTATAGACTAGGGTAGTGACGGGGGATTCTTCACATGGTGGCTGGCCTGGAGTAAAAAGCAAAATGAGGATAGGAGCGAGGAGAAGGACTTGTGGCTTTATAGTACTATACAAGCAATATTTCAACAAAAACTACTAATGAAAAAATGAAGCATTGTCGAACTTTTAACCTTTAACCGAGTACCCTTGATGCCATGATCGAGTTGGTAATACTCCATATATGCGGATGCCGGTGATAGGCCCGCTGGACGGCCGTTAATAGTAGCAGCTTTTGCGAAGAGTACTAGCATTCAGGGGCAAGACGAAGAATGGTGGCGTGTCTTTTGACAGGTTGGTTGCATGTAACTCCATCTTGTGAATGCGCCTACTTGACGACCAATGCGAAGCTCTAGAGGGCAGCTGTAAACATGAAAGCTTGTGACGGAGGCATGAATATTGGCATCACAGGAGCGCTAAGGCATGTGCGGCTCGTTTTCGTCACATTTGCTGCGGGCGTTATAGTGCTAGCAAGGGACTCTTTCGTTACTACTAGTCTGAGCAACATATTTATCATTCTACAGATTCCTTTTCTTATTTTTTGCTACTGCCTGCTTATAGATTCTCTGCCCTGTGGTAGGACACCACAAGCGAGGATGCCGAAAAGAGACAAGAAAACAGGACCCGAGATTTTGAAACGACGCTTGGAAAAGAACTTCTAACGTCCTTGTTTGAGGTTGCGCGGCGGCGGTTCTCCCCCATCCTCCGTGTGATTTGCGCCGCAGGTTGGGCAGGGGTGTGGGGGCGCGGATTGGATTTTTTTTTGGGTGATGAAACAGGCGAGGGGGAGACGCTTGATAGGCCAATGGGAATGGAGATTAGGCGCTTGGCACAGTGGTTGGAGGGGGCCTGGACAGTCGAGGAGTCGAACTTGGAAGGCTTTCGGATAGTTGGGGGGACAAAAAAGAAAGATGAAATGCCGGGGAAAGGCTGTTTGTTTGGCGACGGCTTGGGATCGGTATTTCTGGGAGAAGAAGAGGTGAAAATGCTGGGAAATGTTTTGTTTTACTGCATGCCCAAGTAGGGAGATATGCAGCGCACTGTGATGCCATTATCTCGCAGCATGAGCGTGCGTGAATAGGTAGCCCTGAGCGATTGTCGAGGGTCGCGATCTGAAGCGCCATTGGACCACTGGCGTGCGCCTCTCAGCCTGTAAGATGGCTCAAACGCCCCTGGGCCACGATCCCCTCTCCAAGTCCCACCCGAGCCTCCTGCGCTACGGAACGCTTTAGCGGGCTCTAGCGTGCTAGCGGACGGCGCTATCGCTGGGTGAGGTTCTGCGTTAAGGGACGGGGCGAGGGCCTAGAGCTTGACTCTATCTTTGTGTGATGCTTTGGGATCAGTTTTTTGAGAGAAGAGAGAGAAATCGAGAGATATGGAGAAGGAGAGTGTATTTTCAGTTAGAGGGCTCTGTAGGATGTATTGCTTATTTGCATCACCTCAGCTTTCTATTCAGCCTGTACTCGTTTATGACAACCAACGGCAGATGCCCATTGTTCTGTGCTTCTGTTAGATAGAGGGCTAGCATAGCTCCCTACTTCATCGCTCCTCCTGTTTGCCGCCTTGCAAACACCGTCAACCAACCATTCCCAAGGCCAGCTGCAGCCATAGATGGGCTGCATTTCTTCAGCGACCCAATCCGGTCTCGTTCTACGGGGTTTCGTTTCAACAAAAGATCAATACAATCAAGGCACGTAGCACTAAGAGTCACGGCAGGGTCCTCCGGCATTTCCCCGTCATCCTCTCCCCCGGTGCAAAACCAAACCGTCCTCAAGCATCCTCAAGCACCATCACCTTATTCTCTGTCCCCTGTTGAGCCTGAGCTTCTCGACGTCTGAATAGAGCCCAGCCCAGCCTGTAAAAAGAGCTCCAGCCAACTGCTGCTGTTCAGTCTGGTCTATCTGTCTACCAGGATCGGCAGGTTGTCACAGGTCGGGTTGCAAGGGGTCCCCCGAGCGGATCCTCGCCGTACGAACCTGTAACTCTCTCTCTTCAGCCTACCTTGCCCTTCCAGCATCACCATCTCCCCAGAGGCTGAAGAGACAGCTCTTCCGGTTGTTTATTCCTCCAGCCGTCAAGAGTCCCCTGGCCTGGAGAAGCCTCCTAGTTCGTCCCCGCCGGCCCTCCTGAATTATTGCCCTGTGCCTGTGCGGCATACGAGCAGCTGGTAGCACGAGCAGCCTTTAGTACATAATACTGACCACCACTCAGCTGAAGGGAGCTTGAGATACAAAGACCTTCCACCATCCCCCCCCCCACTTGGCCCAGCACGCACCTTCGACCCCGCAGCCAAGCAGCTTTTTGGCTCAGCACACCGAGAGTTCCATACAACATTGCTTTATACGGAGCCAGACAGCCGCCCTTATAGCTCCCCAAAATCTCACCCTCTGGTCAACGACTTCTCCTCTAACAACGTCTGCATCTTTGCGTGTCAAGCTCCTTCATCCTGTTAGTAGCTGCATCGCCCGATTCCCGTTTTCGATGCGAGAGAGACCTCAACTGACCGCATTAGTTCGCTGAGTGGAGTTGCGCTTTAGATTGTCGACCGCTATCCGCACATTAGCCTGCGGGCGTCGACGAGCAATCTACAAACAGACAGCCCACCGAGAGAGGCCTTTGTCACCCTTTTCTGAACTCTAGTGTGCTTTTTCGTCTTTCGTTTTCCTGTTCGCCGCTTCGGTCTAGAGCATTTCTGAGAAGCACGAGAGCCTCAAAGCGAGCTTTCGGAATTGCCCGCACCTCTTCACAACCACAAAACCACAACTGCCGTCGATTTAGGCCCAAGCCGCCAGCCCGACCACCATGTCTCGGTCGAACGCTCCCAATGCGTCGGCTTCGCGCAAGATCTCCTTCAATGTCAGCGAGCAGTATGATATCCAGGACGTAGTCGGTGAAGGAGCCTACGGTGTCGTTTGGTAAGTTTTTTTGCCTGTTTCTCACCTTCTGGTGATTCTGGGACACGCCGTTTGCTAACAGCGATTTGACGTGGACAGCTCTGCCATTCACAAGCCGTCAGGACAAAAGGTTGCCATCAAGAAGATTACCCCCTTCGACCACTCCATGTTCTGCCTGCGAACCCTGCGAGAGATGAAGTTGCTGCGCTATTTCAACCACGAAAACATCATCTCCATCCTCGACATCCAGAAGCCTCGAAGCTATGATAGCTTCAACGAGGTCTACCTCATTCAGGTATTTAACCCGCTGTGAAGCTCCGGGAGTAGCTGCAAGATTCTGTCTGCTTGTCATCTTCTCCATTTCGTCTGGTACCTGTGCTCACCATCAACTTTTGCGTAGGAACTCATGGAGACGGATATGCACAGAGTCATCCGTACCCAAGATCTATCCGACGACCATTGCCAGTACTTCATTTACCAGACGCTGCGTGCTCTCAAGGCCATGCACTCGGCCAATGTTCTGCACCGAGATCTCAAGCCCTCCAACCTGCTATTAAATGCCAACTGCGATCTGAAAGTCTGCGATTTTGGTCTGGCCAGATCTGCCGCCTCTCAGGAGGACAACTCGGGTTTCATGACGGAATATGTCGCTACGCGATGGTATCGTGCACCCGAGATCATGTTGACCTTTAAGGAGTATACCAAGGCCATTGATGTTTGGTCCGTTGGCTGCATCTTGGCTGAGATGCTGAGCGGCAAGCCTCTGTTCCCTGGCAAAGATTGTAAGTGTTGATTCACAGATGGAGACTTTGAGTTGAAGACTTGACCGAATGAATAATGCGCTGACACAAAGCCTCTTCTAGACCACCACCAGCTGACTCTGATTCTGGATGTGCTCGGCACACCCACCATGGAGGACTACTACGGCATCAAGTCTCGACGAGCACGAGAGTACATCCGCTCGCTGCCTTTCAAGAAGAAGGTGCCATTCCGCACCTTGTTCCCCAAGACGTCTGACCTGGCACTCGACCTCCTGGAGAAGCTGCTTGCATTCAACCCCGTGAAGCGAATCACGGTGGAGGAGGCCCTCAAGCACCCATACCTCGAGCCCTACCACGACCCTGAGGACGAGCCCACTGCGCCTCCGATCCCGGAGGAATTTTTCGATTTCGACAAGCACAAAGATACCCTGAGCAAGGAGCAGCTGAAGCAGTTGATTTACCAAGAGATTATGCGGTAAATTGAGAATCAAGGGAGGAAATTGGTGGAACATATTGGCTGAGAGATGTCGTCGAGCTGCGTTGAGAAATTGAATTAAAGCGGAAGCATTTTCTTGAGGATATAGAGCAATTGAGACTGGCAAAGTAAGGGAATATATTTCTTGGCTACAGTCAGCCGAGATGGTGGAGGGAAGGGGAGGGACGAGATATGCAATGAATAAATACACTGGCTTCGGGTGCCTCTTACTTTTTTATTATTATTTTGTTTTCTGTTTATATATATACATATATGTATTCTGGTTCAATACATGCATGCGGTCCGTATTGCCTTTGACAAGGATGATGTGATAGGCATGGTGGTATGCTAATATACGTTTGCAGAATCGTTTTTGGACTTGGGTTAGAGGATCTACAGTACCTGTCGACAGCAAGCGATGATTTGTTTGCACCACGTCGAGACCACGACATTAAGGACCCTTGCTATTTGATCCATGGATTTAGAACCTATCTATAAAGTAGTACTCAGTCAATGTTTCATCAGGTGTTAACGTTCAAAGATTGATGTAGGTCGATTGCGCTCTGCCATGGAAGCCTTGAAGGCGCCGTGTATATTTTTAGCAGCACGTGCTACTGCTGGCTACAGGTACTGCTAGCGCGCCTTGCTGCTTCTGGCAGGTCCCACTGCAGCAGCCAGACAGCCGTCATCCGTCAACTTGTTAGCATTTTAGTGGTCTGTTGTCACCGTCCTCCAGCCACCACCAAGCTCGGTCATCACTCAATCCAGCACCACCGCCCAGGCACCTCTTACGCAGGTACATGCAGCATCCGCGCCGTGGACTCTGATCGCCAACCATCCTGGGCAGCATCAGATCATATTGTCCTTGCCGTTTTCTCCTTTTTTTCTTCTCTTTCCATGGCCGTTCAGCATTTGTTCCACCGCTGGCGGGTCTCATCTTTGGATACGTCATAACGTTTGGACCGCTAAATAGAGGGCGGAAGCTTTGCGTCTCCCCATACCGCCACATATCTAATTACCAAGCTTAATCTGCTCTTACCATTAGAGTGCTGCTTTGAAATCAGAGGGATAGCTGTAATTACTTACATCTGCTCGTCAGGCGGTTACATAGAAAAGCTCCAACGGTGGAAATACAACATCATATCCGGCAGCCATGTGGAGTTTGATGCGGCGCTGGTCGACAGAGGAGACACACGTCCCCAGCCATCTCGACGAAGACGAAGACAACAACCCTCACCGCGCGGCGACCCTAAAAGATGGCATTAACGATGTCTACACGCCCATGCTACGCACACTGAGTCCCTTCCGTCCTCCGCCGCTGGATCCAGTTGTGCTCCACGGATACAAGGACAGCACGCCCGCGGCATCGAGGCTGCTGACGACGGTGGTGGCGGAGGAGATCCGAACCATGGTGCCAGAGCGGCTGCGCATCACCGAAGACTGGCGCTTGGTGTATAGCATTGAGCAGCACGGCACGAGCCTGGCGACATTATATCAGAGGTGCAGGCAGTATGAGGGCATGAGGGTGGGCTTTGTGCTGGTTGTGAAAGATCAAGAGGGCGGGGTAAGTTTCTGAGGGTTGGCAGATGAAGTTGAAAGAAGCGTTTCCTACCTTTTGTCTTAACTTGTTTATTTATATATTGATCTTACCGGTATATTGAGGAATAACTGCTGACAAGAAGCCATCTTCAACAGACATTTGGCGCCTATCTCTCCGAATATCCTCATCCGGCTGCGTCCTATTTTGGCAACGGAGAGTGCTTCTTGTGGCGTGCCTCGACACTGACGTCTCTTCCGCTGCCACCGTCAGCCGACACGACACATTTGACGCGCAGTACGACGCTTGCTCCTCCGCCTCGATCTGGAGCTTCGACACCACGATCAATAGATACGACACCTGGCATTCGCTTCAAGGCGTTTCCATACAGCGGCCTAAACGACTTTTACATCAACTGCGAGACAGGGTTCTTGAGCGTGGGGTCTGGCGGTGGACATTATGGCCTGTGGCTGGACGACTCGCTCGATGTAGGACACAGCGCGACTTGTGAGACCTTTGGAAACGAACCGCTCAGCGATGCAGGGTCCAAGTTCAGCGTCATAGGCGTCGAGCTTTGGGTGATTGGCGCATGAAAGAAGAGTGCGGCCTTTTCTTTTTATTGTCTGATCTATCTAATCTACGGCTCTGATGAGGAAAACACAGCATTTTGAATGAGCTTGATGCTCTTTTTACATTTCCCGGAGCTCTCCCTTCTTCACTTTATTTTATATATATCGCATGTGTTGTCAGTTTTTTTTAAAGCGAAATAAGCGCACAATTACCCAAAATAATGAATCGACGGTATCAGAAGAGTGGAGGAAGTGCGCCATATCATAGGATCTACGTCAAATCCATGTATATACCATTCCGGAGCTCACGTCGAATGCGATGATGAGTGAGACGGAGAACAAGCGAAAGGCATCGGAGGCTGACCATGGCCAGAAAGAGGTGGGGGAAGAGTAATAACAATACTTGATGCTTAGACAGACAGACAGATGATTTATACTATGATACCCAGAAACCAAATTGAAAGAGCGCTATTTCCCACCATCTATGCCTCTCTAGTGTCTACTCTTACAATGTTATAGTGCTATAATCAGATGTGCCATGTCCAGCATTGGCTTTTCCCAAGCTTGTGCTTCCTCCTCTTGCTTCAATTATGTCTCGTCATAAAGACTTCTCATGATGTTTTCTCCCGGAATGCCACTATTCCCTCCAATAACCCAGCTGGTGTGGGCGTCTCAGCGCAGACATCAGGCTCAAAGTCGAATTTCTTAACCAGGTGGCTCCTAGTCGTAGGCCCAATAGTGGCTACAAACGTCCGCTCATCTCGCTGCCCGGGCATGAATTTCCCCGTGGAGGCATCCAGCACGCCCAGGCCGCGGAGCATGCTGTCACAGCCCGTCGGTGAGAAGACAATGACCCACCGAGAAGAGCTGGATCGCGTCCTCTCCAGTACTGTCGCAAAGTCCTGAGGGAATGACTCCATCTCTCCAGTGCCGTAGACGACTTCCTCGACGACAGTGATCCGCTTGTTGTCCGGTAGAGAAGGATCCATCAGGGTGCGCGGGATAATGTCTCTGCGCTGCTCGCCGACGAGGAAGAGCAGCGGGGGCAGGCTGGAGGCGTGATGGTGCCACTCGGCATAGTGGTCGAGGATGAAGTGCGCGAGGGCATCGCCGTTGCCCGTGTGGCTGCCGAAAATTTGGAGGGGGGGCTGTTGGGGGACGGCGGAGAGGGCGCGGGTGGTGGCGGGGCCGACGCTGTAGATGGGGATGTGTTGCAGGTGAGGCCATTCGGGGGAGTCTGTTGAGAGAAGTTATTATTTGGCCTTTTTTTTCCTTTTTTAAAATTAAGTTCGGCGGTGATTGAGATAATACCTTTTGCTGCTTCGTCTTCGCGCACAACGTGCGTAAATGCCTCCACTGCCCTTTGGGAAGTGAATATGATGCCACCGAATTCGCAGTCCGGGCTCGTGCCGATGCGCTTCTGGCGGAGTAGAGTTCGAACTTTGTCTACCCCGCCGTCGTCAAATTGGTGCTGTAGGACTGGTACGAATGTTGGCTCGAAGGAGGGGCTGCTGCTGGATGCTCTTGAAAAGAGTTCTTCGTATGCGTCTGTTGGACTTGATTTTGTCTTGAGCAGCAGGACTGGGATTGGCTGCTCTAGACTGGACGTTGATGGAGGTGACATGTTTGCGGAGCGCTAATGTGGGATGATGGTGATGGCTATGGTGGAGGGCATTTGATGGATGGTCGATTGGTGGTAGTATCCGTACGAGGGAATTCAATTGACCAGATTGTCCACTTTGCGCCGCTTTGAGCTTGTAAGATGCTTAAACAAGATGGCATCTCAAAAGAAGGCTGTCATCATCATAGCTCAGACGAGATCCCGAATTAGAACGTGGGGCTATTAGCGCAGTGGCTTGGAGGGGCATATCGATAAAGAAAAAAGTGTCCCGGAGCTAGGAAAGCCTCAAAGGCCGTGTGGGCTGACAAATGACATTCAGTCAATTGTTCAACTAGCGTTTAGTGTGGCCATTCTAATAGATTTCTATTCTATCTCTCAGCCTTTCTTTTTACATAACTATTTTTTTTTTGTTTACAGCCGCTTGATGCTCACTTGGGCCTTACGAAGAGCGTTGTTATAGTGTGAGAGAGGGAACTTCTAGACAATGGCTGAGGCTTCACTTCGAGACGCCACAACGGCGCTGCCAGCTTCAGCGCCCTCGGCTGCTTCCGATGCCGCCGACCAGCAGCCCAAGAAGTTTCCCAAGGGAGTCGTGCTGGGCAAAGATGGCAAGCCGTAAGTGCTCTCTTCTAGTTCTTGATTGTGTTTTATGCCTGCTTGAGCGTGGAGTGGCAGCAGTGTATAGCTTGATAGATGGATCGAGGATGGCATTAACAAAGGTAACCCTGTCTCTACAGATGCCGAAGCTGCACTTCATTTGCTGCATGGGCTACGCAGACCAAGGACCAGACCAAGAAAGACCCAGTTCCCGGCAGCAGAGCCGTATCCACCGCGGCCGTCGCCTCGGGCCCTCCAGCCGACTGTCCGCCAGACGTCGAGGCTCTTGGCCGGAGTACCTGGACGCTGCTCCATTCCATCGCGGCCTCGTACCCGGAGACGCCCTCGCAGACGCAGCGGTCCGACCTGATGAGCTTTGTCGGGCTGTTCTCCAAGCTGTATCCCTGCTGGGTCTGCGCCGAGGACTTCCAGAGCTACATGGCCCGGCAGAAACCGCAGGTGAACTCGCGCGACGAATTCTCGCAGTGGCTATGCCGCGCGCACAACGACGTGAACAAGAAGCTGGGCAAGCCGCAGTTTGACTGCTCACGCTGGGATGAGCGCTGGAGAACGGGCTGGAAGGACGGCCGCTGCGATTGATGGAGCGGCCGTGAGCTTTTTTTTTTTTTTCGACTGTACGAGTATGATTAGACGGGAAGAGACAAGGAAAACGAAAAGAAAGAGGTAAAGTCTGCGGCAAGTGCTGGCAGCAGTGTACGATTGTGAGCGAGGTCGATTCAACTCAATTCTTTTGACAGCATAATACCGACGGCGTTATTTTCGAAAGCGTTGGGAATAGGGGCAAAATAGACAGACGAGATGTCGTGTTGGGAGCATGGTACGAGGACGGGATGCGTTATCATGCAGGCTTGTTGGTGTGCGTGTACAAGTAGGCATGGCATGGTGGTGAGAGCCGTCAAGGGCAAAGCATGCCACTGTGTTTGAATAGAAAACTCCCCTTTACTCAATGCCTGGGACGGGTTTGGCCTATCGAAGCCTGTCGACTTATCAATTTCCACTATTCTGCATCACTTCAGTGCATACGAAATACCGTGATCTGATCGGTGCTTGAAACAGGCCCGTCCGAGAAAAACGAGCTGTAATTGACCGGGCGCCTGCCGAGCAACGTTCCGATGGATCTAGATGGCCTGAAGTGCCACTCCTAGGCCCTGCAGCGGGCCATTGGCGATTGACGGCGGCACTAGCGGCCTGCGTGGGCCAACTGTAAATGGCCTTATCGCGGGCCTGCTGCCGGATTACATCACTATCACCACAGAGGCGCGTCTGAAGGTCAGATCATGCCTGCCGGTGGCATGAGCAAAACGTGCGCGCATGGGTGGGTCTTTTTTTTTTTTTATGGCGCTCGATTCGATGCCGATTGCTGTTCTGGGACAGCTTCGAGACTAGCGAGAGAAGCTTCAATCGTTTGGGTGGTTTTTGTTTGCAGCAGTGATGGGAAGATATATATCGTCGGTTGGTCGCTGTTGGGATGCTGCCTTGTCTCTCTTGTACCCTCAGACAACAATTTCCCTAGGAATACCTCCTGCATAGAATACATTGCCTATTATTCAAATCAATTCTAGAGGAGCAGCATTGTCATTATTACCTGCCCCTCCATCTGATACATACATTGATTGTCGCCATCACACCTATAAGCCATAATAAACAGCATCAAAGAAAGCCCCAACCATTGTTTGAATCATGGCCAGCATCAACATTAGGGTGCAGAATCTCGAGCAGCCCATGGACGTTGCCGAATACCTCTTTCGGCGTCTCCACGAAATTGGCATTCGCTCCATCCATGGCCTTCCAGGCGATTACAACCTCCTTGCCCTCGACTATCTGCCATCGTGTGGCCTGAGATGGGTCGGCAGCGTCAACGAACTCAATGCTGGTGAGTTTCAATTGCATTTGAAATGACATGATGGTGTAACAGCTATTCATTTCATCCACCAAGATATCCATCCCAAATAGGGACATCTCTTTGCTAACTGTGCAACTTCTTCTAGCTTATGCTGCTGATGGCTATGCTCGTGTCAAGCAGATGGGAGCTCTCATCACCACTTTTGGAGTGGGAGAGCTCTCAGCCATCAATGGCGTTGCCGGTGCCTTTTCGGAACACGTCCCAGTCGTTCACATCGTCGGCTGCCCTTCCACCGTTTCGCAGCGAAACGGCATGCTCCTCCACCACACGCTCGGAAACGGTGACTTCAACATCTTTGCCAACATGAGCGCTCAAATATCCTGCGAAGTGGCCAAGCTCACCAATCCCAACGAAATCGCTACCCAGATCGACCATGCCCTTCGAGTTTGCTTCATTCGTTCTCGACCCGTCTACATTATGCTTCCTACCGATATGGTCCAGGCAAAGGTAGAAGGCGCCAGGCTCAAGGAGCCAATTGATTTGTCGGAGCCTCCAAATGATCCCGAGAGCGAAGCATACGTCGTTGATGTTGTTCTCAAGTATCTGCGTGCTGCAAAGAACCCTGTCATCCTTGTCGATGCTTGTGCTATCCGTCATCGTGTTCTTGATGAGGTTCATGATCTCATCGAAAAGACAAATCTCCCCGTCTTTGTCACTCCCATGGGTAAAGGTGCTGTTAACGAAGAACACCCAACATATGGCGGTGTCTATGCCGGTGACGGCTCACATCCGCCTCAAGTTAAGGACATGGTTGAGTCTTCCGATTTGATATTGACAATCGGTGCCCTCAAGGTATGTACCCATTCTGATACTTTTGTCCTTTACGTGTTCGCCAAATATCTGACTTGTCACACTATTACAGAGCGACTTCAACACTGCTGGTTTCTCTTACCGCACCTCACAGCTGAACACGATTGATCTACACAGCGATCACTGCATTGTCAAATATTCGACCTATCCAGGTGTCCAGATGAGGGGTGTGCTGCGACAAGTGATCAAGCAGCTCGATGCATCTGAGATCAATGCTCAGCCAGCACCAGTTGTCGAGAATGAAGTGACCAAGAACCGAGATAACTCACCCGTTATTACACAGGCTTTCTTCTGGCCGCGCGTTGGAGAATTCCTAAAAAAGAACGACATTGTCATCACCGAGACTGGAACAGCCAACTTTGGTATCTGGGATACTAAATTCCCCTCTGGCGTTACTGCACTTTCTCAAGTCCTTTGGGGAAGCATTGGCTGGTCTGTTGGTGCCTGCCAAGGAGCTGTTCTTGCGGCTGCCGATGACAATAGCGACCGCAGAACAATCCTCTTTGTTGGTGACGGCTCATTCCAGCTCACTGCTCAAGAATTGAGCACAATGATTCGTCTCAAGTTGAAGCCTATCATGTGAGTATCTATCCGTAATACCCAAGTGCTACCAGCTACACAGTAGAACTGACTCATTCCTTTTTAGCTTTGTCATCTGCAACGATGGCTTTACCATTGAACGTTTCATTCACGGCATGGAAGCCGAGTACAACGACATTGCAAACTGGGATTTCAAGGCTCTAGTTGACGTCTTTGGCGGATCCAAGACGGCCAAGAAGTTCGCCGTCAAGACCAAGGACGAGCTAGACAGTCTCCTCACAGACCCTACCTTTAACGCCGCAGAATGTCTCCAGTTTGTCGAGCTATATATGCCCAAAGAAGATGCTCCTCGAGCATTGATCATGACGGCAGAAGCCAGTGCGAGGAACAATGCCAAGACAGAGTAAAGAGGGCTGCCATGATGACTGATTATCAGCCTTTGAAATTGTAATAGACCTGATAAATATGGATCAAGGCAGGTACCGATCGTTAATTAAGCAGGTTTGAACGGGGAAGGATTTTTGAAAATGAGAAAACGATGGGATGGTATTTGGAATAACTGGACATTATAATGAGTACCTATAAATTTTAAGTTCATATTATCTTTTTATACAACATTTGCTCTTCTATCGCGTGAGCTCCTTTGGAGTAGGCACTTGGACACAAGTGATCACGTGATGCTTACTCGAAATCGATGCTGAGAATAAGTTCTCGGTACCATGCTTCTGCTACACGCTGCCTTCGAAGTCTAGGTACCGGCTACTCTTTCGCCGTAACTAATCGCCAGGCTTGGAATAAAATACACTGTTCTCGCGTGCTCATATTGCATCCTATACCTTTTAGGCATTTCAGTCGGCAATTTTGGCTCCAGGAGATCAATTGAGATGGCAGACGCTACATCAAAAAGGAAACAAGGCCCTGGGGGAGCCGACGGCTCTGCTTTCAAGAAAAGAAAGGTATTTACCATGAATTCATACGTCTTTCTGGAGAAAAACTACCTCTCGTTCCCTTTCTTCTATACGATACCACCATATTCAATATATATGAATTGTTATACTTACTGAGGCTTCTAAAATAGGAGGGTACAGCTGGAAGATGGAAGACACCGGCTCAAAAGGCAAAGTATGCCGGCAGAGTGGAAATGGGCACCGCGCTCGACGTGGGCGATGAAGGCATTTGGGTCACCTATGCCAGAGGTATGAAGGGCAAAGCGGTCCGAGAGTTTACGGCCATGTGCGAAGAGGTAGGAGCTGTATTCTTACTTTTCTTAGTCTTTGACAGCATGAGCCATTCATGCTGCTTGATGTGGTTACTAAATGACAATTGATAGTATGGTGAAAAGATGTACGGCATCAAGCCACCAGTCGACGCCTCAGAGGCACACGCCCAGTCAGGAGATGAAGCAGAAGACATCGAGGCGTCCATCCAGAAGGAGCTTGACGCGATGAAGGAGTCTCGGAAGCCGAAAGAACGAAGGGTCTTCTCGCCGGTAGCAGTTGGCATCGAGTGCGTCTTCTTCATGAAGACGATGAAGCCGGTGGACCCGTATCAGCTGGTCCTCCGGATCTGCAGAGATGCGCAAGAGTGCCCCAGCCCGAAGGACCGCAAGTGCAAGTACATTAACCGGCTGACGCCAGTGATGGACACGGATAAGGCGACGGAGAAGGGGATTCAACGGGTGGCGTGGAAAGTTCTTGCGTCGTTTTTCAGCTTGAATGAGGAAGAGAAGGAGGGAGAGGACGAGGAGAAGGACGAGGAGAAACTGAAAGCAGAAGGCTCAGATGAAAAGGCGGAAGAAGTAAAAGAGACGGCTCAACCACTTGAGCCGACGCCAGAAGCCCAGCAAGCCGAGGTATCTCCCGCTTTTACTGTGAGTTTTGACTTGGATTAAGAGAGCTTCTTCTTCTTCTTCTTCTTCTTCTCAGACATGATTGTGACTAACGTACAGAATGAGCAGTATGCCATCCGACACACTATGAGAAATCACACCATTCTCAAATCAGAAGCAGTCATCAAGATGATTGCCGGCATGGTCAAGCCCGAGCACAAAGTCAACCTCAGAACCCCAGACAAGGTCATCCTCGTCGAGATATTCCAGGTATATCGCATCATTAACCCCCGATCCCTCTTTCACTCGCGGGTCACGGCGCTTGACGAACATCGGGTAAGATAGAAGCTGACAGTATGTGACATGCTAGATGTTTTGTGGTATCTCTGTCGTCGACGGCAAGGAGTGGGAGGAGCTGAAGCGGTATAACATCAATGCACTCTATGACATGACGGGCGAGCAGAAGAGTGGAAACCCAGGAAAGACCACGAAGGAGGAGATGAAGGAGGAGACGAAAGAAGAGTAGAATAGATTCGAGCCGATTGACGTGGGCTAATCGCTGCTTGTTGCTTAGGCATTGGCATCTTGGTTTCATTAGAAGAGAAGAAAAGCAATATATTGGACGAGCAAGGAGTATTCGGTATAATTAGCTTTAGATATATGGTACTTGTTTATCTAGATTGGTAATTGATATTGGCGGATGTACCTTATTTGGTATGTAAACGCAAAATTGACACTCTGATAAAGCCCTGGTCTGCAATTACTTGGATGCAGTTCTAGCTGAGTTTATCACCTTTCTCATTCGCCCCCCTCGCTTCCACTATCCTCATCACGCGGTAGCTGGAAACCCATAAGCCCCATAAGATTTCCCGCCGGACCAGCCATACCACCCTGGCTCTTGAAACTCTCGAGCAGGTTTTTGGCTAGGTTATAGTCGATGTCGATCTCGTCGTCGTCGTCATTATCAGAATCATTGGCTGATTGGGCGCCTTGTCCTTGCAGTAGCTGTTCTTTCTCCTTGCCTTTCCCCTTCTTCTCCGAGCTTTCTTTTGACTTGATGGCACGCTTGGCGGTTGGTGGGTCGAGCTGAAGGGTGCCGTACTCCTTAAGTTCAGCTTCCATGCGAGAGGCAAGATCCTGAATATCTCGATCTTCTACCGCCTCACTGTCGTTCTCGCTGTCGGAGTGGTCTTCTGCAGCCTTGATATTACTTCCCTGTGCTTCTCTCCCAGTGGCTGTTGTTGTAAATCCCGTCATCTCCCTCATCATTCGAGCAAAGGCCTCCTCGTCAAAGTTTACATCTTCGTCTTGATCATCATCATCATCATCCTCCTCTTCATCATCGTCATTGTCAACGTCCATCCTGTCTAGCTCAGCTCCATCCAGCCCTGCACTGTCGTCATTGAGGAAAGCTTCAAAACGAGAGACGATCTTTCGCAGATTTTGCTGAGTCTGCGCCTCGCCGAAGCCAGATGCCCCCTTTGAAGGTGCTTGAGCTTGTTTGCCCTCGAGTTCGCGCTCGAAATCCTCATAATTAATATCAAGCCATGAATCGTCGTCGTCCCGGTCAACTTGGTCCCACAACCTGATGTCGTCATCAGATGGTAAGACTGAGCTTCCATCTTCTTGTAGGTCTTCTAGCATAATGGCCATCTCACGGACAACTCTGCTTTTGCTATTCTCTGCATCCTTGGCGAGCATCTCAAAGCCACAAGTGAGTTTCATGCCTGTCTCTAAGCGCTCAACTCTTTTCTGCTCTTCATTTGATGATAGATTCTCGATTTTAGTACTTCGGAATACGGATTCCCATCTCGGCGGCGTATCGAATCGTTGAGACTTGAGTTGAGCGTAGAGAGTCTTGCTGAGTCTCACGCTGACTGTAACAAAATCTTCTGGGGGGAATTCTAGGGATGCTGATGATGACAGGATAGGCTTTAAGGAGTTGGCATCTCTCAGATAGAAGCTCTCAACAGCAGGGGCTATAGACTTTGGCAGACCATGTATAATGTAGGCTACTGCTCGGGGAATCGTGACAAGAGAATGGTGGATGGAGTTGGATATGTGCTCAGGGTATTTTTTTAGCCTATGGAACGCTTCAGAATCGATGGCAGGAAGCTGAACAAGCCCGTCTGTACTTGACCGTAGAAAGGTTACGGCTTGCAAGAGCGATAACTGATCTACTTCCCGGGAATGCATAGAAGGTCCATTTTTGATCTTGGAGTTGATAGGAATGAGAAAGATCTTTCCGAGGTGAATCCATACGCGGTATTGGTCAATCTCCGGACTTAACCAACTGGGAAGGGTATTGGCGGCTTCGACTAAGAGAAACTCTCCATCAGAGTCTCCAACTCTCACCCAAAGATCTGGATGGGCTTTGGATAATTCACAAAGCATATAGACAATGAGCCACTCATCTTCTATGGCATCTCCATAATCGGTAGTGCCATGCAGAAAGAGTAATCCTAGGAGATGGTTGTTAGAACATAATGGAAGAATCGTGAGCTGCAGCCACAACAGGTATCATGCACGACACTTACCATTTTCGCTTTTGAACGAGACTTCGAAGCCCTCACGTTGCCATATGTAATCCTTTGTGAGGGATTGAGCGAGCTCTACTGCTGCTTTTCGAATAGTTTCAAGGCGAGAGCGTGTTTTACGAGCTTCGGTTTGCTGGCTGTCAATCACAAAAAGCATGTACTCGACGGTGTTTTCTGGGAGCTGCCCAGTGACAGCAGCCTCTGTCTCGCCGACATTGCCGTCTGCAGACATGCTCACTGTGAGAGGATCCACATATAACTACTGGGAGGCATCGACATGGCGAGATGGTGAAACCTGCAATGGACGCAAGTTTGAGAAGTGTAAAATCGTAGCTCTTTCAGAAGTGTCTAGAAGAAGCCCCACGCTGGTAAAAACTCGCTGCACTTACACGCCACTTAATGAACGGCCACTGGTACAGTCCACCGGTGGGTGGTATTTATGGCGAGTATTTTTAGATTTTGATTAAATAAGATTCAAATTTGCATTTTTCAGAATAATCCTTGATCTGTATAAATTGCACATTTTCTCCCCGTAGTAGTAAATCGGGTTCTCTGATTTTACCCACTTGATGATATCAGAGGTGCAAGGTGCCTTAGTCATGCAGCCACTAGTTCACTGACCCCACGACGCGCCCGTCGCGGTCAACGCGCCACTAAAGAAACAGCTTAATGGAATTTGGGAGGCCAGCGTCGGCATATCTTTTGTCAAACAGAGGGGCGTGCAAGATGTCCATGACGACGACGGGATGCGATTCTGCTAATATCCCTCTAATCTCGACAATTACGCTTCTCTGACCGTCGCACAGCCCCTCCTCTATTACATTCAGCCAACAGCGTTGCTCTAGCAGCCATCGACAATGGCCCCACGTAAGCGATCACGATTGGCATCAGGCCTGGAAGACGGAGAAGAAATTACCGAAGTTGTTGAGGCCCAGGCATCGATGGCAAATGATACGCAGCCGGTAATTATTTTGAATACGTGCTCGAGCAAAATGGCGGGTGGCTGACCCTCGCGGTGATAGAGAAAAAAGGTGCGGTATTCGGCTGGCCGTTCAGCGGAGGCTTCAGGGAGCAGAGCAGCAGATGCAGAACAAGATGATGTCTCCTCGAGCTCGGGCTCCGACAGTGAAAACGGAAATGGCGACGACGATGACGGCGAACTCCCCGCGTCCCCTCCTCAGACTCAGTACGAACTTATGAGAGACAATGGCTTCCGACATCTCGAGAACACGGACTGGGACGACCAGCAAGCTACGCAGAAACTGAAGCGCCGCACAACGACACAGACATTTGACAACATGGTTGCCGAGAGCGGAATTATTGAGAGCATTACATGTTTCAACTTCATGTGTCACGAACGATTGCATGTGGAACTTGGGCCTCTGATCAACTTCATTGTTGGAGAGAACGGCAGTGGCAAGAGTGCTGTTTTGACGGCCCTGACTCTGTGCCTCGGTGGCAAGGCAAGCGACACCAACAGAGGTGGTAGTTTAAAGTCCTTTGTCAAAGAGGGGCGCGAACATGGAAGCCTGGTTGTCAAGATCAAGAACGCTGGGTCCGATTCTTACCAGCCCGATACATACGGCTCATCAATCACCATCGAGCGGCACTTTACCAAATCGGGCGCCAGTGGTTTCAAGATCAAGAACGAGCAAGGCAAAGTTGTCTCAGTCAAGAAGCAGGAAGTCGAGGAAATATCCGAATGGTATGCCCTGCAGATTGGGAATCCTCTTACGGTTCTCTCGCAGGATAATGCGAGACAATTTCTGAACGCTGCAAGCCCGGCACAAAAGTATAAGTATTTCGTTTCTGGCGTTCAGCTCGAGCAGCTGGACAATGACTATAAAATGTCTCAGGATACCTTGGACAAGACTCTTATTCTCCGCGACGATCTTGACGAGAAGATAGATGTTGTCAAGAAGGAGATGGACGATGCGCAAAGACTTGCAGAGATAGCCCAGAAGAACCAGGGTCTCCGTGAGAAAGCAAGGCACTATAGGAACCAGCTTGTCTGGTCCCAAGTGGTTGAGCGAGAGAGAGAGCTGGAACAACGGAATGCCGATATAACCAGACGAGACAAAGAACTCATTGATTGGGAAAGGGACACCGTGAAGGCGTCAGCGAAACTCGACGAAGCTGACGAAAAGCTAGCTCGGGCTCAAGAAGCCCGAGAGGCTCTCAACAGTGAGGAAGAGACTTTCGAAGAGAAAATGTCAGCGGCAGAGGTTGCATGGAATGACGCCAAGAGAAAACAGACAGAACTACAGCGTGAAGAGCGAGATGCTCATATGCGACTCAAAACCCTGCGGTCAGATATACAATCCTGTGAGAACAAGATCAAAGAGGAAGAAAATCGCTTGGACAGGTCATCGGGCTCAGCGCGGGCCGAGAAAGATCAAGAGCTCTCCGAAGCGCAAGCGAAAGAAAAAGATGTCAACGAGCAGATCGCTGAAGCCAAGGCCAAAATGCCGGCTTTGAAATCAAAGATTGATAAAGCCAAGGAAGCTTGTGAACATGCGGATCGTATCGTGCAAGATAAACGTAAGGAGGTAGTTATGGCGCAAAAGGGCGTCAGAGAGCTGGAGCAAAGTAGTGGTTCAGCTTTTGACGGATACGACCAAGAGCTCCTTAACCTCGCCAGGCAAGTTGAGAAGGATAGCGGGTTTGAAAGCAAACCGCTGGGACCCCTAGGCACCCACATTACCCTCCGAAAGCCAGAGTGGGCTGCTCTTCTCGAGAAAACTCTTGGAGAGACTTTGAATGCATTTGTTGTAAAGAGCAAAAGAGATCATTCAAGATTATCAAATCTCATCCAGCGACTGGGTCTGAAAAGGCAACCACCCATCTACATTGCCTATGGGAGTTCAATTGATACTAGGGCTCAAGAGCCAGATGCCGAATTCGACACTATTCTCAGAGTCTTGGAATTTGACCATGACCTCATTCGGACACAGCTTGTTATCAATAACCAGATTGAGAAGGTCATCCTGATCAAGGAGCGTTTAGAAGCAGAGCGAGTGATGATTGATAACGACGGTCCCCCTCGAAACGTGACCGCGTGCCTTTGTTTCCATGACGGCAAAGGAAAACGTGGCCATGGTCTAAGAATCACTAATCGATCGGGAAACATCGGCACTTCTCCTGTCACGCCATCTGGCTTGCGACCTCGCATGCGCTCAGACTCAGCCCAGCGATTGGTTGTGCAAAAGGAGAACCTCAGACAGCTGGGCTTAGAGGTTAAGGAACTCATGACCGAGGAACGCCAAGCACGTCAACGGCTAGAAGACTATAAGTCGGAGCTTACGTCGCACAGGACTGAAATCAGCAATCTAGAAAGCGATTATCGCCGAGTTCAAGCGGATATACAGCGGATATCACTCGACCTGGATGCTTTCGAGGGTGTTGACGGACGGCTGGTTGCACTACGAGAAGAACGAGAAGCAAAGCGCATTGAAGAGGAGCAACTCGGTCTGCAGTACGGCAATCTGAGACTTGAAAAGCGAGACCTGAGCCAAAAAGCAGAAGAGGCCAAGGCACGTCTCGACGCGGAAAAGGATGTGCGTAAGGATCACCAAAGTCGCATCGCGAAAGCGGACGATAAGGTCAAGAAGTATGAAGCAATGCGGAAAATCACAGTCGCTGAAAAGAATGCCGCTTTTGAGAGGCTAGATATTGAGCGACACGAAAGAAGACGAGCAGAGACGAGGCGCGATCAGAAGGTTGCAGAAGTGGCAGATTTCATTCTGCAAGCTCAGCAAGCATCACCGGATCGTGTTCACATCCCTGAGGATGAAACGTATGAAAGCCTGGAGATCAAATACCAACGGGTTTGCGAGCAACTTGCACAGCGAGAGGCTCGGCAAGGAGCCACGGACCAGCAGATTTATGACCGAGCCATTGAGGCCCGGACGAGATACGAGGATGTCATGAAGAAGACGAGGGACGTTGACGAAACTATTTCAAGTCTGAAGCAAGCAATTGAGCACCGACTTCACCTATGGCGACAGTTCCAGAGGCAAATCAGCGCTCGGATACGTATCCAGTTCAGCTACCTTCTCAGCGAGCGTGGATTCAGAGGCAAGATCGATCTCGATCACAGGGCTAGGCGCGTCAACATCCAGATTGAACCCGACAAGACTCGCAAACACTCGTCGGGACGTAACACCAAGACGCTGTCGGGAGGTGAAAAGTCGTTTTCGTCGATTTGTATGCTTCTCTCTGTATGGGAGGCCATTGGTTCGCCGATCCGATGCTTGGATGAGTTTGACGTCTTCATGGACAATGTCAATCGAGCAATCAGTACGAATATGCTGGTAGGTTTTTATCTTCTGTCTTGCTGAAACTGTCAAACACAGAATGATGGAAGCTGATGAATAATCGTTTTTATGTGTAGGTGGATGCCGCTCGTCGATCAGTATCCCGACAGTATATTTTGATTACGCCGAATGCCATTGAGGGTCGAGCCAAGCTTGACAAAGATGTCAAAATCATTCGGTCAGTATTTATCAAATACCTTCTTTCCTACTAGTGTCTCGAGTTTTATGATTAACTGATTGTCTTATCACTGTCTACAGCTTGACTGATCCTCGCCAACGTACCCTCATCTAAGTCAACATATGCCTTTTTGAAAACAGGCTCCTCACTCAAACATATCATCGAGAAGCATTAGCTAGGAGTTTGTGCATTGATGCTAGGACGCCATTCATTTTGGTGGGCGGACCACGTGAGAGAAAAAATACACATATAGTAAACAGTGGTATATACATAGAGGCTGATAATAGTGTACATGATGTTTTACGATTTTGGGCGGTTAGAAGACAACAGGGCAAGGCTGAGAGAGAAAAGGCATGCATCGCCTTATACAATCAGATAGGAACACCTTTGCTTCTCAGGACGTTGATGCCCGCGTTCAGCGTGAAGCCGGCCCACTGTCCCATGGATGCTACGGTTCCTCCAACAGACCGGACCTCGCCCAGCCTTCTATCCAGAAACTTTCTGGTCTCCAAAAAGGCGGGCGATGTGTCATTGGTCATGAACAGCTCGCTGGAGCTGTAGACCATCGAAAGGGCTGCCCGCTTGGTATACCATGAAGGGTCGACAGCCTTGTCGCCGGCCAGGAACCAGATGTCGTCTGACAAGGTGGCCAGCTCTGCTAGCGATGTAGGCATATGGCTTGGCTGGGCCATGATGGCTAAGGCCTATGCGAATTGTTAATATACACGCGACTCAAGTGAGCCCGAGATGTGTAGATGTACAGACCTCTTGCCACCTGTGAATAGTCTCCTTGTTGCCCATCAGCCGCTCCCACGTAAGGGCGGCGACTTTGTCGTTGACGCTTGCTAGAGCCTCATCCTTTAGAAGCTCCTGGCTTTTCTCAGCTAGTCGCTCACGCTGCATGACGAGGTGGTAGTGTATTAGGCTGAACTGGCCATCGGGCAGGATGCTGGAGCTGATGTCTGGGTATCCGGCATCGCGGGCACCAAGGCCAATGGCGCGCAGGGAGAAGCCATGCTCAGGAATGTGCTTGTAGGCGGCGGCGAGGATGGCCCTGTCGACGGTGCCAAAGGGCCCTGACGGAGGAGGGTGGTCGTAGGAGTGGTAGCAGCTCTTTTGCCCGATGCGGGACGAAGGTGTCGGCGCTGCGTGGCGAGCAATTGGGCGGCGAGCCGATCTCGCCAGACGAGCTGCGGTCCTGGGCAGGGAAGATGAGGAGGACATTGGTGGCCGTAACTGTGAGCTTCAGTCTGTGACGGATGCTAATAATGCGCTGGCTGTCGTCTTGCGACACGAGGGGTCTGCAAATTCGAAGCTCTGGATCAGCCCGGAGAGTGGATCCCGGCGGGAGCCTTTGAGCTAAAGGGCCTTGGGGGCCTAGACAAGGTACGAACGAACTTTGAAGGCTATCGAAGCGACTAATCAAGGACATGCTTCTCCTCCTCCCATCCTCTACTGCCTCGTCAATTGTTGCCAACGCAGCATGCGCCGTGTAACTCTGCAGCTGGGACACGGCATTGCTGCTGGCTGGCCTGTATGCACCAGAATATCAAATCGTTCTACCTCGTTTTTTCAGCCCTGAAGCTCCAATTGGCCCTGATGAGTGTTTGCGCATCCTGGAACCTTGTCTAGGATCACAGGATTGCATCATACATGAAGGCATGCATGCATCTTTGGGCCAACTCAACAAACTGCGGCTTGGCTCTAAGGGCGGATCCTGGCAGACGAGTTGCGTTGCTCCAATCGGGCACAGTTGCTGGCATTGGCCCGTTGGACAGCCAATACCAGTGCTGAGGACCAGGACATGCTCTGTACCTATACTGCAATGCATGCTTGATGCTGGCCCCATCAATACGAGCAAGGCCCCCAGCACCATACTTGCATACCTACCCAGCAGCAGCAGATGGCAGGATCCGGTGTCTGCTGTGCTTGCTGTGCTTGCTGTGCTCATCACACGAGCCTTTTTCCTGCATCCGGCCATTGGAGTTTTGTAGTCCATGCACCCAGCTGGCCCTCATTCACATGGCATGGCATACATACAAGTAGTAGCATACCTAGCATGGCATGGGCCTCAGAGATGCGCAGAGCCTCAGCACTGAGAGAGGCTGGCCCTCACCGATCTCGTCGGGTAAGGCACCTTAGCATCGAGTTAGTTGCTTGAGCGGAACTCGATTCGATCCACTTCCAGTTCCGGGCTTTACTGCTCCCGCCTTGCAGTAGCACGAAATGTGTCTCTAGCTCAAGGCTCAAGGTACAGTTGATGTGAGCAGCTTGTGCCTTAGAGTTCAGGCACTAGTACAGTTGCTCGCTGCAAGCAGTCAATATTTTGGCCAATATCAAATTGCTCCTGCCGCCGTATGTGCTTCTTTCGTAATTCACACGTGCTGCTCGAACCCAAATCGAGCTTGGTCCCTACAGTAGCATCAGTAAAGTACCTAAGCCTTTGCAAGCTCTCAACCTCCGTTCTCTTTTGCCTTTCTCCATTCCATTGCAGGCATCGTCGCCTATCCCCCACGCAGTCGCACTGCTACGACGACGCGAAACCTAGAGGAAGCACACCGGTCCAGCGCAGCCTTAAGACCCTCCAATAGGATCCTCCCCGAGACCCTGGCCTCGCATCCGCAGCCAGAACCAAAGGCAAATTCCCAAAAGACTCCAAGGCTGGTGTGAGGAGCCTCCCCCTTGACGCACGCAAGACAAGGTGCACCTGTGACCGGCGCTCTCCTTGGCCTCGGAACCGAACGGCGCCATCGTCGACGAGCAGATTTTCCCGGCTTCAATCCACGCTAAAACCCACGTACGTACGTCCCTCGTCACTGTTGGTGGCCACCATCACGTCCGTCGGCATCCAGTACCAGCGCCGCAAGCTCTCCCCGTTCCCACTGCAAACTCGACGCAATGAGCGACGTGCATGCAGCTGTTGCTACCACATGCTGCGCGAACTTTCCTCCTGGCCTGACTGGCCCTGGCCCGACCCCCCTGTACTTTTTTTTTCCCTTTCTTTTTCCTTTCGCTCTTGCTCTTGCTGGAACCTACTCTCCTACTCGGCCCCCATGAGCTCATCGCAGCTTACGGCGTAGTGGTTTGTACTCGCGCTAGTTCTGGTAGCAGTACCTTACCTTAGCCTTGTACGGGCTCTATGCTACATCCAGCCCTGGCTCTGAATGGCACTCTCAAGTACCTGCTAGTACCTCCCGGGCTTGCCCAAGCTGTCCTTGGCTGCGCTACAGGTGCCGCCTTACCTGTTTGTGCCTCTGCCTGGTCGCGCACTGCCCGCCCTCCCCGTACCTGCGTTACCTGACCACCGGTATCTCATCCATGGGTTCGTAGGACTGCCAGGCACCTAGTTGGTTCTGACGCAAGAGAGCGGGAGCTTTGACGGGCGCTGCTGAGCTGCTGCTGCTCTTGTGGATATATGGGCAGTTTTTCAGCATAGCGGCAGACCTTGTAAGAAGAGCCTCTCTCTAGAGGTAGGCCTCTCTGTATGGCTCTGTATCGGAGCCTCTGCAGGAAGGTACTTGCAGGTACTCCCCGGACTGGTCCCAGGTAGCGCTACTCGTGCTGTAGCTGCCACCCCACGCCGCCTTCAGCCTCTCTGCACGCTCATTCGTCGCCTGCTCCCCTCCCTCCAGTGCGCGCGTTCTTTTTCCCTTCTCACCACCAGGCTTGACAGCATGCCATGCGCCTCCGTTGTGCTACCCCCTCCCTCTAATTGCCCAATTGCGACCTGCTGGTACGCAGCCCCTTCTATGCGAGATCCGTCCTTCTGTGCTGTGCGTTGCTGACTGCTGTGCCGTGGCTTGCCCTCTCGCCAGAAGTCGCCCATAATTCTGCCGTCGTCGCGACCTGGCTCGAGCTGCCCTCCAATCTGTTGAGACACCCGCTCTGCCTCTGACTGCACGCGCGACAAGGCTCAAGGCACAAGGCACAGAGCCTTTTCTCCTCCTTTGTATCGCATAATCGCCATGGGTACGTCTTCTCTTCCATTACACTCCGTCTCTCGCGCTTTGCTTTGTCCTCCTCAACCTCCGTCTCTGCGTTGATCTGCAGCCAATTCGTCTCTCGGTTCTGCTCCCGCCATCTTGCTCCCAGAGCCTTTGTTTCTGGCCGAACAAGACGCGTGCTGCGGCGCCATCTCATCCTCTCTCGCTAAGCAGTCCTGCCTTGACCTTTTTTTTTTTTTTTTTTTTTTTTCATCCCCTTCACGCATCCTTTTCTCTTGGTATTTGGAAGCCGCCCTCTTCTGCAAGAGAGAGAGAGGGAGAGAGGCAGAGACGCCTATGTTTACTTCATCCACCGTGATACCACTCTGGATGTAACTTATTGCGCCGTTGCCGGCCGATACGTCCTCCTCGGGGCTTCTCTTCGACTCGCCTCTCTCTGTACACTGCATTATCATTGACCCCCCTTACTTGCATGTCCTCCCGCCTTGCTACTCCGCCGGCCTCTCATCTCTTTACACCCCACCACTACCTGGGTACATGACTGTTGTTTCTATTTCAACCAAGCCTGCCTTTTCCCTCCGTCTCCTTTGGCACAACTTGACAATTTTGCTTTGCCTTGCCAGAACCATCTTTCAGCTCCAGTCTAACATTTTATCTTGCAGCTGACTCCGGCGATAACTACCGACCGGTAAGTTTCATCTCATCTGCTTGACCTCTGATTTTCCCATCTACTACACGCGCATTTACCATACCCGCCTTGGTGCTCTTCCGCTTGACCTGGAGGAGCAAATCTACAACGCCACCCCGCAGAGGCCACCTTGTTCACTATGCCGTAACCCGTGGAGACATCACTGGCATATATCAAACCTTTGATGCGAGGCTGTCCTTGAGCTGTCAAGGCCGTCTGCTTCATTGCTAGGCTCATGGCGGATGGTTGGTGCAGTTCAGATGCGTTATGCTTCTTGAGGGATTCTCTATACTCGGCTATAAGGGGAAAGGAGAGGAAAGAGAAAAAAAAAATAACCAACCGCCATACCAAGTAGCGCTATAGGCAACTCGTGGCTCAACTGCATCCATTCATCCAACCCGGCCCTACCGTCGTCACATCGTACATACTTATGCTGAAATGATACTGAGATGACGAATGCTAATCGCCCTATAGCGTGAGAGGTCTCGATCTCCTCGCCGACGTTCTAGGAGTCCAGGCCGACAGTCTCGTCGGCGGTCCTATTCACCTCGCAGCAGATCAAATAGTCGAGACGACTATCGACGGGGCCGTGATCGCTCCCCAATGACTGGATCAGGACAAGCGCCTGCCGGCGGCAACGCTGGCAACTATGGGGGACAGGCACCCCATCGATCCTACGAAGACCGGGCCGCTGCCCGAGAGCAGATGATGAGCAACATCCGCGAGACCTCGCAGCAAGACCGCCGGGTCTATGTCGGCAACCTCTCTTACGATGTCAAGTGGCACCATCTTAAAGATTTCATGAGACAGGGTGAGAACAGGATTCTATCTATCAACGTGGACAAGGTCACAGACGGTTACTGACGTGGAATGATTTCGACACAGCTGGAGAGGTACTCTTTGCCGACGTATTATTACTTCCAAATGGAATGTCGAAGGTGGGCTTCATCGCGTAGCTTTTGGTTGGCTTTCTTTTGTAGTCTTCTTCCCTTTCTGGTTTTGATGGAATGGTTGGGTTGACGGGTTGGGACGATGTCCTGGGTATAATTGTAGGGATGCGGGTAAGTTTCCTCTCTTGCAGTCTCGTGTCCGATTCTTCGTGGCTAACCCTTGCATGACAGAATTGTGGAATATGCTACCAGGGACCAAGCGCAGCAGGCGGTTGCTCAGCTTAGCAATCAGAACCTGATGGGTCGCCTTGTCTACGTTCGAGAGGTTTGTTAACACCTTGTTCTCACCTAGGCGGGGAGACGTTAACTGACGTGTTATTCTGAAGGATCGCGAGGCCGAACCTCGATTCATCGGTGCTACGGGTGCCAATCGTGGCGGATTCAGTGGTGGCGGTGGTGGTGGTGGTGGCGGCATGCCCGGTTTTAGCCATGGATACGCAGGCGGTCCTCCTGGCGGGGGGGGCGGCGGCGGCGGCGGCGGCGGCGGGGGCCGTCAAATCTATGTTGCCAACGTTTGTTTACTCTGGTCCAAATTTCCATCATGGGATGCCATCAACTAATCCGCGTTTAGCTTCCATATACTGTCGGCTGGCAGGATCTTAAGGACCTCTTCCGACAAGCAGGTAAGTAATCGCTGTTTCATCCAGAGGTACAATTTCCCATACAGCTCATCGTTACTAATTCCTCACTGCAGCCCGAATCGGCGGAGTGATGCGTGCCGATGTGCATCTCGGAGCTGATGGTAGACCCAAGGGCTCTGGAATTGTCGTTTTTGAGAATCCTGAAGACGCACGAAACGCCATCCAACAGTTCAACGGCTACGAGTGGCAAGGTCGTCAACTTGAAGTTCGCGAAGACCGCTTTGCTGGCGGCGGCGGCGGCATGGGCTTCGGCGGTCGTGGAGGATACGGCGGCGGAATGCGTGGAGGAGGCTTTGGCGGCCGTGGAGGCTTCGGTTTTGGTGGCGGCCGTGGAGGCTTCGGCTTCGGCGGCCGTGGGGGCTTCGGCGGTGGCGCCCCTGGAGGCGGCCCCGGAGCTGGTCCTCCCGGTGGTGGTTTTGAAACTTCTGCCGCGCCAGCAGTTGCCCCCAATCCCTTCACCGACAATGCGGCTCCAGGGACGGAACGAAATGAGATCATCTACGTTCGAAATGTAAGTCTTGAGCTAGCCCCCTGAGAGTTTGCCATTCGGCCTTTATATGCAAGGCGAAGACTAACTTGCATGCAACAGCTGCCATGGTCAACCAGCAATGATGACTTGGTTGAGTTGTTCACCACAATTGGCAAGGTCGAACAAGCAGAGATCCAGTATGAACCCAGCGGCAGGTCTCGAGGCAGCGGTGTTGTCCGTTTTGACTCGATTGACACCGCCGAGACGGCAATCGCCAAGTTCCAAGGTTACCAATATGGTGGTAGACCGCTGCACCTGAGCTTCGTCAAATATCTGAACCAACCTAGCGGCGACAGCATGGAAACGGACCCTCACGCTGGACTGACACAAGACCAGATTATGTAATTCATTTTCAGTCTGAGGCTCTCAAACTTGGCCTAGTTCTTGTTTGGAAAATGGCCACTGACCATTGCCTCGTTTGGGCCCTTTTTCTTTCTTCGTCAACTGCTTTTCCTTCTTATGAGTTACTTCTGTTATTGTTTTCCGTTTTGCGTTCGCATATTCATTCGACTAGGGTTACTGAAAATTGATTTGCGGGAAGCTACATCCAAAATCGTGGGAGACTTTACTCAACATCACGGGGAATCTTTTGACGCTCCAACCCATAAATTGGGTTTCAGCTGTCTGGATTAGAATGTCACTTATGGAAGATGGGGAAAAGGGGAACTTGATTTGTTTTCTGACGTATAAAGTCTGGGAAGGAGATGAGGCGAAACGTTTGCTATTGACTTTTTCATTTTTCTTTCTTCTCTCTTGATCTCGAAACGGTGCGTAGGAGAGCGTGGTGAAGGTACGAGTTTTAAATATGACGTGATTTGCGGACTGGATAGGTGGCGAAGGAGGCTGCCGCATAGAAACAACGACGGTGGCATTCTGTAGCCTAGAGTTTGAATCTTGAGCGTAAGATGAATGGGTAGGCGACTAGGGTGACGGACATAATGGTGCGCATGACATTTAGATATTAGGTCCGCAACGGAGGCGAGATCATAATGGCTGGAAGATGGATTATAAAACCTACCGAGCATACATAGACGACATGGAACAAATCCGCCCGCACAGAGAGGCCATGGCTCAGCATATGAGCATCAAATTATTGATACATTTTCTTCTTCCTAACAATGGTGCCTGATAGCATCATCTTTGGCTAAAGTAAGTACCTAGTAAGATGCCGAGGAACAAGAATAAGGACATTCAAATGGATGTCATTGTGTCGAGTATCCAGTGCGTAGGTACATTTGTCAAACAATTGAGTACATGTTATATTGAGGACGCGATGCCGTTATAGCAAGATACAATGCCATATACTTGAAGTTTTGAAGACTTGCTGAAACTATCAACGAGGTTCTTTGCTGCTGCGGGTGGTCCTCAGCACGGTATCCTCATATATCTATCAAAACAGATCTCGGATGCGCGCTCTTCGCCATTATAACCTCTGTATGATTCTCCTGTATGGATGCATATATACCTATGTCTTTCAATTCGTTTTCTTTCCTTCTTCTTTTCTCTCCTTACTCTTACTCCTATGAAGTAGCCTTCTTCTTCTTCGCCTTTGCCTTCTTCTTGCTCTTGTCTCTCGGCTTCAACAGCGTCATTCCCGCCTTGCAGACGTCGGCGTACCGGACGTAGAAACCTTCCAGCTCGTGGGGCTGAACAATGGTTGAGAGCTTCTCCTTGTCGGATCTATCGCGCTTCGACTTGCCGTTTGTGGCCTTGATGATGATTGGGAGGGGCTTGTCGGGGAGGAGGTCTGGGAAGAGCTTGGCGGTTGTTGATTGTTCGCTGGGGTCGTATGTGACTAGATTGGACGAGAGAGAGGGTATATTAGATCCGAGTTCAAGTGCCAGATGGTATTTGTTGCCCCAATTCGGCGGGCTGTGGTGGTGGTGTCTTACATCGCTTTTGTGTTAGGTAGACGGCGCCATGGTCGCTGCTCTTTCGGTGGTTGAACAGATGGCCGAGCTTGTCGAAGAACTGTGCAGCGCAAAGAGTCAGTACATTTGATTGTTTTACGGCAAGGACATCATGTAAGATGCTGACCTCGTCTTGGCTGAGATGCCCTGAAGTCATCCTGGAAGCGGGAGTTCTTTGCTGGCGGTTTTGGCGAAAGAGCTGCCGTTGAAAGTGGGATGTCGCTAGTTTGAGGTATGGATCATCCATCTAATTCTGGAGTAAGATATCGATAAGAGAACGGGTTTGGCGTTAGCGCGGATTTCTTGATCTGCTCGAGATGGTCTACTATACAAGTACGATGATCATGGTAAATCAGGAGTATAGTTATTGAACCTTCACGATTTCTTTATTTCAGATCGCCCGAATTGCAGAGAATCGTCTAATAAAAGTTCGAATAAACCCCGCCTGCAGTTACTGGGTATCTTGGCATGCTTCACATTCTGCTGATGGTAAATCCTATAGGAACTCAATAGTTCGAAAAGAGCTCCACTCCAGAGTCCGTTTAAAGATCGACATTGTGCTTCGCCACGTCTAATATACACTGTGATATTATTCCAGTTATAGCATATCGTTTCGCTAATGTATACTGAAAATTATCAGTACAGATTTCATCAGAGGCTGTTGGACACAAGGCCACAGGGCGCATACAAGTAGCACTTTGATTAAAGCACAAAGTACAGGCTAATGCACCCTAGCCCCTGTAAGTTGTGAGATCCGTGCCCATGCTACTCCGTAAAGGACAGCATACCCTCTTTTTTCGTCCCCTGCCATTCCCGGCGTTGGAGTTACGGCTTCCGTTTTTGCGACTCCCCCACATGTCACGCCTGGCTAAAGAACAGCGTATATAGATTGCGGCTTTCTTGACACGTCTCACTCTTCCATGGTTGGAACTTCTCTCGCCTTCCTAGCGCTCATTGTCCCGCGACGAGGTTCCATGCTCAACTTTTCTTCTCTCTAGCAAGCTGCTCTTGTCTCCAGGTCGAGCACCTCTGGCCACCCAAGATGCGCCTTCACTTGCCAAACCTGCTTGTGACGGCCGCCCTTATATCGGCTGGTGCTGTGTGGGCGCAAGACATTCCTACGGACGTGCCCGTATCGGCGCTCCTGACCTCAGCGCAAGAGCATCTCACAAAAGGCGAAACCAACGAAGCGCTAGCATACTACGATGCCGCCATCGCTCGCGATCCTACCAACTACCTGTCCTTCTTCAAACGGGCCACCACCTATCTATCGCTCGGTCGCGCAAACTTGGCAACTGAGGACTTCAACAAGGTGCTTGCCCTAAGACCAAACTTCCCGGGCGCGCACATTCAGCTCGCCAAAATCAAGGCCAAGGCTGCTGAATGGGATGGCGCAAAGGCCGATTACGCGGCGGCGGGCGAGGCGTCTGATTCCCCCGATGTGCTGGCCCTAACGGCGGCGGAGGAAGCAATGAAGCTTGCGTTGTCTGCCGAAAAGGAGGGGAACTGGGAGGAGTGTGTCAATCAAGCGGGGGATGCCATCGTCGTCGCCTCGAGATATGCGCCGTTACGTGAAGCGCGGTCGCACTGTCGCTTCGAGCGCGGCGAGTTGGAGGAAGGCATTGGCGATCTCCGCCACGTACTACAGATGCGACCTGGCGACATCTCTCCCCATGTCGTCATCTCGGCTGTCTCGTTCTACAATTTGGGGGATCTTGACGCTGGTGTCGGGCAAATCCGGAAGTGTCTTCATTCCGATCCAGACTCAAAAGTCTGCAAGAAGTTACACAAACAAGAGAAGGCCGTTACAAAGGCCTTCAACAAGGCTACTGGTCAGCTGAGCAAGGGACAATATACCACTGCAAGCAGAGCGCTGGTCGGAACGGAAGAGGAGCCTGGGCTTCTTGCAACTGTAGAGGGACAAGTCAATGAGCTGCGCGAGGAAGGGAGAATACCTGCCAAAGGGAAGGTCCTTTTATACGAGCAACTGGTCGAGATGGTTTGCCAGGCATACGTTGAGGTAAGTAATGCCATCGTGCAGACCACCACTTTCCTCGTCTTTTTTGCTCTCTTCAATGGTGCTACCGGACCAGGTGCTAACACTATTGTGAAACAGTCAGCTAGTAAACATGCCGATAAGTATTGCGATGAAGCCATTCAGCTAAATGAAGACTCCTTCTGGGGTCTTCTTCATCGCGGCAAGACGCTGCTCAAGAAGGAGGAGTTTGAAGCAGCCATTCAAGCATTAGAAAGTGCAGCAAACGCGCATCCGGATAAGAGAGACAAGGTCAACCCAATTCTTAACAAGGCACAGATCGAACTAAAACGAAGCAAGACGAAAGACTACTACAAGGTTCTTGGTGTAGCCAACGATGCTGATGAAAGACAGATCAAGTCTGCATACCGCAAGGCATCCAAGCAGTTCCATCCAGATAAAGCTCACAAGCAAGGCATCACCAAAGAGGCAGCGGAGAAGAAGATGCAAGCCATCAATGAAGCGTACGAGGTGTTGAGTGACCCTGAATTGCGTGCCCGCTTTGACAGAGGTGACGACCCCAACTCCCAAGAGAGAGGGAGCCCATTCCAAGGCTCGCCATTTGGTGGCCAGCACTGGGCATTCCAGCAGCCAGGCGGAGGTGGAGGACAGCAATTCAAATTTCACTTCAACAACGGGCCGTTTGGATTTTAAAAGGAGTATTGTTCATAAGGGTCCTTTTTTCCCTTTACTTTTCTGTTTTTCTAGACAGTGAGTGTTAGAGTGCGAGAGATGTGTATACATCCCTTTCAACATCATCATATGATTGCACTTAGTACTATGCGTAGCGTTTACATCAATAAAGCAAATATCTTCTTGCCTCTTGTTTTTCTTGGCTATCCATTTTTCACATGCCTCTTCAAGTGAGATGACGAAATGGTCCTAGAGAAAAAGGCAAATAGCCTATCCGGGCCAAATGATCAAATATACACACAGACATATTTCAAATATGCACGGACATTTCGTCCATATCCAGATTAGATTGCTTTACACTCTTTCTCCTATGTAAAGGTACAGTACCACATCTCCTTGGGCCTTGGAGTTTATGTCTTCACTTTTACTGTTGTGTAAGGCTCGTAGCTATAACGCTCTTGAAAAGTACTTGCGTTGGGTGGAAGCATAAAGTACTGGCACCCCTTGCAAGGGCGCTAAAATGCTTTAGGCCAAATGCAGCTTAAATGTCCGTGGATATTTGGAATATCTATATCCGTGGTATTTGGAAAGTTCGGGCTTATCAGATTTTGTGGCCGCTCGGGAGTCGGAATGGCTGAGCGCATCTCAAATCTGATAGTATCCCGGGATTACTCCGCAGCAGCGCATGGTGGGGCTCCCACACGCACCTCGCAATTGCCTCCCGGACTCCGAGGCCGTCAACGGAGACGAGCTGGAAATTTTTATAGACCGGTTCACAGGCTCCGCTCTGAAGCTGCCCGGCTCGAGTGATTCTGCGAAGGGCGAAACATCCATCATTACTCCCTCATTTCCTCTCGCTGCTCTCTCCGGTAACTCGCTTCTGCTCGACAACTTCAGCTGCCGATTGCTTTGACGACGACGATCCTGCCCGCCCATTGACCCGAGCCTCGTTCTGGCTTTGCGACTCTGCGACCTTCTCCGCACGAAGCTCTCAGCGGCCACATCAGCTACAAGCAATCGGCTTTGAACTGCGAATTTGCGCCCTACTTCGCCGACAGCCCGCAAAAGTCGCCGCGCCCTGCTGTTCGCCTCTTCTCTCCCTCCCTCGAGAACCAACTTCGACACCAACTCCTCATATTTCTACGCCGGCCGTGCTGCCTCAGCACGCTGCATCTGCCAACCTGGCTGCCATCAATTCCAAGACTTTTGGCGTAGCTTCTGACGCTGTGGCCGAGATGGCCCAGCCGCCAAGTGGCAAGCCTGTGGTGGATGAGGAAGAAGACTACGAGTGAGTGGTTGATACTCTACATGATGCGACTTTCGCAAACTGGGATTGTCTCTTGGAATACTTTTCTGACTTGCGTAGCTATGAATCTCTCCCGCCAAACTTTTCGCTGCTGCAGAACATGGCTGCGGGAGCATTTGCTGGCATTGCTGTAAGTGAATGGTCTCCTGCTGCCGAGGTGCCCCGGGCGACATCTCGGCTGTTGACTCATAACTGAATGTCAACTGACGAAGATTCAAGGAACACACCGTCATGTATCCAATTGATGCGATAAAGGTAATGCCCGCCTGGCAGTTGCCCCTCTGCCACAACCGTCGCTGTCTTCTTCCGACTTGATACTAATGCCGAGGCTCTCAACGATATAGACGCGAATGCAAGTTCTGCAACCACATGGAACCACAGCACATAACAGCGTTATCCGAAATACATTGCACATTGCGCGAACCGAGGGTGTATTCAGTTTATGGCGCGGCATGTCCAGTGTCATAGTGGGAGCTGGTACGGTCATCTCATCCATCCAGGCTGCATTAACCCTGTCTTTTTTTTTTCTCTCTCTCTTTATATATGGCCTAGTTTCTAACTAGTCTATGATTCATAACAGGTCCTGCCCACGCTGTCTACTTTGCGACGTATGAAGCCGTTAAACATGCCATGGGTGGCAATCAGGCGGGCGTACACCACCCTCTTGCTGCTGGTAAGTTTTCTTTCGCTGCCGAACGTCGTTCACTCTCTTCTTGACTAACTTAATGCTCACAGCTACAAGCGGTGCCGCAGCTACGATTGCCAGCGATGCTTTCATGAATCCATTCGATGGTACGTAATCTCCATAAACATTGAACCCGTGGATGCTGTGCGCATAGCTTACCGACGAATGTCTTTATAGTTATCAAGCAACGTATGCAGATGCAGGAGTCTCGAAAGATGTATCGCTCCATGGTCGACTGCGCCAAGTACGTCTACCGAAACGAAGGCTTGGGCGCCTTCTACATCTCCTACCCAACCACGCTCTCCATGACCGTTCCCTTCACCGCGCTCCAATTCCTCGCATACGAATCCATCTCAACCACGATGAACCCGACCAAGGCATACGACCCCGTCACCCACTGTCTTGCCGGAGCCGTTGCCGGTGGCTTTGCCGCTGGTCTCACCACCCCCATGGACGTCATCAAGACGATCCTACAGACGAGAGGCACATCCTCCGATCCGCAAGTCAGAAACGTCAGCGGCTTCCTAGATGGCTGCAAGCTGCTGTATAGGAGAGAGGGCTTCAGGGGCTTTTTCAAGGGCGTCAGGCCCAGAGTTGTCACAACGATGCCAAGTACTGCTATTTGCTGGTCCGCCTATGAATTTTCCAAGTAAGTCGCCCTCTCTTACGCGTCGTGCCGAGCATAGCCGAGCGTAGGTGAAACCGAGTATTAACCACATATGCTGACTTTGATTGCTTCCTTAGAGCGTATTTCATTAAACGAAACGACAGTTTGTAAAGAATATCTGCGACGAATAGTAATTATAGAGATTATACGGAGTACAGAGCCATAAGCTATAATTACACAATATTTTTTTTTTTTCTAAAAAAAAAATTCAAGTAAATAGACGATGTTTGAATATAGTATTTTCAGATCAGCATTAACTGTAACTTTTTTTTTTTTTTTTCGTGGAGATTGTATATAGATATTAAGTTGAGAATCCTCTTTTCTTACGAAGCTGTGAACACCTTTGTGAAAAATGATGTTGAGAGCCGCTTCAGAGTAGCGGCTCGGTACAGCGTTTGGCAGCCCTGCGCTCAGTGCGTAGCAGTGAATGCGACAGCGGCCCTCTTTTTCTCCCCCTCCCTGTCTTTAGCTTTCCCTAGTAGAGATCTGGTGCCGGCAGAGCTTAGATCATAGCTCGTCGTTACTCATCCGGTGACGCCTCTTCTATCCACCAGCAGCCACCTGACTTTAGGCAGTAACAACTTCGAACCATAAACACCAGCTGACTGTCTTTGCATCACGCCTCCGCCAACAGGATCTCTTCATTCTTTGGCTCGGGCATATGATTGATATGCACATCGCTGGCACATTTGACGTTTACGGTCTTTGGCCTGTTCCTGTTCTACACCTTACAAGCGATCCTAGATGATCATGCTTGGCTGCGCTTTGCCATCGACAGAGCTCCGCGACTGAGCTTCCAACATGGCACCCAAGGTTTTTGGACGACTTACCGCATCGACGCAAGGCGGTCGATCGTTTTACGAACAGCTGCGAGGCTACGACGATGAGGCAGGCTTGGACACGGAGGCAGGCCTAATGGCAGACCACAATTTTATGCCTACGGCCAGGCATCGCAACAACACCGACAGCGTTTTATCACCAGAAGCGGACAGCGTACACGGTGGTGCCCAGAGATCAGCTGCCGATGGCCGAAGCTCTTCTCTAGGGTGGCCGCACGATGACGAAGGCGATGAGGACGTGCCTGCTTCCCTCCTCGTGGAGCCTAACAAGGCGACGGCAAATCCTGGCCTTGCTCGAGCAGAAGCACCGCATGAATCCCCACATTATGAGAGCCCGAATCTCTCGTCGAGCCACAGCCACGCCCCATGGCGGCCGTCGGCTGATGAAAGGAGGCACGAAGTTCCGAGGCCAAGCACACGACCAGCCGCCACGCCTTATATACCATCAATGAACACCGGGGCGTCGTTCAACCGAAAGAATACGGCGCTGTGGAAATGGGCGAATATCACGAACCTCGACAGCTTTATGAGAGATGTTTATGACTATTACGAAGGGGGTGGGATGTGGTGCATTATGGTTGCAAACGCTCTGTGGCTACTGTGAGTTACAACCATGGGCTTTGAACCAGCTACTGTGAATTCGGCAAGAACTAACACAGAGAGACAGGGAGACTTTGTTCGTGGCCGTCTTGTTGACCTTCTTGACTCAGTGCGTCGAATACAGTAGCATACCGCATAGCCACTCTCTGAGTGAAGTCGTCATACCTCGCTGCACCCAGAAAATGTCGGGATGGTGGGCGTTGGGAATATGGTTCTACTCCTTCTTCTTCATCTGGAAGTCTGTGCAGTATTTCTTTGAAATCCGCCGCTTACTCTTCGTTCGCGAGTTTTTCATTGTCCTTCTCGAGATTCCCGAACAGGATATGCAGACCATTTCCTGGCAAGATGTCGTTGCTCGAATCATGACTTTGCGGGATCAGAACCCTCGGACAGCCTCAGATATACCGCAAAACCTACGACGCTTTATTGGCAGCCAGTCGAAGGAACGATTAGACGCCCACGATATCGCCAACCGACTGATGCGCAAGGAGAATTACCTGATTGCCATGGTCAACAAAGATGTACTCAACTTATCGCTTCCGTTTCCCTTTCTCCGAGGACGTCAGTTGTTTTCAAAGACCATGGAATGGTATCTACATTACTGCATTCTTGACATGGCCTTTAATGAACTGGGTCAAGTCCAGCAGGACTTTTTGCGTGCTGAACGGAGGGGAATTTTGAGCCAAAAATTAAAGCAGCGGTTCTGTTTTGCTGGTTTTCTAAATCTTCTATTCGCTCCCATTGTCCTTGCGTATGTCATCATCGTCTACTTCTTTACATACTACAATGTGAGTACAACATTTGATACGACAAAAACCGTATAATCATCGCTAATTCACAATGTGCAGGAGTATCAAAAAGATCCGAAGCTGGCTGCGGCTCGTAAATACACCTCACTTGCTGAATGGAAATTCCGCGAATTCAACGAGCTGCCTCATATATTTTACGAAAGACTCCACATGTCATTCCCGTTTGCGACCCGGTACATTGATCAGTTTCCGAAACGTATGACGGAGGAAATTGCACGGAGTATCTCATTCATGTGTGGAGCTCTCACTGCAATCCTCGCAGTGTGCACGCTGCTAGATTCGGAACTATTCCTATCATTTGAGATTACAAAGGATAGAACTGCTTTGTTCTATCTGGGAATATTTGGAGGCATATGGGCAATCACTCGAGGGATGGTGTCTGAAGAATCTATGGTGTTCAATCCCGAGTATGCCCTGAGGAATGTGATTGAATATACCCATTATATGCCCGACCACTGGCAAGGAAGACTGCATAGTACCGACATTAAACAGGAGTTTTCCGAACTCTACAAGATGAAGGTGGTCATCTTCTTGGAAGAAGTCCTAGGGATCATAACAACTCCCTTGCTGCTGCTTCTGTCACTACCCAAGTGCAGCGATCAGATCGTGGACTTCTTTAGGGAATTTACGGTGCATGTAGACGGCTTGGGCTACGTCTGTTCATTCGCTGTCTTCGACTTCAAAAAGGGACCAGGCCATCCCGATCGTCAAAGAATTCCTCAGGATGTCCGTGATGATTACTATGCAACCAAGCACGGCAAAATGGCTGCATCTTACTATGGATTCCTCGACAACTATGTTATCAATCCAAAGACTGGTATCCCTGGACATATGCCTCCTGGATCACAGCAACCATTCCATCCTCCGCCTGCATTCCCGAATCTGAATTCACCTACCCTGGCAGCAGACATGCAAGCTTCTCAAGCAGGAATTACAGAAACAGGAAGGAATAGAAGCCGAACCGTTGGACTGGGCACGTTTCCCAGAGGAGGACACAGCATCACGCAGCCATCCCCCATGGCGTCTATGCTGTTGGATCCTCGCCACCAGCCATCCATCACAAACTTTGGAGCAAGAGGACCGCATAAGCCGCGCCCTTCGCGAGGAGCGCACCGTGCTGATGGACAAATCCCCGAAGAGCCATATGAGGCTGATGCCGATGTGGATGCAGCTGGGCTGGGAGGTGACAGCTCCGAAGCCGGAGCCATGCTCGGAGAATCTATGTGGCAGACGTCACCTGGCAGGGAGCTCAGCAAGGAGAATAGCATGGCTAACTTCAACGAGCCCGAGGCTGGTGTGCTTGGACTGATTAACCAGTTTCGGCAGGCACAGCATCACCGCCGAGGAGGGGTCTTTTAGTAGATACTACAAGGGGGAGGAAGGAAGGATTTATCACTCTTCTTCTTTGGGCAGTTTGGAATCTTTCTTAGAATTTGGATACAGAAGGCTTGAAACCGGGGCGTTCTTTGGTCGTCTTTCAATGGTAATATGCTTTAGGAAGGCGTGAGTATTAAAGCGTTAGAATTCCTTGTCTTTTTCATAGTATTGATAACAAAGCGCTACAAGGCGATGGATTTACTCAGTATATTATCCAATCAACCACAATTTCTATGCATGCTATATCAGTGTGGTGCTACTTTTGCTTCGTCGAATAAGAACAGTCTCCAGTGACCTGACTCGTGAATACTGCCTCTTTTTAGCTTTATTATTTTATGATATTGTACAACTCATGAACAAACTCGGTGACTCTACAAATAGATCCAGCTTAAGTTTGACGCTTCGCCTCCCTAGCAATCCATGGGATACGCAGCTCATGCTTTGCTGCTGCATCCCAATTTCTATGTATTTTCTTTCATTTTCTCATTTTTGTCGCTACGAGTGGCCTATTAGCTGAAAAGACAGCTTTCCCCCAACAACGCCGTATCATTCATCAACTCCAGGACACTAGGCTTGGACCAGAAGGACGCAGCTTAGAAGTGCAGGGCCTTGGCATAAGTGGCCATGGCAGCCTCCTTGAAGGCCTCAGCCAGCGTGGGGTGGGCATGGCAAGTTCGGGCAATGTCCTCGCTGGAGGCACCGTACTCGAGAGCCAGGGTGGCCTCAGCAATCATCTCACCGGCGCCAGGTCCGACGATGTGAGCGCCGAGCAGACGGTCAGTCTCGGGATCGGCAAGAATCTTGACGAGACCATCAGAGTCGAGGTTGGTCTTGGCTCGGGAGTTGGCGCTGAAGGGGAAAGTGCCGATCTTGTAGGGGATGTTCTGGCTTTTGAGGTCCTGCTCTGACTGGCCAACCCAGGCGACTTCGGGGTGGGTGTACATGACGGAGGGGATGCATCCGTAGTTGACGTGGCCGTGGCCCTTGGCGATGTACTCGACAACGGCAACGCCCTCCTCCTCGGCCTTGTGGGCCAGCATGGGTCCAAATGTAACATCGCCGATGCAGCGGATGTGGGGGATCTTGGTTCGGTATTCAGAGTCGATGATGACGCGACCTCGCTCGTCCAGCTCGAGGCCGATGTTCTCGAGGCCCAGGCCCTGGGTGTAGGGTCTTCGGCCAATGGCGACCAAAACGACCTCAGAGTCAATCTATGACGCATGTTAGCACCGATGCTGTCCGAAAATACTACAAATGTCATTTGGTAGGCTACTTACGCTCTCAGGCTTGCCGCCCTTGGCGGCGTCAATCTCCAGCTTGACGAGGTCGCCGGAGGTATCACCGCTGACAACCTTGGTGTTGAGCTTGAACTCAATGCCCTGCTTCTTGAGAATCTTCTGGGAAGCCTTGGAGATCTCGGTATCCATGCCGGGTCCACCGATCTGGCCGAGGAACTCAACGACGGTAACCTTGGCTCCCAATCGCGACCAAACTGAGGCCATCTCAAGACCAATGATACCTCCTCCGATAACAGTCATGGTCTCTGGGACTTTCTCCAGAGCAATAGCGCCAGTGCTGGTGACGACGCGCTTCTCGTCGACGGTGAGGCCAGGGAAGGGAGTAGCCTCAGAACCAGTGGCGATGAGGATGTTCTTGCCGCGGATGACGGATTCACCGCCATCGTTGAGGTCGACCTTGATTTCGTTCTCGTTGATGAAAGAACCAGTGCCCTTAATATACTCGGCGCCGTTCTTCTTCAGGAGGAACTCAACGCCCTTGGTCAGGCTGTTGACGGAGGTGTCCTTGGCTTTCATGAAGTTTTGAAGGTTTAGCTTGACCTCGCCGACCTCAATACCTCGGTTTTTTGTGTCGTGGAGGATTTGGTGGTACAGATGTGAGTTGTTGAGCAGAGATTTTGAGGGAATGCAGCCGACGTTGAGACAGGTGCCACCAAGGGTGCCTCGCTTCTCAATGCATGCAACCTATTCGCAACAACAAGTTAGTTTCTGGCTATCATCTGCCCAAGGTAGAGCAAAAATGAAAAGCCTCCAGATTTTTCCCTCACCTTCATGCCCTCCTGTCCAGCCTTGATAGCTGCAATATATCCGGCAACACCACCACCGATGATAATCAGATCCTTCTCCTCTAAAAACCCCCCCGTTAGCACATGTATAAACCTTGCGCAAGCCACAATAGACAAGATACGGGCTACGAACCAGAAGTAGAGGCGAATCCTCGGCCCCATCGTGACAGAACTGGCGCGGCGACGGAAGTTCTGCTCGAAGAAAAATATACGGGTTAGCTACGCGAGAGATTTTCCACAATCGCAGAGATGGCGACCGCTGGAGGGGAGCTGGGCACTCACGCCAATTGCCTGCTCGGCAGCGTGCGGATGGCACTTCGGGGTATCAGGCGGCTCGCGAGCATGCTGGGCAGCCGTTACTGGGAGCGATGTGATGAATTGATGGAGAGGATTGTCGACGGTTTGGAGATCGAAAAGAAGTGCATCGGCCTGGGCCTATAGCAAAGCCAGCCGGTTTTAGGGAAGCTCCGCTGCGTCCCAGCGTGGTTTCCACGCTTGATTACCTGAACACTGGGGACTGGGCGCGCTGTCAGGCAAACAAGCGGTACTAGCAGGATACTAGCTGGGTACTCCGTTCGCTGAAGCCATTGCTGGTGGGCAAGCAGCGCAGCCCCACGACTCCAGCTTTTTATTCTCGTTTTTTTGCCCCTCGACATGTCGTCGCGAGGTATCGCTGCGTACCCCTCTTGTTCAGCGGCGCAAATCGGCCTCTCTCGCTTAGAGGCGGGACGCCCCCCCCCCCCGGAGAGCTGAAGTTGCCTAACAGAGGCACAAAGGAGCACCTAGCTGTCTCAGTACAGTTATCCCGAGCGAGAAGATATCAACAGGTCCGTGGCCGCCCGTGAAGGGGGAGCCCAGCCTAACAGATCTTTGCGCTTCGGCAAATTGCCACTGCAGGACGAGGATTCGCCGGGTAGACCGGGCATTATGATGACAAAATCAGTGTCCCTTTTTAATTGTCACGCTAGTTCCTGGCAGTTTTCGTCGAGCCTCCTTATCCTCGGCAACCTCGTTTCAAAAGGGGCATTATACTCCGCCTGCACGTCCAAGAGGCGATCAATTTATATACGTACTCTATATATAGGTATAGCCGTGATTCATATTGTTTATATGATTTGTATGACCCTTAGTAAATATCCTGGCGAGACCAGTTTCTCTGGGTTTCCCTAGACTTCTCGGGCTGCTTGAGCCTGCACTGTAGCCTCAGCCTTGCCCCTGACTCTTTCCAGCCTCTTCGCCTCCCGTGGCGTTATCAAGTTGCTTTTCCGCAGCTTCTTTCGGAGAAACCACTCCAGGCCGGCCGCAAGTGATGGCATATCTGCCACCGCACCAAATATCTTGGCCACCCTGGTGCTCTCTTTGTCGTCATTGCTACCTCGACAGGCCTGCAGGAGGCTGACTATGAGCTGCTCAACAAACACTTGTGTCCAAGAGTTCAGCCTAGAAAGGTGTAGAGGCTTCAATATATTGATGTTCAGGGCTCCGTTAGAAATCAGAGTTGCGTAGAAGCGAGCCACATGGCCAAGGCGACGCTCGTCCTTCATCTTTTCACTGTCGGCAGTCTCCTCTTCTTCTTCTGCTTCTTCACCAAACATGAGTTCGCCAAGGCTGCGGAATATCCTCCAAAGTCTGTCTTGAAAAGCAAACCTAATCTTGTTGTTGATGCAGGCCTGCTTGCCCACGAGCGCGTAGTATTCGTTGTAGTTTGCTTCACTTCCGACGCACTGTACAAGAACGCGTGCAATTTCATTCTGATCGTCTTTTCTCAGCTTGAGGTTGGCATATTGCCGATATCCATGCTCATAGTCTGTCGCGGACATGAGGGCAGTGAATATGGCTATCTGTGCCGAGGTGTGGAAGCCTTGGCCGCGAGCTTTCTTCGAGTAATCGGGCAGCACAATGTCCATATCCTCGTCATCTGTCAGATCTCTATCATTCTTTTGTGTTGCAGACTTTGACTGTTCTTCCAAGTCCTGATATGTTTCTTTTGCTGGCACACTGGCTCCCACCAGCCACCATTTGCCTCGTGTGTCTGCCTTTTCTATGTCTTGCAGACTCAAGCCCATGGGCGCGAGACCATCGAGTCTCCGAGACTGCGACTTGAGCTCACCAAGCTTCTTTCGAATGCGGAGGACGTGATCTGATACAATGCCAGAATCCAATCCTCGAGCCTTTGGCTTGCTCTTGCCAAGATCGTTAATCGTCTCAACCATAAACTTTGTGCGTACAGACAGGTTGGCGGGCCCGATGTCGCCAACCGCCTTGTTCAAAATGGATGTAACGTGCTTGAGCGCATTTGGATCATCACGTCGAAGGAGGCGGCCCGCCATGCGGCAGATACGTAAAAGGAGCTCAACGTTTAGCTCGTTCAACTCTGAGAGAAGCCTCTCCATATAATCAAAGATGATCTTGCAGCTCACAACTTCGAACAAGTATAACTGTGTGAGATATCCCAGAATGTTTGACGATTCTTTGGGAATTTCTGCTAAATCAATTCCTCCTTGCATGACGCTCTTGTATGAGCCTTGGAAGCTTACTACCACTTGTTGTATAAGATGGGATCCAAAGCTAGATCCAATCACTTTGTAAACTGCGGCGGAAAAGCCACCTGTGAGAACCAGGAACTGGTCGGGGACACTTGAAGACTTGTACATTTGCGCCAAAAGCGTATCTGTAAGAATCTCAGTTATGTCGCCACGAGCGTTGTTCTGGTAAAGTTCCTCGACAGATTTGACAATTTGCAAGATATTTGCTTCCGTCAGACGGTTCACCAAACCCTGGATCTGCTTCTGCACCCGCATCTTAACTTCTGAATCTGAGTTGGCAGCTTTTCGCAAAGACGGAGGCACATATTTGGCGACTACTGCCCCCGTGGTCGGAGCCACATATGGATTCTCCTTCACTTTGGTCTGTGTACGATTCGATGATCCTTCTTCTTGGCTATGGTCGTCGCCTCCATCGTCTGAAAAATCGAACCGGTCTTCGTCTTCTGAGCCATCTGACACATCAGAATCACCCTGGGCAGCTGAACCACCCTCTGCTTTCCTCCTCTTTGAAGCCAACCAGTCGTCATACTGCCTCTTTCTTTTGAGACTGTCATCGGCTTCTATCGTCTCAGGCTGCCCCCCAACGTCGCCTAAGATTTCATCGAGTCCATCATCTTTAAAAGATTTCGGCAGCGATGACGATCCTTTCTTGATGCGTAGTTTCTTTTCGAGTGCCTCAATTTCCTTATCATCTTGGGCCAATTGTTCGCGAACCCTTGAAGAGACTCCGTCGTACTTCGATGATGCCTCTACCTCATCGCTCTCGGCACCGCTATCCGCATCGCTCTCAGCATCACTCTCACCCTCGCTCTCGTCTTCTAAGCCAAAGTCGTCTCCGTCTTCTTCAGAGCCCTCGCTTTCGCCGTCGTCGAATTCTCGTGACAAGCCATCTTCTTCTTCGTCAGTCGGAACTTCAAAGCCATCGCTGTCACTCTGGGTGTCGTCAATAGGTAAAGATTTTGCTGGAGGAGCTTTGGGGCGTTGTGAGTTTCTATTTGGGCGAGTAGAATTGATCCGATTGGCTTGGATTTTAGCAGGTATAGCCTGCCTCGGGTGATGCTGTGTCCTTTTCTGCGCTCTTTCGGCTTTCCTCCGCGATACCTGACTGAAATTGCCCTTGGTTGGTTTGAACGGGCGCCTTGGTGTCTTTTGTTTGTCTTCTGGCACATCCAAGCCCATGCGCTTGAAAAGCTTCTTTTGAAGCTCTGCAACGTCTGCGGACGGCATGGCAGCGAGAGGAGAGCGCAAAACAATAGAATTATAAGGCGAGTGTCTTATACAGACATTATGAACGTGAGGCTAGATTCAGCTACAAAGGCTGCAAAATTGTTAGGCCAGTGTCGCGGCAAGAACATGGCGGTAGTCCCAAAAAAAAAATTGCAATGACGTACTAGCAAAAGCCCAGGGGTCTCGGCCGCTGCAACGGAAGATTCAGCCACTAACAAACAGCCTACGGCCAGAGGGAGCAATAGACTCCTACTGGGTTTAGCAGGACTAGAGAATTTTCTGAAGTGAAGGAAAAGACGTCCAGTTGCCGAAGTTAAAAAGAGCAAAGCGAAATAATGCCAGTCTCATAGAAAACATTAACACAAGTAAGCCACGCAAATAGACACGGAATTAAATTTAAATTACAATTTACTATACATTTGCATACATACAAGCCATGAAAAAACTGTATAAATACCATCTCTATAGTCTTTTTAGTAGCATTATAACCCCTCTTAGCTGGCTATTGCTGTTTTGCTACGTACACTATGTCATTTGCAGCGTAGGGCCCTTCTTTTCCCGATATGCATCTGCCGAGGATACGTACATTTACGTACTATTTTTTAATTACGCAGAACAACACCTCTCGTTCTCCTAGTCTCCCGTGAACAACCTCACTCATCCTGCGCTCGACCACGCTCGCCCATCATGCTGTCTCGAAGCATAGCCTCCGTCTCCCGCATTGCGCCCATGCGCGCCTTGCGCCCTTCTCCTGTGTTCCGTCAGGGACTCCCAAGCTTGATGCGCTTCTATGCCGACAAGATCATCCAAGTCCCGGTCATGGCCGAGTCCATATCTGAGGGCACTCTCAAGCAGTTCTCAAAATCGATTGGCGACTACGTTGAGGTGGACGAGGAGATTGCCACCATCGAGACGGACAAGGTATGCTGCCATTGACTCTGCACGCCTAGCCTGCCAGTTTTCTCACCCTTTGCGCCTACAGATCGATGTGGCCGTCAACGCAACAGAATCCGGTATCATCAAGGAGTTTTTCGTCAGCGAGGAAGACACCGTTACAGTGGGCCAGGATTTGGTTCGTGTTGAGCTTGGTGGCGAGAAGCCCGAGTCTTCAGGAGAGGCAGAGAAGCCCAAGGAGGAGTCTAAGCCCCAAGCTTCCGAGTCAAAACCTGCCGCCGAGCCGGAAGAGCCAAAGTCACAACCTGCGCCCAGCGAAAGCAAGAGCGAAAGCAAGAGCGAGAAGCCTGCGCCGTCTCCCAAGAAGCCTGAGGAACAGCCTCAGAAGAAGAGCCAGCCCGAATCTACCGCATCGTCAAGCTCTCAGCCAACCCCTGGAAACCGCGAGGAACGCCGTGTAAGTTTTTGATAATACCTATACTTACTCGAGCTCATCTAATTCAAGATGCAATTTAGGTCAAGATGAACCGTATGCGACTACGTATTGCCGAGCGCCTCAAGCAGTCTCAGAACACTGCTGCCTCCTTGACGACCTTCAACGAGGTCGACATGTCCAACATCATGGAGTTCCGAAAACTTTACAAGGAGGAGACTCTGAAGAAGACTGGCGTGAAGCTGGGCTTCATGAGCGCCTTTTCTCGTGCCGCAGTTTTGGCCATGCGAGATATCCCCGCCGTCAACGCTTCCATCGAGGGTCCTAACGGAGGCGACACCATCGTCTACCGCGATTATGTCGATATCAGCGTCGCTGTTGCCACTGAGAAGGGTCTGGTTACCCCCGTGGTGCGAAACGTCGAGTCTATGGACATGATTAGCATCGAGAAGTCTATTGCCGACATGGGCAAGAAGGTTGGTACTCGCCGCACCACACGTCAAACTGGCGGTTTTACTAACTGAAAACTAGGCTCGCGACAACAAGCTCACTATTGAGGATATGGCTGGCGGCACATTTACTATCAGCAACGGCGGTGTCTTTGGCTCGCTGATGGGAACCCCCATCATCAACCTGCCCCAGAGTGCCGTCCTGGGTCTCCACGCCGTCAAGGATCGCGCCGTGGTTGTCAACGGAAAAGTGGAGGTTCGCCCGATGATGTATCTGGCGCTTACATATGACCACCGTCTGCTCGATGGAAGGGAAGCCGTGCAGTTCCTTGTCAAGATCAAGGAGTACATTGAAGACCCCAGGAGAATGCTCTTGTAGAAGCTCTTCTTCCTCCCAAACATTACACACCCTACCTAACGATGGCGGTAAACTCTTTAATTAGAAAACGTTGTAGTTAATACAAGCATACAAGACATGTGAATATAGGCTGTATACCGAGGCACCATGACCCAGTAACATTCATAATCCACGTTTGCGTAGAGATGTACCCAAAAGCTAGGTACCTTACCTTCATTTAGGCAAGTGCCCAGTAGCTACTACTAGATACCTACTTGTACATCTGAGAATAGCGAAGTCTTCTTCTACAGAGAACAATCCTTTCTTTTAACGTTTTAGAAGCTCTCTGTCGATAATCAACCGGGGTAGCTACTGGTTAGACAAGGGTGTGTTGCCAAGGTAGCATGATAAGCGTCGTCCAAAGTCGTATGTTGTAAAACTTCAGCAACGGAATAACGGAATATTAGCACGATATGGCCCAATAATAGTTTTAATGTGATTGGAGCGCACATTGTCGTTCTTTTTCCTCTCTCGGCGTCTCACCCGCGTATTGTTTGTATGTATGTACATACCTATGTAGGCAGGCCTTATGCATGGATATCAAAGTTGTATCTACTAATTATAACTAGACAGCGTGGTGTTTGTATCCAGGCACTAGAGACAGAAGAGAGAAGCGTGAAGCGTGAAAAAGAGTGAAGAAAGCCACCTTGTTTCTACAGAAGTTATGGCCAAACATCTACAAGTGCCTGTTCAGTCTCCCCAAAGCAGTTAGGCTTATTTGCTCTTTTGTTTGCTCGAGGGTTCTATGTACTTCTCGCACAATGTACAAATAAGATCAAACTGTTGGAAACCCATGCACCTGCACCTTCTTAATTGATGACGAAATTGCTCTCAGAGCCGCAATACCCATGATCTAGTCCTAGTAATCCAAGCCACGGAGAAGAACATGGAGATTGTCGGGCGAAACAAGACAATGTCCGCGGGTATTACTTAAAATCGAGAGTCGTTCTTACACGCGGAGCTCGGGATGCCGGGCGCGAGATGGAAATTTTGCTCGTGGGCCCGACGAGAAGCTTACAGGATATGGCTAGTCCTTGGGAATTTCTAGCAGATGCTGTGGCTAGCCATGCCAATCGTCTGCAGACGGGTGGGGAGGGACCTTGTCCATCGCATCGCACCAATCGATGTCGGCACGGCTTTCCACGTTGGTTGGTAGGTCACGCCACCATCCCGGCAGTGGGTTGAAGAAGGATTTTCGGGCTGCAAGAGCGGAGAAGAGAGGTGCGGAGGAATAAGCAGACAGGACAGGATGAGACAAGCAAGGTACGGAATAGGTAGTCGAGAACGAACGAGAGGAGAAGAACACATGTGGGTTGGAGGGGTAGTTAAGAAGAAAAATGAAGGTGGCGGCGTAGCTGTGAGATCGAGTAATCAGCCGTCGCCAGCTAGCATCTGGGCGCAAACCGTTTTTCTCACCCGCTGCGTAGTAGGCCGAATAAGTCATAGAACATCTGGCGTGGCTGAGATACTGCCAAGGGCACTAGAAGACTATCACACAGATATACCTTTTGCTTCCGATGATCGGCCAACGAGTGATAAGACACCTAGAGTAAACAGGAAAGGATAGGAGATCAACAGTTGCAACAGCAGCTGTCAGAAGAGGAGTTGCTCCTTTCGCATCCTACAAAAGCAACTTACAGATTACAAAATAATACACTATATTGACTACCTACCTGGGTAGTGCCGTCATATGACCCGATGTGGGCAGCAAGGGTCGCAGATTCTTCTTTTTTCTTTGTTCCTCTCTTTTAAACCAAACCCACATGCAGCACATCAATCCCGGAATCCCAGCGCGCCAAGATGCCTGAAGTGGGGAGCTCGCAGCTATCCAGCCATTTCGTCACAGCGGTTGGTGGGGACTCAGCCGACGGTCGCGCTTCGTTGTCCGATTTCTGCTCCGGAATCACCGGCGAATAAAAGCTGCGTTGAGAGAAAAAAATGTGAAGAGAAAGAAAGAAGCAGAAATGAAAGGGAAAAGTGACTATAGCTGTGGAGATGAGATTTTTCTCAATTAGCTAGGAGAAGTATCAAGCTGCTCGCCACAGGAGGCATGCGTGTTGCGTATTGCGTGTTGCGCTTTGCGTATTAGTTGGAGCATGAAGCTCACTTACACGCGTTCAGTTGCGACAACTCCGTCCGCCGCTATCTCGGCTACCATACCCAGCCAATGTTATGGCATTTCGTACTAGGAGTCGGTAATACTATGCGAGAACTGAGGCGTAAATCGTGGGACAGAAAGGCCAGCTCATCTGGATATGGCCTTAGTTGTCAGTACTGGTACATGTCGATGAAGCGCATCGCGATGCTGCATGATTCTGCATTGCTACTCAAGGCGGGTCGGCTCCGTAATAACGACCGGTGCTAGCTGCGTGAAAAGCCAGCAGGAATCGGCCTGGGTCTTCGTATCATCGCTAGCAAGGCTGCGACTGGGTACAGCTACCGCTGGGTCGATACCCAAGATGTCCATATCATGGTAGCAGTCGCTTGTAGTCGTGCAGACAGCCGAGCCGCGCCAGGGTTCTCCAGGAATCACGAACAGTGCGTCATCGCAGAGCTGGTGCCGCCACCATTGCCTATTTCCGCAGCTCACAAGCTGCGTTTGGCACATTCAGCTTCCAGCGCCCAATGGCCAGCAGCCAGTCGCTGCACCGGGGAGACATGTGATGGACTAGAGATCCCTACTAAAGGTAGGCAGTAGATCAGTCCCAGGCGATGGCCAAGTCCAGGCAAGCTTAGCCAGACTGACTCACAGCTGATATCTCGTAGATACCGTAGCAGCTAGGGCAAGGCAAGAAGTCAATGCCGACCACTTACACCCTCGGGCTTGCACACATATCTGGAGGGCAGTTTCTTTAGGCGCGACCCGGCAGTACATCATCCATCAGCCGTCCCGATGTTCGCTCGAAGAGGAAACAAAAACCCCACCCGGCGCATCCATTAGTGGAGATGTCTTTTTTTTTCTTGTCTTGTCCACTTGAGCTTCTGCTGCCATTTTAGTAGCCTGGTAGCTTTGGCAAGGCCCAGGCTGGGAACGCTTCCTGACCGCATCTACACCCAAGTAGCAGTACACGCAAGGCGCGAGCGTCGGAAGCGTCGGAGCTCGACCTCATCTTCCAGCGACAGCAACAGCCCACAACCAAGGTAACTCGACCTTTGACAGCCGCCATGACGATTGTCAATCACAGCCCGAGATCAATGCCGCTCAGGTCCCGCTGGCGGCGGGATGGGGCGGCTTTGTATAAGCTGCCGTCGTCGTCTTGTTAAAAGCCAGCCACCCACCCGCCTATGACATGTGTAGATGAAGCTGAATTTTTTCTTGTATACCGTTTCCTTCTGGTCGCAGTAGTTTGTGTACCCCTTCACTGTCGAAAGCCATATCTCGCTCTGGTCGCTGAGTGAGGTGGTACATATATGCATCCTGTCTATACGCCTTGATTGTCACCCTGAGGTCTCTGCGCGCGCAGAGCTTGTTGCTTCCAGCTGATTGTAGAGCTTTCTCATCATACGGCGCTGCCGTTTAAACGAAACGACTCTCCGTCTCTCGTTCCTAGGTCCTATACCCTTTAATATCCGTTGGAGAAACGAGCTATTACAGCCAGCTACACCCATGAAATCAGCTGCGTTCGGCAGTAGACTCGCCGGCATTGCGGTGCTTGGCTTGAGCTTTGCGCTTCCCGTGATAGCTGCCAATGGCCGCCGCCATGGAGGCGAGATGGAGATGGACGATGCTCCGCCAGACGACACCGAATATCCTCCCACCTACTTTGCGCATCCGGAGCACCGCCAGCTCATGCTTGCCCACATTGCACTCATGACACTGGCTTGGGTGATTTTCCTGCCCGTTGGTATGTTATATCCTGCGCCTGGCCCCGCTGATGGAGCTGTCACAAAGCCAGAGTGTGTGCTAACACGACCCTGTTTAAGCCGTCTTCTTGTCGCTGGCCAAGTCCCGCTACGTGCTGCTCTCGCAGTTTGTCTTCCTGGGCAGCAATGCGCTGGGCCTGATCCTGGGCACCATCTACAACGCCTCGACGCCGGATCTGTTCCCAAACAACGCCCACCACCGCATTGGCTGGATCATCACCTGGGTCGTCTCGGCGCAGGTCGTGGTCAGCCTGCTCCGGCGCGTTGGCGGGGCCTTCAAGGGCGCCGACAGCGAGCTAGCCGAGGAGCGCCGCTCCTTCATCCCGCTGCCCACCGACGCCCCGGAGGCTAGGGGCTGCTACGGCGATCGCCTGTCCAACGACAGCGGCCAGGGCTCTGAGCCGACCACCGAGTCGCTGCGCAGCAACTCTATCTCAACGCTCGGCGACCATGAGCACCAGCCCATGTCCACCTTCAACAAGGAGCTGGACGAGGAGGATGATTTCGATGGCCCGATCATGCCCATGCCCGAGGCGAGGCAGCAGAGCAAGACAACGTTGATGGCGATTAAAGTCTTGTCTTCCAAGGTCTGGAAGTATATCGATTTTGGATATAAGATCGTGGATCGCATCATTCTGCCCTTTGGCTTCATTGCGTATACTTCTGGAATTGCCACCTATGGACGACTTTTTGTACGTTTTGCCCTTTTGTTCTCTTCACTAAGAATAAAAATACTGACATTTTCATCCTAGGAGGGCACTGCGATTTTCAGTGGACTTGCGCACTGGATCAAGGGAGGAATCTTCTTCTGGATGGGTCTCCTGACTCTAGGTCGCTGGGCGGGAAGCTTCTACGAGTCGGGCTGGTCATGGAATCTGCGTCGTCAGAGGAGAGCTGGCCAGCGCTGGGCTCCATCTGCAGAATTCGTTGAGAGCGGCCTGATTACGTTTTACGGCGCCACAAACATCTTCTTGGAGCACTTGGGCAGCCGAGATGGCGTCTGGAAGCCCAGCGATCTGGAGCACATCTCCATCACAGTCCTTTTCCTTGGAGGTGGCTCGGTAAGTCTCACTCGAAAGCGACTAATTACGCCTCCTTCTCTTGGACAGCCCTGGCTTACTGACTTTGCGATAGGCTGGCTTACTTGTTGAATCCACGCGAATGAGGAACTTGCTAAACACAATGGTCACAATCGACAACCAAGTCGAGCCGTCCGATGAAGAGCGCGCAGCCCTTGAGCCTCCTGCGACTTACGAGTTCTCCAGCAATCCCATCCCAGCTCTCATCATCCTCTTCCTCGGCATCATGATGGGCGGACACACTCAGACTTCAGGCACTGGCACCATGGTTCACAAGCAGTGGGGCGATTTGCTGTTTGGCGCTGCGTGTGCGCGAATGCTCACATATGTCATTATGTGGTTGAAGCCGCCAAAGTCAGTTCACCCATCGCGACCGCCAACTGAGCTTCTGGCATCGTTCGGCCTCATTGCCGGTGGTATCATTTTCATGTATAGTGTAAGTGTTTGATTTGATTTTTCCACTTCTTTTATGAGCGGAAGCTGACTGTAGCAGAGTGCCGATACCGTCAAGGGCATGCTCCATTACAAGATCGATGCTATGCCCCTCTACACGATGGTGCTGGGCGCGACGGGCATGTTTATGGCTTGGGAGCTCCTTGTTCTAGCTCTCAAGGGATGGGCCGTTCGCAAGGAGCGCAAATCTCGGACGCCGGCCTATGCCTAATTTCACTGTTTCTCTTCTTCAGAAGAGATCCTGACCCTACTCGCCAATCATAGTGTTGACGTTCAACACAACAAACATCTGGTACCGAACGCAATGCCCGTTTTTTGGTGCTGAAAGGAAGCCTATTTTTGGTTGATCAATCAGACCCTAAATTCGCAGTGCTTGGAAAAGCATTTTTTTTTCTCTTTCTATACGACATTGATGCGACGGCTCTTTTTTTTTTTTTTAATATTATAGATACCCTTTCATACATATACTTGGAGGCGAATCGGTTACTTTTAGCTTTGATGATACCACACGTTCGTTTATAGATCTAGTAGATAGTTTTACGACAGGAGACAGAGGGATGTAATACATTTAATAATGACCTAGACATGCAATCACAATTATGACATTTTAATTTGATCTTTGGCTGAGAAGATACGAGTTTGTGGCAAATTTATTTTTCCCTTCGCTTTCCATAACAGAATTATCCCTTCTTTCACTGAGCAGTCTAGTTGGTTTGAAAATTGATGCGTAGCACAGGTGAGGAATATTTATACTTTATGTTTTCGATACGAAATCCAATAGAGCAAAATCCATTAGCCAAATAACCGATTGTCCTAGTATTATTCCATGCTGTTCAAGCACGCAAGACACACTATGCGATGAAATAACGGGTGAGCTTTTTCCGGCTCTATAGGGTATCTTGTATCAGAAGCGTTAGTAGCGAATCAAGACTTATCGCTGATAAGATACCACCTCGCGGGAGAAATTTACCATGACGAGAGAGAGAGTGTGTATAAGAGTGATAACAAAATGTCATTCCTGCACCGGAAAAGCTCAGCCTTGGCGGCTCTCAGAGGTCTTGAGAACCGCGCCCTGCTGCGAGGCTGAGAATTGCTGGGCGCCCTGCTGCAGCGCGTGGACAAGAAACGGCACGGACTCGACCTTGAAGTCGTCGGCGTTGCGAACTTTGTCCAGGTCCTCCGAGAGCTCCTGCGTGACTCTCTGGAGGTAGAGGGCCGAGAAAGAGGCCTGTTGGCTTTGGTTAGAGACTTGAGGCATTGTTTTCTTCAACTCAGAATGAGAATGAATAATAGGTAATTGACTTATAAAAAATTATGGGCTTGGGGAGAATTTACGAGATAAGGCTGCGCGGCGGTCTATCTACCGCTAGCATTAGCACCTAAGCCTGATGACAAAGGCGGATTTACTAGGCCGGGGTAGCGCTCTGGGGACAAAGAACCACATGATGGCGTAAATTCTAGATAGCCCGTAGCATCACTACTACCGCTGCTACAGAGTATCTGTACAATCAGACAAGATCTATTCATATACGCTCATCTATTCAAACTATTCATCCAAGTACACGTTTTAGCACATCAAACACGCCACTTTGGACTCACTCCGAAAAGTGCCAATACACACCGTGTTATTGGCCGCTAGCAAAGTATAAGGCATTGAGGCTACTAAGGCAAGGCACGCACTCTATTATAGCGCACGCTATGCGATCTGCGGATACGCTACAGCGGCTCTTCCCAAGGCACAGCGCGTGCGACCCCGGATCCAGCCTTGGATTATTACGTCTTACCTGCACTGATTAATACCAGACCCTTTTCCTTATCAACAAGGCTTCTCGGCCACCTTATTCCAGCAATTCATACGGATTGTTTACGATTACACTCCACCATCATCCACATAGGACGCAGAGGTTCTCGACTGTTCAGCCTCTTTGCAGACGATATCTCGGCCTACGTCGAGTGGCGCGTCGAACCGACAGAGAGAGAGAGAGCAGAGATCCCATCATATCCATTCCCCCAGACTCGCCATGTCCGCTCGACCAGCGACTCCCGCATCGCCCAAAAATGCCAAGATTAAATCTCCCTCCCCGGGCAATCCAGTGTTCGGCTGCGGTGCGTGGAATGCGTCAAATAAACCAACAAAAGGCTACCTGTGCTGAACTACCTTTGCTGACCTTACTTCTAGAGCATGTCCAGCTCCTTCTTTCGCAGAGCCAAGAAGTTATGAACAGCTCCATAGCTCATTATAAGATGATACTTCGAGGAATCTTCGACACAAGCCGCATTATTCCCCAGACGTCAACGAACCCAGAAGGCCGACCCGTTACTTCGCTCACCTCGAATTATCTATGTCTACAATGTCCCGTGACGGTGGAGGAAGCCGATCGACTGGACCATGGGACCGAAAAACTACATCGATTCTGTATGTGACGGCTTTTTGCTGTGGCCGCATGGATACTGCCATACTTACTTACAACTACAGACGTTGACTCTCGCAACGGCTCACTCTATTGTCAGATATGTGATGACTTTGTTTGGGACCCTACGTTTGAGGAACTCAGAGTGCGAAAGATAGGGACTGGGACATTTTCAAGTACGTCCATGATGAGCCGATATCGTTTAACAAAGCCCTTCCTCCACATAACCACCAATTGACAATACCCCCTAAACCTAACACCTCATCTCAGTGAACCGAAAACGAAAGCACGACGAACTATTTGCAGACTCAGGAAAAGAAGATCCTCGCCTCATCTCGGCCAACACAGTCGCTGCATCATGCCGCGCAAGTGGACTTCGTGGCATCTACAACGCCGGGGCGACCTGCTACCAGAACGTCGTGCTTCAGAGCTTCCTTCACAACCCTCTCCTGCGCAACTTTTATCTTAGCGACGGACATCAGAGCAGCGACTGTAGCATCCCATACTGCCTAAGCTGCGCTATGGATGACATGTTCCAGGATTTCTATGCTCTGGAGAGTACTAACGGTTATACAGCGGCTAGTATCCTCTCTGGATTTTGGATTTCGGAGAAGAAAGCTTTTGAGAATCTTGTAACGACTAAGGAGCAGGATGCCCATGAATTCTTCCAATTTCTGGCGGAAGAACTGCATGAGCGAAACGGCGACGGCAAAAGGCCACAGAGTGGAAGTGAGCATACATGTAGCTGTATTATCCATCAAACATTCTACGGCAAAATGCAAACCACCACAGCATGCCAGAATTGCGGCGGCCAGACACATGCTGTCCAGTCATTCCTAGATCTCAGCCTAGGTGTCGATACTTTGGCACAGAGACGAGCCAAGAAGACGGGACAGAAGCTGCCTGCGCTGACACTGAACGATTGCTTGGACGAGGAGTATGTCAAGTCGGACAAGTGCGAGTACAGGTGCCACAGCTGCGCATCAATACAGCAGGCACGAAGATATACCAACATTAAACGCCTACCAAACGTGCTGTCTATCCAACTCAAGGTAAGTTGCTTATCACTTGGTGGATGGATACAGGTATTAATTCCAACATGACAGAGATTCGAGATGAAACAGGGGAAACACGACCGATCTGCTTCCAAGATTGACAACGCTGTCCGTTTCCCACTACAGCTAAATATGCTTCCCTACACCAATCGTGCTCGTAGTCGTGATAGTCGTGAGAATATGGAACTGGAGAGATCATGCACATATGATCTTTTAAGCGTCGTTGTTCATGTTGGCGAGATTGAGACAGGGCACTATGTGTCATATTGCCGGGTTGGAGATCAGGTACGGCTTGCACCCCTTGTTGTATTCTCTGTCAGCTAACGTTATATCAGTGGTTCAAATTCAACGATCACAAGGTGGAGGTAGCCAAGGTATCAGATGTGCTTGGGGCTCAAGCATATTTGCTGTTCTACATAATTCGATCACTGGCTTGAGCTGAGCATTGTTGTATACTACAGTTAACGATGCATTGCACGATACTTACCACTTTTGGGTACGAGATGAATAATGAATTTGGACATAAAGAAGCTAGTATATGGCAATACATCCATCAATCGAGATTCAAAGTCAATACGGCATTCGTCCTATCCGGACTGCACAAAATCACATCTCAAATATGCGTGCACCTGGTTTTGTCAAGACAAGTATATTCTTTTAACGTTTTTTACCCCATCTCCGTCTTATCGCCAGTTCCAGCTTGGGCACTCAAAATTGGCGTAGCAGTAGAATTCGTTGCTGAGACCCCTTGTATGCATGGGTTCAAAAGCAGTCGTCTTTATGCCCAGTGCCTTGTAGAGCTTGAGAATCAGGTCCTCCATTCGCTCTCCGGTACAGACGAGGAGCCGAGGCAGCGTCCCGGCGGTGTTTGGCTTGAGTAGCCAGCGTACAGTCAAGGCGGCTATGGAGATGGACATTGTTAGTTTACAGAATCTCTATGAGACGCGCTGATAATGGCATACCTTTGGTCTGGCAATCTTCGCTTAGGAAGGGTGGATCACATATGATTCTGTCAACGGATCCTTTTAGATGACCTACGCGTCACAAGTTTGGTTACTCTATGCTCTTAAAGGATGAAGTATATATATAATTCATGTTGTAGCATCTTGTTATGGGAAGTGCCAGCATCATACCTGGCAATTTGACTGGCTGCGCGAAGTCATAGAAGTAAAATTCTGAAAAGACACCAAACCGGTTGTCGTGTTCCAGGAGGATCAATTTTGGCTTTTCATCATCACTTCGATTTCGCTGAAAGGTTATAGGGAATGGTTAGCATCAACCCAATCTCTCTTTCTTTCCCAAAAGCTGTCAAGAGAATTTTGTGCCTCCGCAGCTTTCCAAACTCTGATATGTTTGGTGTGATATGTTGCGATTTTGCTTACCAGGATGTTCTTGAGTGCGACGAAAACACTCGGGGCTGAGACGACGCCGATTGTCATGTCTTTTGTGGCATCTCTAAGAAGCTCTGTTGCCAACTTATTGGCAGTATCTTCTGAATACTATATGTGGGGAGGGTGTTCCTTTAGTATTAGCTAGGGACTCGAAAACCAAGATCAAATGCATCTATTCAGAACAATCAAGGCGATACGCAAATCATGTTTCCACATGAAGAATATAGCGGCAAAAAGAATGCCTTGTCTTGGAATGAGGCGTAAAATGCACCATGTACCGGTAACAAGATACATGTAGAGAAGAGAAAAGAAATAGAGAGGGAGAGGGGGAGTTCAACGTACCCAAAACTGAGATTCATTCCAATCTTCTGAAAAGGCATCAATGGACAAAAGCGCATTGCTCTCCGCCTCGTCCTTTAGTCTCTGGAACTTGGCCTGATGCTCATCCTTTTCAGCTTCGAAAGACTTCAATGCAGCCAAGGCGTGCGCTGAAAGGGTGCTGGTGTGGTGGGATTTTTCCTAGTCAGCTTTGAAACGAAACTCTGTGGAGGAAGAGGAAAAGACTGAGATGTATATTTACATAGGTTCGTCATCGCTGTCAGACATCTTTATCTTTTTAATCCGTTTTTTCTTGCTTTTCTTCTTTTTTTTCCCTTTCTGCAAATTGTTTATTCTGTCAAGATTGGGGCGAGAGCAGGTGCACGTTAAGAAGCCGGCAAAGAGGAAAAAAATTATGCACTCACTCCCGTGATGCTGTGATGAATATAGCACCGCGCCTGTCAGTTTTTCAAAAGAGTACATGATAGTGGGTGGCTTAGTACGTACTTAGTACGCGGAAAAGCTAGCAGAAGTACCTCATTTTAAGGTGCGTTGTAAGTACATTCGCTGGTATAGTGAATTGGCCGCTTAGTTTGCCGTCGAACCACATTCTCCGACTTGATAGCAGCTATGGTTAAGAAGGTGGCCAAACGTTTCTGTTTGTTTGAATAAAAGACAATAAATCAAATTTCATTCTACCAAATAGCATGACAGCTCAAGCGAGCCAAAAAATATCCCAGATTATTTTCTCCGGCGTTCATTTCTATGCATCTCTCTGTATTTTATCCACAATAGGTACATACCAGCTCTATACATCTATGGGCGTCTTAAAATTTAAATATCAAAATTCTTCGTCTTGGTGATCGTTTCTTGACACTTTGAAAAGATGGCGGCTTGTTGAGCGACCTCTGCAAGCCTGCCAATGACTTGGCCATTGGCTCTTGAAAATCCATAATATGCGTAGGGAATGCCCACGTCTTTGCAAAACTCGATAATCATTTTCTGGGCCTCACGCAAGTTGTGGCGTGGCAGGCGAGGGAACATGTGATGGATGGCTTGGAACTGCAGGCCTCCGTGAAGAAAGTCCAGCCACGGAGGGCAGTCAACGTCCATAGTTGTCCGAAGCATCATCTGCGGGAACGACTCTTGCGGCCCCAGGTCGGCAGTGCTCATGGCAAAATGTGAGAGCACAATCTGCACATGCAGGGGAGACGACGCAATATGGCTCACCATGACGAAAGTAAATCGCGACCAGCCATCAGGAATCGATTTGTACACAATGCCATAGCCAAACCAGGTCCAGAAAAACAGCTGACCGATCAGCTCGATCCACCGATGATTTGCAGCCTGGCCCTTCCGAGGTCCCTTTCCATTGAGGATAAAGTCCCATGATAGGACGTAGAGGTTGAAACGGCCAAACGCCAAGAACGGGTAATAGGTCCAGGGTTGGATACGCAAGAGAATTTTCGCAGCAGCATCGAATTTCATGACCCGTTCGTAGAAAGTAGAACGTAGATCACCCAAGAGCCGGTGAGAAACCGCAAAAAGAGGCATGTGCTCAATATCAGGGTCGTGTTCAGGAGCATTCGTCACAATGTGGTGAACGTTGTGGTTGTGCTTCCACCAGCCCAGGGAGAGGCCACCGACAAAATCGGCAATAAATATTCCAATAAACGTGTCGACATAGTAATTGTGTGTAATACCCATGTGGGCAGCATCGTGAGCCGTGAAAACTAGCTGGTGCCACATGAAGCCAAGAGACAAGGCGCTGAAAAAATAGTAGCCATAGTGAAGGGTGATTAGCATCGTAAAGAAGAGAGAAAAGTATCGCAGGCATTCCCAGCCGTACGCGGAATAGTTGGTCTTGTAGAGGCCAGCATCGATGATCCTTTGATGCAGCTCCCGGTATTTGGCGACGATGTTAGCTTGTGTCGCTTCGTCGACAGCAGGGTAAGCCTCCAGGTCGAGGCGAATGTGCTCGCGAGTGACAGTGTCCAGATAAGACATGCCGTCAAGCGGCGTCTTGTCTGTGGTTGAGTTCGATGACATTGACCCTGATCTTGCCGATCCACTTCCAGCAGCAGTCTTTCGACCCCGCAGCACTCCCGCATCAATGTCAAATACCGGTGAAGGGGCTCGAGAGCTAGACGAGCTAGCATCGTCTCCAGTTGCGACGTTGTCATTGCCTTTGTTACGATCTGCTTCGATCCCCGCCATGGTCCGGAAGACGCCGCCCTGGATAGGTGGTCTGAAGTTCAGCCAGGAGCCCTCGATTCGTCCGATGCGGTACCGCGGCATTTTCTGTTTTGCTTCTTCGGAGTGTAGACTGTAACATGTAACAATGAAGCATTAGCAGTGTATTCAAGGTAGTGCGTGCCTGCTTGAGGCGTGGTTCACATACACATCCACCCAGTCAGTTCCATCTCGGCCAACCAGGTGCATGATGGACTTGGCACCTCCCGGGTGGTATTTGAGCCATGAATCGAGCTTCAAGACATATCCGCGGTGAATGATGATGTGTCGTCCGTTGGCAATCAAGTCCTCAATTTCATCGCGGGACATCAGAGGTAGGGATTTGCTTCCGCCCACAGCCTGCGCTTGTAGGCGGGAGGAAACATCGCCGGTGGCCATCATGCTGCTTAACGCATGCCAAGCCGTGCACAAAGAAAAGACACCAAGTTTCGCAACCTGGTTTAAAATACAAAAATAGAACCAATTAGAGCGAAGGTCGGTTGTCAAGAAAAGTGAGAAGTGTGAAATCCAGCCGAGATGGAAATTAGCTTTATCCCGAATTCACCGAGTTCACCGCCCAAAGCCACGCAAGCCGCTCAGCTATTGTCGAACGACTTTGATAGAGGTAGGACGATTTGAGACCCAGGTGTATCTATGCTAGGCAGTTCCGCCAGCCACTTTCAAGTGTTAAACTGAGACTAGTAGTAAAACGCTATTATAGGCAGTTTCGGCTGCTAGCATTAGCTAATTAAAATTGATGCTAGAAATACTGGAGCATCAAACAGCTATCGGAGCGAAGAGGCGTGCGGGGCTTTAATTCAAAGGTCAAGCAAGAAATTGGACATTTATATTAGAATATGATATGCGACATATGGAATACATTTTGAAGTGGAAAAACACAATTCAATTCAATTGACAAATGGCAAAATTCCGAAGGTGAATTGAAATTGTTCTTTTGTTTATATATATGAAAAAACTTTTACGAGAATAGGAAGCTTCAGTGGAAAGGATATATTGCGTTTGTCGAGCATGTGTCGTTGAAGCTAACCTGTATTGCATCAGGAAATCCGAACTTCAGGCGCGTCACACCCGATTATACACATTGATACTTCACTTGCAGTTGGACAGTATGTAAAATAAATGGTTAAATGATTTTGAAGTGCATCGAAAAAACCCTAATTGATTCATTGATCATAGCCGTGGGGGATTAATGTACAACCCAGACGTACAAAAGCAACCGAAAACCTTATCCCTGGACCCCTTTATGACAACCAAAACGACCTCGAAAGAAAGCAGCAAAAACGACAGGCAGAAATTACAATTCTTGGCTGGAGCCCTTGCCAGCCTTACCCGATGTCTTCTTGGGGAGCAGGTCTATGAAATGTTAGCGTCCATGTGATTTGTTTTGATTTGCCACGCGTCTTACTCTGGTGAATGTTGGGCAGAACACCACCCTGTGCGATGGTGACGTGTCCCAGCAGCTTGTTCAACTCCTCATCGTTTCGGATGGCGAGCTGGAGATGACGGGGGATGATACGGGTCTTCTTGTTGTCACGAGCGGCGTTGCCAGCCAACTCGAGGATTTCGGCGGCGAGGTACTCGAGGACAGCGGCCAGGTAGACGGGAGCACCGGCACCGACACGCTGAGCGTAGTTGCCCTTTCGCAGAAGACGGTGGACACGACCAACGGGGAAAGCAAGACCCGCCTTGGAAGAACGGCTGCGATAGAGTCAGACTTGATACGTCCAAGTAATGTGGTGGAAACAAACGCGTGGATCGCGTCAATCGAGTTACTTACGACTGGGAGTTCTTGGAGCCAGAGGCCTTGCCACCAGATTTGCCGCCGCCAGTCATTTTGAAATAAGTTGTTTGTGGTAAATTAACGAGAAAAAAACTCGAAAGGTTGGACGAGATGTGAGATAAACGTTGGAATGGTAATCGTGCAGCGTGGAGAGTTGAAAGACAGTGTAAATGAAGAGGCTTGAATTCGGCGGGGGGAATCTCAGTTAAGTAGTTTTTAGTGCTCAGCGCGCGCGATCACCAATCACCCTCCCTCTGCGGCAGCTCTGGCGCTAGTCCTATTTTGGAAAATTGGACGTGTTCCGAGCACAACAAACTGCTATCGCAATTGCGGGGGGGTGTGAACAAGCAAAGTACAGCGGAAATGGATACAAGGCTCATGCAGCTAAGTGCTCGCTCCAGGTACCTTTGCGGTACATCACTTTTGGAGCCGGCACTCAGCGTCTTCTCCTGCTCTTCTCCACGCTCGCTTCCAACATCCGCGCTGCATGACAGCCTCAGTGTGGCTGCTGCTGAACACGCCACGCCACTGAGGATGAGAGCAAGCAATAACGCGCAGGATTACAGTATTGCAATCTTCTAACGCCTCATTCTCGGATTTCAAGTGACTGCTCAGCGACTATAATGTTAAAAATGCACCGCCTTGTTGATAGTATTCCCCCTGATAGAAAAGCCACATGTGCATCAATTATTTCATGCTCTTTGATTGGTCCAGTTTCTATACCTCGCGGCGTAGAATGGGATGCTGCCTGCGAAAATCCTATCTTGATTTAATCAAGGGCTGTCTATTAGATGATCAGATAACGCTACTGAGTCTTGAACTCTACGCCTACTGATTGCAGTGGCCTGCCACGGAACAGCACGCTGAACTTCATTGCACCGACCCGGGTTATGTAATCTTGTGTGCTCAGTATCCAGCCATCGCCAGATATTTCGAAAGATGCGCGGAGATCGTGCGGATGCAATAAGCATTTCTTATATCCACTGTAATCTTGCTTAGTGGTGCTAGTACTACCTAGTATTGTTCAAGGTGATAGTTTGAAGCTGTAGCCTGGGCTCAGGACAGTATCATTTCGGCTTGCTTTGTTCTTTTTGTTAGTTTGTCTAGAATCAACCAACGCGTGAATGCAAAATGGCACTGCACGCCGCTTTACCCGTATGTTGCCACGAGCTGCAGCATATTCTACCAAATCCAGCATTTGGGAACAATAGCAAAATGAAAACAAATTTTTATTAGTATAGTTGGAGAAAATACAGATATTTACGCTGAAATCAGTTCAAAGTGCGACTCTATGATAGATCATAGGGTAGGCTGCGCTGCACCAGATGAGGCCGTCAAGGCGCTCATGCAACAGGCGGTGTAGTGGCGCTGTGCGTAGGGCAAGAGGCGGGAGGTACATCATAAGCCGCCCAAGTGCGCGAGGAAAAAACAGTACTGAATACGTACCGGTCTTCAGCTGGAAGGGGATTTGGTGGGGTGAAAGGATTGGCGTGATAAAAAAGAGCAGATCTGGCCAATCACATGCCGTGCTGGAAAAATAGAAGCCGCAGCAAAAAAAGAATAACAAAAGAAAATTGACGCGACTGGGAGCCAAAGTACAGACCCCAGCCCAGCGAGGCAATCGCAGGCACTCGGCCCCGTCGCACTTGGCTCAGCAAGCCGTGATTGCGACTGAGCACGCCTTGCCGCGAAGCGACTAGCGCGACATAGCTGTGCTGGAGCAAGGGGTACTTCGCCAGTACCTGGAACGTGCCCAAGATACCGCGCTACCTGTATCAGTAGTCAGCCAAGCTTTTTTTCCCTTTTTTTTTTTTCTCTTTGCGGTCTCTCACAAAAACGGCCTAGCGCCATCAGCAACCAAAAAGAAACAAAACCACACTCTCAGAGGGGGGGCGTGCACGCGCGACCCTTTTTTGCTCGCGCCACGCCTGGCGACTTTGGCTTCCCAGCCAAATCAGTAACCCACTTGCACCAACGCGTTCCCAGCTACAAAAGCCCAGCTCATCCCCAAGACCTCTTTCCCGCACCATTCACTTTTCCCACCATCACCCGCTGCCAGCCCGCCATTTTGCCCTTTGGATTATCCAACCTTTTTAGATTTCATCTCGGATTTTAATTTCATCTTCAAAAATGCCTCCCAAAGCTGCCGACAAGAAGCCCGCCGCCAAGGCCCCCTCAACTGCCAGCAAGGCTCCCGAGAAGAAGGATGCCGGCAAGAAGACGGCCGCTTCTGGCGACAAGAAGAAGCGATCAAAGACTCGCAAGGAGACTTACAGCTCCTACATCTACAAGGGTGTGTTTACCTCACTTTACTTTTGACTCTAATTTTTTCTTCTTATTTTTCTTATTCTAACTCTGTGTTCTAGTCCTCAAGCAGGTCCACCCCGACACTGGTATCTCCAACCGTGCCATGTCCATCCTGAACTCGTTCGTCAACGGTAAGCTTCAATCGCCCCTTTTCTCTCAAGTATTCTCTCATCTAACTTGAATAGATATCTTCGAGCGTGTTGCTTCCGAGGCTTCCAAGCTGGCTGCCTACAACAAGAAGTCCACAATCTCTTCCCGAGAGATCCAGACATCCGTCCGACTGATCCTGCCGGGTGAACTGGCCAAGCACGCCGTCTCTGAGGGCACCAAGGCCGTTACCAAGTACTCTTCATCGACGAAATAAGCGGGGTCATGATGATGGCTAGTTCTGATTTCGTATCTGAAAAACTTGGGTTTTTGTTTGCGTGACTTTAGTGTCTTTACTCGAGACTACAGGTGATTGTGTTTCGCCTTTGGGATCTCTTAATGCGTTACGGATGGTTTGCTTTATGGGGGCAATGTCTTCACGGTCAATGGGGTTTGCGGTTGTACAATAGCTATCGAGGATATCTCGAAGCAATGGTTTCTGCACATTATGCTATTTTAAATTTTCTGCATCAACAATTACAGAATCTCCTAAACACGTCTATATCTACTGTCCAAGACCTGCTCGGGTTCGTTTCATTGTCTGGCTTACAGGATGCAGTATACCTTGATTGTCACTCGCTCCCAGAGGCGTTCCAGTACTCCATCCCATTTTCTCCAACATTGTTCGACCGCGATTTTCTGTTCCCAATTCCGGGGCAGATGCGCCGATGACCTCACCATCCTGGTAGCTGGCCAGATTAGTCCGACCGGATGATGATTGCTGTTTGTTTTTAGATCTGCCTCCGCCTCCGCCCCCGCCTCCTGGCTGAGAGGAATAATGCCGTTTAACTCGTGACACTGCCTGGTCAAAAGCAGCTTCTCTATATGTCGTCTTTTTTGTCTTTTGTAGTATTGGTCGACGTTGATTTTCAGCACCAACTGACTTGGACTTGATGCTAAACTTATTTGCCAGCTCATGGATCATTTTCCTTGTTCGCTTATCCATCGGCGGTAGATTTAATCTGGTAAATAGTCAGTAAAGTGGGTATCTTTCGACAGGGTTGTATTATACGCGCGTTTGATGAGGTCCCGCAAGGAACGTTTTGATTTCATCCACAGCCTCGTTCGCCGTGATGCCTGTCCGGTACTTTGCTAGCAGGTCCGGCTGGCTTCGATTACCTAGCATCCCTGTCGCTCGCAACTCTTCTCTCTCCCTCTTACGTTGAGCCTTTCTCTGCCGATCATTGCTGTAGGTGGCTTGCAGTCTGTCTTCGAGATCCGAGTCGATATCTGAGCCTAGAAGTAGACGTCTCGCTTTGCCCTTTTTTCGCCTTACGCTAGGTCGTTCCCAGTCCATAAAGTCGAAATCCCCTTGTTCTTCAAGATAGTCAACCTCAGTGAAAGAATGCTTGATAGTGTCCGTGAGGCCTTTGGTTGCGGCTTTCCCCTTAAGCTTCTCTTGTGACGATGGACGAGAGATAGAGTGTGATTCGCGTTTATTTAAATCATCACCAGGTTCACCGAACAGTGACTTTTGAGGCTGGTATTCTGCCTCCGAGTATATGTCGACGTTTTCTTCATCCTTGAGGCCTGAGGGTGCCGACAGGTGGTCTCCAGCATCGTCACTGCTTGAGCTATCCGAATCTTCTTCAGACGTTTCACTCATCATCTCCCCATTTTGGCGCATGTTGGCAATGTAATCGGCGAGTATGGCATCCTCTTCGGAGTCTTGTCCCCATTTCTGTCGTCCCCGTGACTTATTTGATTTCTTCTTTGGCCAAAAAAGGCCATCGGAATCTTCCCCATCTTCATCTCGAACTTCCTCCTTGCTTGCTTCATTTTCTTGGATATGAGGCCCTCTCGGTTCACTGGATAGCTCTCTCTCAACCGCTTGGATTTCGGTCTGTATGGACGTGAGTGTAATTTCCTGGACATGAGTTGCCTTGAGATTGTGGGGTGCCTCGGCAATATGCGTCGCCTCAGGGGTATGCGTTGTCTCGGGAATATGCGCTGCCTCAGCAATATGCGTTGCTTCAGGGGCCTGCGTCTCCTCGGGAGTCTGCGTTTCCTGGGGGATTTGTACTTCTTCGGGAATTCGTGTTGCCTCAGGAGTTTGAAGAGTCTTAGGAGCCGTTTGAGCTATCTTAGGCGCTTGGGGTTTCCGCTTCATGTGCTTTCGGCCTTTGAAAACGATTACTTCTTCGCTAGAGCTGACATTATCTGGTTGCGGTGGTTCTTCATTTGCAGCCGCAGGCGTTTCGGTGGACTGTTTTGAATCTTCCGTTTCCTCTGATTCGACTTGCGGCGAGGTCAACGGATCGTGAGAGCCAGAGCTAACGAATGCCACAGGCTTCTTTCGAAGCTGTGTGTTTTGAGTCCAGAATGAGGTATCATGGCTTGATGTCTGTCGAGCTTCATCGAGCAGGGTAAAGATTACTGGAAGAGGCTTTGTTCAATTGCGTGCCCAGCTGAGACGGACTTGATTCTTCGAGAAGACATACCATTGTTAGCTGGCGTGGAATGTCTGCTGCCAGACGACTGTTGCCAACCATTCCGTTGCTTCTGCAAGGCACGCTTGCGTGGCTTCATTTTGGAACTGATGGAAATCAGTCAGCGCCAACAGTCTGCATGGTATGCTGTGGGTGGGATGGCATCTACCCCGGCCAGTAGACTAGGATGCTAAACGAGTGACACGCTCAGATCCTGAGAACTGGGCAGTAAGAGAAATATTCGTACAGACGCTTGGGATGTACTCCGTACAAGTATTAGTGCTAATGGCAAGTCAGCGTCTGGCATTTGGCGCGGTGCTGCGTCTCCATATAAAGCAACTGCCCAGATACCTTAAATTACTTGCTTATGTCTCAGCTGCCTTTCATTCGTATTGGTCAGGCTGTTGGTTCTCAAATAAGGATGGAGGATAAGCAGAAACAGAGAATAAAATGTCCCATTCGTCGTATGATCAAGGACGTCTGCCGACTCATATAATTATGGAAATAGCTTGGCCTTTACCATTTACAACAAAACCACAGTGCCGATTCTAATTTGCCTGAGCGCTGCCTTGAGTACTCCGTATTTATTCCATTTGTGAACTGTGCCTAGCGGAAAAACCAAACAACGGAGCACTACACGCGGCGCTAGTCTTTATTTGGACTAGCTCGTGAGAGTAATGAAATGCACTATTTCGGCATGCCGCTTCAACTGTATGGTCTTGGTGGGCAGGGACAATATCGAGCATCAGCAACATCCCGAATTGGCCAGCTCAACGACCTCGCCAGCCGCTTCCTGCTGTTGAACCAGACAGAATGATGCTCACTCTGCTCTCTCGGAGAGCTCTCCGCAGCTCCATCTCTGCCGGCGCGAGCGGCAAGCGATCCATATCAGATGTCGCCATCACACGAACTGGCAAAACTATTCTACGATCAGAGGGTGGCCGGTAAGCGACGCTCACAGCTGATATAAGAAGAGAAACCAATTAACGCTATTCCTTTTAGATCTTCCCTGGGAGGTGCGAACACAGAACTGCCCGCTCGAAGCTAGACAGCTAACCGACATAGGCCATACCGCGACGGTATTCGGCGCAACGGGTCAACTGGGTCGATACATTGTCAACCGCCTTGGTACGTTTCCCGCAGATTCAAGTGTTGGAGTGCGTACGGCCTACCTAATTACCTTTCTGCAGCCCGCCAAGGATGTACCGTAGTCGTCCCCTTCCGCGAAGAAATGACAAAGCGACACCTGAAGCTCACTGGTGATCTCGGCCGCGTTGTTTTTGTTGTATGGCTGTTCCCCGATATACCCGACGACTTGGTTCTGATCTGGATGTAGGAACACGATCTTCGCAATACCGCTTCTATTGAAGCAAGTGTTCGGCACTCAGATGTTGTTTACAACCTGATTGGACGAGATTATCCTACAAAGTACGGGCGACAGATCAACAATCTCTATCTTAAACAAACACGCTGAAACTTGATAGGAACTTCACTCTGGAGGACGTGCATGTGGAGGGAACCGAGCGTATAGCCGAAGCTGTTGCAAAGTACGACGTTGACCGATATATTCATGTGTCATCACACAATGCCGACGTCAACTCACCCTCTGAGTTCTTTGCGACCAAGGTATGCTTAGAGCTAGAATTTGCAGGAATAGTGCTGGATTGTGCTAAAATATCTTGCTATAGGGACGAGGTGAACTTGTTGCCAGAAGCATCTTCCCCGAGACAACCATTGTGCGACCAGCACCCCTTTTTGGATTCGAAGATAATCTCCTGCTGAAGCTTGCTTCGGTGCTGAACTTGTTTACGGCCAACAACATGCAGGAGAAGTTCTGGCCAGTCCACGTAAGTCCGAGCAAGATGCGATTAAACATGGCTTTTCAGCAATTTCACTAAAATGCTCTCAGTCTATCGACGTGGGCGCTGCCCTGGAGAAGATGCTGTACGACGACTCCACCGCTGGCAAGACATTCGAGCTCTATGGACCCAAGCAATACAGCCTGTCAGAGATTGCGGCCTTGGTAGACAAGGAAATCTTCAAGAAGAGGCGACACATCAATGTGCCCAAGGCGATTCTGAAACCGGTAGCGAAAGTTCTCAACGACTACTTGTGGTGGCACACCCTCTCCGCAGACGAGGTCGAGCGGGAGTTTATTGATCAGGTTATTGACCCTGAAGCCAGCACATTCAGCGATCTTGGTATCGAGCCTGGCGACATTGCCAACTTTACATACCACTACTTGGTAAGTGATGCTAATAATACATGGCAAGCGACCGAATCTGACTTTTGATGCAGCAAGGATTCCGAAGCTCCAACTACTACGATCTCCCTCCGGCCACAGAGAAGGAGAAGAGGGAAGACAAGAAGTACATCCACGTCCTGGATGAGCTATAAAAATTTGCTAGGCATATATGTATATGTATTTACAAGGGAGAGAGAATATATAATACTAGAGCCTAGAGCCTAGAGAAAAAAGATTGCTTTGGATGTGTTTATTTTCACATTTTCACACTTCGTCGTCTCTGTATCATAGTAACAATGACCGTTTGCCGAGCTGAAACCACTGTAGAAGAACCATTGCTCTGGTATTCCTTAGTCTAGAACCCCCAGGCAGCCACTTGAGGCTGACTTAAGGTCTAAAATATGCTAATTCTCGACGGTACCTACTGCCTGGGGGTTTATCGGCGATCTGCCAGGTACCTAGCAGGCATTACTAGCGGTTTAGACTGCAGAATACGACTCTCTAATGTTATTTGCTCCGCATTGCGCTGGATCTCGGGATAAACAAGCCTCCCGCAGTCCTTCGACCAAGTCCGCACAACTGCGAGCAAATCACCGATTCGCACATGAGGCCTCCCGCAAGGCAGTGCTTGGAAGTGACATCTGGCGCATCGCGGCTTTTCGCACTAGCATCGCAGAAGTGCACGAGATTCCCCACGCCGCGCCGATCGATTGCAGCCTCGCCCAAGTGTTCAATTGACTCTCGCGCGTTCACATCGCGGGCACGTGAGATCATCAAGCAGGCCGCTCCAAGCACTTATACTTGCGATCACCCGGCTCAAAAGACAGCCTCACGAGACCCTCATAGCGCCGTTCTTTCGCCCTTGCGTAGAAAGACACGGACGAGCCGCAGCATTGACCTTCGGAGTGGCTTTACCTATACCACCGGCGTCGTAGTTCTTCTTGCTGTTGTCGCCATCTCTTGCGCTGCGACAGTAGATTTGCGCGAACGTCCTGCGACTACGGATTCAATAACTACTACCGATTCGGAAGATACTGTGGCCACCGCCTCGCTTTCTGACAGCATGTCGACCCAAATCGCACCGGGGCACGTGGGCAACCTGACCTCAGAGCAGGAAGAGAAGCTGCGCCAGCTGTGGCAAGCTTTATTCCAGGTTTGCGGCGTTGCTGCTGAAGAGACTGGCTCTGGCTCTGCCGGCGCTGATGCGACGCCTAAAGGAAAGCCGGAAGTGGCGGAAGCAGAGGGGAAGAAGAAGCGCTTCGGCGTCTTTAAGAGAAAGGCAGCTGACAAGCCGGCCGCGAGCGAGGCTGACGACGACAAGTATGGCCAAAGCAAGCACTTCCAAGAGGTGCTTGCGAGCCACAGCCCTGAAATCATTCGCGAGACGTACTGGGCCATGGTAAAGCATGATCACCCCGACGCCCTCGCCTTGCGGTTCCTTCGAGCCCGGAAGTGGGATGTGGAGAAGGCTCTTGTTATGCTGGTGTCTACTATGAGCTGGAGACATACCGAGATGAAAGTGGACGAGGACATCATGAAGAATGGAGAAGAGGGCGCCGTTTTGGATGCGCAGAATGGCAAGGGTGACGCCAAGAAGGTTGGCGAAGACTTTTTGGCACAGCTTCGAATGGGCAAGAGTTTTTTGCACGGAGTGGACAAGCAGGGCCGGCCCATTTGTGTTGTCAGAGTGCGCCTCCATCATCAGGGAGAGCATTGCGAAGAAAGTCTGGAGCGATGCACCGTCTACCTTATTGAGACTGCGAGAATGGTGTTGAGACCACCCGTGGACACAGCTGTAAGCCGTTCTAGTCTACGGACTGATGGGAAGAGTGTACTTTGGAGAAACTTTACTAACTGTACTGGGTAGACTGTCGTGTTTGATATGACGGGGTTTTCCATGGCGAACATGGATTACACCCCTGTCAAGTTTATGATCAAGTGCTTTGAAGCCAACTACCCTGAATCTCTTGGAGCTGTTCTCGTTCACAACGCACCATGGATATTCCAAGGTATGAAGATGAAGTGCCATTGAATAAAAGTAAGAAACTGACTGTAGGCGTAGGAATTTGGAAGATCATTCGCGGCTGGTTAGATCCTGTTGTGGCAGCCAAGGTTCACTTCACAAATAACAAGAAAGACTTGCAAGAGTTCATCGAGCCTGCACATGTCCTCAAAGAGCTCGGGGGAGACGAAGATTGGGAATACAAATATGTAGAGCCCGTCGCTGGCGAAAATGATCTGATGAAGGATACCGAGACCAAGGGAAAACTCGTCGGGGTCAGGGAAAAGCTTATGAAGGAATACGAAGAAGCGACCGTGCAGTGGATAGACAAGGGCGACAGCAAAGAAATCATCGACAAGAGGGGCCAGCTGGCGACGCAGCTGAGAGAAAACTACTGGCAACTTGACCCGTACGTGCGTGCGCGATCTCTGTACGATAGACAGGGAATATTGCAAGGTGCTGCTACGGCGAGATGGTACGATCCCCCGGCCTCTGGTGGGAAAGGAAACCTAGAAACATCTGCCGACGATGTAGACTAAATACACAGCTACGAATACCAAGATGAATAAATATTTGGATAGACTGGGGCACTGTATACGGTATCTATGGAGGATAGACAAATTGCACAATGCTTTCATTTCCCATGTCTCTTGGGCAAACCATAGCATCATATTCCCACTGGCTCAGATTCAAGCCGATGTGCAAATTAGACCAGTTTTTACCATGTAACCAAAATTTACATCCTGGATTTGATCTCCTCGGAAAGCGCTTTGAGCTTTTCCATGTCGCCAGACGTCGCAGGCCAGCTGATGCCAAGGCCCTCTGTCTCATTTGGCTTCGGGATCTAATGAAGAGTTAGTATGGGGGACCAAGATGCCTTGCTGCAGCCAGCGTAGAGTATCATACCATGTGGAAGTGAACCTGTTTCAGTCAAAGTTAGCTTTGCCTTCACCCAACAATCTAGAAATGGTAGTCGGGCTTACATGATGCACCTGCTGGTGAGCAATGGTTCCGTTATTCTGAAGAATATTGTAATCGGTTGCTCCAGAAGCTACCGCTAGCTTCTTGAGAGTAGGCTGTTGGGCGGGCATGTCTCGTAAGTAGGGATAAATCAAAGAAAAGAACAGAACAGCACGGGCATGTTACCAGAATCTCAGAGAGCTGATCGTCGGGGATATCAGCTAGCTTTGCGCCATGGAACTTGGGGATGACAAGCTGGATGAGAGTCGTAATGTTAGATTATCTATAGTGATTCTTGGGCAAGAAGAGAATTTACAGCGTGGCCTTTGCTGATGGGCCCGACATCGAGGAAAGCCAGAGTCTTTTCGCTTTCAAACAGCTTAAAAGATGGAATCTCTCCTGGCAAAACATGCTGTTAGTATAATGCGAGAAGCTGTAAGAGAGGGGTAGCTTTTCTTTAAGTGGCTGCATGGCTTGCTTGGTACGCTTTCCCTGGACTACGAACCTTTGATAATACGGCAGAAAATACAAGAAGCCATTGTCACCGTGATGGATTGGCGATGAGAAATGAGAAATGCAGGCTATGAATTGGGGGTTGCAACAGTAAAAGTCTTGGTTGAAGGGTTCAGAATCGCGGCAGCTGGTATAAGAAGTATTAGTGACATTTTGCAGGAGGGGCTCTATATGCGCCTTATTACATCACGCCTCGCCAAGAGGTACTCAGTAGCTAAATACTACCAGGGATAGCAATATAGGATCTTGCGCTTATTTGACAAATTTAGAAATATTTCATTGTTTTTCGAATGAGGAAGATGGAGCTCTTAATATCTTTAGAAAATTGTTTATCACAGTCTTGTACTCTCTGATTTGAATCTATATATATTCTTGATCCCTTTTCTTCCTAATTGATATACCACATTCACACTCATCTTCAAACTTGAACAATTTTTTATTGTGAAATCTTGATTGTATTCTGCTATGTACTGGAGGTATGTGTTTGGCGCAAGCTGAGGCCTTAATGGTGGTCTGCTCGATGAGGAGGGGCTGTTAAAACGATTAGCAGGCGTAATAGGCGTAACAGTCGTAGAAGGGCATTGACTCACGATCTAGAATCGGAGAAGGAAGGTTTCGTTCGAATTTGGATCCTGATCAGTTAGCTTCTGCCGCCCAATGCGGATTGTATGTGCAGTCTCACCTCCCGGGGCTGTTGGCGGAATGTACGGGTCTGGGTGCTTCCAGCTCTCTAGTAACTTTTCTGTCTCTGCCAATAACGCCTATGGCACAATTAACGCCGGTGGTCGATCGAGATGAAGGGGAGAATGCACTGACTCTCTGTTGTCGAGGGTCTGAGACCTTGCGGTTGGCCTCAAACAGAGATCGAATATAGAGCGCTTGGCCTCGCCATAGATGGCGATGGACAGCCCAGTCCAACGCAAGCTTCAATGAGCGACGGTACAGCGACCTATAAACGGGTGACTAGAGGTCAGAATCGAGTTCGCAAACGGCCGCGAGCCTGATTGGTGCATATACTAACAGAGCAGCTTGTCGCGTCGTCATGTTGGATAGATTGTCGCCTTGGAAAAGACCTTGGGTGCGATTGATAGTAGATCTCCAATTGGCTAACGACCAGGTCCGGAAGTGGTATTTTCTGCCTTACGCTACGCCAACTTTTAAGGCATCAAGGAGACTGCGCTTGGCCATGTATAATTTTTTGTTGATGAAAAGCAACTTCAGTAACGTTTATATAAGTATAATTATTCCATTTATGGATTCAATTTTTTCCAATCAGTTTCTTCAAACTTTTTATGAAAGTTATCAATGTACTGAATTTATTATAATAATTTCTATTTCTTGGACAGGGCGCGCGAAGTCATACTGCCTTAGCTGGCCTGAGCTAGCGCACCGAGGCTTACCTGATCTTTGCCTACTAATTTACTGGGTCATTTCCGGGCGCAGTTGTGCCAACTCTGTACCGTCTTCCAAGTGCCGGATGCTGGAGACGAATCGACCGGCGCACGAGCAGCGATGCCGAGTATCCAAGGATTCAGCACCCAGAGGGCAAGATCATACATCTTTCGCTTGCCTTTATTTACCCGTGCTATCATCCTCAGCATAGCATGTTTCTGGCTGGCTACTCTGCCCGGCTTCTGGGATGTCCGGGTCTGGGGCTCTCTGATCCCGGACAAGATCTCTTTTGCGTCAGGTAACCAATGTGCCCCGAGCAGATTACGAGTTGGCTTGTGGATGATCTAACGATGGCTTAGGATACCGGCTGAACACCTTTCCTCTCATTCACCTGAACTTCATCCATGCCCTCCTTAACGCTATTGCATTGACGCCGTTGATGGAACGATTCGAAAGCGAATATGGAACCCTGACTACACTGGCACTCTTTTTTGGACGTATGGATAGCAATTTGCATTCTGATTGTGTGCCATTGATCTAACGGAAGCAGCTCTAACCACGATTCCTGCGGTGTTGTATCTCCTGATTGAGATTCTCGTCCTTCGAGCTAATAATGCTGTTATGGGCGCTAGGTAAGGATTTCCCAGCCATTGGGATATTCCTCGTATTTGAAATGGCTGCTTATATGAAAATTCGTTGGATAGCATGTGGGTATTTTTGCTTTTGGGCATGGAGGCGATTCGAACATACAAGTCGAATCCGTATCTGGTTATTGGAACATACCAGCTCCCTACCTGGACCACGCCATTGCTTATGATAGTCGTTGTGGCTGCATTGATGCCGAGCACCAGTTTACTAGGCCATCTCTGCGGCGTTGGAGTTGGTTATATTGGTATGGTGCAACCACCAGTGTGCCCGTTGATTTGACTGCTAACACATGCGCTCTTTTTTGTAGCTGGCCTTGGCTATGTAAAGCTGCTTGCCCCTCCGGAATGGGCACTTCGATGGGTCGAGTCTCGTTTGAACCTCCTTGCGATATTGCCGCACTACGTCAGCGTTGATCAGAAGACATACGGAAGATTTGGCGTTTTGCCTACAAGCAACCGCGGAGCAGGGTCCGCACCGATAGAGCTAGTAGGAGGAGTGGGAAGCAGCTCTTGATATAGAAATGTTTTCATCAGACAGGACTTTACTTGGATGTATCTTAAGCGTTGTTTGGGCTGGGCATGCAGATGCTACGCCCACCTGATGGTTGGTTAAAACATTCATGAAAAAGATATAATAGCGGGAGATTTGAACTTCTATATACTAGTAGTAGTACTGGGTTTATATAATAGGTAGCTTATGCCGCTTACGACTGATCCCCCTGCTATTATTACACCAAGCAAAAACGATTGGGATATCTTAGAACCTGGCGTTAGTTAATTATAATAGACAGCACTTTGCAAACCTGTGGCATACGCGTCGCATTGATGGATGCTTAGGTGATACCGTGGACATCAAATGGGTACAGCCACTACTAGCAGCGAGTTAGCCGCGCTGAGGTAGGCGTGAACTAAGGCTGGCAGTGCCTTTCGCGGAGTTTTTTGTCGCCTATTGCATCGAAGAGCACTAAGATAAAGCAGGGCGGCTTGGATAAGACCCATCAATTACGCCTTCCGGGAAGCGCCCGCTGCGTCGGTGCTGCGTAAGGCCTGTCGCATGTCACTCAAATTCTGCCCAGCACCTATTTCGGCGTAATTAGTTGGACCGCTGTATTTCTGCGACGTCGTTTGTTACAACACAAGCACGATAATCACATTTAGCCGGTTCACCACGCACGCACCTGGAATTTCGACGCTCCACTCATGCAATGCTCAGCAACAAAGATATTACTGCCCTCCAGAAGACCTACGATAACAGCTACCTCAGTTGCTCAACAGCGGTTTACTATGAGGGCCAGGTAAGATGATGCATCATCGCCGCCAGCTTCACATAACTTATTTTGGCTTTATTTTTCATTCTCGACTCGTGCTCATTAGTTTGAACTAGGGCGATGAAGGCGAAGCCACTCGATATTGGAAAGCCGCTCTTCGACGCATAAACGAATTCTACGCGTCGTCCAGCGCACCGAGAGTCTCTGAATCATATACCGGCTCCGACACCGTCTTGATAGATGCGCTAAAAGAGCTAGAGCTGCAATGCAAGGAACGAATTGATCTCTTGGAAGCCCTTAAACTGTCCCGGGAGGACAGTTTCGTCTCGACTGATTATAACGACTCCATTTCCGCCGGAGAAGCCAGCGGCAGCACCAGCCAGGCCGCAGGGACCATTGGAGACGGCACCATTCCAGCTGTGACATATTCCGAGCTTTCACGTCCCGCCTTCCCCTCAAGAGCATCTCTGGATGCAATGACGTCACCTGAAGAAGTGATTCGGAGGATTCGCAGTACCCCTACCGAGTCTACACGTCCGCGTCTTGATGGGAGATCCCTAGATTCACCAGACGCGAGAGGTGACAGGTCAAGCCGCGGTACAAGTCCCGAAAAGCGCACTTTGAGGACTACGCTGCGATCAAAGAAACAGAATGATCAATCTCCTTCTGCTCGCCGGTCGAGCAAGCCCGCGGTAGATGGATCAAGCTTGGCTGCGACTATAGCATGGGGATCCTCAGGATCCTCAGGAGCCCGAGATAACCTCCTACGGCCTTATCCCATCGAAGGGCGCTCAAAATCAAGTCCCTCCCCACGTCTTTCTCCGCGCCCTTCTCCGCGCCCTTCTCCGCGCCAATCACTCGAACGAAATTCACCTAGTTCGCAAAAAGCAGTACTATCATATGACGTGAAATCTCCGCGCACATCGCCTAAGAAATGGAGCGCGGTTCCTTCGTATGACGAATCCCGTCTTGCACAGCCTTCAGGCCTGTCTATTAGCGCAGCATCAAGCGCTCTGACATCTACATCAACCCATCAAGAATCCTCCATATTGTACCAAACACCGAGTAAATCAGAACAATATATGACGCCTCGGAAGCCCCCAGTCTCTGAAGAAACGTCGATTCAGAGTAAAAGAGGCAGCGTGAAAGCTTCCACTAGTAATAATCCTGGGATTCCTGGAGGACAACGAAATTCCAGCATAACAAGAGAACGACCAAGCGATAAAATGTTTGGTGCAAGGACCAAAGCAGAAATACTAAAGAACCTGCCGCCTGGTATAGATGAGGGAGCGGCGAAGCAAATTCTCAACGACATTGTGGTTCAAGGAGACGAAGTCCATTGGGACGATATTGCGGGCTTGGAAGTGGCCAAGAATTCTCTACGGGAGACAGTAGTCTATCCATTTCTACGACCTGACCTGTTCATGGGCCTACGTGAGCCAGCTCGTGGAATGCTCCTGTTTGGACCACCCGGTACTGGAAAGACAATGCTGGCACGCGCAGTAGCCACCGAATCCAAATCTACTTTCTTCTCCATCTCTGCCAGTAGCTTAACGAGCAAATATCTAGGAGAGTCAGAGAAACTAGTCAGGGCGCTTTTTGGTCTTGCTAAGGCTCTCGCCCCTAGTATCATATTTGTTGACGAAATCGATTCGCTGTTGTCGCAGCGATCTGGGTCAGGCGAACACGAATCTACAAGAAGAATCAAGACGGAGTTCCTTATCCAGTGGAGTGAGCTCCAACAAGCTGCGGCTGGCCGAGAGACGACCAGTAAAGGGAACAAGCGTAGCGATGCCCAACGGGTCTTGGTGCTGGCTGCTACGAATTTACCATGGGCAATAGACGAGGCTGCGCGGCGACGATTTGTGCGCCGACAATACATCCCACTACCAGAGCCACAGACACGAGAGATACAATTGAAGACACTGCTACGGCAACAAAATCACAGCTTGTCGGACATGGAAATAGAACACCTTGTTCAGCAAACAGATGGTAAGTCTTGTCTTCGTCGCCTTTCTAGATCGTTTAGTTAACAGTTGCCTCATAGGATTTTCGGGATCTGATATAACGTCTCTTGCTAAAGATGCAGCCATGGGACCACTGAGATCTCTAGGGGAAGCCCTCTTATACATGGCAAAGGAGGAAATACGGCCCATTGATATTTCAGATTTTGAGCTAAGCTTAAAGTCCATTCGACCAAGTGTGGACAAGAAGGGCATACAGGAATATGAAGAATGGGCTGAAAAATTCGGAGAGCGCGGTGGTTAATTTGATCTGATCTGAGCTGGATTGAGCTGCACATGCGCATCCAGACACAGCATACAGACAGCCCCTTTCTGCTTTGAGCGATAAATGCGAAATTACAGCGATACAGGATCAAGACGTTATTAAGTAGCGGCTGTAGCGTGCGCGCCTCGTCAAATCTAGTCGAATATCGAAGTGCGGGAGTTGTTCATGAGCTCTATATTGCTAGACCCTGACTTATCTGTTGGGTGCAGCTTTTGAGTGTCCCTTTGCTATCAAACAATGTAATGGCGCCTCTTGGGACAGAAAGCTGCCCGATCTATTCATACAGCCTTGTTGCATTTTGGCAATTCGGATTCGTGGTTTATTTCATCTTGCGTGGTGTCTTTGTCGTGTCATGCCCCCTCGGCATGTTACTCCTTCTGTTCTTCCCCGGCGCGTGCCCTGCGTTCTTTTCTGGCAGCTTGCTGGGCCTCCCGCTCAGCAATCCGCTCTTCTAATGTGGGAATCGGCGGTCTCTCCTCGGCTGGAGTTCCGTACGGCGCAATGATCTTCTTGACGACGTGACGCTTGTGTTTTGATGTCGGCCAGCCGGGAACAATGGAAACAACGTCGCCAGTACGCAATGAGGAGTTGGGGTCGTGCACGAGATAGTGCTTGGGGTCTGCAAACCACTTTTGGCCGGGTGAGTTAAGGAAAATGAACTGCAGTAGAGTCGCAGATATATGTACACACCTTGTTGATGATTTTATTCCATTTCTGACCACCGACTCGGACTTTTACCGTTTTTTGCATCAGACCAGCAGATACAACTATGCCATGGAGCTCGTGGGTCACCCGACGGGCGGCCTTTGCAACCTGTGAGGACATTTTGATATGGCTGAGGTGATGTGAACAATTGGCAGGCAATTCTAACCATCCATCATGGTCTGGAAATTCATTCCTGGGTGGGTCTCGGCTTTGCGATTGGCGTTCAAGAAAGTGTTAAGCAGCAAAGAATAAGATGCCGAGGTAGATCCGGTCGTTGTGTCCAATCAGGAAAAGGGAAACCTCGAAGACACTATAGCGGGCTAAAGTGGGTGCAGCATGACACAGTACCAGCAGCGGCATTATTACCTAGGTACTTACTAGTAGTAATACGAGAAGATTGCGTCTACTGGCGATTGTATATAGCTATGAATGCTCCGTATATTGCTCTTATATATAATGTTCCCAAGCGTTCATATATGCATCTAAAACTATAATGACAGCGCTTACTTATTCTTCAAGAAAAACAAGCATATAAAAAGATAGGTGTACATGGCGGCCTTGTTCGTCAAACCCATGCATGTCTTTGGTATACTATTCATTTTCATGTTCATCTCAATGCTTCAAGCTCCATGGAACAGATCCCAGTCCTTGATCACAAAGGTTTCCCAAATGCGCGCAGCAACCTCCACTGCGTCGCCGATGAGCTTACCCTGCTTGCCCAGCTCAAGGTCGACGTCTTCGGCATCGTATTCACCTCGAATGTGGGGGACGTTGATGGTGATGAGTATGTCAGTCTTTTGCTCTTCGAGACGAAGGAGCGTCATGGTGATGGCTGTGAAGTCGGGCGCTGAGTTTAAGCCATTGGAGGGGAGCTTGGGAGTCTGAGTCGCGATGAGGGTATATGCGGGGTGTTTCAAGCTACATCATCGCGAATTTCGTTAGTGGATGGAGAGACAAAGGGCGCATCAGGAAGAGGTTGTTTGCCATACTCGCTCATTTTTGAGAATTCGGTCTCGGCGGTGTTCCAGATCTTAACTGTGTCGATTTCGGATCCGACCATGTCTTCCAGATGTGTGGTCATGGCACGGCCGTCAATCTCGGGGCTCGAACCTGGACCGCCAACGCGCTCTGAGATGTCAAAGATGATGCTTGTGAATCCATCTTTATCGATCCATACTTCCTGGTTGTCGGGAACCTGTCTCAACTTGCTGCGGAAACGGTATTTGTATTAGTATATATACAGGGCCATGGATGCGATTGCGCCGTGGGGGGGAGTCGTAGGTTTTGCGCACCTTACGTCTGCGAAGTGTTTTGGCAGATCGCAGGTGATCGCTCCACCGTACAAGGGGGTGTTTCTGTAGCTGGCCATGATTGTATCGATATTGGTTCAATTTGTTTGCTATTTCATTTCTAGACTGTAAATGGGACGAAGGGTTGCAAGGCGCTTGGCTGGCTCGAAATCGTTCCACAAGGCTGTCGCGCAGTTGGCGATGGGTAGCTTAAATACCACAGTGGGGTTGCGAAATGACATCACAAGGAGCTGCTCCGCCCCTCCATGCGCGACAAGGCGGTTCAGCCTGGCAAGGAGCCTTGGATTGCGCTAGAAGGAATAGCAATAGTATCGGATTTTGTATCTTCTATTACTAGCAGTAGGTCTCGATCTTGATCTACAGGGCACTGCATGCTGTAACTACGCGTATTTCATTTTACACGCTTGTAGACCAAATAAGTAAACTTTAATAACCCTCTATAGCATCCCAAGTACAGTGTGCTAGTACAGTAAGTGACAGGCAGAAAACTTTAACTCGGCGCATACAGTATAGAGAGCAGCGAGATGAATAAAATGATGTGTGCGTTGTATTTATTGATTTAACAAGTGTTGGTTATCGTAATTGAATTATTCAAACTACTGTAGTTATACCGTTGCAAGTGGGCAGCAGGTTGTCATATAAATCTAATGACTCATTTTATAGGGTCATATCAACATTGTTCCGATCTTTAGGCCGAGTGGGTTATATAGAAGACCTCGTCTCAAGCAATTTCGGAATCCTCAACTTATGACCGTAAAGACAGGTAACAGCCAAAACTGCCCTCTTCGAAGCTTGGAATTGGCCAAACTCGGAGGCGCTTGTTTCTTTCACAATGCCTGTCATTCCGCTGGGTGAATCTATCCCCCAGGATACTGCTCATGTGCGTTGCTTCTAGCCTTTACAAGTCTTATATCGCTGCGTTGATGAGACGAGCTACTGACGCAGCACCTACAATTATAGGCAGTCAGTGTCTCGCTACCCACGTGGGAAGCCAACATCGGCTATGAAGAAGGCCAAGATTGGGTGACGAGCCGCATGGTCACGGGATACCCTCGGTGAGTGACGTCGATCAAGATTATGCTTGTTCACTAGCTCTGACCTTTTCCAGATTCTTCATCCACAAGAGCATTGATACCTTTGCTCGAGACGTTGCAGCTACTTTCGGCCGACCTGGCCAGCAGGCCATGCTTTTTGCCACAGCCAGTGCTGCTCGAAGATGTCTCGAATTCATGCGCCAGCGCGTGTCTGAGCAAAGCTCGGAGCAACTCTCTGTAGTTGACCTTGCTTTGGACACGTCCAAGGATATTTCTCCGCTGCTGAAGCAGCTGTCACCCACCATCTCTGGTGTCATCTTCCCGCGGGAGTCTTTCCCGGTAGCAAAGCAGTATTGGCAGCACACTGGCGATGGCGTTTCAAGTCGACGAGCTGAGTTTTCTCATGAACTTTTCAAGCATGGGCAGCTTGTTGCACTCAAAGAGCAGCGGTCACATACACCCCCTGAGAAACCAATCCGAGGCCCCAAGCGATATTCGCGTACAGCCGCTGCCGGTGGAACTCACATTAACGTTTCAGAAGCCAAGACTGTTGCATCATCCTCTGAGATTCCCGAGGAAGCAAATGAGAGCTTTCGGTTCCTTGAGGAGCGCTTCGGCAGAAACCTGGACCTCACTCAAGTGGCCAAGGCAAGATCAGCCATCCGCAGGAGAATTGCAGGCTCTCTCTCTGGCGAGGCTGATATGAACGATGAAGCAAAGTCGGATGCCAAATCAAACAGTCGTGGCATGGAGTCTCTCGACGAGACGGATGTTCTGCTATATCCTTGCGGCATGAACGCCATTTTCAACGCTCATCGTGCCCTCCTAGCCACCCTAGGTTCATACAAGAGTATAAGTTTTGGGTTTCCTTACGTCGACACACTCAAAATCATCCAAAAATTTGGGCCTGGCTGTGTCTTCTATGGCCATGCATCGTCAGAGGAACTCGACGACCTAGAGCGCCTTTTGAAAGATGGACAGCGCTTCCTGGCGCTTTTTGTTGAGTTCCCAGGAAACCCACTACTTACTTGCCCAGATCTCAAACGCATTCGCAAGCTAGCTGACGAATTCAACTTTGCCGTCGTCGTCGATGAGACAATAGGCACATTTGCAAACGTCAATGTTCTTCAGTATGCCGATATTGTCGTCAGCAGCCTTACAAAGATCTTTTCGGGCGGCTCCAACGTTATGGGTGGGTGTAGCGTCCTGAACCCAGAAGGCAGACACTACCATCCGCTCAAGAAAGCCTTCGAGGAACAGATTTACGAAAACACGTACTGGCCCGAGGATATTCTTTTTATGGAGAGGAACAGTCGGGACTATGCCAACAGAGTGAAACGCATCAACACCAATTCCGAAGCGATATGCGAGATTTTACGAGCTAATTATACTGTCAAGAACGTGTACTATCCCAAGTATAATCCTTCAAAGCCTAATTACGAGTCGGTCCGCCTTCCTGATGGTGGCTATGGAGGCTTGCTCTCGATCGTATTCAACCTCCCGGGGCAGGCTCAAGAATTCTTTGATCACATGGACACTGCAAAGGGGCCAAGCTTGGGAACCAATTTCACCCTCTGCTCTCCCTATGTCTTGTTAGCACACTACCAGGAATTGGATTGGGCGGCTCAGTATGGTGTAGATCCGGATCTTGTTCGCGTCAGCGTAGGGCTAGAAGAGACCGAAGAGCTTCTGCAGCTCTTCCAAAAGGCTCTGGCAGCGGCTGAGGCCGTAAACGATGCTCACGTAGAGATGGAACAAGCTTTGCTCGATACTGCCTATTGACAATAATACTGAAGATCTTAATGTAGCGAATGAAGGCATTAATACAGATGATAGTGATACAAGATGGCATACGAAGCAGAAATGTGCTATGTTCGTTGAATTCCATGTGAAGCTACATAGAAGTCATGTATATTTAGCAAATTCCAAGTGCCAGGTTAGAAAGAATTACACAAAAATATATATAATTAAAACATTAATAATTTTGTATGATTATTCATACACCACATATTAAGAGTATTTGTAGTTAAATGCATATTTGCTGGTATCACAGGACCGCAGAGGTCAATATTTCATAAAAAGACTAGAAAATCTCATGTTCATCAGTTCCATCTCTTACATAACGCTGCATTCAGACCGTGTATAGCCTGGTCCAAACTCTTCTATCCCCCGTTCTATTTCATTAGCGCGTTGTTTCTCCTTTACCTCCTTCATAAAATATTTTTTCATAAATTTTTCTAATTCCGCATCAAGGTTGTCTATACAATGTTAGAAGCGCCATTTAGAAGTTTACAAGGAGGCTCCTCTTACCAATGGAAGCATTCATGACAACGGGAGCTCGACACAAGGGACAGCTCTCCTCTTTGCGTCGCTGGATCTTGATAATACAGCGAATGCAGAAAACGTGTTGACAGTCTAAGCGAACTGGTTGATACGCCAGGGAATAGCATATCGGGCAAAGATAATCATTAATTTGGGGTATAATGGACACTAGCTCATCGGAAATACGAGCGCACACTGCTTTGGAAATATGGTCGGACAATATTCTTCGGGAGTTAATTGCTGCTGGCAAAGCACGAGAGACGCCCAGCGCCGTCCGCTTATCAAATTCTATGCATAATGTTAGCTATGAGCTTGGGGAGACAAGACTTGGAAGGGGCAACCGCGTATGGTTCATACTCTTCAAGATTTTGGAGATTGCTAATACGTTTAATTCTTGGAACTGTAAGTGTTTTAAGAGATCCAGATTTAATTCGAGGAATTTCGAGAAGGCGGTTCGACTTTCTGGGAGTTTAAATGAGCTAACAAGCTCTTGTTTCTTGACCTCTCCCTGGAACCACTGCAACTGCTTGAGAGCTTTCTGGCTGGAACGAGCCCCATGTTCACGCTCGTGTGTTGCAAAAAAGATCTCTGCATCCAGATATAGTTCGAATATACGCCTCCAGCGGTCGATATCACTCTTAGAGAAGCGGGTCGGCCGTGATACTTGCGATACTTGCTTCCCAAGCTCTTTGACTTCTTCTTGTAAGTGATTCTGCTCAGTGGTTTGTAAGGCGTCCAGATTGCTGACATCGCTTAGAAGCATGTCAAAGAAGACGCTGTCGAATACAAGAGGCACTTCTATTCTTTCAAGACGTTCCTCATCATGGTGGCTTGCCTCTGTTTGTGGTGCTGCGGTTGTTGTCGTGTCCGTCGCGTTGTCCGCTCCTTTATCCGCTGTGTTGTTCGTTGCGTTGTCCGTGGTATTGTCTTTTGGGGTATTGTCTGTCGCCTTGTCTGTCGCCTTGTCTGTCGTCTTGAAGCGTGAGATATTTGCCAACGCAGATTCCTTTTCATCATCAGAGTGGCTAACTGCTGAACCCGAGGAGATTTTCTCAAAAAATTGACGAGTGGTCGGCGTCAAAGAGGCGTCAACGATATTGCCATCGTGCAAATGAATGAATACAGTCAGCTTTGGCCGGACGAGCGTAGAATTCGAGGAGGCTGGACAACGTTAGGAATACTATCCACGACCATGCTCTCGAGAGCAAACTAGGTTCTAAATGTCAAAAAGAACAGCATACCGTTAAGACTATAATTCAAAGCAACTGGAGAGTCCGTATTAGAGTCAAGAAGCGCTTTCAACGTCTCAGCATCAAGGCCCAGCTCTTGAAGTTCTCGTTGAACTTTTTTGAGGCATTTCTTGAGCTGGCCATACGGGATCGCTTGAGCGACCCAGTGAGGCGGGAAGCCTATAAGACGATAAGCGACTGTAAGCGGCTTAAGAGGCAGATATGACTGCTCTCGAGTTATTGGAGGAATTGTAGCGACGAATCCATACCTTGACTTGCCAAGGACTGCTTGAAATCATGGCCGAATTTCATGGCATCTGTTAATTATCATGGACATGTCACTGACGATCAAGGGCTGTCACGCCTACCTTTTCAAAGTTGAAAGAAGTTTGGCGCTACCAATGGAGTATAATCATCCTGTCGCCAGACTAAAGTGGAGAAAAAAAGCAATAGCGGTAGAATTTTTGCAGGGCCGCGAAGGTACCCTCAGGAACTCGACATGTGAGGGGCCAATTATGTGGAGGCGATATGAGATAGTTCCTGAAATCCTTTGTACTTGCTGTAATGGTACACAGAAGAAGAAAGAATAAAATGAACAGCATACCAGCAGAAACTAGCAAATCGCGGCGATTTTTCAAGCGGTCTAGTACCACTCCTAATCCATTCAAACGTAGTCAGGTAAAAACTTTCCAAAATTTTTCTTTCCAGCGCCTATCTCTGGTGTTGGCGTTGGCACGTGTAGTCTTCAGGCACATGTCACGCCCCAGTTTATTTGGACCAGCTGCTAGGACGCTAGCAGCAGTTGCTCGGCATCCGGCTGCCGATTTGGCCTGAAGTAAACAAACGCTATCATGTCACCGCAATGAGAGCAGCTCAACGTTATAATTCCACTACAATATCATAGTTTGGATATGGCTCCCATGCGAGCTGCTGATTTCTGTTTCAACAGTGACGAGGATGAGCTGCCGACATTGAATACCCTTCTTACTCGCTCTCCAAACCACCCAGCGCCTAAATGTTCGCAGCCAAGATTAACACCCAGCCTGGAGAACAGCCGTACAATCACAGTTAACTCGAGGGCGCGACGTAAAGCCTCGGACATACAAACACCCGAAATCGAAGTCATCGACTTAATATCAGACTCAGAAGACACAACACCTAAACGCGCCACCCCAACAGTAATTGGAAAAGACGGACGGAAAAAATGGGACTCGCCTCTAGAACAGGCCGATGATGGTGTCGTTGACGAGGAGACGGCGCCTCGGCGCAAAAGCAGCCTTATGAATCCTCGGAAGCCTGGAAAGAGTGAATATGGCCTCCAGTCACGTCTCAAGGAAAAGAGCAGTGACTGCCTAGCTTCGAGACAGGAGTCGACAAAATCAGTAAGAGGTCCTCGAGGGCCCTTGGAACCGTCTCACGAATCCCTATTCACCACCAACAAAGCCGGATCGAAAATGGAATTTTCGAATTCTCCTGATTCTGCGCAGAGATTATCTCGACCTCGATCTCGATCTCTCACAAAGGAAGAATCATCTGACACTGATGAAGAGCCCTTAGCACGACACCCTCGTAATCGGCGTCTGCGCCGACTTCAGACAGTGGGATCGGACTCTCAGCGACCACTTTTTGACGACAAAAGTCGTCGAGATATAATTCGTCCCTTTTCATACCTTCAGCTGGATTTTGAAGAATCACTAGGAAGAGCTAGGTTACGAAATCTTCCTGTCGCCTCTCCTAGAAGAGACAAACAAAAGGACCCGATATTACCTGATGAGTCTCATATCAAGATTCTACGAGAGCTAGACTTTGACATTGCTGAAGGTCTGGAGTCTGATGATGATGACCTGCGTGAGCCGCAAATGCCACCTAAGTCTACTGCTATTCAGTCCAGCGTTTCAAAAACGGGCTCTCCCAAAAAACAGTACAAGAAGTCATTTGATGCAAAAAAAGACCAGCTTGCAACAGATTTTCTCCGGCAACTTGACGCTCGAATCACAGATGGCAAGATTGGAGAATTGACCGAATCAACGGGGGGAGTCAAGATTGTGTGGAGTAAGACTCTCAAGACAACAGCCGGCCGAGCAAACTGGAAGCGAGAGACGGTGAGCTCTAAGCAAATCAAGGACGGCGTCAGTGTGGAGGTGAAACAGTATCGGCACCATTCATCGATTGAGCTTGCCGAGAAGGTTATCGATGACGAGCAGCGCTTGCTCAATGTCATAGCGCATGAGTTTTGCCATTTGGCCAATTTCATGATCAATAGCATCAAAGATAACCCTCATGGGAAAGAGTTCAAAGTCTGGGCCGCAAAGTGTTCCAAAATGTTTGGCTCACTGGGCATCAAGGTTACCACCAAACACACGTATGAGATTGACTTCAAATACGTGTGGACGTGCACGGCATGCGGTTGCGAGTACAAACGCCACTCCAAAAGCATCGACCTCATGAGACATCGATGTGGTAGTTGCAAAGCTGTACTTGAGCAGACCAAACCAGCACCGCGGCAAGCTTCGACCGCTGGCAAGTTGAGCGACTACCAGCTGTTTGTCAAAGAGCAAATGAAAACCATTCGAAACGAGAACCCAGGCAGCCAGCAAAAGGACGTTATGAAGATGATTGCAGATAAATGGGCCAAGGCCAAAACTAGTACGAATTAACAGCTCGATCACGCTACCATGTGTTTATTTTTGGAATAGGGTCGCTGGATAAACTAATTGTTGATATATTGTTGATACATTATTGATAGAGACTTTTTTCTGTAATAATCATAAATGATTAGCGTTTTGTCATGGTAGCGAATCTTATACTTTGTATGAGCTGTTCCTTTTTATGCATGCTTGAAAGCACTGGTGAGAGTGTAAGCTGCATGTCACTACCAGATCAGTGGGCATTGCAGCTCTCCCTCTTCATCTCTTCTTACAATTGACGCAGTGCTCGGTGGAAGAGAGAAAAGCAACGGAAGAAAAGGAAGAGACAAAAGATATTGAAGGAAAATAAAAAGGCTATGGCTCATAGGCTAGCTGACAATTCCGCAGCCATTTTCTCACCATCCGTTGCCCGCATTGCCGCCTCTACTGCCCGCGACTGGTCCTACGTCGATGCCTGGCTTGCGTCCAAATCGCCAGCCTGGAAAACTGCATTGCCGCCCTTTGAGCGAAACCAGGACACCCTCAAGGCGCTTCTTGCTCTTGTGTCCTTGAATGAGGCGGCCGATGACCAACGCCGTCTTCTTGCCCGCGTGGATGCGGTAGCTCTACAGGGCCTGACCGCCGCTCAAAACAAGGCGGAATTGGCCACTTCTTCCACCGGGGGCGCTCTTACAAAGGGCCATTTGCTCGACGCAATAGAGCACAGCCTGCCCAAAGATGGGGCCAGCGCTCTGGATGCCCTCACCACAGTGGCTTCGGAGGCTGCCACCGCCAGCCCTGATCCCGATCACCTGGGCAGCCTGATGCTTCGCCTCCAGGGCACGATTTACGTAGCTGAGCAGACGGCAGCCCGAGTCGATGCCTTTGAGCGCCATATCCGGCGAGAGGCCGAGGCAGCGGAGGAGCTGCTCCATACGTTGCAGGGCGAGTGCTATAAGCCGCCGTCGGATTTGGCCAAGCAAAACCTGGATGTGCAACGAAGGATAAAGACTGTGTCTGCGCAGCTGCCTGATCTCCATGACCGCGTTACGTCTCTTGGAGCATCTGTTGTGACGCCTTATTTAACCATTGGAGATGTGATTGAATTGGAGCAGCGATACCATGCTCTGTTGTTTCACATGAAGGAGCTCAGTGAGCACATTGCTGCTCTGTCGCAAGAGTGAGTCCAGTAGTCAAATCAGATGTCATTGAACTATTCGTAAGCTAACGCAGCCACCTGCAGTTTATGACATTCTTAACGATAGAGTGATATGGTCGTGGAAGCTGGTAGCGTTTGATACCTATGAATACCTGAAATGGGGACTGAATTCTCATAATGAAAAATGACTCAGAAGTCATGGACTTCGCTATCGAAAAATTCGCTGGCGCACCTCCTTCCATTCTCTTTACAAATTATCCTCGTGGTATCTACTGGTTTCGACGGGACTTTCCTGACACGGCGCCCCCTAGTCTCCCAAATTGCCTTCCAAGTCCTGATTTTTTGACGGGTGGTGGGGATATTACCGGAGCCTGATCTTTCGTTGGCACAGGCGGTCCAGAAGGCCCTGCTCGAAGGTTGTCTCTGTTTTTACCCTCCGGCGATGCTTCTCCTATGCGGAAGTCACCGACCCCAACCGAGAACGTGTCTTCAATCTCAACACTATGTCGTTGACTTCTTCTCGCCCTCTCTTGGACGCTGCGAAATTTTTCCAGAAGCTCCACCCATCGTATTGCCCCGTCTTCTCGGCCTTTCAGTCTGTTTGGTCGGTCATAATTTGACGACGTCGGCGCACCTGCTACACTGTATTCATTATTCTCATTAGCCTTGAATGACACTTGTGGAGATTTCCTCGAATATCCAGAATCTGCATCAGTCTTACCTTCGTGGGGCGATTTGCAGGTAACCTATTGAGCTGACACTGTTGAGTCGATTTTTTAATGCAGCAAACGCAGATGACTGCGGCAAAAGCATGAGAATCCCATACATGCATTTGTAGAGGAACGGGTATTTCTCAGGCTCTAGCAGTTGCAGACGCAGATCTAGTTTTTCCTCTTGTTAGCTGGATAATCGCAAGTTTTAAACATCTCATAATAAAATTGGGCTGGAGTAAAGACTTGCATGTAAAGACGGGCGATTCAATGAGCTGAACAAGCTTGTCGACTTGAATCAGCATGTTGACAGTCATGTCTAATTCTCCACTATTCAAGCGTAAGTGTCCAGTCCATAAGGGTTCCGTCAAGGGATCTCACAAAATTTGTAATAGATTGTATGCCTGCTCATAAGCCTGGGAAAGAAGGCACAGAGAGAACGTTGCAACTGCGTTGTAGCACCATGACCTGAACAGAGCCACAAATAAAGTCTGACCATCCTGTATATTTCGTCAGTTGATGATATTCACTCATCTGAAGGCTTGAATATCAGGGAGAAGCAAGAAGGAGATTGACGATGGACATAGCTTTCATACCTTTGTTTCTAAATTTCTCAGCCGCTTGCGGACTTCTGCTAATTGAGGTGCAGTAATCAAGTTGTTATTCAGATTTTGCACCATTATGCTAGCAAATTCAACATCTTCTTCTTTTTCTATGCAATCGGCCAGCGTTCGGTATATGCGCTCTGGGCTGAGGCTGATGCAGAGCTGTCGAATGATGAGGTTACCTCGAGTTTCCAATAATTTACGGTCTGTAGAAAATAGTTGCAGTAAGTTGATCATGAAGCTGGCGAAGTAATCGTCTTCACTATTGCGAGAAATTTGAGACAGCAATTGTAAATCTCTAGTGACGACAGCATCTGAAGGGTCTGAGAGGGTCTTCAGAAGCGCTGGAAAGGTGCCGTCGTTGAAGGCCAATACCTTGCGTGGGGCCTTTCTGTGCAGCATGATGAGCCAAGTTAGGGCGGCCACACGTGTAGCTTCGTGGTCGTTTAAGAAAAGCAAGGTAAGCGAATTGACAGCAGCAGTATAGTCGAGGTTGGTTTGAATTTGGGTTGCATCAGACGTGGCGATTGCAGTGGAAGACACTCGGCCACTTCCCGGTGTTGAGCTACGGATTTCGATATCCCTGGAATTGGATAGCGATGTCCGACCGACGCTGCTGCTATCCTGCTTTTCTTGTGACAACGACAGCCGAACGTTCGATGCTGCTGCCTGCGTTACATTGACATCGGATTCATCTGACAAAGATACCACATAGTCCATGAGACAAGTGTTGACTCTGGTCGCCGCAAGGCGAATAGTCTCCTTGGTACTGGCCATTGCTGGGAGCATATGAGCCAAGATCTTGGGTGTGAATGGCAGCACTTCTTCAGGGCAGATATCGAGAAATTCAACAATCCATCTGAGCGATTCGAGTAGGCAGTCCTCCTCTTGACAATAGTCAGTATATAGCGTTATACGGGAAGGATGTGAATTAGGAAGGAGGAAACAAACCCAAGGGGGAATCAAGAGTAGCTGTAAGAATATCCAGAATTTCTTTGTAGTTGATTTCCACATCCTGGCCAGGGATCCAGTCCTCTTCCAGGCTATCCTCGTCATCGTCATTTAGGGCATCAGAATCGAGTTCATCTCCTTCATCCAGTTGGAGGCGACCACCCGCACTATCCATAGATTCTTGACGCTTCCTTTTACCGCCTTCTTTGAATCTCTTATTCTCAACCAGTCCTCTTTTGACGTGGGAGATTCTTTTGATTTCGTTGAGAAACTTGTCAAGGCAGGTTTGTGTAGCCACACGAACATCGACATTTTGGTCGCTAAGGAACTTGAGGATCCCACCAAGGAATTCTGGGAGATAAGTTACCAACTCTAGATCTGGGATTGAGTCTAGAAGTGTAATCCAGCCAACGAGAAACTGTCGAGTGAATGGGTTGATGACGTGAATTCGTTCTTTGAGTAGTGGGATAAAGCGTTGTAATGAAAAGGCTGTAGGTAAGTTTTGCTGATGCTCATCCGTAGCTGTATTATCTCCGACGCTCGAAGAAGTTTCCAAGACTGAAATGTAGGACGCAGCAGACTCGGATACAATATCCTTTATAAGTCGATCCAAGAGCTCGGCTCCGTTTTTGACAGACAATTCTGAATCCGCCCCAAGCTATAAGAAAGTCCATCGGTCAACCAGTCATTCTCAAGCTTCATCTATTGTTGGAAAGGCAGCGAAGAAGCATACTTTACATAGCTGATCGAATATACTGTTAAAATAAGTCAGTATCTCGCCCTTAGCTACTTTAGCTATATTATACATCGCCTCGCATGCATAGTATCGGACTCGCGCATCCTGATCAGTGAAGCAGGCAAGTACAGGAGGAACAATGTTTACAAGATAGTCAGGAAGCGCCTATAAGAAGGGTGGTCAGCAGCAGTACCATCAAGCATCAAAATCTTGACCAGTGCAAAGCTCAGGTCGAGTAGAAGACGGCACAGTTGGCACACAAAACAAGAGGTAAGACTGAAAATCAAGCGTTCAATATATCCTCCTGCAGCTGGCACAGAAGCCGGCACAAAAAAGCTGGACATACCGTGCCAAGCGCGATCGCTGCTGCGGCCAGGCCAATCAAGCCTCCATTTCGAGCATGTGGTTGATGAACCGCGTAAGCATAATCATTACACAACTGGTCAAGGATATCTTTAATGCGCTCGAACGATCCGGAAGCAACAAGGTCTCGTATTATCTTCTCAAGTCTAGAGTATATAACGAGAGTAAGCGACATGTATGGGAGCAGTGCAACAGTTGGGCAGGACCTGTGCCATACTCGAGTGCCCCAACTTTACGCTTGTCATATAGCTTGTCGTTCAGCGCCCGCTGAATATTTGTATCCATCTTTCTAGGCGTTTCATGCTTGATTCAGCAGGAGAGGATGTGCGATAGTCGGCGCTTTGGTCGAAGGCGGCGGATGGCGGTCGTAAGCTGGAATCAGAGTTGCATAGGATATATCTGGGCCATTGCATGTGTGTGCATGTTGCAGGTAGGTAGCTCGCAGGCGGGAGACCAAAACAAGCTTAGAGGGGTGCTACAGTGCTGCTAGGTGAACTCCGCAGATGCATGACGGAATTAGGTAAGGTGCATTCCACGAAATCAAGGTGCACGATCACACTTCATAAAACATTTACAGCACGATCCATCTAGATTGCATTCCGCGTATTGCTACATCAGTTATTCAATCATCAAGATTGTAAGAATATAGATACAGTGGCTAAAGCATATAATAGGTAGTACCTTGGATTTAACTTTTTTTTTTGTATTGTTCCTTGTTATATATACTAGATGTGGTCACCAAAAGTTACATACACAGTAGACTTAAAAGCATACAATGACTCCCAACGCATCGGAGCTCGATCCTCTGTCAACGGCTTCTCTCTCGCTTCTTGGCTTGTCATGAGATCATGAACTTTCAAATATCAGTGCCATGTTCATTATTATTTTGTTCAAAGCTCATTCGCTTTTTAATTCTTCTTGGCCATGGTGTTCAGGGCGCTGCCGTTCTTGAACCACTCAATCTGTGCCTCGTTGAAAGTCTGCTGCAGCTTGACTTCGAAAGGCTTGCCGTCCTTGGGGTGAACAGTCATGATGAGAGGCTTTCCAACGGCAAGCTGGGTGCACGGAATATCAACCTATTTATCTTATTAGTACTCACAGTTTGATTTACAGAAAGGAAAATACTGTAATGAAAGAGGGATCGGAAGCTTACTTTGTCATCAGGCTTGATCTTGTCATAGTCAGCGGGGTCAGCAAAGGTCAGGGGAAGCATGCCCTGCTTCTTCAAGTTGGTCTCGTGAATACGAGCGAAGCTTCGGGTGATGATGGCCAGGCCACCCAGGTGACGAGGCTCCAGAGCGGCATGCTCACGAGAGCTACCCTCGCCGTAATTCCAGTCACCAACGACAACCCACTTGATACCCTTCTTCTTGTAGTCGCGAGCAACTGCGGGAACAGCATCCCATTCACCAGTGGTGATGTTCTTGACCTTGTTGGCCTCATCGTTGGCCTCGTTAATAGCACCAATCAACATGTTGTTGGAGATGTTATCAAGGTGGCCACGGTACTTCAGCCAGGGGCCAGCCATGGAGATGTGGTCAGTGGTGGTCTTGCCCTTGGCCTTGATCAGGATAGGCACGTCCTTGGCATCCTTGCCATCCCAGGGCTGGAAGGGCTCCAGGACCTGGAGACGATCAGATGTGGGGCTGACCTGCACGGTAACGGAAGCACGCTCCTTGGGCGGGGCCTGGTAGGTGTCCCGGCCCGCATCATAGCCCTTGGCAGGGAGGCCGTCGCCAGTGGGGGGCTTGAGCAAGAACTCCTTGCCATCCTTGCCGACAAGCTTATCGGTAAGGGGGTTGAAGTGCAGAGAGCCCGCAATGGAGAGAGCGACAACCAGGTCGGGGGAGGTGACGAAAGAGTGGGTGGCAGGGTTGCCGTCGTTACGTCCGGTAAAATTTCGGTTGTACGAAGAGAGAATGGAGTTGGCTTCACCCTTCTTCACATCCCGACGATCCCACTGACCAATACAAGGACCGCAAGCATTGGCAAGGACAAGGCCGCCGAATTCCTCAAAGGTCTGGAGCTGACCATCGCGCTCAATAGTTGCGCGGATCTGCTCAGAGCCAGGAGTAACGGTGAAAACAGCCTTGGCCTTCAAGCCGTGGTCGAGAGCATCACGAGCGATAGAGGCGGCGCGGGACATGTCTTCGTAGGATGAGTTGGTGCAAGAGCCAATCAGACCAACCTTGAGCTCTTCGGGCCAGTTGTTGTCCTTGACAGCCTGGCTAAACTTGGAAATAGGAGTGGCCAGATCAGGAGTGAATGGGCCGTTGATGTGAGGCTCAAGTTCAGACAGGTTGATCTCGATAAGCTGATCGTACTCGGCACCCTGATCCTCGCGAAGCTCGGTAGCATAAGCGCGAGCGAAGTCTCCGATATCCTTGCGCTTAGTAGCGGCAAGGTAGTCGTACATACGATCGTTGAAGGGGAACAGGGAGGTGGTGGCACCAATCTCGGCACCCATGTTGCAGATCGTACCCATGCCAGTGGCTGAGATGCCCTCGACACCGGGGCCGTGGTACTCAACAATAGACCCAGTACCGCCCTTGACAGTTAAGATGTCAGCGACCTTGAGAATGATGTCTATAAGATTCTCATGTTAGCAAACAAGGACCTCTGAATTCATAAAAAAAATTGCAAAATTCTTATGAATATCACTCACCCTTTGGCGAAGTCCATCCCGACAGCTGGCCGGTCAGCTTGACACCGAGGACATTGGGGGCCTTCAGCTCCCAAGGCAGGTTGGCCATGACGTCAACAGCGTCAGCACCACCCACACCGATAGCAGCCATACCAAGACCACCGCCGTTGGGAGTGTGCGAATCAGTACCAATGAGAAGACCACCGGGGAAGGCATAGTTCTCAAGCAGAATCTGGTGGATAATACCAGAGCCAGGACGCCAGAAACCGATGTTGTACTTGGCACAAGCAGAAGACAAGAAATCGTAAACCTCCTTGTTGATGCCAACGGCTCGCTCAAGATCCTTGGCACCACCAACTTGGGCCTCAATCAGATGATCACAGTGGACGGTGGTGGGGTTGGCAACGGCATCCATGCCAGCGGACATGAACTGCAAGATAGCCATCTGGGCAGTAGCATCCTGGCAAGCAACGCGGTCAGGGCGCAGCTTGAGGTAAGACTTGCCTCTCTCAATGTCTTGGCCGTGAGGGTCGTCCAAGTGAGAGTAGAGAATCTTCTCGGCATAGGTCAAAGGTCGGTTGAGGCGGGCACGGACGATGGAGAGGTTCTCGGACATCTTCTTGTAGTTGATGAAGTTGTTCTCCTCCCAGTTGTTCTGGCGGACCTGTGAGCACGAGGCAAGTCAGCACGGCTAGTTCCAAGCTACAAAACTCCAGAAAGACGCTCAGAGAGGCTCTCCAGAGTGCATGGGGAGTCCAATGACCTTTCTGTCGAGGGCAGAATCAGAGACGGTAGCCAGACGGCGGACGCTGCTGGCCGCGCCACCGGCGGCGCGGCTCCGAGCAATACTGCCCAGAACCTGTCTGGAAGCAAGCATGATGCAGACTCGGCCAATTGAGGAGTCTATAGACTGCAGTCAATCAGAAAAGTGTTGATGCTGGCGAGCAGCAGAAATCTGTCGTCAAAACCAGAAAATGCCTTGGAGGGGGGAATGTTATAAAGACACTAAAGTGGAGAGCGGAATTTGCCTGGGTGGGGAGAGGTGTTTTTCGGCTCGTGCTGCGGCCAGTCGTTTGGCCTCTGCGAGAGAAAAGATGGGACCCTCAGCCGGGATAGCAGGGCAATGACAGAATGTGCGTCTTAGAGCTGGCATGGCCCTACCCTCGCTGGCCACTCACAGGCCGTGTAAAAGCAATCCCTTGGCCCGCGCCGTCGCTTGTGCCGAGCTAAACCTCCCCTCCTCCAGCCGAGCTTGACCTGCGCCGGGGGTGGATGATTTTTTTTTTCTCTTCATTTCTGCTCGTGCAGGCCATTACCCCATACATGAGCTGGTGTTACAGCATACGCGTTAGCATGTAGCAGGGCGAGTCTCGCTGATCCCTAATACTGCAAGCCCACTTGGCACCTGCTGAAGTAGGTAGGTAGGTAGGTAGGTAGCCTTGAGGTTCTAAAAATGGGTAGACAAATGCTATTGAAAGCTTACAAGTACATACCTACTTGTACATAGGCAGTAGTAGTTAGTAGATGATTATCTGTGCTTTTGCCGCACTCACAAATAGCACACAGAGGCTGCGTGTTTTAATGAGCCATTGGTGTTGCAGCGCTAAACATGTAAGCGTGTAAGTGCACCACCATTGGAGCCAACCTGCATGCCGCCGTAGCTGCCGGGCGTGATGCCCCCGAAACCACGGCTCAAGGCATGTGACGTCGCAGATGTAAGCTCGTGCATTGCATGGACGCCAATAGTTACATCAACTAGGTGGCTGGATGGGTCGGCAGATCTTCAGTGGCCACATACAAGCAGAGCCAGGCAAGGCTCAAGCAACGATTGCTGCATCGCGGCTCTTCTCAGTTTCGCGGACCACGCAAACGTCTATTGCATTGCGCAAAGACGTAGCCTTGCGGCTGAGTGCCTCGGCACGAGACAGCGGAAGCATCGGTCGCCGGCGTCTGAGCTCGTTTTTGCGAACTTCTCGGTAATAGTTCTCGGAGCCCGAACTGGCGTTAAAGAACGGAGCTCGGTCCCTAGCGCCATTACCGGAGAGGCTTTGGCAGCACGAGGTCCTGGCTCCGCACCTACTTTACCTTAATTTCCAGCGAGGTGCGAAATACGGAGAAGCAATACCCGTACTACCCCGGCTAGCAGAGATCTACTAATCAACTACGCTGCCTGCAAAGGTAAGGTATTTATATGTGTATACAGTAGATGGAGAATTTCAGTAAACGCGGGACATTGGCAGCCATAACAGTACTATATACATATATATACGAGTATGCTCTTGTAAAACTGAACGGCTACAAAGTCCGACAAAAGTAAGTTTAATGTGATATATACTGGAACACAGCTGACACTTCACTCCCCGCATACTCCTGTCTTAGCAACAGATCCTGTATAGGTTGCAGCTGAGAGTTGACAAAATGATTCCAAGTGCTTGTATCACCATACAACATAGCAGGGGCCTTGATGAACTGTCGGCCATCGGGCTTGCACCTTTTGCATTTGAATGTATCGTGAGTGTCGCTAGTTGTATCAGGCCGATATTGAAAGAGCTCTCGAAGGCTGTCGAGGGAGAAGTGGCGCTCCACGTCCTCAGCAGAGTCCACCACGCACGAAGATAAACTTTGCTTGTGAGATTGCCTTTGAAAAATCTTCTCTTCGATAGTGCCCGTGGCAATGAAGCGGTAAACGAAGCAATCTTTCTTCTGACCATCTCGCCAAACTCGTGCCAGAGCTTGCTGGTCGGCCGCGGGATTCCAATCGGGATCAAAGAGGACAAGTCGGTTTGCGCCAATGAGATTTATGCCACAGCCACCTGCCTTGCTGCTCAACAAAAAAATAAACTCATCTCCGTTTGGATCATTAAAACGATCAACTAGTTTTTGCCGTTTGTTCACATTCATTGTTCCGTCAAGGCGTAGACACCCATAGTGGCGATCTCTGCAGAGACGTTCAAAGAGATCTAGTGTTGACGTGTAATTGCTGATGAGCACAATCTTGTCGTTTGTGTCTTCTCGAATTTTGGCCAGCATTCGATCGAGCACCTGCATCTTTCCCGAATACCAGGGCTTGATGTCTCGGTCCCTCCCCCGACTTTCTTTAGGGACATAGTCGTCTGGAAAGCATTTCTCCGAGCCGGGCAAGTCATCCGCAAGGTTTAGAAGATCGGGATGATTGCATAGTTTTTTGAGAATGTTGATGGCTTTGAGAGGCTGGCTGCCCTTGCCACGGAGAAGAGCTTGGATGTCTGGACTCGTGATAAAATAATTGTAGAGATCGAGCTGGAATGGGGCCAGATTGCAAAAAACTACATGTTCGTATTTGACCGGGAGATACTTGGAAAGGATGTCGTTTGTTCGTCGGATGAGGAATTTGTTGACAACGCCAAGTAACTCAGATGTGCACTCATCTCCGCGCCTGCGATCCTGTTCTGACGCGTCGGCATCTCGCCCACGCAAAATGGGTATTTCAAATCGTTTCCGAAACTCCAATCGCGACCCAAGAAGGTCTGGGTTGGCAAAACTGGTCAAAGCAAAGTATTCCGTAAGGTCGTTTTGGATGGGCGTGCCAGTGAGAATAACTCGTCTAGATACATTAAGGTCGTTCAAAGCATTAAATGTGTTGCTGTCCGCATTTTTCAAACGGTGCCCCTCGTCGCAAAAGAGAAGGCCAATCTTGGTGTGCTTGAGCTCTTCAACATTAAGCCGTAGAGTCTCATATGAGACAATAATGACTGGTCGTGTGACGGATCGGCCAGAAGCAATTGCCCACTGACGGAGCTGACGTTTCAACTCTTCCTTTGGCGCTTTCCCATCAATGGCAAATGGATTGATAGCGTTAGGACCAAGCCATTTTGTCAACTCATTTGCCCAATTTTTTACCAGACTTGCCGGACACACAACGATAGCTTTCTGGATGGTGGATTTACCGGCCATAGGAGATTGCTTTAACAGCGTCCACATGAGAGCAATGCACTGGAGCGTTTTCCCCAGCCCCATCTCGTCAGCCATAATGCATCCCTGAGCCTTCTCATCGACGAGCCCTGTGACACATTTGTACATAAATTTGACTCCCTCAATTTGATGTGGGCGAAGACATTTGGCAATCTTGGGGTCAATCACAACTGGAACTTTGGGAAGATCTGTTTCCACTTGTTTCTGAATTCCAAGAATCTCGGCCAGACTTTTGTGCACGATCGGGGCATCAAGCTTCGAGGGTTCCACCTCCTTTGGTACCACATTTTCCTGGGTTATATCAGGCTTCGCATCAACTGTCGGATCGTAAAGAACAATCGCAAATTCGCCCGATGGGTCATGCAGAGGCCTGGGGACAAATAAGGCTCCACGTCGGAGCCCAAGAGTCGGCGGAGGCCTTGATGAACCATAGTCGCTCTGGGTTTTGTCTTTCAGAGGAATAGAGAAAGCTTTTCTGAAGACGACATTTTTATCTTTCACTTGAAAGACTGGAAATTTTGGCAGTGAAGGCGTTTGAAAGCCATTGCCGTCATATGACGTGTCGATGCTTGCTCCTTCGTTCTCATCGGCTCCTCTGTAGTCTACTTTTCTCTTTTTCCGGATAGGTCGATCTGACGCGGGTGCTGCATTCGCCGGCGCAGGGCATTTGAATGGCTTACGAAGCGTATCAAGATTTTGAGATTTTGAAGCCGGAGGGTTCGACCTGCCGGGATTTTTGTCCTTCAGCGTTTGGTGGGATGGTGCACTGGAAAATGTAAATATAGACTCATCCTTGGCCTGCCAAACTTGGCCCAGAGCCACTTACATTACTTTCATGTCGAAATAGTACAATATTCACACGCTCGCTGGCTAAAAGGACGACGGCGTTTCCGATTGTCGATGCAACAGATACGATATGAATGGGACAGCGCGTTCCTTCTTGGAATGCCGCAGTTAACGCGCGAAAACAAGACGCGTCCTCACGTGATTAGGTGTATCCAAAACACTCGTGTACTGCGGTATTCCAACATGTGAGACTGTAAATAATTCCGCCTGTTGGTCATCTGTCTAATTTTATTAGAAAATCGCATGTGCCGGCAGGATCTTAATACGGTAGTATCAGTATCAGTAAAATGGTAGAGTCTGTTTGGGCCATACCCTCGTGCTGGTGCATGTTCTGTTTTCAATGTCCTCAGTGTCCTCAAAATTTCAAGCAGATGATACGTAATGGAATCGAGATTACAAAGCGCATGGTTACATTTTGGTACTCGAGTAAGTATTTACATGCCAAGCATATACTGATCTTAGGTATGCATTTAGGTGCGAGAATATACATATATGTCCAATGTGAAGCGCCCATGAACAAGAAGACAGAGGCTCGGAAGATATGTACATGGAGAGAGCTACCTGGATGCTGAAGGGTAAGACAGATTAGTAGCCAATGCATCGAACGTGGAAGCGGTAGACAGGCGAATGTGCGACCGTCAGAAGCAGACAGAAAGGAATTCGAACAAGGCATCAAGCCTCTGACAATAATCCTGCATGCCCATTGCTCATGCTCATTTCGCTCATGATCCATTCATATACCGCCCACTGAATGGCATTGACAAGAAATGCCCTCACACTGCAGATAGATAGACCTCGGAAGAAAGGACGAATCCCGCCTTCTCTATAAGTGTCCCTAGCAATGTGCCATGCTCCGCCTCTCTTCTTACTCGCGATACCACGATGCGCAAGAACTGATGCAGGATACTGCTGTGTTTGAAGCCGCGACTTGATGACGTCGAGAGGGAAGACGCTGGCCCAAGTGGCAATCCCTGCAATGCCACCACACAACAACACCTTTGATGTCTCTCGCCGCCCAGAAGCGGTGTCACCGTCGCGTTTTGCTGTTGCTGCAGCAGGCCAATAGCGATGAGCCAATTCATATGTCCAAAAATAAAAGCCGTAGCCGATGCTGTCCCGCAGCGCCGTGACGACCCCGCCATGGTAGAGACCCTTCACGCCGTCGGTACGCAGTGTCTGCTTGAATATCGTCCAGCTGGATGTGGCAGGGGTTGACATCTGCGCTCGACACTTGATTAACTCAGTGGGAGCGCTGACAACCCATACGGCAAGGCCACCCATGGCTCCCGCAGTCCAAGTAACCCATCCGGCATCTCGTGTCGAGGCCGCATCCTTGAGCATTGCCTCCGACCGGTTGTATGACACGAAGAGCAGCGCATTCAAAGCCCCATAGCCAAAAATTGGCGCGGCAGTGCCTTTCATAAAGGCCACAGAGCTCTGGCCATATAGCTTTCCGATGGCATGCCCTGTAGTTTGCTGGCGCACTTTCTCAATATCCAGAGGATTGCCCACCACAATTCCAACTGCTCCGCTGAGATAGCCCGCCCAGAAGTCGGCCGACATGGCGAGAATCACAGACCAAGTCAGATCCTACCAGCGCGATAATAGAGGATATAATCTCTGGAGCATACGGCTGCATATTGATACTAGATAAGTACTAGGAAACAACCCATGCAAACCTGCCGAGTACCTAGGGCTTGCACTACTTTTTTACTAAGAGACCTCGCTCTTACGTGTATAGCTTAAATCAGCCAGCCGAGCTTTTGCTTCCTGTGTATCTTGGAGATTAAGTTTTGATATAAAGCCAAATTGCTGAAATTCAAGAAAGAACTGTATTTATATCATCATGTCCGACATGTAATCACATCAAACTCTTGGTGTCTTGTAGCTGCCACCCGTCCTTGGTCTGCTTGACTTTGCCCTCCTGCTCCAGTTTGGCCAGCATCTGTACAACCCCCCCACAGGCCGCCTGATGTAAATCTTCACGCACGTCCTTGTATACCGTTTTAACTATAGCCATTGCCGTCCAAGGTTCACTGCTACTGGAAGCATTGCCTGCCCTCATTGCTCGCAAAACTTCTTCTTCTCGTTGACGGCGATGCTCTATGTATTCGTTGATTTTCTCCACGCCATTCTCAACCACAGGTCCATGGCCTGGGTAGACCCGCCCAGAAAAGAGCGTCTTCATTTTAACCAGGCTCCGGAGGTACGTTGCCAAGTCCTCAAACACGGCAGTGCCCTGGCCAAGCACATTGTCGCCCGCAAAGATTGCATCTTCTTCGGTAAGCGTGAGCGCCATGTGATCCTTTGTGTGACCCGGAGTGTGATGAGCCGTCAAGGTTGCACCCTCAGTTGTGAAACTGTCGCCATCTTGAATAGCCAAGTGCTCAGCTTCCGGACTGTTCTTGTAAATCTTTACTTCGGGGAATGCATTCACAAGATCTGTAATGCCTCCAGTATGATCGTGGTGCCAGTGTGTTATTACTGCCGCCTTCACCGTCGCATTCTCTTGCGCGAGCGTTTCTTTGAGCGACTGTATCCAGCTTGGGCGGCCCTCTCCTGTATCAATCAAGATGCGAAAATGGCCTGTGCCCAGCAAGTAAGTATTAGTGCCCTGCAGCGTGAATTTGCCCGGGTTGCCACCCAAGATCCTGATGCAGCGCGGGCTTAGACGCTGTACCGTAGGAAGGGCTATAAGTGTAACAGACATGATGCGTTTAACTGTTGGTGCTTTTTTTTTCTTACAGGGCCGACAAGAGAAGTTACTTGCAATGTATCAAAACATCAAAGCGGCGCCCGATATACAACTAATTCCTTTGGGTGTAGCTCAGAGGCTTGTTCGTTTGAAGTTGTGCTACGGCAGAGATGTTACGTGATCCGGGCCGAGGTTTAGGATTTGGCCTGACGCTTTGTATTCTGTTCTGGAACAAAGGAGGGCGAACACTTGCGTTGATGATTGGATTAAACTTACACGCTAGTCCATCATCGACGAAATACCAATCATTATAACGGGCAATCCAGTTATTAAACCGAAACCCCTCCCAATCGTGAAATTATTATTAGCTACCTCAGGTCAATGTACATGTGCATGGACTCCGTATCATTGGGGGTTATTGCGCTAAGCGGAACACCTACGCATACCTGCTCACCTATAGACCCTTCCGTCATAGCCAGGTCTCTATGCTATGGAGAAACAAGGCTACAGGTGCTGGCGCTAGGCAGCTGGCTGCCACGTTATTCGCCAGACAGCCATTGAGTAAGGCTGCATTGCGTACCTAAGCTACCTTATGCACTACGCTATCGACTTCCAGCTTCCAACCTTCAACCACCGTCTCGCAACTGTAGCTACACCCATAAAGTTGCACTTCTCAACGTCTCCTGTGAAACGTCAACCATAACGACAAATACCTCCTCGCAGATCTCCCTTGTTCACCACTCACTCCGCCGGGCTGAGATTCCACACACTGCACACCCCACCCTTACCACGGGCCGTGGACGACCATCGACAGCGGTACTGTCTCTTCAAATATGAGCAACGACAGCATCTCGGATTTTCTCGCGGAGCAACGAGACGCAGCTCCGGAGGAGCTTCAGCCGCTCATTCTCAACTTCGAAGACTTCTGGGAACGCAAACTATGGCACCAGCTCACAGATGCCCTCGTGGAATTCTTCAACGACGATGGCAGTGCCCCCCAACGCCTCGCCTTCTATAACGTCTTCATCCTGAAGTTTGCTGATAAGATCAACAAACTGAAATTGGTAATGCTGGCACTCAAAGCTGCGACACAATGCAAGGGTTCGTCTTTGACTCTCTGTGGATCTTGAATTGCCTTTCGGCTGCTAATTGTCCCAAACAGACGATCGCGATCGCTTAGCATTCCTGCAGTCGGTAGTCAAGAAGGTGGACACGGAGGATTCTCAAGATGCGCTGGTGTTTGCCTCTGTTGCAGTTGCTAGGGTGAAGCTAAGTCTCAATGAGCTGGAAGACGCAAAACATGATCTCGACGCTTCAGAGAAAATCCTGGATTCCTTCGACTCTGTTGAGTCTGTCGTCCATGCCGCTTTCTACGACGCCAGCGCCAATTATTACAAGGTAAGCTTTCTTGCTGAATCCACAAAATTCGTCCGAGTTACGGTCACTGATAGCGTTTTCTGTTAGCTCAAAATGGACTTTGCAAATTATTACCGGACCGCCCTACTTTACCTTGCCTGCATCGATCTATCCACCCTTTCTGACGAGGAACGACATCAAAGAGCTTATTTCCTGAGCGTGGCCGCCCTAGTATCCACGAGCATTTATAACTTTGGCGAGCTGCTGCTGCATCCCATCCTGGATACTCTGGGCCGGAGCAAGAGTGATGCTTGGCTGCGTGATCTTCTTTTTGCTTACAATCGAGGAGACCTTGCTGCCTATGATGTTCTGTCAGACAACATTGCGTCGAATAAGCTCTTAAACGAAAATTCGGATAGTCTTCGACAGAAAATTTACCTGGCAGCCTTGACGGAAGCCGTCTTTCGCAGACCACCCCATGACCGGACCATGACCTTTGCGACCATTTCCCAGGAGACCAAGGTTCAGCCGCAGGAGATTGAGCATCTGGTGATGAAGGCTTTGAGCCTGGGCCTCCTTCGCGGAACGATAGATCAAGTAGGCCAAATTGCGCACATTACCTGGGTGCAGCCGAAGGTGCTTGATATGAAGCAGATCGAGAGCATGCGCCAACGATTGCTCGAGTGGGACTCGAATGTCAATCAGTTAGGAAACTGGATTGAAGCTGCTGGTCATGATGTCTGGGCCGCCTAAGCGCGGCCAAAGCATGAGCATAGAGAAGAGTCACTTATCCTAGAGGTGCTATCGGAGAGGCTGTATAGTACCTATTCCACGAATGCACACAAAAAAAAATTTGGGCTCTTAATGAACTCGCTGGACTTTCATCATTAGTATTATTGATATGTCTAATCGCAATTTCGAAACCAGATCTTTATGATGATTATAACAAAAGGACTCTAGCATAAGTTCCCAAGAGCTGCGCGTGAAATCATGTCCCGTATGATTCCTTTATGCCTTAGAGATGGGACTAAGAGTATTCGTCATACCAATTAGCCAGGCCGGCCACCACATACACCAGATGACAATTGGCGTATACATCCCCCATACGTTCCAACCCAAACTCGCTGCTCTCAAGACTTCCGTCAGAGTAACGCCACTAGTCCACGCTGTCGTTGATATAACAATTGGTGGCGAGGTTAATATCAACAATACTGCAGAAATGCCTCTGGTAGCTACGCTATTGGTTGGTCGAATGAAGGTGAGAGGGCTTGCTAGAAGTCCGACAAGGAAAGCAAGAGAGAAATTGAGTGTGCTGAGGGTCGCAAGGGATACACCTAAAATCAACAGCGAGAAAGACTTGGTAAGCTGAAAGTATTGCGTGCTTGGCTTTTGAAGTGAGGCAGCAGCGAAAGAGAAGATGGCTGGAAGAACAGTAGATGTGACGGAAAATATCAGAAACGCCAATGGCAGGGTCTATGTAACATAAAGATTAGCTTGGCATTCGGTATCAAGCGCCACCAAAGAAGACGGCCGCATCAAAACTCACATTTATGCCAAGATGGTTGAACACAAATAAAGGAATTGCAGAGATGGAATGGCATATCGCAACGAAAGTAAGAGGTGAGAGAAGGCTCCGTTCTACTGCAAGAGGAGTCCAGGAAGCTGGCGCGGCATCGCCTTTGCGATTCATACCATCATTCTTTTCCTTGCTCGAGTCCACATCCTTGACCGTAGGTTGTCCGCTCTTAACCCAGAGGAAGATGGCCATGATGGTAAAGTTGGCAGCCAGCAACATGGCGCTGGGAAGATAAGTGCCGATGCTCACAAAGCGATTCTTTTGCATGAGAAGATAGAAAAAGAAGCTCTGATGCAAATGCTCCAAAAGATTGTTGAGACTTCGAAAGGATCCCTCAACAACTCTACCCATCGCCATCTCATCGTGCCATCCTTCACCGGTAGGTTGCAAAGTTATGGCGTCCACATGGTACGGAATAAAGCTGCTGTGGGGACCAGTGGGATATCCAAGGCCCTGATACAGCATACCACGGAGCATTGTTTGAAGTCGATCTTGATAGCTATCGGTATGGCCAGTCATCTGCTGCACGGTGGTCTCAATACCCATCTGGCCTCCCGCAATGTTGACAATCGAGTTGATAAGATCGAGGTTGGGCAGCTGTCCATTCGTGCCATCGTAAATAATGTGAAGCTCATGATAGCGCTGCTCATGGGGGTAATCGATCGCGATAGCCCCCTGTAGTGCACCGGACTTGAGCGGCAGTGGTGAAATGTGTTTAGAATCATGAGCGTCATGATATGCATCAACCCAGGCCTGTGTTCCAGTTGTGCTATCTGGAGGTAGAAGCAGTATAATATCCTTCGACCATAAAGACCAGCCTATCGCTTGTCAGTTTCATCATAACGTCCAACCCCCCGTTAAGCTCTGGTTCTGGTGACGCCTTACGTTTAAAATAGCGAGCTAAAGTGAGCACAAGCGCGATGCCGTTACGGTTAAGCTGTTCATCTATGCTCTTCCATGCAGCCACCAGTACAATGGCTTCTGTTGCGTCCCCGCGAGGGGCTTGCAGAATGCCATACACATTCTCCCCAGTATATTCCTGTCCGGCCGAGTGGTAGGTGTAATTCTGTCGGCCAACCTTGACGCCAAAGCCTGCCAGGATCGACTCTAGCTTGTCGTTGACTCTGATGTCCGTATTAGCCACGTGTGTCACCAAATCTTCAGGAGATGGCGCTCGGCAACAAACTCATAATTATGCTTGTCGGCAAGCAAATCTACCTCATGCCTAAAGGCCCTGAATATATGCTGTTCGCTACCTCCAAAATAAGTATGCACTTGTCCAGGCAAGAGAGCATTCTCTGATACGTAGGTTCGTCTCGAATAATCGTCCAGAGGTAGAAGAAGCAGCCAAACAACGCCAATGGCAATACAGAAAGCAGACACGTATGGAGGAAATCTTAGCAGTCGAGGGTCGCGACGCAATGACAGCGCTGTGGCTTCAAGCCGCATGGAAGTTAGCGCATTAGTTACGCCGCGGGGGGGCGGGAGAACATACAAAGCAGTCGCGGCATGTCAGCTGTTAATCATGAAAGAGACATAAATGTACGAATGGCGGCTCAATCCAAATTGGATGGGCAATAACAAGCGGTGGAGTCCTGAGGAAGCTGATTTCATGTGCGACGGGTAGATGGCTTGAATCTAAGTCTAAGTCTTAGTCTAGGTGTCTCCCCAGCTGGATCCTGCCTGTTAGAATGCGCTAAAAACATACCTTGAGTGGGCCGGCTGCTGCGCTAATTATATAACCACCGAATAGGTAGGGAATCGACCAATCATCGTGGTAGTAGCTAAAATAACATACGTTCAATCAATTTATGTCCTAAAATTAGCTATTAGGTAGGTAGGAACCGTGAACGCTTACACTCACACACATGCGCGCTAAGCAAGTATATATATTAACTATTATATTATTAGAGAGTTATTAACAATTACTAGCATTACCAGAGAAATAAACACCAAGTTCCAAGCGAAGTCTTGTCTTATTCTAAAATTAAAAGCATATAGGTGTATGTATAAAAGAGATCCTGGATATCGTATATTAGATAGCCTTGTTCGATTTTTTTTGCATTATCTTCGTAATGGCGTGTCGAATTGTAATACCTGCTTTTTCAATATCCTTCTTAGAAAGCGCAGAAGTAACGCAGATTTTAAGGGCTGGCTGCAGTGTCCAGTCGTTTGGAGCTGCTATAGCATTCGCATAAGGCCTTGTCTTCAGTCGTGTGATCATAACACCATTTGCCAGCGACTAGTGATTGTTAGCTATCATTGCTCTAATGCCCTTGAGAATAAGGGGTTGTATACCTCTTCGACGCACTCCATCAAGAGTTTCTCTTGGTCATCAGCAGTCCATCTCTTTGCATTGACAACTTCAGGCTTAATTACCAGAAGCAAGATAGGATTGTCTACTGCGCTGGTGCAAACGACCCAATCGCTACGTGGATCAAGTTGCGCTCTCATGGCCCGAATGCTCTCTCTGCACTGAACAAGAATGTCGGGATTCGACTGGAGCAGCTTCAGTGATTCGCTTGTAGTCATAGCCAACATGGCCGGTAGGGCTGCAGAGAAGGTATAAGCAGAAGAGGTGATTCGCTGATGCTCAATCACATCTTTAGATCCGGCGCAAAATCCGCCTCCGGCACACAAGGGGCCTGCGAGCGAGCCAATGATCATGTCCACCTGTTGTGGATCTACATTCTGTGCCTCAGTAAGGCCACGTCCTGTTCGTCCCAACACTCCAAAAGACCATGTTTCGTCAAGAATGATTCGAATCTTATACTTTTCCTTCAACTCAACCAATCGAGGTAGATTAGTGACATCACCGGTGATCTCGAAAAAGCCCTCCGTGACGACAAATCGACGAGTTAATTTACCAGATTTCGCCTGTTCATTTGCAACCGCTTTGAGCACCCTCTCGAGGTCGTCCAAATCGCCATGTTTAAACCATTTGACGTTGCTCCTTGAAATCTCTAGGCCTTTACGAATAGAATAATTGACAGCAGCATCAGCGATGATGACATCGCGACGCTTGCAAAAGGTAGGAATGACACTTGTTGCAGTCGAGAATGTTTGTGCGTAGAGAATGCAGCCTTCTGTGCCAAGGTATGAGGCAATATCCGACTCTGCCTTTTCATGGACATCCTGTGTGCCGTAAAACTGAGGAGGGCCGCAAGGGCCAACACCATACGTGCGCAAAGTTTGAATAGCCTTCTCCTTGATCTGTTCGTTGGAATTGAAGTTATAAAAGTTGTACGAAGCCAAGTTCAAGGCTGTCCGTCCATTGGATAGTTTGACTTTCGGGCCAGTCGGTCTATGGTACGAATTCGTACGTCAGTAAATGTAAGGCAGCGTACAATAAGACACCACGCACCCGACAATAACCGGAAGTCTCTCGTTCTCAATCTCTTCTACAGCCGTTCGATCGGCCACAATTGGCTCCGGAGTCCATTCATCAATTAACTCTTCAATCTCCTAAAGCCATAGGCAGTCAGCGGGAGGGAATCGTCAATAGAATGCGGATGATCTTACGCCTTCTTGCAGCTTAACAAAATTTTGCTTGTGAGTCGAGTATGAGGGCGACATAAGGTAGCGGATAAAGAACAGCACAAGGACCAGTTCAATAGCGGATCGCACGGGATCATTTTGGTAGCTGGATTGGATATATCGTACGATCATAGCTGAGCCGGGAAGCTTTTGAAAATTCGAAGATGTTGCGCGAGCAATCTCGCCTAAGCGAGTCTGCAACATATCGAAGTCCATCGTGGGCTATCCGCAAGTCGCGGGTGGATGTTGTCAAGGTCGACTTGGGCCGATTGCTGGGGGGCCTGATGGGTTTGATATACTAAGCTCAAGATACCAAGGAAGGTTAGCAGGTAATCACGTAAGCTACTTGTACTAGCTGCGGGACGTAGAGTTCAGTGTCCTCTACTCTTACTAGGTACCTACTAACCTACAAATATAAGATCCTAGCCGTATTGAGAATAGTGGATCGCTGTGGCTTCACAGGTTGAAACGCCAAAAGAAAAAAACATACGTTCCACTACAAGAGATATGACTACTCCATGTACTTAAAGGAAAAGGAACTCGTTTTTGTACAGCTATCAGCGCTTGAAATTCGAAATAGCAGTATTTGAAGTTATACCTGCCTGTATATTAAATTTGAGAAAAACATCATTTGTCTTGTTATAATTGCTTAGAACTTGCTCGAAGTTAATAGTTAGTAAACTAGTATATCAATTGCTGTAGCCTTTCTCTTAGCCTGCTCCTATAACCTTAATTTCTTCTCCCCCTGATTTAACCAGGCCTATAATGGCCCTTTTTAGAGCTCCTTCGCGACCACTCTTTACACCACATGTCTTGCATGGCCGACAATTACAAAATGTTATCTTGATTGCTTCTTGCTTGATATTATTATTGTTTTTCATATACCGCCATGAGCAGCCTGCGCCTCCTGGATTCCTACCATATCAAACCTACCCGCTGACCGACGACTTCACACATCATACGGTGACCGACTTCTTCCCCAAGTCTGTATCGACGGGCACCAACTCAACAGAAGACATTTGCCGCTCCTTTCCGAAACATGTTCTGTCACGAATACAGCCAGTTCTCAAAACTGGTCATGGAGATAACAAAGAGAGATTGGACGCGCAGATGGATAGCACTAGTGCCTGCTTTACGCCAGATGAGCTGATCATCTTCTCAGACCTTGGCGAGGATATTCGAAATCATCGTGCTATTGACATTCTTGCCGATCTACCAAGCTCTCATTATAATGCCACCACCTTCAAGATGTGGGGAGAGTATTTATCCCAGAAAGAAATGCAAAGAATTGGTATTTTGGACACCGAGGCACAAACGGAGCATATAAATGGATGGGCTCTAGACAAGTTCAAATTCTTACCAATGATGGAAAGAGCGTGGGCCATGAGGCCTAATAGAGACTTTTACGTTTTTTACGAAACAGATACGTAAGTGTGCTCGGCTAGATTATTTGCTCGCCAAAGCGTTGACATTTATCCTAGCTACATATTTTGGGATAACCTATTCCGTTTCCTTCAACTGTATAATCCAGATGCAAACGTTTACATGGGCTCACCATCTCCCGGTCGCCGCGATCCAAAACGTAGAGACCAGGGGACCTTATTTGCCAATGGAGGGCCTGGATACATCATCAGTCGGGGCGCCATGAAGACTCTGTTGCAGCGCACCACAAGTCCATTTGGAGAGTATACAGATGAGCCGCTCTCGACAAAATTCAGTTATCTAAATCATGATGATGAGTGTTGTGGCGACAGCGTCCTGGGATGGGCAATGTGGGAGCAGGGCATCCCTATGCATGGTCACTTCCCGATGTTCGGCCCTTATGCCCTTCACGAGATTCCTTTCAATGACCAGCATTGGTGTCAGCCACTGATAACGCTACATAAGACATCTCCGAAAGATATGGTGGACTTGTTCAGCTGGGAGTCTAGCCAACGGAAACCCGATGTAAGTCATATTCTTCAAAGGCATGCTGCCAGGAGTTTTTTGTGCCTGGCACTATTAAAGGGTTACCTGGAATTAAACAGCTAATTGGCATATAGCGACCATTGTTATATTCTGATATATGGCAATTTCATAAACCTGGCACAACCCCAATTCGTGAAGCCTGGGACAGTGGTCGTTTCGATGCGTTTGATCCACCTGGTACAGATATTGATTCCTCTGAGCGATGTAGCCAAGCGTGTAGTGAAGACAATAATTGCTTCCAATGGAAGTGGGCGGGAGCAGATGATCTTAGGTGCACCCTTCTAGGATCAATACAACATGGAAAAGAAAGGGAGGTAAAGAAGGAATTAAAGGATGGGAAAGGGAATGCAGGGATTATAAATAAAGCAGGATGGAATGAAAGTCGTATTAGAGAATGGAGAGAGAGTAAGGAGTGTAAAGAAATTACTTGGGTAGGAGCAAATGTAAATAGAAAAGTATAATTATTAGAATTAAGAATAATTTATTAATTATTTTATTTAAAGTTATTATATTTTTAAATAAATTAAGTTTTATACTTTATAAATAAATTAAAATTAATAAAAAATTTATTTATTATATTATTATAAAAATTAGTAAAGTTTTAAATAAATAAATAAATATTTTTTTAATATATTATAAAAGTAAAAAGAATTTATATATATTAATTATAAAGTAATATATATATATATATATATATAATAATTTAATTTTTATATTTTAAATTATTATTTTAAAATAAAAAAGATTTTAAAAATAAAATTTATATATATATATATTAATAAATAAAATAAAACTATTATTAATAAATATATTATATAATTATATAATATAATTTATATATTAAAAAATATATTTAATTTAATTAATTAAAGTTAATAATTAATTTATATAATAAATTAGCTTTATAACTATTATAAATAAATATTTATTATAATATTAATATAATTTAAAAAAAAATTTATATAATTAAATATAAGTTAATTAAAATACCTTTTAGGTTTAAATTAAGCTTATTTTAAAAAAAACCTTAGGGAAACTTTAAGTATTTTATAAAATTTATTAAAGTATAACTTAAATTTATAATATATTTATTTTATTTTATTAAATAAATTAAGTTTTATTAATAATAAAAAATATAAGTATATTTATAAAAAAGAAAAAAAAAATTTATTTTTTATATAATATATTTAAATAAAAAAAATTTAAATTTAATATATTTTTTAATTAAATTATTATATATTTAAAATAAGTTTATAATAATTACTTTATTTTAAATATAAAAAAAAATATAAATTTTATTTAATTATTATTTATTTATTTTTTATTTAATATATTTAATATTTATTTATTATTATTATAATTTATTATTAATATTTAACTTAAGTAATTTTTATTTAATTATAAATAAAATTTACTTTATAAGTATTTTTTTATTTTAATTAATTTAAGCTAGTATTAAATAAGCTTTACTTTAAATTAATATAACGATTATAATAATTTAATTTAATATTAATTATTACTTAAGTAAAACTTATTATAATAAAATATTTTTTTAATTTTTATATATTTTTTTTATTTTTAATAATATTATTATTAATAAATTTTTATTTTTAATTAATATTATAATTAATTTTTTTTAATTTTTATTAATATAATACTTTTTTATTTTTTATATTTTTATTACTTTATTTTTTCCTAATTATTTATTTATTAATAATTATTATTATATTAAAAATTTTTAAATAATAAATATAAGTTTATTTTAAGCTTAGCTTAAACTTAATATAAATTTATATTAATTTTAATATAATAAATATTATTATTAAAGTATTAATAATTAGGTTTTTTTTAAAAGTAATTATAACTTTAAAAATAATTATAATAAATTAAATTAATATATTTTAAGTATTTAATTTAAAAGAACTTTAATTTAAATTTAAATAAGCTTTTTAAAAAAATAAATATTTTTTACTTTTTTTATATTAAATAATTAATTAATAATAATTAATTAATAATAATAAGTTTTAATATTTATAAATATTTATAAATATTTATAATTATAAAAATATATAATTTAATATAATAATTATAAAAATAAAAATTTTAAACTTTATAAAAAGTAATAAAAAAAGCTTTTATTTATTTAAAATAAAAAACTATAATATTAAAAAATTAATTATAAATATAAAATATTTTAATAAAAATATAAATTAACTTAACTTTTATTTACTTTTTTAAATTTAAAATAATTTATTAATTAAAAGTAAAGTATTAAAAAATAATATATTAAAAATAATTTTTAAAAAATAAGTTTAAAGTAAAAGAAATAAAATAAAAATTTAAAGTAAAGTAATTAAAAAAAAGTATTTTTAAGTAAAGTAATAAGCTAAAGTAATTAATATTAATACCTTTAATAATTTATATTTAAAAATATTTATAAGTTTAATAAAAATTTAATTAATAAAAATTTAAATAAGTATAATAAATTAATTAATTAAATAATTAATATATAAAAAAAAATAGCTAAAAAAATAAATTTAATTTAATTACTTTAAAAAAAATATTACTTATAAAAAGTTTTTATTAAAAAAATTAAAGTATTAATAATATTAAAAGTATTTAAAAGTTAAAAATAAAAAATAAAAAATAGAAAATAATTTATTTAAAATTAAATAATTTAATAGAAAAAATCAATAAAAATTAAAATATTAAAAAATTAAAAAATTAAAAAAGAAATATAAATAAAGTAAGTAATAAAAGTAATATAAATATATAACCTTAAGTAACCTATAGGTATTAAAAATATATAATTATTAATTATTATTATTTTTCCTTTTTTAATTATATAATAACTTTAATATTTTTTTTTATTTTTATTTTAAATATAAATATAATTATTTATTACTTTATTAAATTATTATAATAATAAAAAAGCTAATTTAAATTTATTTAAAGAATTTATTAATTATATATTAAAAAAAATACTTTATAATATTTTTAATAAAAGAAAATCTATAGAAATTAATTAATTTTTAACTTTTAAAATTAAGTTATTTATATTATAAATTTATTAATACTTAAAAAATTAATAACTTTTATTTAAATTATATTAAAATTCTTAGCTATTAATAAATTTAATATAACTTAAATAAAATTTATTAAAGTTTATAAAAGTAATAATAAAAAATTTAATAATTATAGCTAAGAAAAGTAAATAATTTTATATATTTAAAAAAATAATTTTATATTAAGTATTTAAATTAATATATTTTAGCTATATTATATTATTATTAAGTATTTAAATTATTAAAATTAAGTAATTAATTACTTTTAATTTTATAACACTTATAAGTATTACTAATAGCTATTAAAAAAAAAGCTAAAGCTAAAGCTAATAATTTACTTTTATTAAGTAATTAATTAATATAAAAAAATAAATAAGTAATTATAAAATTAATAAAAAATTTAATATTAATTTAAATATTAAAATTAAAAAAAAAATATTTAAGCTTTTATTAAATTAACCTTAGCTATATTATTAATAAAAAGCTATTAAAATAATTAAATAAATTATTTAATTTTAATAAATAAAATTAAAAGCTTTATTATAGTTATTCTTTTAAAAAAAAATTTAATTACTATTAAAAACTTATATTTTAAATTTTAAAAAACTTTTTAATAAATACTTATTTAAATTATAACTTTAACTTTAAAGTAAAATTAGCTTTATTTTAATTATTAAATTATAAAAATAAAGTTTAAGAATTAAAAGTAAAATATTATAAATAATATTAATTTTATAATAATAAAGGAAATTAATAAATAAATAATTACTTTTTTTTAAAAAAAATTAAAAGCTATTAAGAAATAAAATAAATTTATTTATTATATTATAATATTTAGTAGCTATAGAACTTTAATTTTTTTAAATTAATAAATAAAAGTATTTAAAAGTTAATTAATAATATAATTAAGTAAGAAAATACTTTTAAATAAACTAAAAGTAAAGTTAAAAGAGTTATTTATAAGGAAATATATTAATATTAATATAATAAAATAATAGCGCTAGTAAAACTTAAAATTAAAAATTAAAGTTTTAATAAAAAAGTAATTAAAAGTTATAAAAAATAACTTTAAAAAGTAAATAATAGTATTTTAATATACTTAAGTTTTTTATTTATTTTAATATTATAGTAGTTTTTTAAGTAAAAATATAAGTTAAGTAATTAAATAAATACTTTTATTAAATAAATTATTAACTAAGAAAAATATAAAAAGTTATTTTAAGAAAAATAAAGTATAATAAATATTAAAGTTTATTTATATTTTATTTTTTTTACTTTTTTATTATAATTATTTTAAAATAAAAAGCTAAAAAATTAAATTAAAAAATTCTTATAATTAATTTTTAAAATTAATAAAGGAAATAATAATATTTACTAATTTTAAAAGAAAAGCTTTTAATAAAGCTTTATAGCTTACTTTTTACTATAAAGGAAATTTTAAAGTATTAACTAAATTAAGCTTTAGCTTAGTAAAATAAAATATAAAAAAGTAAAATATTTTTATTAATAAAAAAAATAATATAAGTTTATTATATAAGGTAAAGTAATATAATTAATTATAGTATACTTAGTTACTTATTTTAATAGGTTATAAATTTAAATTTTATATACCTTATAAATATAACTCTTTTATTAGCTTTATAAATTAGCTAATAATAGTATTATTATTTATAATAACTAAGCTTAATTAAAAAAATAAGTCTCTCTTTAAGAAAAGCACTTAATTAAATTTAAAAAAAGTTTAGTATTTTTAAGTAATTTTTTTAACCTAGGGGTTAAGGGTTTTTTTATATAAATATACCTTAAGTCTAGGGTAGCTTAAGTAAGTAATATTAATGCATTATATATAAACTAAATAAATAAGTTTATTATATAAAATAACCTTTAATTATTACTATAATTTTATTTTAATAAAAATAAAAGCTAATAAATTAAATAAAATAATTTTATTTATTTTTATTATATAATTTAAATAATAATATAATAAGTAAGGTTTTTAATATTATAAT